GATGGGGAGGAAGAACGGAGAGCGAGTAACGACTTGGCCAAGTGCGATATCAAGGATGTGGGACGGTGGGTGTACGGTGTATCAAGGGCTGAAGAGGGAAGGTGGCTGTCGCTTTGTGTGAAGTTGGGCACCCCCAGGGCGGTGCGGTCAACGCGGTCCCATCCCATCCCATATCCCATACAAATCCCAGGAATGCCACCCCCGCGCGTCTTTCGGTTATCAAAAGGTATTGGGGACTCTGCATAAATTATTAGATCAAATCGGACCAGATGTCTACGTGTCTTGTACAATGCCCAGACGAGTTGAAAAGACATTATGAAGGAGATGATGGTGCATACGTGCATGTCTCTGGAGCAGGGAGGAGGATGAACAGAGGGGCTTGTTGAATGCTGATGCATTGGCTGCAACCTAATAATGTAGCCTAATAGCTAATGGTGGATGGGTGAATGGATGAGATGTGCCATGCGAGCTGCGAGATGGTCGATCCTTCCCGGCCCTCCCATCCCTTGCCTCCCCCTGTGCCTGACTTGGATTGATTGATCGTGACAACCAAATCCCTGAGATTGCTTATTAGCTTGACTTGTAATCCTCGTCGAAGGATCCAGGGGATTCAACCACATGTGCCACGCGAAGATTTAAGTGTGAGGAGCTAACAATTTACCTCACTAGCTCACGCGGGGTGTTGACGACACCCACCTCTTCTCCTACTCGTCGTTTTCAATCTCAATCTCTTTCCGCCTTCTCACATCCTCCCATCGAGTTACCATCCACTCGCGTGCATAGTTCAGCCTAGTCGTGTCACTATCTAACCCTCCCCAAGAGACGTATAGATAATGGTCAGTGCACTTTCCACCTCGTTTCCTGCGTAAGCTATAGCTAACATACTCAGAACAGGACGTGAGTCAATATGCTCCACAACACCCGACGTAGCGCTTCACTCACCCCCAAGTGTCCTCTACGTCACGGGCTTTTCGCCAAACCTTAGGGCTCGCGACCTCGCGTACGAGTTCGAGCGCTTCGGCCGCCTCGTCCGCTGCGACATCCCCGCCCTCAAGTCGCCTTCCTCGACTCGTGAGTTGTGTGCCGTCCTGTTTCGCATTGTATTTGGAGCGGGGAGTCGGCGTTGTGGGCGGCTGGCGCCAAGTTGTTCTGATGTGTGTATGTGTGTGTGTGCTGCGGAACAGGAGACATGCTGAAGGGATGGTGCCAGTCGTTGAGCGGCATCTCCCCACCATCGATTGAGCCTTCCCTCCTACCTGAGCCTCTTCGTTAGTCCTCTCCAGGTCTACTCAATCCCCGAGCGAAGCGACCAAGGCGACCGATGTCGAGAGCGACAGGAGTCTCAGTGCCGCGACATGGCGACGCGAGCAAGCGAGCGAGGCCATTTCCTCGGACGGGTCCCGCGAGCCGATCAAGACGAGCGCGTTAGGCCACGAGCCGTCAGCGTAACTCGACCGGCCCCGTGGCACTCCACACACGCGCATAGCGATCGAGCACTTTGAAGACGAGCGAGCGAGCGAGCGGTGCGAGCGGACAATCGATCCGAGCGAGCAAATCTACGCCGCAACCCTTCCTTTCTGTGACCTGTGACTTTCGCTGACCACTTACCGCAGCCTTCGCCTTTGTGGAGTTCCGCCGCGAGGATGACGCAGAGGACGCTTACTATGACATGTGAGTCGACACTGTACCCATCATCTGACCGCAGGCACGGGCGTACTGTTGAAGGCCGTCGCCTGACTGTGCAGTGGGCCAAGCGACCCCCGAGCGCCGCGTGGCGCCACGAGGAGTGAGTTGCCAGGCCTCGAGTGATCGCATGTCAGCAACTGACTTCAGCTTCCGTCGTGAGCGTGAGTGGGGCGGCCGTGGTGGTGGTGGCGGCGGTGGCGGCCGTGATCGCGACCGCCGCTCCCCTCCCCGGCGCCGTTCGCCCTCGCCTCGCCGCCGTTCGCCCTCTCCGCGTCGTCGCTCGCCCTCGCCGCGTCGCGACCGCGACAACGACCGCGACGAGCGTGACCGCGACTACGACCGCCGTGAGGGCCGTGGCCGTGAGGAGCGTGACGAGCGCGATGAGCGAGGCCGCTCTCCCTCGCGGGATGACGACCGTCGCCGCTCTGCTTCGCCGCAGCGCGAGCGTGAGCGCGAGGCGGCGGACGAGGACGCGCGTCCCGCGGAGGACGACCGTCGCGAGGACTAGGTGCGTGTACATGTTTCGCAGGCCTCGGTTATGCGCGCATGTCTGAAATTGTCTGATTACCATGAATTGTGGATGCAACGCGTTGTGCGCTTGTGGGGTATACGGCTGAGCATCGCCTTACGTAGAACTTCCAATTTGGTCTGACCGCTGTGATCCAGCTGAACCTACCACTGTGTTTGGCAAGTGTGTCGTGTGATCATCTCACCGCCTGCTCCTTAGTCTCGAGTCGCAAACAAGTTTGTCTGACACCAACATTGCGAAACATGGAGCACTAGGAGATCCGGAAACTTATCCCATTGCGCTTTTACGTTGCTGATTGCTGACTTGCTGTAATGCCTGTTACGGCAGTGATAAAACGCAGCGCACCCCCTTGTGTGGCATATGTGTCAAGTTTCAAGGCGGGGTTGACCTGTGTGCACCGACAATGATGGGTTGGGTCGCGTGAAAGCGTTTCGCTCGATCATTCGATCGCTATGCTTACTGAGGAGATCGAGCAGAGAAAGGCGTCCAGTACCAGTACATTCTCAAGGGTATATACAAGTGTGTACACTACTGCGGGGGCGCCTGCCACCCGTTCGGGTCGGACACGTCGACAGTCTCGTAGCTCTTATCATAACTGTCGTTGCCCTCGTCCTGCACGCCGTTGACCTGCTCCGGCCATCCCTGCACAAATCCGGCGCCGTATGATGGGTCCGGCGCCTGCTCATATCCTGCCTGCGCGTACGCCATCGGCATAGGCGCGGCCATCATCGCGGGCGCAGGTGGTGGCGGCATCGAGCCGTACGAGTAGCTGCTCGCCTGCATCTGGGGCGTCGCGGACCGGAAGCGCATAGGCTGGGGCGCAGGCGAGAATGAGTGGCCAACCGACACGGGGACAGGGGCGTTGGACCATGTCGGAGGAGGAGGCGGCATCGAAAGCCAATCTGGCGGCACCGTGGTCGAGCGGTACGACATGTTGTTGAAGTTTGCCACCGGGTAAGCGTTGGGGCTGCTGTCAGGTGGGGCATGTGCTGCAAGACTTACGCCATGGGGACGTGAGCGACCATGTCCTCGGTTGGAGCGGGCGACTGCGTAGGCCAGCGACGCCCCACATATGGTGGGGCGCTCAGGCGGTCCTCGGCGACGTCATTGGCACGGGGCGGGTCGTCCTTGCGGTGCAGACGAAGGTGCTGCAGGAGGTTATCCTGTCGACTGAAGGCCCGGTTGCAAAGCTTGCACGAGAACGGGCGCTCCTGCGTGTGGGTGCGGATGTGACGCTTCAGGTGCTCGAGTCGCTTGAAGGGCCGACGGCAGAAGTCGAATACGCACACAAACGTCTTCTCATCTGTCGCGCCCCCCGTCGCGGGCGTCTTGCTGCCGGCCGTGCCACTGGCATTACCCGTGCTGTCGGCTGCCGTTGACGAGGACGAGTTGGCACGCGCAACCTTGCGGGCGGGCTCCTTCTCCCCAGGTGCCAGACTCATTTCACGCTTCTCATCTTCGCCCTCAGGCTGCACCGATTTAGAGGGCGAGGAGCGCTTTGATGAGCGGGCGCGCTTCCGCTTATACGACGAGCTACCCTCGAACATGGTGACCGTGAACTGCGGCAATCCTCCAGGTCCTGCTGTGTACTGGTCGGGGGGCGGTGGGACGAAGTCCGTCGGGATGGGCTGGCCAGCCGAGTCCAGCTGCCCCACACGACCAGGCCAAAGACCTTGATCGTTTGGGTGCTCCATCATGCGGCCATCGTATCCGAGGTTGGGGTCGATGCTCGACTGTCTAGAGCCTTCCACTCCAACGTTTTGGGGCACCATGCCAGCGGGGATGCGTGCCTGGAGCGGGTAGACCTGGTCCTGGTCGGTGTAAGTGGGTGGAACGCGCCTCACGATCGAGAGGTTACTCACCAAAATCGCCGCCTCCATACCCCTGTTGCTGCCCATGAACTGCTCGTAGAGACCCCGACGAGGGTCATATCTGTGGATGTCAGTTGATGGTGAGCCGCTCGCTTACTTGAAGCTGCGGGCCGGTTCACCGACAACGACCGTCGTTGGCTCCTGGCCGGCCTTCTCACGCTTCAGGTCGCGTTCAAGCGCGTCCAGGAAGAGCCGGTCGTGAGGCACAGAAAACCAGTAGAAGACCTGACTCTGTTAGCGCGTGGTTGGGCGAACAGGAAGACGTCGTCCTCGTGTCACGGGCATACCTTTTGCTGACCAGTTAGCAACAGATTCGCGACAAAGCAGACCACATCACACCTACCTTTTTCTGTGTACGGATACACCCATTGCGGAAGAGGAAGTCGAGGAAGGCTGACCTAAGAGGTGTAAGCGTGCGTTACTAAAAAGGACAATCTAGAATGGTGTCGGGTCATACTCACTTTGGCTCCTCGAGGCAGGCATCGACGCCGGGTTTGAGGTTGCGCAGGTCAGAGAAGACGCCCTCCTCCCACTTCTTTGGGAGCTTGACAGGGCGCCCAAAGGCTTCAAAGCGGAATTGAAGGGCGCGGACTGCACAGTCAGCATGTGTGCAAGGTGTGATGCAGGGCGCAAGATGACGTACCAATGTCCGTGCCAGTGATGTGGTACAGCCCGTTCCAGAGAACACAAGCCACATCCTCGCCATTGGGAAGACGGAACTTTGACAGATCGGGGAGATGCTGGGCCCGTTAGAGTGAACAATGAAGGAGGTGTCACGCTACACTCACGCTCGTCGGGAGTGACGACCACTTGGTGGGAGCTGTAGCCAGGAACTATGGACGCGTCAGTATTGCCATGCAAAGGAAGGTTGGGGAGCGACTTACGAATAACAGGCGACAGAGAAGGTCGACGCGGGCTGTCTCGGCGTTGGTTAAACGGCGTGGAACAACGTCCGAAGGAGGGGGAAGGGGGTAGAGGATGGCCTCCTCCATTCCAGGCCCTCTGGAAGATCAGCGTTCTGAACAAGTGGCCATCTTGCTGCGCGTGCGCCGTACACGCTGCAACAAGTTTAGAATCCACCTACTCCTTGTAAGGTGCATGGTAGACCTCGACCTCTGTAGGACCGCCAAGCATGCTGAGTCGGCCCTGTGCGCTAGTTATGTTTGGTTCGAGGTGGAGTTGGGTGGCGAGGTGCAGGGGGGCGGACAAGGGAGCCGGAGTTGGAGTCGAGGCGTGAAATGGGAGGGGGCGACGTTGGATGGTTGTGGCGAGCGGGTCGGATAACGCGAGTGCGGCAATGGGGACGGCGACGGACGGCGACGGAATGAGACGCCGAAGGAAGGGAGGGCGAGGGAGAGGGTTGGATGTGCCAGTGCAAGGGATGGTATTGGTAGGGTTGTTGGTGAATGGTAGATGACGACGGTGGCCGGTGAAGGCGCGTCAAGCCTCTTGCGATGGAGTGCAACGTGAAGCGTACAGGGGGAACTGTTGCAAGGGGGACGGGGGATGGGGGGGGGGGAGTAAGAGGGGAGACTTTGCTACGCGCGGCTGCGAGTCGACGTGAGGTCGAAGATAGGCAAGTTAGATGTTGAGTAGCGAGCTGGGGGGATCGCGAGGGAGGGAGGAGGAGGCTGCGGAGTGTGTCTCGAGACGAGTGATGAGGAGGAGGGAATGGATGATGATGAGGACGATGGAGTGGAGAGAAGTGGCACCAAGTGGGTGGACGAGACGCCAGACGCCAGTCGAGACGAGGCGTCGAGGCATCGAGGCATACGAGACGCCAGGATCAAAAGGGGTCAAGGGGGGGGGGGGACACCAAAGGGGTCTGAGCGCATCGTGGCCACCAAGCCAGGCTGAGACGCCAGACGCCAGACGCCAGACGCCAGACGGACGGGGCGGCACGGGGGTAGTAGGGGCACGGGGGCTGCTCCTGTGCCTTTCTGCATCCTAGCCTTTGGTGGCCAGTGGGTCAAAGCACGCAAAGGGATGTCAGGTCATAAAGGATACACAAGGGGGATCCCCGGGAATCCACAGGGCCACAGAGCGAAAGGGGGCGCAAGGGGAAAAGATGGGCGCACGGGTTGACTGTACAGTACGGGTCAGGACACGATAGGTGGCCAAACGGCAGACGGGAGCTTGAAAATTCCAAAACGCCAATCTCAGGTAGACCAATTCTCTTCTGAAGTAAAGTGGGGGGAACACATGGAAAGATGGCTTCAAGGCGCGCATGGACAATCCATGGCCCACACCAAAGGCGCAGTTTCAAAACGCCCTGACATGACCTGACACCAGGATGTCGACTGTCCTCTCGTAACATGGACCTTTCTTCTTTGCCGGCCGGTGCACACTACCCGTCATGCCGTCAACTGCCGCCTCCCCTCCACCTCCTGCTCTCTGATCTCTGACCTCGCGACCTCGCTTGCGATGGCTGCTCTCATTCTCCGGCCTCCGGATCCGCACACTTCCCATGTTCCCCGGCGCCCCCACCTCCCTCCGGGATCCAGCGATTCCGACACACGGTGTGACACGACGCCAAACCCCTTAAACCCCCTGTGTCGCGTCTCGTTCAACGCGTCCAAGCTGATCTCGACCACAACCCGAGAACTCTGAACTACTACTGCGCTGTTCATATCTGCTGCTTTGCGTCGCATCGCACCGCAAAGGCAAGCCTTTGACCGTTGGGGAGTTGGGGAGGAGGGCGCAGAGGCACCAAAACTACACACTCGGTGATTCGATGTGTGCGTGCATAGCACAGGGCGCAAAGCCCTTTGCGACCGTCGAGTGAGGCTGCTGAGGGGCATGAGGATATGAGGAGGGCGATGATTCCGATGTGAAGGCCATGAATCATGGGAGTCATAAACACACATACACGACCTACCGAGTCGCCGGATCGCCAGCTGTTAGTCGATACAAGTTCGCGAACATTTCGCACGACAGAGTTCAGTCAGTTTTTAAGAATGCAAGCGGCGCCTCGAAGCTCCCAGGGGGAATTGAGGAGGGCTCCTGTCGATCTAGCGAAGATCAGAAGATTCCAAAGATCGTCTCCACCGTTTCTTTGCGAATCGCGGATCGCGAACCGACACATGTGAACATGCAAATCCGGCGACTGGGTGACCGGGCGGAGCGGCGGAGTGGGCGGCCCGCGGCCCGGTTGGCTTGTATTCAGTCCAGCGTGCGATGAGGGTCGAAAGTGATGTGCATGTTCAAGAAGATCATCGCGATCGCCGGGCGCGCCGGTGGCCCGGTGGCGTCAATCTTGGGCGATCCATCTGAAATCTGCGATCTGCGACATCTGGTGCGGACACGGACTGTGCGGCTGTGTGGACCTAATCACAATCATAATGAGATGCATAATAATCAATTCTATGTGTGTCTTGTGTATCTTCATTAGCCTCAATGTTAATCTCATCAATCATTCCAAGTAGCCCTATTTGACTGACCTGCCGTGCTTATTTTCGACTTTCCTTCACCCAGCCCAACCTATTTCCCACGTGCGTGTGACGGTGACATCCATTCATGCATTCATCCCTTGATCTGGGGGCGCCAACGAAACGCCACCAACCAACCTCCACCCCAGGTCACCCACTCCGTCATCGACTCGGCCACCATTGACCAACATTGCTTCCCGCTCTCGCTACTCTCGACCCCCTCCGAGCTCTCCAGCTTCCATCACTCTCCTACATCTTAATGTCCTCACACGACATGCCGCGCCCTCGAATTCCCCCACCTGTTCCTCCCAAGCCAAGGCTAGCCGCGCGTGCGCAGCATACACATCATGCTTCTCCCGTCGCCCATCCAAACGCCCCTCCCCTTCCACACGCCCCGCGCCCACAAATACACCCCGACTCTACAGTGACACCACCACTACGCGCTGCGCAACTCTCGCCCCCTCGAGGTAGACCGCTTGCTGAGCGCCCCGGTCCCGTGCCGTACGCACAGGAGCCGTACCGCTCATCCAGCTTCTACTCGTCGTACAGCGCATCCAGCTCCAGCTCCTCCGTGCAGGGCGGCAAGCGAGTGCGCGTCCACAACGCTGTGTCGAGTGTGACCCAGTCTCACGCGTTTCAGTCTGCTTCTGGCGCCACTGCTGGCTTCACTTCGCGCGCACGCGGGTTGCTAGGCACAGCGGCGAGCTTCGCTGCGGGCGCAGCGAGCCAGGCGGCCAGTTCGGTAACGGGAGGAGGCGCAGAGAAGCCGCAGACGTGGGGCGAGTGGGCCCGCGAGTGGCGCGACGGGCGCAAGAGTAGCATCAAGGGCCAAGAAGTGCTCAACCTTCTGCCTGGATGGGCTGTGAAGCGCCCGTGCAAAGACGGCGGCGAAGACGGTGAGTCGAGGTGAGAACCGGCTAACATTCAGCGTTTGATCTGCACGTTTCTACGGCGGGCTTCTGCTCGTTTATCCGCGACCCGTCGAGCGCGACGCGGACCCAGCGCGCGCTCATGGGCATCGCCAAGCGCTTTGCCGCCCTGCCGGCTATTCCTGTCGAGTCGCAGATGTCGCAAGTCATGGACGAGGCGTTGACCGACGAGCCGGCGCCCATGGACTTCCCGGCAGCCGACAAGCCGCCATCAGCGACCCGGTCAGGCGCTCCGGCAAGCAGGTCGACCGACTCCCCACCACCGAGCAGAAGCAATACAAGCGAGATGGCATTTGCCAATCCCGAAGTGCTGTCGCTGGCGCACGAATATCTCGACTCGCGACTACGCCCGTTTTGGTCGAGCGTGCTTCCGTTCCGCCGCGTGGCGCTGAGCATGTACACCATCCCCTTGCCGCAGAAGAATGGCGAGGCGCCGCCCAAGCCTGACGCTGAGTTGTTCCGCCAGGAGCCCCTCATGCGGACGACATTCACGACCAACGGCCAGGGCCACTTTGCGCACCATTTCGTCATTCCTTGGCAACGAATCTGCACGCACCCGCAGTCGGTGCCGATGGCGTTTGCCGACGACCCGGCTAACGACCGCACGGACTGGGGTCTTGTCATCCACGCCGAGCTATTGAGCGAGGAGGGCCCGGATAGACTCGTCCAAGCCTCGCCGTCCGACGTGCCGTACGAGCAGCGCGTGCCACGGCGAGTGTCGAGCGCAACCAGCTTCTTTTCGAGCGCCGAGCCTCCCAACCAGAATGACGGCGACGGCGAGCAAGAGATGGGCCTCATGGGTCTGGGGATCGGGCGGACAGCCGTCACCTCTGATGTGGTAGTGGGCATCTCTCGGCCGGGAGGGATTCGCGTCATTTCTGACCTCGACGATACCGTCAAGCACTCAGATATCCTCAGCGGACCGCGAGAGGTGTTCCGCAATGTCTTCTGCCGGCGCCTCGAGGATATTGCCGTGCCCGGCATGAGTGAGCTTTACCAGAAGCTCACGCAGGAGGGCATGTCTTCTTTGCACTTCGTGTCCAACTCGCCCTTTGAGCTGTTCCCAATCGTGACAGAGTTCTTCAAGCTGCACCGCTTCCCGACGTACTACAGTCTCAAGCTCAAGTTCTACGGCGGGCGGTCAATAGTGACGTCTCTCTTTGAGCCGGCGGGCGAGCGCAAGCGCCCGTCCATTCTGGAGATCCTCGACGAGTTCGACGACTCGACATTCATCTTGATCGGTGACTCGGGCGAGCAAGATTTGGAACTGTACACGGCCATTGCGCATGAACGGCCCACTCAGATCGCCGCGATATTCATTCGCGACGTCACCTCAGGCCGCGTGGACGAACTTCGCCGCATGGCTGGCGACCCGACCAAGCTTGACCGAGACCTTGGGGACATCAAGCTCGACAGCCCACCGTCCGGAGCAAGCACACCCGGCACGCCGAGCGGCCGGCCCACCAAGGAGGATATTGACGGCACCATGGCCGAGCTGCAGGAGCTGAGCGCGAGCGAGCAGAAGCTCCTCCGCCGCGCCGCGCAGTGGGAGTACCGCGTGCAGCGCGCGTACGAGCAGGTGCCGGACAACGTCCCGCTCGTGTTCTTCAAAGAGGCTGAGGAGATTGAGAGCCTGGCGCGCGGCATCGTGCGCGAGGCCGCCAAGGAAGCCGCCATCCCTACTCCCGGCAAGGGCGCGCGGCCGGAGCATTACCACAAAGCGCACACCGGCAGTGTGCGGATGGACGACCGGATGTGCGGGGAGTTGATCGAGGGCGCTGAGCGGCGCTCCGAGTCGTCCGTGAGCACAGTGTCTACAGCCTCGACGCCGTCTACCCCTTCGACCCGCTCCACACCGTCCCCAACCCGGAAATAGATAGACTGGTGATCTCGGGAAATAGCCCTAGCCCGAGTCCAGATAAGAAGCAGGGTGTCTATTTTGTGCACGGATGAGATCGATGTGCATTGACCGAGCAAACTCCGAGCTCTACGCAGCATGAACGAATGCACCGCTCGGCGTGCTGGGGATGCGTGCGGGAGAGGCACCGCACTGCCGAGAGAGGCAGCATGCACAATGCACATGTCAGCCTGCTTGGTCCCAAGCCCTTGGCTGCAAAACTCACACACGTGTGTGGTCGCTTACAATGACGTCTTGTCCCGGTGGCGGCGTGCACAAAGTTGATTCGCGGCCTGATCTCGTCGTCTCCTCATTCCACCAACAAGTCATCACCGTCTTCCGAACGCCACTGTATCTGCCAGCACAGGCAGCATGCTCGCCCCCCCGGTCAGCTCTATTCCCGGTACGTACGCGACGCCGACGGCGCTGACAGCAGTCGGGACTCTCCTCCTCACAGTTTTCCAGGTGAGTGGCGACGCAAGATGGGAGTGAGATGGGAGAGGACAGGAGGGCGGCGGTTGTCTCACACGATCGCGCGGGCCTCACACGAGACGCGCCGCGCAGTCATGCGATCGCCGCGAGGCCCCTCTCATGCCGCGCACCCCGTTGGCACCAAGCTGCCGACGGCACTGATCGCCTTCCTCCATCCTTGTGGCCGCTCCTGCATCGCGTCACGTCCTCGCGGCGCTTAGCGCGCCACCTTTCGACGTACGCGCTGACCCCAGTCCATCGCAGAAGTCGTCCTTCTTTGTATTGCAGGCTACGTGCTTGCCTCCACTGGTGTAACGGACAAGGCGACGCAGCGCAAGCTCAACGTCATCAATGTCTCGCTCTTCACCCCCGCCCTGCTCTTCAGCAAGGTGGCGTTTAGCCTTACGCCTGCCAAGCTGAAGGAGATGTGGATTATCCCACTAAGGTGAGTTGCATGCGTTGGCGGCGCCGGCATCCACTGCAGATGGCCTCGCGAGCCGCTGCGTTGGATGTTGGCGTCATGTGTAAGGCGAGGCTCGGACACAGTGCCTGGTTGCTGCGCACCCTCCTGGTGTGTACAAGCTGCTGCGCTCGCCACATTCCCCTCCGCGTCCCTAGGTCAACGCTCATGCCAGCTTTGTCGTCATCACCGGCGTGTCCGCCCTCGTCGCTTGGGTCCTGTCCAAGGTTTTCAAGCTCAAGAAGTCGCAGACCGCCTTCGCTATTTGCGCCGCCATGTTCCAGAACTCGAACTCGCTGCCCATCGCGCTCGTCCAGTCGCTCGTCGGCGTCGTTCCAGGCCTCAAGTGGGGCAAGGACGACTCGAAGGACGCTATGCTCGGTCGCGCTCTGACCTACATGGTGCTGTACTCGACGCTGGGCATGGTGCTGCGTTGGTCGTACGGTGTCAAGCTCCTTGCGTCCGCGGACGACGAAGAACCTGCACTTCCCCTCACCTCCGAGCCCGAAAGCCACGTTCAGAACGTCGTGGTCGCGTCGCCGACTACTACCACTGGACAGCCTATCAATATGCTCTCCCCTGAGCCCATGGGGCGCGAAGACCCCTTCAACTCTCTCGAGGCGCTGGCTGCAAGCAACCGCGCCTCTGTTCCCGTTCCCCGTGGTCTCAGTGGGGCCCGCGGTCGCGCCATGAGCGGTGAAAGCGAGCAGCGCCCTGGCTCCCTCCCAATCTCGCCTAGCCCTCTGGGCCGGAGCCCGCGCGCGTTCTCTCCCGCTGGCCCTCGCCAGCGTCGCGGAAGTGCGCTGAGCCGTTCATCGAGCCGCTCGCGCCTGCCGTCTAGAGCCGACTCGGGGCGCGACTTCTGGAACTTGCCTGCCGAGCAGACGCGGCGGCATGAACTAGTGGACTTGGCTGAGGACAGCTCTGAGTCCGAGGCCGAGGACGCAGACGAGTGGGGTGGACCTGAAATGCCTCTACTCCGACGCCGCATCTCCCCCTCGGCGCCATTCGTGAAGCGCGCCGTGGTTCGCGCTCGCGTAGTTGCCCTCAACGCGTGGAATGGGTTCTACGCTTTCATGACGGTGCCGACTTGGGCCGCCCTCATCTCAATCATTATCGCGCTCATTCCGCCCCTCCAAGCCTTTGTGTCGGGCATACACCCCTTTGTCGCCGCCATCAAGTCGGCCGGCCAGTGCTCCATCCCTGTGACGTTGGTCGTTTTGGGTGCGTTCTTCTACACGCCCCCGCAGGCCGTGCAGCTCCCCGACGAGATTGACCGCACGCTCAAGGGCTACATCGAGCGCAAGATCCGCGCTCTCAAAACGCGCGAGAAGAGCAACGCGTACGAGGGCGAGAACCGCGCCGTTTTCGTCGCTGTCGTGTCCCGCATGATCCTCGTGCCTCTCCTCTTCCTCCCCGCCATTGCGTACATCGCGCGCACCGACCCCTTCCCCGCTGCGGCGGACCCCGTGTTCATTCTCTGCTCCGTGCTTCTTGTGTCGAGCCCACCCGCGCTCACCCTTGCGCAGCTCACCCAGGCTGCCAGCGGGGATGCGTTCGAGCGCCTCATCTCCAAGACAATCTCTTGGTCGTACGCCGTCCTTACCCCGCCCCTCACGATCGCGTACGTCGTCATTGGGCTCGTGTTCTCCAAGCTGTAGCCCCCGTGCAGCTCGCGTGTGTCAGGTCTTGCTCTGTTCTCCTTCAGTGACAGTAGTAGTGTAGCCGTTGCGTGTCGTGTCGTCGCGGTAGCCTTTATGCATAGCTTATTCCAACAGCGAGTGGAAATGTGCACGCCGTAATGTTTAACCCGCGTCAAGCTATGATGTACAAGGTATGCATGTAGCTCGTCTATAGCCCCGGACTCTAGGAACTCTAGTGACGCCAGCTGTTTGTTAGCGCGCTCATCGGGACTGCTCACATCTTGACCGTCTTGTCGCGCCCCCCGCTGACGACCTTGTCCGCAACGAAATCGACGCAGTAGACCTCGTCTGTATGTCCCGGCAGGTCGTTCTTGATCTTGAAAGTCTTGAGGTTCCACAACTTGAGCGTCGAGTCCTTGCTCGCCGACACGAGCATCCGACTATCCGCGCTCCACGCGACGCGGTACACAGCCGCGACGTGCCCGCGCAAGCTGGCAACGAACTTGCCCGTCTTCCCCTCCCACAGCTTCACAGCGTTGTCGAAGCCTGCACTCGCTACAAACCGACCATCGGGGCTGAATGCCACATGGCACACCTGCTTCTGGTGGCCCGTGAGACGCGCCGCCGGCTTCTTCGGGTTGCCCGATACTGGCGGCGCAGCCTGGTCCGGCCACAAGAACAGCGTGTGATCATCGCTTCCCGTGATCAACGTCTCGGGTTGGGTCGCCACATGGGCGCGGTAGCGCGCTAGCGCGCGTGCCTTCGCCTCGTTCACGTCGGCCGGGTGCTTGCCCGTGTGGTCGTATGGCCCGGTGCGGAGGACGAAGTCGGTCGACAACGCTACGGTGTTTACCCAGTGCGCGTGCTCGTTGAGCGTCCTGATCAACTTGCCCTGGAGTTAGACGTCGCTTAGCTCAGTTACTCACGTCGACACCGCTCCACACCTTGACTGTCCGGTCCGACGAACCGGTGTAGATGACATTCTCACCGCCCCACCGCACAGCGTTGACGCTCGCCGCGTGCCCCGTCAACACGAACTCGAGCTTGCGGTTGCCTGTGTTCCACACGCGCACCGTCCCGTCCTTGCTCGCGCTCGCCAACCTCTGCGTGTCCCCCTTTGCGAGATGGAGAGGCTCCCACGCAAGCGACGTGATCCACTTGGTGTGCCCCGTCATCGGCTGGCTCCCCTTGCCCGTCTTGGCGTCCCACACGCGCACCTGCCCGTCGTGCCCGCCCGTCGCGAGCGTCTTCTCCATCCCATCCCACTCCGTGCAGAGCACCCAGCCGCGGTGGCCCGCGAGCGTATGCTTCGGCGTCTCCGTCTCCATGTCCCAAATCCGTGCCGTCGCGTCGCCCGACCCCGTCGCGGCATACCGCCCAGTAGGCGACTGGGCCGTGCACAAAATCGGGCTCCCGTGCCCGCTCAGCGTCGCGCTACACCGTCCGACTCCGCGCACACGGAACACGGCCTGCGGCTCGGCCCACAGCTCGAACACATCTTCCGGCGAGAACTTGTTCGACGCCAGCGCGTCCGCGTTGATGCTCTCGTGGATCGCGACCCGCGCCCCCTCCTTCGGCAACAAGTGGAACGCGTACGGCATCGGGTCCTCGTCCTGCGGTCAGCTCCTCCTACAGTTATTCTCACCTCTCCCTTCAGCTTGTTGATGAGCATCTGCAGCGCATCCCGCCCCGTATCGGCTGGGAGGTTGATCGCGGGGCCGACGCTCTCGCCCGTCTCGGCATTCTTAAACTGCACCACGATACTGGGGATCGGCGCCGCGGGCTCGGGCACCACGGGCGGCGCAATACTCTTGGAGTACGCGCTCTTCTGGCGTTTCGGCGGGGGCAGCTGCGTCGCCATGTTGTGTTGGTAAGTCTGCGGGGGATTGGCGGTGCTAAACCTGCACCTGTGGTATGAGCACGGCCTGGTCGGTGGCGATTGAACTTTCTGAAAGTTGCTCAGGCACCATAATAAACTCACGTGACCTTTTAGGGGGTCCGGATAAAGACGCGAAATGTCGATCCAAGGAGCATGTCGAGCGGTCGAGTCGAGCGATGTGGCCGCATCTCGCTCTCTCAATCACCAACACCTCAAAATGATCGACCTTCTGCACTGTGCGTACAGCTGGCCTTTCTGTGGTCAGATTGCGCCACGTCTAGCTCGCTCGCTTGCCTCCTCTCCGTTTCCCGAAGCTCGCTCACACTCAGTCCAGGCGGACAAGGGCGGAAACCCCGAGATCGTGCGCGAGTCGCAGCGCAAGCGTGGCGCCCCCGTCGAGCTCGTCGACGAAGTCATCGAGATTTTTGCGCAGCACAAGTCTGGTGAGTTGCGGCGCCGCCCAGCCGGAGGTGGTTGTAGGAGCTCCACGCCGTCGGGAGCAAGCTTGGACGGTGCTGATCCGTGCTCTCCACACGTCAACCAACACTGCGGCACTTTGACGATTGTCGCTCTCACGCATTCTTTTTCACCTGCGCCCTTGTTTCACGGCTTGCTTCGCCCCTCCGGTGTGCGATCGCCCGCTACCTCCGTCCTCATCATCAAACCCGCCTCATCGCGCGGAAACGCCACATCGATGCGCCCGACCTGTCTCGCACGCATATGGACTCGCGCTCCTGATGCTATACCTCAACCCGCTACCGTTCGCGTGACGACCCCGTTTGCCCTCTCACGCCTCTCATCTTTGCTCTCGCTCTCGCCCTGCAGCCCAGTATGAGATGGAGATCGAGCGCCGCGCTGTCAACGCGCTCCAGAAGGAGATCGGACAGATCAAGAAGGCCAAGGGCGACGCGTCGGAGCTCCTCAAGAAGAAGACGGAGCACGACAAGAAGATTGCCGAGCTCACGGCCAAGGCCGCTGAGCTCGCCCGCATCCGTGACGCCAAGGCTTCGCGGATAGGCAACATTGTGGACGCAAAGAACCACGTCTCGCTGACTGAGGTGAGTAAGAGCGCATCGATGACGAGCCATTGTGCTGACGACAACTCGTGTCCTCGCCTTACGCTGCTCTTGCTTTATCTCCACTCTCCAGGACGACAACCCGGTTCTCGACCTCTGGCACCCGGAGCCCAACCACAAAGGCAACTCTGAGCAGCTCACCACCGCCGACAAGCCTGCCAACATCCTTCCCCACCACGAGGTCATGTACCGTCTTGAAGCGTTTGACATGGAGCGCGGTAACAAGATCAACGGCCACCGCGGTTACTTCCTGACCAACGACGGTGTCGACCTTAACCAGGCTCTCATCAACTACGGCCTCGACTTCCTGCGCAAGCGTCAGTACAAGAAGATTCAGGCGCCCTTCATGATGCGCAAGGAGATTATGGCTGCCACTGCTCAGCTCGAGGAGTTCGACGAGGCGCTGTACAAGGTCAGCGCCAACGACGGCAACGAGGAGAACGACCGCTACCTTATCGCTACCTCTGAACAGCCAATCTCCGGCATGCACGCCGACGAGAACATCGACCCCAAGTCGCTCCCTATCCGGTGAGTCGTTGAGATTGTCTGCAATTTGTTCATGCGGCTAACGTGCAGCTATGCCGGATACTCGACCTGCTTCCGGAAAGAGGCTGGCTCGAGTGGTCGCGACACGTGGGGCATCTTCCGTGTGCACCAGTTCGAGAAGGTCGAGCAGTTCATCGTCTGCCACCCTGATGAGTCTCCCGCCATGCTTGACTCGATGGTTGAGATCGCCAAGGAGTTCTACCAGAGCCTGGAGATTCCGTACCGCGTCGTCAACATTGTCTCTGGCGGATTGAACAACGCCGCCTCCATAAAGTACGACCTTGAGGCCTGGTTCCCCTTCCAGGGCGAGTACAAGGAGCTCGTCTCGTGCTCGAACTGCACCGACTACCAGTCGCGCTCGCTCAACGTCAAGCTTGGCTTCAAGAAGAAGGATGAGAAGGCTGGCTTCGTTCACATGCTCAACGGCACGCTGTGTGCGACCGAGCGCGCTCTCTGCTGCCTTGTGGAGAACTACCAGACGCCTGAGGTGAGTTTGCAGGGTGCCAACCTGTGCCATATGTGCAGTTTGGTGCTCTGTGTGGCCATCCCGTCCTGCAATGCTAACGCCCAGGGCATCAAGATTCCCAAGGCGCTCCAGCCTTACATGCAGGGCCGTGACTTTATCCCCTTCACGGCTGAGCTGCCGACCAAGAAGGCTCCAGCCAAGAAGTAGAGTGGTAGATGGAGATCTAGCATGTTAGTATATCAACATAGCCTGTCGAGAGGTCGAGAGGTGCAATGCAAACGCTTTGCGTGTGCGCATGACCAGTGGTGGAGTGCGGATTCGGAGCTCGGCTTCGGCACGGCCGCCTCGGCTTTGGGTGGGCCACACGTGGCGGCTTCAGTCAGCAATTCTGTTCCGCCCCTCCTGACCCGTCCTAACGCCCCGCCCGCAGCCTAATTGCCTATTCCCTGCCTGCATGACCCGGTTACAAACCAGCTATCCCAGCTCTCGCCACCTCCAACTCCTTTTCCACCCCTCCCACCGCTCCTCCGTCTCCGTCTCCGACCCGCATCCTACTTCTTCTCCTCCCATCTCATCTCGTCTCTCACTTTCCTCCTCCTCTCGCCACCTCCCTCGTCTCCAGGAGCACCCCGTGCACCTGCATCTGTGCATCGCACTAACTTCTGACACCACCGAAAAGTTCATCCCGAACACTATCCACCATGTCTCTCCGCCTCCTCACCCGCCGCATCGTCGCCACTCCGTCGCGCCTGCGTCCCCTCGCCCGGACGCTCGTGACGCCTTCTCAGCCCGCAACGGCAAGCGTTACCGAGGCCCCCAAGGCCGATGCCGAGGCCCCAGCTGGTGAGTTGTGATGGTGGCGATGAAATTGGAAATTGGCCGAAGACGAACGTGGTAAGGTCTTTGAGGCTGGTGGGCACCAGTGGCACCGAAGAGTGGCGAGAGAAGGTCTGTTGGGGGACCGCGAGGGCGCCCGGACGCGCTGGTGGGAAGTGGACGGAGTCGCTGCTTCCCCGGCCCGTCGTGCACCGTCCCACCACTTCGAAGCAGCTCCACATCTCTGAGACCAATAGCTCTGTCTCTGGCCTTCAGTCATCTTCGAACCTCCTGCTTCAAATCGCGCTGCCTTCTCCTTTTGCCAGGCGCTAACCGATCTCAGAATCCGCTCCCAGCGGCTTCAAGCTCCAGCCCCGTCAGTCCCGCGGCGGCTTCGTCAATGGCCGGCCAATCTACCTCGACGCCCAGGCGACCACGCCAATGGACCCCCGTGTACTCGACAAGATGCTGCCCCTCCTCACGGAGCAGTACGGCAACCCCCACTCGCGCACACATGCGTACGGATGGGAGGCCGAGGAGCTTGTCGAGAACGCCCGTGAAGAGGTCGCCAAGCTCATCAACGCCGGACCCAAGGATATCGTCTTCACCTCCGGTGCAACTGAGAGCAACAACCTGATCGTGAAGGGCATCGCCAACTTCCACAAGAGCAAGAAGAAGCACATCATCACCACACAGACCGAGCACAAGTGTGTCCTCGACTCGTGCCGCTTCCTTCAGTCGCAGGGCTTTGAGGTGACATACTTGCCCGTCGGGCCGACGGGCCTCGTCTCCCTCGACGAGCTCAAGGCCGCGCTTCGGCCGGACACATCGCTGGTCTCCATCATGTTCGTCAACAACGAGATTGGTGTCATCCAGCCCATTGCTGAGATCTCGCGCGTGATCAAGGAGTACGCCAAGGAGCAGGGTGTCACCAAGCCTCTGCTGCACACGGACGCGGCGCAGGCTGTCGGCAAGGTTCCTGTCGACGTTGAGGCCATGGGCATCGACGTCATGTCGATCTCTGGCCACAAGATCTACGGGCCGAAGGGCGTTGGTGCGGCGTACGTCCGTCGTCGTCCGCGTGTCCGTCTCGAGCCCCTCATCCACGGCGGTGGCCAGGAGCGTGGTCTGCGTTCCGGTACCGTCCCCGCCCCTATCGTCGTCGGCCTCGGTGAGGCAGCACGCCTCGCGCGCGAGGAGATGGCTGCCGACCACGCTCACGTGTCTCGGCTCAGCAAGCGCCTGGTCGAGGGCATCAACGAGAACGTCGGGTACGTCGTGCGCAACGGCGACCCCGAACACGGGTACCCCGGCTGCGTGAACCTGTCGTTCGCATACGTCGAGGGCGAGTCGCTGCTCATGGCGCTCAAGGACGTCGCCCTGTCCTCCGGGAGTGCGTGCACGTCGGCATCGCTTGAGCCATCGTACGTTCTCCGCGCGCTCGGCGCGTCCGACGACATGGCCCACTCGTCGCTGCGCTTCGGCATCGGCCGCTTCACCACGGACGAGGAGATTGAAATGGTCATCAAGCGCATCACCCAGGTCGTGACCAAGCTCCGTGACATGAGCCCACTGTGGGAGATGGCCGTCGAGGAGGGCATCGACCTGAGCACCATCGAGTGGTCGGGCCACTAGTTTGATAGGGTTAGCTTGTACGCTGTATAGTACGAGGATGCAATCGGTCCATGCAATGTACAACAAATGGCTAGACAAGGGCTGGGGCGAGAACCGGCGGCGAAGAGCTATGGCGTGGTCACACGCGCTCCACCTCGCGCTCGATCACTGCCTCGAGCTCGCTCACAAGCGCCTCGCGTAGGTCGGCTTTGACGAGTCCTGGCGTCAGATTGTCCTCGCATAGAGGTGGAGACGAGCGCAACGCCATCTGCTATCCGCTCAGGTCATCAGCGCAGGCCGTAGGGCCCTGTAAACAGATGATGCCGGTCGCATGCGCCACACACTCCCACATCGTACTCACGCTCAGCCTCCGGCGTGACCTCAGCCACGAGCTGGGCAAGACTCGGCGCGCCGGCCTTGCGCGCCTTTTCCTTCGCGAGATCCTTGAGGTCGTCATCGAACCCGCTCTCCTCAAGGCGCTGGCGGAGGAGGCGTGCGATGCTGGTGTGAGCGGCGCGCGGCGATTGTGGAAAAGCAATGTGTGCAGCGAGTAAAAGAGCAGCGTGTGCAGCATGCGAAAGACGCGCTCGACGTGGAGCGGGCGATCGAGCTCAACGCGCTGAGACGGTGGAAGCAACGAGCAGGTGGTGATGGGATATGAAGCCTTGTGGAAAGGGGCAGATGCGAGCTGCAGACGGATGTACTTACCGCTCCCAGTCGCCTGTCTCGAGCAGACGCTTGCGCACAGCGTCGAGCGTCTCGGCGTCGGTTGACATTCTGAGGAAGATGATGGAGATGAGTGAGATGCTGAATTGAGGAGATGTAGGCTGTGGAGGTGTGGAGAGGTGGAGGTGTGGAGGTGCCAATGTAATGACAACCGCTTGGCGAGTACTCTGGACGCGAACACCGCTGCGCGCGTTAAGGCTGGTTGGTTACAGCTAGTCGAGCAGAAAAGAGCGAGGCGCACAACGGTGCGGCGAGTGAACGGAGCTGTTGATAAACACAACAGACCGGCCTTGACCGGATGTCCATCGATCCGCTGAACATACCGCAGCATTTCACCGCAGCTAACTCCTAAGGGAAGACATTCATTCAGCCCCATACATTATATATGTCTATATATCACAGCCGACGCACCGGCGCCTGCGGGAAGCGCTTCTTAGGCGGCACCGGCGGTGGGCTCATGGCTCGCATCGCGCCAAGCCCCTGTCCGTTCATACTGGCCACCGCACCCCCGGCCGCGACCAACGCGGCGGCGGCGCCAGAGCTCACCCGCTTTGGGTTCAGCGGGGAGAGGCCAGAGGCGCCGCGCGTTGGCATGCCTGGATCTGTGCCGGCGCGGCTTGTGTTCTGCGGTTTGCGCCGTGGTGCTGGCAGGCCGGGAAGCCCGGGTTTGCCCAGCCCAGCAGCTGGTGCTGTTGTCGTCGTGGAAGGTGTAAAGTGCAAATTGGCCATTTGATCCGAGGCCTGGGCAGCCCGGCGCGCGCGCTCGTGTCGATTCTGCACAGCACGGAAGTGTGAAAGCAGATCCTGCCATTGTATCACGTCCTTGCGCACAGCGGAACGCCCGCCTGTTGGTTGTGCGTAGGATGGCTTTGAGGGTGGTGGGGTGTACCCAGACGCGTTCACGACCGCCAATCGCGCGCGCAGTGAGACAAAGGCACTGCTCTGTGGGAGAATCATGAGAAGACCGTATAAGCACTTCCCTAAATAGGGGTATTTGTCGGGCTCCAGAAGTTGCAGGCGGAGGTCTACGGTAAGCAGAGTTCAACCAACCTCATACTTGTGAATACAGGACTCTCAATCAGCATCACAAGCTTGTCAATTTGGACGAGGAGAGGTACAGTGAGTTCGAGTTCGGCGCTGCATGTTAGCTAAAAGCGCCCTCGATGTCTCTCACAAGATCTGCAGCACATTTGACGCGTGCTCATACGCCTGTGCCAGGAGACAAAGAGCAAACGCTGCGACCGCATTGTGACACCACGACCGGTAGAGCGAGGTGAAGAGCATTTGCCCATCCTTAGAGTCGAGATTCTTTAGGCGGCGGCGGAAGTCGGACAGTTCTGGCGATGTGATGAGGATCATGTTGAGCTTGACAACCATCATACTCGCAAACTCCAAGTCCTGACGTCAACATTTCTCCCTGTTTCGCGAGCTTACATCGTCTTTCTCAAGGATCTCAGCCAGTGTGCGGAAGATCTTCTCCGCATTGAGGTGCAGACACAGTTGCCGGATGATAAGACTGCCACGAGTCTCTAGCAGACGCCTGTCGGTGCTGAATAGCTCGAGAACATTAACCATGAAGCTTCGGAAGTACGAGTCCTCGGAAGACGACGAGATCTGCGCGAGAAGCTGCAGGTCGTGCTTTACGACATCTTCCGAGGGATCAGAGAGAGTCTTGAGAAGGGCTGGGAAAGTGCCACTGTCACGCGAAAGAATCTTGTTCGGTGCCTTGAGGTGCAGCATGAGCAGCCACTCAAGGGCGGCGATACGCGTTTCGGGGTTCTCGCTCATGAATTGCAGGATTAGCATGTTGACTGTCTCATGCACGTCAAATGGGTCGTCGTCGACTTCGGCCACCTCTGCGGGGGAGGTGGGCCGCACATTGTGAGCCTGCAGCTGCAGTGCAATGCTATTGGTGATCGGCTGTGACTCGGGAGACTGAGGTCTGGTGCGGACCTTGGAAACTGGGGGGAAGTCACTTGTCGCAGGAGTCACCGGCTCTGAAGAGGGCATGGGTGGGCCAGCTTTTATGCGTAAAGTCGATCCGGGCGCCGAGGGCGAGCTTCCACTGTCGAGTGGGTCCGCAATTGGCGCTGCCAAGCGATCCGGCGATTCCGAGAGGCCACCGTCATTCTTTCCACCGCCTTGTGGAGAAGAGCCAGCCGTGTTCAGAGTTGAGCCAACACTCGCCACTGTCTGGCCGTCCTTCTGGACACTGGCAGCATTGTTGACAGCAGGGGTCCCTTGTAGTGGCAGACTCTGAATGACAGCGATGAGCCTTCGGTTGGTCTCAGTCGCGGCGAGCTTGATGTGGCGACTGTCTGTCAGTTTCTGGAGCAGGTTGCGAGCTCACTTTAATGACGCGAGATTTGGGAGGATGGCGCACACCATGCGAGGAGTGAAGGCAACAACGGTGGTTTGAGCAAACTCCAAGAAAGTAAGGATCCAGTCCATGGCAGTTGTCTGGACGAGATTATCTCCTTGTCAGTGTCGTCACATAAGAGCGACTCACCTGGGTAGGACAAATGATCGACAATGATATCCATGATCGCCGCATATTCGACGACCGTGCTTTGCCCTGGCTCCCACTCGCCCGAGCCCTCGCCCTCCCACTCGTTGTCGTCATCGACGTCTCCATTCTCGCCTTCGTCGTCATCAATGGCTGACTCGTTATACTCGATCGGGATCGAGTCGCTCGTTGTACGGCTATTGCGTTTCTCCAGCCTCTTCTTGTGATCTGCCTCAAGCATCTTATCTTGCTGGGTGGCAATGTGGCGGATCTCGCGGCGAAACTCAGCAAGGAGGTTCTCGGTGGCACCCCTCACGTCGCCGTTCGTGTCGGCGAGATACTTGAGGAGGCCGTCCAGGAATTCGGGGAGGTACGAGACCAGTTCGAGGTCAGGGACGGTGTTGAGAACAATTAGCCACGATACGAGGTGCATCCGCGTGTAAGGCGAGATGGCGTAGACGCGTTCCGTGAGGAGCGGCATGAAGCGTTCAAGAGAGAAAGCCCGACGGTCTCCGTGCTCTTTATCGAGCGTGTGTGTGGTGAGCCTGTCTGCATCGCCTGGACGTATAGGGCTCGAGCCGGGCTGACCATCACCCTTCCCCGGCGAGTCCTCGGATGCGTCATGTAACTCCGCCTTGGCATTCTGAGGCGTGCGACTTGGGTCGTCGTCCTGGTACACCGAAACATACGTTGCCGCAGCATCCGCGACAATATCCTTCATCAGGCGGTCAAGTAATTCCGCGCCATTCTTGACGGACATTTCAGAGTCAGATGAGAGCTAAAGTCAGCTCCCACCGCCATTGAAACCTACCTTGCTCAGTGCATCGAACACTTCGTTAAAGTATGTCAAGATCTCGCCTTTGCTGACCTTTGCGCTGCTGTCAGGAACAGTCAGGAATCGTCGTACATGTTGTATAAGCTCTCGCATGCGTGGTAGCGCACGCGGCTCTCCGTGTCCTGGAAACACTGGAGAACAGGCGGAATGATGACGGGAAGGAAGGGTGCTACGTCCTGCCCGAGGGCGATGGCCGTGGCAGCTAAGCCAATCAGTCCTAAATGTCAGCAAATGCTCTGACTCCAAAGAGCGTACCGCCGTTGCGCGTGTGCATGGCGTTGTTGGCCGCAAACATGCCACATAGCTGGTCAATGATATTTGAGATGCGCGCTCCATCGGACGATAGTACTTGCCTGCGGGCGTCAGCGGCCATATGGTGCTTCCAGCTCACTTCTCGAGTTCTAATGCAGCGGCCTTGCGGCGCTCGTAGCTGGGGTTAGTGTTGTTGGTTGACCTGATCGTACATCTTGTCATTGAGACCTGAACCATGTCAGCTCGACGGATACACGAATCCTGTCGTTGTGCTCACCTCTAAGGATTGACGGATCTGTGAGCGTTAGCTGGTTCCAAACTTAAGTCACAGAACATACCCATCGTGATCGAGACGTTGGACGCTCAAGGAAGCGCGTGCGAAGGCAGCGCTATCGCTGAGGTATAGTGTTTGTGTTGGGTGAAAGTGCAACTGTAATAGCAGTGTAATAGTCGTGAGAAGTCGTGAGGCGGGAGTGCGAGAGGGCGAGAGCAAGAAAATCGAGATAGAGATCTTGAGTGCAGAGGAAAGAATGAAGAGTCGAGATGCGAGATGTCGAGATGATGGAAGTGACTGGGATGGAAGTGAACGTCGTTCTGTTGGGTGGTGCGTGGTGATGCGGGGAGACTTGCCGGACGCGGGGAAGCCAAATAGGATGCTATTACAAACTCCCGAGACTGGTCTAATCAGGTGCCTGAGTGCACAGGGTGCGAAGGTGAGTTCCAGGCGGCGAGGCGATCCAGGTAGGGTAGGAAAGGGGGAGAACCGCACAACGGGCTTGCCGCTGTTGGAATGGCCGTCGCCGCCATCCATCATCATCCATCCATCAATCTCCCACTTTCACTTCCTCTCTCACTCTCATCCCACGTCGTACCTTTACATCCACATTTTACTCAACACCAGGCCTTGGACGCCGTCCTGTTTCTCACCCTCGCGTCCGTGTAGCCGTCTCCGCCCCGTTGCGCCTCGGACATTCCAGCCGCCCCTCGCGGCCCCCTCCGCCATCAGCATGGACCACATGCCCGAGGCGTCTTCCTCCACTGCGCCGCCACCCGTCGTCCACCAGGCCACCTTTGTGTTCGACTCTGGCTTGTCTCGAGAGCGCTACACCGAGCTCATCGAGCACAATGGCGTCGTTCATAAGATCGTGCAGCGCCTGATGCAAAAGTCCGGCAATAATGAGCAGTCTGTACGTATGCACAGCCCCGTCGCATCCGCCTTGCATCCGCATCCACCAGCTAACCTTTGCAGCTCCGCCTGGCGTTGATCATCACCGCCCAAGAAGCACCGTATCACAATCCACGAGCGCTGTACTCGGTAATTCCTGCGCACCGCCAGGACTTTCGACGCCCCTCAGCCTTTCTGACCTCGCTCCCGGCTCTGGTGCGACACTTTGCATCCCATGCAGCTCTTGTCCCGCCCAAGCCTGGGTCGATTCTCACGGATATCTGGGACATCGAGGATGGCGGGGGCCTCAGCATCACCGCGAACGAGCCGGGGCTAAGCGACCGCTTTCTTGCGGGGCTCGTTGGCGGCCTTGAGGTACAGATATGAGCCGGTATTGTGCTAACGCGTCAGCTTCTGGAACACCATTCGCTTCCCAGCTCGATATCCCCACCAAATGCCCTGCAGCAGATGACACCCGAGTCCGGGCATCACATGCTATCAATGTACTATGCGGCACTCCGATCACAATCTCCAGAGCCTCGCAAGCAGTACCTTGTCGTGTTCACCGACAAGGCGAGCCTCGCGGCGGTTGACGCCGACACCCGGGGGTTAACCAAGTGGGCGCGTGACGACAGCTCCGCAATGTACGATGACGTGGACTGGGATAACATTGGCGACCGCTGCCGAAGCAAGGACATCGCTTGCTCGTGTGTCATATTGGGCTCGCCAGAAGCAGGGAGGTCGACGACGGCGCCCTTCGGGCGAGATGGGTCGACTGTTGAGAAGTTGCGCAAGATGTGCCAGGCGAGCAGCCCTGAGGGGCCGGACGACGCGTGGTTCGCGCTCCCCTCAGACTCGGATGTGTACTTGACGGAGATGTCTGTCAAGAGTACGGCACCGCCGCCACCACCGGTCCCCGCTCCACCCGAGATCAAACCTGTTCTCCCAACGGCGGCATCCGCACAGCCTTCCGCCAATGGCCCCACGGAAGCGCAAATCCAGTACCAGCAGGCGCAAACGGCGGCTATGGCTGTCAAAATGGCGCAGGCTGCGCAAGCGCAGGGACCAAACGGCGGTCCATTCCAAGCTTTAGCGCAACTCATTGCGAGTGGACGACTGGATCCAGCGGTCATGACCCAGCTAGCAGGCAACATCCGTTCCACCGACCTGGCTGTTCGTCAGAGGGCGATGGCGCAGCTAAGCCAGCTCATGGTTCAGGCCCAGAACAAGAATCTGGGAGCTTCAGGTGCCACCGCCGCTGGCAATGTCAAGAGTACAAACAACCAGGCTCAGGCCAATGGCGCCAATGGCAGCGCCGGCACTAACGCCCCAGCGCTGCCTGCTGCTGCCAACCCTTCGAGCACCGGAGTTGCTGCTGGCACTGCACAGATCCCTTCAGGAGCGCCCCCACAGAACATTTCCATTCCCAACCTCAACCCGGCGGGAATGACTCAGCAGCAGTTTGTGGCTGCCATGCAAGCAAGGCAGCGTGCGGTGCAGGCGCACACGAACCAGCAGATGTCTCAGCAGCAGCAGAACCAGCTCAGCCAGCTGCAAGCGCAGCAGGGTAACCAGCAGAGCAACACGGGCCAGAACGCGAATGCGACCCAGAGCCAGAACCAAAGCCAGTCGCAGAACGCCCAGGCGACGGCGCAAACGACACAGCAGCTGCAGAGCCAGCAACAGGCGCTGCTCTTCCAACGGCAGCAGTTGCTGGCGCAACAGCAACAGCAGCAGCAGCAGCAGCAGCAGGCTCAGCAGGCTTCGCAGCAAGGTCAACAGACTCAGCAGGGCCAGCAGCCTCAGCCACAGAATCCCCAAGCACCCAGCGCGCCACAGTTGCGGCCTCCGGCTTGGTCGGGCACCATCAGTTGGATGCTCAAGGGTCAGGAGCGCAGCATCATTCCAGTGCAATGCTCGGTGCTCAGCCAGACAATGAACCCAGCAGATCTGATGCTGCAGCAATGGCCTTCGAGTGAGCGAGTGCATTGAATGTTGAGCTAACGGCAGACCTGGAGATGTCAGCTATGACGCCGATGAACATGGCCGACCTGCAGACGTATGTGAAGGCGCACAATGCGCCGTGCGTGCTCTTCAGCGTCTCTCCACAAGCAAACCCGGATGCCAAGGCGAAAATGAACTACCTAGCTGCAAGCCTGTTGGCGAAGCAGCTCGCCGCTTTCATTAAGTTTGGCAACCCTGGGTGCGGCATCCTGCTGGTCTCGGCCAGTAGGGGTCCACAGACGCCTGGCAATGAGCAGAACAACCGTCTACTCGGCGTTGTTTGTCTGAAGCAGCCGTATCCTGCTCTCAACCCGGCCGCCGCCGCCGCGAACCCGAGCACGGCCCAAGCCCAGGTCCCTCAGCAGCCTGTGACAATCAATGGCAGCGTCAACAACGGCGCATTCCAGAACGTGCCCAACATCTCACCGCAATTCCTGCAGAACGCCCAGCTCCAGAGTCAGCTGCTGGCGAACCAGGCGCGTCCCACCCCAGCGCACTCGCGCACACCGAGCCAAAGCCAGCCGACACAGCCGCCCGCGCGTCCGAGCACACTGCAGCAGTTCGCCAACCAGCCAAACTTGCAGACGCTGCAGCAGCTGCAGATGCGGCAGTTGGCCGCCACACAGCAGCCTCCCCGTCCATCAAACATGACGTTGTCCGAGGCCCAAAAGAATGGCATCATCAAGCTGCTGCGCGAAGCCAACATCAACGTGGGCGAGACGTTCGATCCGAGCCAGATACCCCGCGAAACCCTCACTCAGATTATTCAGCAAGCCAAGGACAAGACGAAGCAAAACATGCTTCAGAAGATGCAGAGCCAGGCGAACCAATCGACCTCGAATCCGACATTAGGCCTTGGAGGCCAGCCCAACCAGAGTCTGGGCGGCCTTGGCAACCTCAACGCACAGGGAGGTGGCAACATGAACCTACCGGCAGGCTACAACTTCATGAACCACATGAACCTGCAGAATCTCGGCAGCTTGGGCGGTATCAACATGGCGCAGCTCGCCATGAACCAGCAGAACCAGAATAATGCCAACCAGGGCGGCACGCAGCCGCAACTAAATGCGGCTACGCTTGCGAGCCTCGGCCAGATACCCGGATTCAACCTCCAGCAGTTCCAGGCGGCGCAGGCTGCACAGGCGGCCCAGAACGCGCAGAACAACAACAACGGGCAAGGCGCCCTCGGCCTCTTTGGGCAGACGGGGCTCGGTAGTCTCAACCCCACCATGTTGAACCAATTCCAACAGCAGCATTAGAGATACATTGTAGCACAGTAGGCGTACCTATGGATGACATGTACAGTTATGAGTCAGATCCTGGGGCATAGAGAGACCCCGATGTGCTCGCAGTGCAAGTTCGTGAGAGCGGCTGTTTTGTCGGATTCAAAGGCACCATGCCGTCTGGACTGATGACAACACTTCTCATGACAAGCCAAACATGCTATGGCTACGATGCGACAACCTCGGTCGCAATGCTTTCTCGCTCCCTCTCCTCCACCTCTGAATTCTCGGACTCGGGTCGTCCCATCACTAATGGTACCTTGAGGTCGGCGCTCAATGAGTCCGGAATCTCGGATACGGGCGTCGGTGCTAGTGGCTCCGAGAAAGTTTCTGTGGGAGGTGCAGCCGGCTCGGCAGCGGTTTGTGATGAATGCTTGGCAGGTGCAGCCGCAACTGTGACATTGGGCGCGACCTCCGACGCGGAGGGCTCGGGAAGGGCAAACTCAGCCTCCGTAGGAAGCGCTGCTGGATTCGCCGTGTGGACTGCTGGAGGAGGGATTGAGCCAGCCGAAGAGTCGATGTCCATGTCGACCTCCATGGCATCGTCCTCGACTACCGCAGTTGCCAATGTGGCCTCGGCGGGGGCGGTCACGATTTCTGCAGCAAGTGCAGCGGGGGGCTCATCAACGTCCATTGCCTCGGCATCGAGAACGGGCTCATCCACTGTGACCTCCTCAGCAACCGATGGCTGCACTGGAGATTGGCTGGACATCTCGAGTGGCTCCTCGACCATGGGCTCAGTGAGCTCCGCAGCGGGTCCTCTCGCAGAGGGGACCTCCGGCGCAGCCTCCGTCTCGTCGACCGAGACTTCTTGCGGCGGCTCGGCCTTGATGTCTTCGACGTCCGCGCTCTCCTCGACCATTCCCTCCTCGATCACGACTGTCTGCTCAGACATTGCCACAACCGCATCCGTCTCCGGTGCAGCATCCATGTCCAGTTCATGTTCAGCCATGACGCCGTGCTCGCGGAGGTCGCCTGGCTCGGGTGTGGGTTCGAGCTCCGGCGTAGGTTCGGGCTCGGGCGTAGGCGGCTGCGGGCGTGGCTGAGCGAATGGCAGACTTTCGAAATCTCCGGTGTTGAACGCCTCCTGGAAAGAGATCAAGTCTCGTGTGAACTCATCCAGCAACTGAGACGCAGTGGGTGGCGGCGGGCCAGGTGGTAGGGGCTGAACCGAGGGTCTCTCGGCCGCCTCCCCGTTCGGCTGCGAGCCTTCCCGCCCGTCTTCACCGAGTGGTGGTAACCTTGGACGTGGCGCAGACGTGGGCGGTATGCCAATCTTCGCTGCGCGCTCGGCTCGACGAGCCTCCTCGTCCTGCACGCGCCCAACGTACTCCAGTAGATTGCGCACACGCTTGCGCATTTCAGCGGTCGTGATCCGCTTGACCGGATAGCGCACGCGAGTGGGGGGCTCGCGGTGGTTGACAGCCTCGCCCTCCACCTCGCGCAAGGGCATATCGTCAGGCAGAATGAGCCTTCCCTCTTCATCTCGCTCGTCGGTAAACGGGCCGTATCTCTGATTCGTAAAGTGCGTTCTTGGGAGGTATTGCAACGTCCGTGGAGAAGGGACCTCCAGCGGCACCGGTGTGGGCGTCTCCAGGATGTCGGCACATGGAAGCAGGTGGTCGGGAAGGTACCAGTTTAGGTTGTGCACCGTCATGGCACTGTAGGGTTGCGAGGCAAGGTTGTTGGCGATGGCGCCCGCCCGACGAGTCCCGTGATCGTGAGCAGGCGGCGGCCCTGTCGGCTGAGGCGTGCCACGAGCCCGCATCGGCGATGCGGCCGCTGCAGAACGGTCGCCTTTCGGCCTATACGTGTACTGATTGGGATGCTTGGGCTTGGGAGCCGGAGCCGGGGTTGTCTCGCCGTCTGTTGTAAGCTCTACGCTCATTGTTGCAACTCACCCTCTTCGTCCTTCTTCTCCTTCTTCTTGCCCTTCTTCGCCTCCTGCTGTTCGCCCTCGTCATTATCGGGCCGTCTCCGCTTTCGCTCCTCGACCGCTGGCTGCTCCTCCTTCTCACCCGAGGCCTCTCGCCTGCTGGCTTCCAGGGCGGCCTTGACCGCCTCTTCGTACGCCGCGTCGCGCGAGTTCATCGTACTCCGCTTCTTGGGCTCGTGGCGAGGAGGCGAACCGGAGAGCGACAGGTCCGTCGACTGCCGTCTCCCTCGCCTCCGGTCGCGCGCAGCGTCCTTGGAGGAAGGGGGCCGTGCCGTCTTCTCCGCTGCCACCGACTTGCGTGAGGAGCGTCGGTCATCATCGTCCTCCTTCTTTCGGTGAGATCGGGAGGGGGGCTTCGGCTGGGGCGGAAGCTCCGTCGCCCAGCGCTTCGACTGCGATGGCGGGTGCTTGTCGGTGGCGTGATACAACTTGAGCAAGTCTTCTGGCTCGGGTGGGACAAAGTTGGCTCTGTATTGTCAGCGTTCGCGCTCGACACGGTGCTCACGGGTTACGACCGCAATGCCTCATCCATTTCTTCAGCGGACCATGCAGCTCCGGTTTGCATTCCTCGCAGAAGTACTCTGCATGTCAGCACCACGCTGTTGCCGAAACTCACCATCAGGCGCCTCATCGTCACCCCAGATGCCCACGCACGCGCCGTGTTGCCAGACGTTGCACTTGTCGCACTGGATCATCATGACATCGATGTCCTCTGGAGGGTCAGCTTGTGCATCCTGCTGAAAGCTCACCTTCGCGCTTGCATACACAGCGCGTAATCTCGCCACTGTCGTCTCCATCGTCGGCGTCGTCCCCAACCTCCTCGACTTCAACCTCCTCGGTCTCGGCCTCCTCAAGCTCGGCGGGCTCCTCTTTGGGAGGCGCCTCCTCGGGCTCTGAGCGCTTGACGGACTTGTCGCGGCGGGGCGGAATTGGGGCATGCTGACGCATCTCTTTTGGCAGGAGATGGTCGTCGAGGAGTAGCTGCTCTTCGCCGCGACGCTTGCGGGGGTTGCGGTGGGGGGGCTCGGCGCTGGTCGCTGCCGACGTCTCCTTTCTTGATCGCTCGTCGCCGTCGGCTTCAGCATTGCCATTCGACACATTGGCCTCCGCGGCGTCGGCCTCGCCTTCGCCCCCGACCTCATCATCACCCTCGGCCGCGCCCTCAGCCTCACCTCCCATCTCCACGTCCTGCCCATTCTCAGTCGCCTCGGCCTCAACCTCAGCCGCAGCTTCGGACTCGGCCGCATGCTCCTCGGGTACAGGCTCGGCTTCGATGGGCTCAACCTTGACAGCGCCGGATTTGGCGCCGCTGAAGCTCCGCACCCCGCGACGGCGGTGGTACGCGTCCCAGTCGTCGCCGTTGCCCTCGTTCTTCTGCTGAGCAGATGAATCGACCAGCATATCATCGTCAACTGGTGGTGGCGGGCTGAGGCTTGACGCGGACGCGGGATGCGCGTCGCGCCCAGCCCCCATATCGTCTGCCGTCGCATTTTCTGGCGAGTCATCACCCATGACACTCGACAGCGCGCTTGCGGATGCTAGGCGCTGGAATTTGCCTGAAGGTGACCTGCTGGCTGTCTTGGGCGAGTTCTTTGGCGAGTTTTTTGCCGGACGGGGTGGGAGTGGTGGAAACAGTGGGCCGACCTGCGGCGGGAGTGGGTTGCGATTGCGAGTGCGGCGCGGCGCAGCTGCAGATGTCAGCGGGCTTCGTGCTGGGACAGTGGAACAGGGCCCTGGAAAGCCGTGGGCAAGTTGGGCTGACGCAAACCGTCCAAACCAGCGCCTGACCGCAAGTGCTCACCGTCGTCGTCGCCTTCAAGACTGGGCGTCACGCCCCCAGACCCCTTGCCTGGCGTTTTGGCGTCGTCGTGCGAGTACGAGGTGGATGTCGAGGCAGAAGCCTGTCTCCGCCTTGCCTCCATGACTGGATGCCGGGGCTCGGGGCTGGGAGGGGTGGAAGTGGGTAGCTACGGAAGTGAAGATGAGCTGAAATTGGATTGAGCCGGAGCGGACGATGGATGAGGACAGTAGGGAGCTCGAGGGAAAGATGGAGCTTGCGTGAACTATAGATAGGGAGAGAGAGGTGGAAGAGATGGATGAGAGGATTGTGGATGCTGAGGTGGATGGAGAATGGATAGATGGAGACGAGCGAGTGGATCAGAGTGGATGTGGATGGTGGTGTCGTTCTGCCCCGGGCGGGTGTGCCTTCCCCCCACGCTGGTCGGCCTGCCTTTGGATTGTCCCCGACGCTACGACGAGTGCCTCATCCAGATCACCCACCGGCCCACTTGGCCCGTCAACAACACACCGTGGGAGAGTAAAAAACGTCATTCTCATCCGACACCGTGGGAAACTAGATTTAGGCGGCGGCGTCTGTTTTTGAAGATGAATGGCACCCACCTGAGAGGCATGCAGCGCCGCTAGCTGCCACAACTTGCTGTTGACACTGCATGCTGCTTCTTCGATCAGTACGCACTCTAGGATTTTGTAGTATACCCCACCACACTCTCCTCCCTCGCCTCGCTTTCGCTCCCATGTCTACCTCGCCAGTCGCTAAGAAGATGAAGTCCACCAAGGTGTGTTTTGGCCTCAACCTCACTGGCTGCAAGCTGACCCTCCAAGATCATCGGTACCCACTCGGGCACCTTCCACTGCGACGGTGTGTATACCGGCATGATAATAGACTGACGGACAGAGGCACTTGCGGTCTTCCTCCTTCGTCTGACGGACCAGTTCAAGGACGCTGACCTCGTGCGCACCCGCGACCCTGCTAAGCGTGAGCCCCCCTCATCGCTCCGGTCTGACCCCAGTCGAGCCGCTGGACATTGTGGTTGATGTTGGTGGCGTTTACGACCCCGCTAAGGAGCGCTACGACCACCACCAGCGTGGCTTCAACGAGGTGTTTGGCCACGGCTTCAACACCAAGCTCTCGTCCGCCGGGCTTGTGTACAAGCACTACGGCAAGCACATTATCGCGCGCACCCTTGATGTTGCTGAGGACGAGGCGCAGGTTCACACCCTCTGGTTGCAGCTGTACTCCGAGCTTATCGAGAGTATCGACGCCATCGACAACGGCATCAACATTGCCGACGGCCCACTCAAGTACAACCAACGCTCCGACCTGAGCTCGCGCGTGCGCCGCCTCAACCCCCGTTGGAACGAGCCCGCCTCGGGCGACGACTACGACGCCAAGTTTGCCATTGCGTCTAAGATGACCGGGGAAGAGTTCCTTCAGCAGCTCGACTACTTTGCCAACGCGTGGCTGCCGGCGCGCGACATCGTCGCCGCCGCGCTCGCGACGCGCAAGGAGGTCGACCCTTCCGGGCAGATTGTCGTGTTCAAGCAGGTGAATGAGGTGGGCGGCGACGTGAAAGGAGCGAACACACTAGCTTGCGAGCTGCGAGACCGCCAGCGCCGCACAGCCAATTGGCTGTCTCCGTGATTACCTGGCTAACCCCAGTCCGCACCATGGAAGGACCACCTTTTCTCGATCGAGCCCACACTCCAGCCCCCAGCGAAGATTCTCTACGTTCTTTACCCCGAGAACCCGGAGAAGGAGGACAGCAAGTGGCGCATCCAGTGCGTCCCAGAGAGCCCGGACAGCTTTGTGAACCGTCTGAGTCTGCCCGAGGCTTGGCGCGGCGTTCGCGACGCCGACCTTGACAAGGTCACCGGTATTCCGGGAGGCGTCTTCTGCCACGCCAGTGGATTTATTGGAGGGCACACTACGTACAACGGTGTGCTCGCGATGGCGCGCGCCGCGCTGTGTCAGTGATGTTGTAGGATGCAGATGTAGAGACAGGTCATTCGGTTGAAGACTCGAGCATTTTGTTGAGCATGTGTCTTGAAGGAACCTTCACACTCAGTCACGTCCCACAAACCCCGCTATCATACAGTGCATATGTCTATAAACCCCAGTCCCAACAACTACGACATCTCGATGTCCCCGTCTGGGCGCGGTGCGCCACGCTCGACGCTTGCGACGATCTCGCGGCGGATCTCGGCCGAAATCGTGGGATGAGGGCGCACGCGGATGACATCGAGAAGCGCATCCTTCTGGTCCGCGGTGAGGTCGGAGCCGTAGCGCTGCACGAAGACGAGCAAACTCTGGTGCCAGAGGACGGGGAGCTTGTCCTCGCCGTCCTTCGAGCGCTCCGAGTTCGCGAGGCGGATGTAGTGGAACACGAGTGCGTCGACGACCTTGTAAGGCAGCGCGTACTTCTTGTCGAGCAAGATGCGAATGAAGAGCGAGTTGGGGCCCGAGTAGTCCATGCTCGCGAGGCGCATGAGCGCCGCCGCCGAGTGCAGGACGGGCACGGACACCTTGGTGAGCACCGAGCCGACGATGGCCGCCTCCTTGAGCGAGCACGCCGACTCGCACAGCGGGAAGAGAACGCCCTTGAAGAACGCCGCGGGCTTGTACAGCGCCTTCTTGAGCGCCTCGTACAGGTGCACGCTGAGCTTGCCCTCGTCGCGGATGTTGTCGCGCACACGCTCGAGAAGCACGCCTTCCAGAAACACGCGCGCCTCGGAGGGCTTCAGGTTCGACACGAAGATCTTGGTGCACCCGTACGTCGCGTGCGGCGTCCACTTCGTCGGCTCGGTCAGGGCCACGAGCTGCGCCCAGTGCGGCAGCGACGGCAAAATCTTGAGCGCCTTTGGGAGCGGCCCAGACTTGTACCGCGACAGAAGGAAACCGACCCTGGGATTAGCGCTGTGTGCGGAAGACGATAAGCAGAGACGCCGCAATGCGCTGGACTGTTCTCCAGATGCTCTGTCGTCGTCTCATTCGCTTCACTCACTTCGTGTACACCTCCACAACCTTGGGGTTGAGCCCCTGCTTCGGGTCGGGCGGTCCGTCGTCGACCACCGGCCCCGCAGCCATCTTGGCAAAGATGATATCGGCAAGCGTCTGTCCTCCCTCCTCCGGCTTGTTGGCATTGAGTGCGTCGAGCGTGGCGTGGTCCTCGGGGTCGATGTGCAGCTCAGCCTCCTCCTCGCCGCCGCTCACGTCGCCGCCGAAGTCATCGTCGCTCTCCAAGTCGCTGCTCATCGCTCGTGCCCGCCCTGCTGGCACCTCGTCTTCGTCTCCCCACTCCTCCTCGCCACCCAGCTCGCGCCCCACCTCGTCCGCCTGCTCGCGCGCGAGCTCGAGAATCTTGCGCGACATGCGCGCATCCTCCGGTCGCTGGGGTTAGCTCCAGCTCGCTCCAAGAACAAGCAGCCCTTTCGTATTTCGCCCTCCCACCTCCTACACCCCCCTCACGCTGGAACCCCGGGTCTCCGACTCTGGATCCACCACGCGCCCGCGCCCATCACCACTCACCTGCTCGTCATCGCTCCCATCCTCCTTCTTCTTCCGCTTGTCCGGCGCGCTAACGCGTCCGAAACGCCGGAGCGCCGCGTCCGCATCAATCTGCACATGCAGCGGGTCGTGTCGCACGCCCTTGGTCTTTCCTGTCGAGGCCCTGGGCATGATCGATGGCGAGTTGTCAAAGCTGGGTGGCGCGAGCAAGCAGAAACTTCAAAATCTCCGGTGGAGGCGGGGGTGTCACGTGACGCTGTGTGCCTGTTTCCGACATCGAAGTGGACGCGCGTCAGTGGAGGTGATTTCGAAGCCAAAGTTGATCGTTGATGATGTTTTGATGTCTTGCACTTCTGCCATTTATCTATCGCGTATCTCTATTGACATCCTGGCCACCATGTTCCGCATATAAGTCGCCCCGCGCATTTCTTTCTCCACTTCATTATGGGCAAGAGACAGAAGCAACGCAAGAAAGCGGAGGCGACTCAACCTGTTCCCTCTCCACCATGGCAGCCGTCGACGGCGGATGTCATTGACGCGAGCGTCCTCGAGTCTGTCCTCCATGTGCGTCCTTTTGCTCGCTAGGCTAAACCAAGGCCGACTTTCCTCTTCTCGACAGCGCGCTGGTCAACGCCATGGTGCAGGACTACGCGCGTGACGGCACACTCGGTGCGAACGAGAGTGTGCTGCGCGAGCAGCTCGCTGCGCTCGAAGCGCAGATGGTAGCTGACGCCGCGGACGAGGGGACATTGGAGTCCGCGAAGGAGGTCACGGACGAACCGGATAGCCTGCCCATAGATGGGCTTTCGCTCCACTCATCGCGATCCGGCGCGCACCTTCCACCCTCTTCGTTCCCCTCGCTCCCCTCCCGCCCCTCCTCCTCTGCTTCTGCGTCCCGTTCCACTGCAAAAACGGAGTCGGACGATCTCGCGTCGGAGAGAGAGTTCCTCGCGGCCCTCTTCCCCCACCTGTAATCCGTCTCACGTCAGCACTGACGATAGGTCAAGTCAGGACATCAACGCTGCGCTGGCCACCGAGCACTCGCTCGACGATGCGGTAGACCACCTCCTCAGCATCGAGGCGATACGGGAGTCGCAGCGGAACGGAACGTGGGGCGACGACGACGAATCCGTGGAGAGAGATGGGTGGGAGGTCGTCCCGTCGCGCCGTAGTAGCGTGTCCAGTACGGAGCCATCCGCGCGCGCCCCTGCTGGCGCCGCTGGCGCCGCGGTCCCGATCACGAGGGGAAAAAAGAAAGGAAAGAAGACCATCCCCATAGTCGACACGCTGCAGCGACGCCCGCAGCTGTCGCCCATCGCGCGCCCACCCCCCGGCAACGTATGGGATGCGCTATCGCGCCTCGCGTCCTACCTAGCGGAAGTTGCGCCGCGCGCCCACGCCCCCTGGTTCCAGACATACCTCCATTCGCCCGAGTATGCATGCACGCACGACGCCGTGCGCGCAGCGCTGCAGCAGCTGGCGTTGAGCGGCGACGCGCCGCCGCCCGAGGTGGTCGACATCCTCGCGCCCATCTTCGGTGCGGACGACGCGCTGATGCACTGCATCGCGGCCGCGGACGGGGACATGTCCAACGCCATCGACCTCATCGACCTCCTCGACGGCCTGCGTACATGGGACGACTATGAGGCTGCGCGCGGCGCGCGCGACCCGTACGACGTGCTGCGCGGCCTCGAGCGGAGGAGTGCGCGCGCGAGCGCCAATCCGAGTGTGGGCGCCAACGCCAGTGCAAGCGCAAGCGCTAGCCCGAGCCCCAGCGTCGTGCCCTCTCCCGCGTCATCCCGCCCCGCCACACCCGCCGCGATTCCGGCATCCACACCCGCCACAGTTCCGGCATCCACACGGGCCCTCAACCCGAACCGCCTCACGCGGCCCGCGCCCAAAGAGACGGCGCCGCTACCCGCCCGCGCTGTGCCAGGCTCAGTGGCGGCCGCAACGGGCTACCGGCCGACACACGAACTGCTGCAGCCCTCGAACTCGACGTGGTCTGCCGCACACGTCGCGCCGGCGCAGGCGCGGCGCGCGGGCTCGCCCGCACCCAAGTGGTCCGCGAAGGGCAAGAAGCGCGCCGCGGCCAACATCATGCCCGGCAACATCGGGCTCGGGTTGGTGATGCGTCCTGTGGACGCGCCGAAAGCGAGTGGCGGGAGCTCGAACGCGAACGCGAACGCGACCCCCGCGGCCGCTTCCGCTTCGCGGCCGCCGTCCGCGGCGGCGAGACACTTTGCGCGCGCGGACGAGTGGTACGAGCGCCGCAAGCATGCGATGCACCGCGCCACGGCGGACTATAATGCCGCGCCGAAGCATCTGCGCGGGCAGGTCATCGGGGCATACCGCTTGCAGGCGCGGGAGGCGGCGGCCGAGGCGCAGAGGCACACGCTCGCGGGCGCCCGCGCCGTGCTGGAGGAACAACGGGCGGCGGACCCCAACTCGATCGACCTCCATCTCCGCACCGTCGCCGAGTCGACAACCCTCGCGCTCGAGGCTGTCGAGGAGTGGTATGCTAAAGGCGGGCGCGGACATTTCCAGATTATTACGGGCAAAGGGTTGCATTCTGCGGGTCAGCGCGGCGTGCTTGGCCCCGCCGTGTATAATGCGCTCCACGGCGCGGGGTGGCGCGTTGAGGCACATCCGGGCTACCTCACGGTCAAGGGACGGTGATCTTGCTTGTTGCAATTATAGGTGTATGCCATGCTATTATTTCTTGAAGGCCCGCCCTACTGCAGCATCAGCCGCAACAGTGGTCCATCCTCCCATCCCACCGCTATTTGACTGTGTTGCATGAATTAGACATCACTACCGACACTATGCGTCGCACGGGGTAGCATCGGCGTTTCTACACGAGATAAGAGAGGAACAGCATGAGCAAACCGCGGCGTGGATAGGGCGTGGACGGCAGCGGCAGGACCCCGCGCCGTCGGGTATAGGTGGCAGATATGTTGGAAACGACACGGACACGCGGTCTTGTAGCCGCCAGCCGCGACATGATATTAATAAGGGTTAAGCCCAGACCTGATGAGTCAGCGTAGACCCTTGCATGTAACGCACCTTGAGCAAGCTGTCCCACGAACCCGTGCAGAGCGCGATACCATCGCCGCTCATGCCGAGACACGACACACGGTTGTCGTGGCCCGAAAGGACACCGATACGCTCGCCCTTGAGTGTGTCCCACGCGTTGCAGTTGTAGTCGTCGTATCCGGCAAACAGGACACGACCTGAAATGGAGAAGGCGACCGAAGTAATACCACAGAGGATGTTGTCGTGCTGGTACGAGTTGAGCTCGCGGTCGGCGCGCAAGTCGAACAGTTTGCATGTGGCATCATCGGAGCCTGTTGCGAACGCGTCGCCATTAGGGAAGAACCTGGAAAGTTAACTGAGAGCAGCAAGCTGTAGCGTTGCGAGTGAGCTTACTGAACCGCGTTGATGTCCGACTCGTGGCCAGTAAAGGTCTGAACGGCCTTTGGCTGACGCACGTCCCAGACCTTTGCACTCGCGTCGCAGGCACCCGAGACGAAGATGTTGGGGTTTGGCCCGAGCGACACGCTCATGACGTCGCCCGTGTGGTCGGTGAACTCGCTAATGCGAGTGCCTTGCTCCACGTCCCAGAGCATGCAAGTCATGTCGCCCGAGGCAGTGAGCATCTGTCGATCGTTGATGAAACGCGTGCACGAAATATAGCCTGTGTGCGCGATTAGCTCCTTGGCGACTCGCGGTTGAGTCCCTGGAGCGCCAGCACCACGAAGCGAATAAACGGTGCAGATATTGTCAAGACCACCGCAGGCAACGAGGTTACCGGATGGCGAGTAGCCACAAGTCATGACCCAACTCGAGCGGAGAGGAATGGCATGCACCTTGTTGGTTGTGTAGGCGTCCCAGATGATGAGCTTGCCGTCTTGAGATGCCGACACGAGGTGCCGCTTGTCATTGGACCAATGCAGCGCGTAGATCTTTGCCAAGTGACCCTTGAGCGTGCGGCGGACCTTCATAGTGATACGCGGCAGGGGTGGGGTGTCGTTGGCCATAGCGCGCACTGGGCGGGTGTCAGCGGTTGCTCAACTAGAATGTATGGCTCAAGAGCCGACGATGTCGACTTACAGCTTGTGTCCGCTGTCTGGTCCTTTGCGGCGCGAATCTTGTCCTTCAAGGCATCTGCCTCCCTCCGCGCCGTGGAGATCTTTTCTTGAATGTCAGAAGACTGGGCAGACATCTTGATGGGAGTGTTTGCTCAGGCTGTAGGCGAGAGCCCGAGTCGTAAGGGAAGAGAGGAAAGTGTACGTGGGTATCCGAGGCCGCGGACGTCGTCGACCTTGGGAATGGGGGGCGTAAGTGGAAGGAAAGTGGACGAAGGAGTGGAGGGGTAATTTAGAAGCGGTGAGGACGGAGGAGAGGAGGGACAAAGCGAGCGAGAGTACGGGGAAGTGATTGATGGTGGGGAAAGCCGAAGGACACAGATGGTAGTCAGCAGATGGTTGTCGACGCTGATTGATAATGGGCGCTCTAGGTCGACGAGGTGAATGAAGATGTTCCTCGGGGACGCCCTCTGTTGCCTCGATGAAAGTGGGGTTAGGAAAATAGCGAAGGACGAATGCGAGCCCTCGAGATGCTGCCTAGGAGTGGGTCAGCCGGCGTGCGTGCGAGGTCGACGAGGAGGAGGTAGGAGGTGGAGAGGGGATGTGGGGGGAAGTGAGGGGAGGGGAGTGGAGAGGAGTGGAGTGTGGATGAGGGTGCTTGGCTTGGGGGAATAGAATGGGGAGAAGGGGAATGGATGGACCGATGCAAACTGGGACAAACGATGCATGGTGAGGACGAGGCAGTGGGCAGCGTGGACGAGGCTTGCTTGGACGCATCGACCCAGCTAGCTCAGCCACAACCCTTGGCAGAGTCGACCCAAATGCCAGCGCCAGCACGCCAGCGCCCGCAACGCCCAGCCGCAACGTTGGCCAAGCAAGTCGAGGGCTCCATCAGGCCATCAGGTTGCAGGTTGCGGCGACAGCCTGAGCCTGCCTGAAACCGTTGACTGCTGCTACAACTGCCACTCTGTGCGCTGCTGCGCGACTGCCTCCCCTCTCCTCTCTCTCTCTCGGCTCTGACCTCCGAGTTGCTCCTAAACGGTCCGTGCGGGCGCCCAGCCCGGTCAAAGCGTCCAGGCCTCGGGGCCTCGAGCCCCCCCCCCCCCCCCTCTCACCTCTTGCTCACACAACAAGTCGGATCGCGGGATTGCAGGGCAACAAGCCCGAGAGTCACGGCTTAGACTTACAGTTAGGCGAGAGTGGAGCTGCGGCGGCGATGGGCGAGGGCGCGGGCGATAAGATGAGTGCGGGAGGCAAGTTGATTAGAGCTAGAGTGGAAGCGCGTATTTTGATGGTGACGCGGGGTATGGGGATGGGAGGGGCAAGGGGAAGATGGCGTCAAAGAGGCAAGGGGAAGAGAGGGGGATAGGGGGATAAGGGGTGGCCAGGGGGGGTCGAACAAGCGTCACAGGCAGTCGGGTCGGAGTGAAGGGGGGTGGGGGGGGTGAGGAAAGGACGACGGCAAGGATGTGTCGAGTGAGGAAGAGGGCGGGGATGGCGTAAAGCGCGAGGGAGGAGATGAGAGGAAAGGGCGTATGAGTGCACAAGCAGGGAGCTGTCAGCAAAAGACGATCACGGATAAAAGTTCAAGGCCCTTGGGGGCGCGGAGGGGCGGAGGTAGGACATGGAGGACAGAGGCATGCGGCATGCACGAAGGAGAGAGCTAGCGTGCGCCAGAAAGGGAGAGAGAGATGGGGATGGAAGAGACGGGAGACGGAACTGGACACGCTCGACATGCTCGATGGTCTACATGGTCGGCAGCAGCCAGCAGCCAGCAGCCAGCAGCCAGCAGCCAGCAGCCAGCAGGGTGACCCACGAGTCTGGGCATCCAGCGCCACACCGTGTCCATCATTCCCTCACCCATGCTCCTGCGTGCTGCCTGCATGACCTGCTGGCACATGGCGCGCATGGCGCACATGGCGTGCATGGCGTGCATAGCCTGAGTAGCCTGAGGTGGCCTGAGAGGCCTGGTTGATGCGCGCCAAACTTACGATTGTGGAAGGCCTTGTGCTGTTTTGGGTGGGCGTTTGGACGTCTAAGCGTGGGGGTTGAGGGGTCGAGGGGGAGAGGGGTCGAGGGCGGCGTAGGCGTTGTGGATGGGGGGCGCGAGAGTGAGAGATCGAGAGAGAAAGAGAGAGGAAGAGAGATGAAGAGAATGAGGCGGTGTGGAGGAATGTGCTGTGTGGCGGGGGGGTTGATCCAGGCCTGCGTTCAACCAGCAACCAGGTGAGCGACGAGGTGTGAGGGGTGGCTGGTGCGTGAGGGCAGAGGGGAGAGGGGGGAGGTGGCCAGTGCGTATAAGGAGCAAGGGATGGGTTAAGAGGCGTTTGAGTGTTGACTGTAGGTGACAGGACTTGGGCAATAGTCGGTAACTTGCAAGCGTGGGAGGAGAAGGAGGGGCAAGGAGGGAGTTGTGAGCTGGGAGTGTGTGTGTGTCCTCTTGTGTGTGGGTGTGTCGAGGATCGAGGCCGAGCGGATCGCGGACGAGGTAATGATCGTAATGAGTCGAGGGTTATTCCAATCGCTGTGGCTATTGTGTTCAATTACCTCGTGCTATAATGTCATTGTCCGCCTCTCTGATCTCTGATCTTTGAGCGATGAACGCGGTCTGTGCGCGACTGTCGACGCCGACGCGACCTTGTGTGCAGTGTGGCCTAGAGCCTGCAGCCTGCAGCCTGCAGTCTACAGCCAGTGTGAGGTGTGCGGCGCCCAAACTCTCAACTCGCGAGGGTAACGATCTACGCTCGGACCTCTTGCCCAGGGTCGATATGCTCGAGGTAAACTCCAGAGGCCAGTGGCCAGAGGGCGCACCAGGGCCAGCGACAGGCCCGTCTTTGTCCCGACGCTCGGTCTCCCTCTTGTCGTCTCTGCGCTGCGCTTGGCTGCGCCGAGACGTGCCGCTGGCTGGTGGGTGGGGACGAGGACTCGGATGTGAGAGGGAGGGGGCTGCGAGCTGCCGAAGATGCCGGAGGGTGGGTCAAATCAAGTTCAGAAGAGAAATGATCCGGCTGCAACGCCCCGTGCCTGATGCCGCCTGCTGGGTAGCTGGGTGCAGTGGAATGCTTCAAGCCAGCAAGCCGGGGCGCCTATTTAGCCGGTCTACCAGATACCAGCGATCCTCTTGCTCAGTCAGTGACCAGAGCGGGGAGGGAGGCTCGAATATTTTTTTTGCCACTCTCTCTGTCGGCACTCGCACACCCGGTTACAGCCCATGTTTCTTGGCTCTCTCGATCGCAAGTCCTCCCCCTCACAGAACAATGACAAGGCTGAGGAGGCGCAGTGGCATTCCAAGGATCCAAAAGACGGGTACGAGGCGGCGGCATGGTGGTGCGGTGGTGGTGGTGGGGAGGGGTTGTGGGTGAGGACAGAGAGGGCCGAGGGGAGGGGCTCGAGTGTCGAGCAGGGTCGGATGTGGCGTCGAGAACAATGGATCACACTCGGCGCCGGGGCGCCTTGGCTACGCAGAGCTGGCTCTCAAGCTCAAAGCTCATGCAAGTACCCAGTGCTGAGGGATGGGCATTGAGAAATCTAGGCGCCCCAAGGCCGTGGGCGGTATGCACGGCGTCGACGACGGAATCGACGGAAAGGGGGAATAGAAAGTGTCAGATGTTACACTACATACTACAGCGTCGACGCGTGCATGTCCGCGTACACATCCACGTCCCCATTCCACGTTCTTGTCCAGCAAGTCAAACACTGGCCCAGTGGAACAAGTCGTCCTGAAGACGAGAGGCGATAAGTACGCCCCCACGTAGCGCCCCGAACTGTTCATTATCCGTTCTCAGTCGCAAATAATCGCTTATAGCGGGACTACAGCGCATACCGCCCAGAATGCGCTCGTTACATATGTCCACGAGCCCCGATCTCCATCGAGCGGAATCGGCACGGCAACCAACTGGTTGCACACCGCCCATGCCGCCCACCAGCTTCGCTTCCACGGCCGCCGTCTTGTGCGTCCAGCCTCCAGTCGTCGGTAGCTCTGGTAGGTTCATCTTCAACCCAGCCGCCCATACACGCCGCTAGCGTACGCGTACGCTGTGTCCAGTGTACGCCGTACGTCCCTACTTTGCCTTGAGTGTCATATCTCTGAATCAAGCCATGTCAGCCATGCCACCCATGCCAGCTCAAACGTTTCCAGTTTCATCCATGTTTTCCGGATCATGACAACGTCCCAGATGCCTTCACCGTACACCACTCGTCAACTCCATGGTCAGGGAGAAGCTCAGTCCAAGCAGTGGTCAGCTGATTCTTCCAATCTCAAGGTCAGTCCTCTGACAGGCGCGGGCGGCATAGGCGAGCCGCCAAGCCAAAGCTCTCTCGGCTACAAGACTTCATATAAAGAGTGACGCATATATACTATTAAGGGATCAGGACACGCTCCATCGACTCGAAAGTCATCCGGACCATGGTTGTGCTGTTCGGACACACCGGAGCCAATCTTGTGGAGAACCACCAGCGCTTAGACATAGGCCATGACAGCGGCGGCGACAGCGGCGGCGCCAATGATTGGAATGTTGACCGCCGACGCGGCGCCGGGGGTTGGAGTCGCAGCCGCGGAAGTGGCGGCAGAGGCAGCCGAGCTGACGCTGGCCGCGGCTCCCGAAGACGAGGGGCGGGCCGACGACTGCTGCGCGGCAGCCGACGACGAGGGCGAGGCGGAAGCCGGACGCGAGGCAGAGGGCGAGGCAGCAGAGGCCGAACCGGCAGCGGAAGGCGAGCCAGCGGCCGAGGGCGACGCGCTAGCGCTACCGGACGGAGCGTTGTTGGTAGGAGCACCCGAAGCGCCGGCGACGGCGCCGGCCGAGTCAGTGCCGGAAGCCGAGGCGGTCAGGCAGGCCGTGTTCGAGCCCGCCTGAACAGTAATGGGCGACGAGTACTGGACGTTGCCTGTGCCGTCGCGGATCTGGAGCGTAATCTGCGAGTTGGCGGGGAGGTTGACGTTCCAGGTCATCGAGGTCGCGTCCGAGCTGTCGGCGAGGGTCATGATCGGCGCGGCCGAGGGCTGGCCCGCGGGGATCACGGTGCTGAGGGTCAGCGTCCATCCACACACGCTGGTAGGGGAAGGGTGAACACGGCTGTTGGACGCAGTCGGTCAGGCTGCTCAGGAAGCCGCACACAAGCAATTATAGCTCGTTCAATGGATCAGTGGGCGATTTGGCGTTGGCAAGACGACGTGCCTGCGAACCGGCCCGGGGTGGATGACCGATGGGAATGACGCCAGACACCTCGGGGTGTCACATTCCAACTGCGCCCTCCTTCTTCCCTCGAGGCAGAAACAGCCCGTGGATTGCCAGCACGAGCGCACACACACACGCACACACAACACACTGCACAGATCGAAAAGCAGAAGAATGGTTACTTACACCCAGTAAGGCGGCGAACCACCGCTCCACTGAAGGCGGGTGGGCTCTGAACCACGTCAGCGGTTGAACGAAAACGCAAAAAGAACCTGGCTGCTGTAAAACTCACGGCACTGGACAACGGCAGCCTGTAGAGGAAAAGTGAAATCGAGAACATGATGCGGGTCCGGCCATGGTGAGGACGAGAGTGAAACGAGTGGAGAAACAGGTGGCAAAAGAGTGAGCCGCAGTATGAGAATTATGAGGAAGGTGTGAAGATTGTATCAGCCAGTGCTCCTCTGATGATGATGGGAGGAGAGCAACTCACCGGGGTCTCAATACGAGGACCGTCCTGGGCCAGGATGGCGACGGCCATGAGGAGGGCGGTGGCGACGGAGGAGAGCATTGTTTGTGTGGATGAGTGTGTGGAGGGAAGAGTAGTAGTGTGGATGGACAAGTGAGAGATGAGAGAAAGAGAAAGAAGGATGGATGGGGAAGAGATGTAATACAGGTGGGCGGCATGGGCGGCGGAAAGAAGGGACTGTAAGTTTAGTTCGGCCATCTAGGTGCTGGCAGGGCTTGCCGCCTCCGCTACGCTAATGCATGCTGCGAGTGAGCTGCGAGCCACCCGCGCAGGGTACATGGGATGTGTCCCATCATGGCCCAGCATGCCCAGCAGCATGCGCTCGTGGCCATTTGCACAGGCGCACAGGTACTACGGAAATGCGCAGCACTCTCGGGCCTAGCGCGCGATTGTCAAGATTGGCAGTGAGACTCTCACTCTTCGTTTGGCCCATGACCCACCCTCCGCATTCTGCACATGCGAGCCACATTGACCCAGGCAACCCTGGCAGTTTGCAGCGAGCAGCATGCTCATAGCTTACAAGGCACGACACCGTTCGCCCATCGTCGCCCAGCGCTTGGGGGATGCGTACGCCCTACAACTCCTCCATGATCCATGATCCTCTATCCTCTCGGCCGGCGGTAAACGTGGGGAGCGATCCAAAAATGTCCAGGAACCTTGGGCAGCGGTCGAGCTCTGCTCATTCAGACGTCACGGCGACGTCACTCATCTCACGCCGCTCCCTCCAACTCCCTGGACTCTCGCTGCCTCAAGGCCCAAGGCTGCTAAGGCTGACCATCACCCGGCTCCCTGCTGCGTCCCTGTGATCCACCCTGAACGGCACCAAGGCTTGAATCTTTGTGCCTCCACCAGACACGCTCATGTATTAATCGTTACCCTGCCGCGTCCGACATCCGTCGCCATCAATCCATCCATCCATGCGTCCACCCCACTCATTCAACAGGGACCTCTGGCGCCCGCCGGCCCGGTTTCGGTAGAGTGGCAGCGCCGACGGACGGGTAATTTCTAGGTGCGGATAGAATGTCGTCGATTGTTGAAGCGTGACTACCCTTCATGGACGGCATGGGCGGTGGATGAGGTGAGCAGCGCACGTCCTTTTGATCTGCGGTCGCTATTGCTCAGTCCTAGTCGCCGGCGTGGGAGATCGGGGGGGGGGGCCGGCCTGGTACATGTACATTGCGGACCTGGTACCCAAACCCTGATACGGTTCCGTGCACATGAGAATACATGAGCGATTGCAGCGAGGCGGTGCAGTTGAGAATGTCTTGGCATGTATAAATGCCTGCCACCAGCCATGCTCAACGCCGGGGCACCTGGGGAGCTGAGGAGGCGAGGAGGCGAAAATTCCAGCTTGAGCCATGCTTGCAGTTAGGCACCCACCCCCACTACGGCAGTAGCTAATACAGGAGAGAGGGTTTCATCTATGAGATTGCCTTCGCCGAGACGAGCGAAATCGCCCGTGTAACGCTTGCCGTGGTATGTCGTCAGCCCACGCGTCACGCTGCCTGGCCGGTTGCCTCTCAACTGGCCCTGCCACACCTACCACTAGCCACTCGTTGCAGTTGGCAGAGGTACACGATACAGGGGTGAAGCGCTAAAGAACGGACTGGTCGCTGGTGCTCGGTGGACATATGGGCAGGGGAGAGGGGCGGCATTGTGCCACTTTTACCGGCGGTCTGTCTATTCGCAGCAGATCGTCGATCCGTTAGGGCTCGGACACTCGTGTAGTGACGTAGTTGTTTGAGCGATGCCAAGTATCACGTGATTCTGGAGAAGGCGGACATTCTTGAGCGCATCTCCGTCCTGTTCTCCACGTGCAACCCTCATGGCTTTGTACGTGTCTTTTGTGCCGCTGAACTGACTTCCTCGGGCATGTCCGGTGATAGCATGTGTAATGTTCCGCTTGAGTGTAACCGCATAAACCGCCTAACCAATGTGCCGGCCCTTCTCCCAAGACCTGCACGCAGCGCAAGGCAACGAGATTTCGAGTGCACCCGCACTGACACGGAGAGCGAGTGAAGCGAATAGACGGACAAGGGGTAGATGCAGACAACTACGCCCACCGGCCACCGGTCACCGGCACGACTCCGCCACTGTCTGAACTCCCCCACATCTCAGACTTTTGTTCGATCGCTCGGTTTTCTACCGGACATCGGCACGCCCTACCCCACATAACCTGACACTTTGCCCACTTGACACTCATCTTCAAGGCGACCCGTCGCGGAGGAAGTAGCAGCGGCCCAGCAGACAGCGAGCAGCGACAGCGGAAGATTGACGAGAGGAAGTGTACAAGTCACCCACCGACGCACCAGCGTGAGTGTGTGTGCTGTTGGCCGCGGCGATCCCGGAAAGCGAAACCACGCCCAGGCCCGGTTCACGCGACAAAATCCCGGCAACAGTACCCGGACTTGGACTTGTTCTTGAGGATTGAGGATCGCTGATCCCAGTTAGCCTAGCCTCAACAACAACATAATGTTGTGCGTCAGATCGTGGTCACATGAGACGTGCTCACACCAGCGCGGCCGCCTCCATCCCCGGTTCCCGGCAGGGATGCTTCAAGTACGTGTGCATCGCGCAACGTGCTGCATGCGACCATACGCGCCCGCCCCTGCGCCCGCTGACAACAGATGCGGCAACTTGGGCCACATCGCTGAGAACTGCCAATCCCCATCTCGGCTGTGCTACAACTGCCGCGAGGCGGGCCACGAGAGCACGAACTGCCCGCACCCGCGCACAACGGACGGCAAGCAGTGCTACGCGTGCGGTGGCGTAGGGCACGTCAAGGCCGACTGCCCAAGTTTGCGTGGCGCACTCGGCTTTGGGGCGAACGGGGGGGGATTCGGAGGGGGCTTCGGAGGGGGATTCGGGACCTTCCAGAAGTGTTACCAGTGCGGACGACCAGGTCACATTGCACGTATGTGCCCAACGCGCCGCGGAGCGTTCGGACCGCCGCGACCCCGCGTCGCCAACCCCGACGGGTCGCCAGTCAAGTGCTAGTGAGTGCTGCGAGGGGGGATTCAGCGTGGACCGGGGGTCGTCAGGTGGGCCTGCTCGTCGCCGAGAGAGCACCCGGGGCGAGCCGGAGAGCAGAGCACGCCGCACCTGCCGGCTGCAAGGCTGGCCGAGACGAGTCGGACGCGGCGCGAAATCTAGCGGCGGCGCCGACTCGCCCGCCCTATCTGCCCGCCGCCGCGTCCCCTGACATCCTGACATCCTGACTTTTCGGCATATCTCTGCCCAGTCGTGGGCGTTTCGGGCCTGTTCCCGACCGCCCGGCTCGTATTCCCGAGGATTCGGGCATGCCGTGCATGCCGCCGTGATCGAGCGCGCATGAAGATCGCCAGCCGCAAGGCGCTGACGCCAGCCGATGCAACGGCGACAACCACTTGGCGCGCGACTGCCTAGCGCCGCGCGACGACTCGGCCAAGAAGTGCTACAAGTGCAGTGAAACGGGTCACATTGCGCGGTACGTCTGCCATAGGAGGGCGGGTGACACCACAAGCGCGCCTCGCCTCGCCATGCCGAAACATCCCGCTGACGATAGCGATTGCTCAAAGACCCAGGAGCTCCTCCCGAGCGCCGAATAGTTGTACACCCGGCTGCGGCCGCATGAATTGGGTTTCACGGCTTACATCTGACTTATCTTGTGGCTACTGACAGGGCAGGGGTGAGGCGCGAACCGAAGGGACGATGGACCCATCGATGCCCCAGGGGAGAGATATCACATATCCAATCGCGGCGATCACGGCTGCCAACAGAGACCGAGCGGACGTCGATACTCGCTCGCCGAGCCAACGCGCGGCCGGCAGAGGTACACACAGGCGAGACACATTGTGTGCACATGGCGTTAGCGCGAATATGGATCCCACAGGCACCGTGGCGGCGATCAGTGGCGTTCGCCCGACATTGATCATCTTCAACAATCTGACACACCCGCCGAGTATTTGTCACACGCCTTGCTTGGTCGTGAGATACATGAAGCGCCTCTCCTACTCGTCCCCTGTCCGCTCGTCCTCCGCCCACTTGTTCTGATCATTGGCGACAAACCGACTGCGACCCAAGTAACAGGAGTCAGCGGGGCTCATCTCATGCAACTTACCGACCTTTCGCGATTCCCCAAAACGAATCCGTCACCCAAAGCAGATATACAAATAGGGCGAGGGTGACGATCGAGCCTACACCAACAATGGTCGCACGGCCGAGCCAGGACCAGTACGAGTCCTCCGGGCGCGGGGTCAGTTTGGACGGCCGCCTGTCCGGGTTGTCCAGAAGGTCCTTGTCTCCCGTGTTGAGTGGCGAGCGGCCGAAGAGAAATGTACGCGCGGGCGCCACGAGGGGGGTTCGTGCACCCGTGCCGGGATGGGGGTGCGGGCGGGCGATGGAGAGGGAGAGGGGCCGGGTCCGCGCCAGGAGCGCTGGGCGGAGGCAGGAGATCGCGCGGGACATACTGGGTGAGGTGAGGAGGGTGAGTGTCGTGAGTGAAAGAATTGTGTGGAGAAGCACAGGAGGAGACAGGTATATGAGCAATGGCCTGACGGTAAGCCGAGCGCTGTTTCACGAAGCACCCTGCGCATGAACCGCGCGCCGAAGCCGGCGCGACGCGAGTGTGAGCTCGAGAACTCCGCGCAGACGCCAAATCCAGGCACCGTGGCGCTTGGTCTTCAGCACTATTTACCCGCGCCGCACTGCACATCACAATACTGCTGATGCATGGAACGAAGGGGCACTAAGCTGCTCAACGACCGCGATCAACGCGGCTCCGGCTCCTCCTTCTTGACTCGGGGCTGGCGCATGCGACTACGTGTCAGTTCTTCCGTGCCCGCAACTGGCCACATTGGGTACGCCGGTCCACACCGGGCCACACTCACCGCCACAGATACCGATACACCCTCTCGGTCTGGGTGAGGACGCCCATTGAGAATCCGGTGAGCAAAAGGCGGGCGGCCTCGCGGAGTACGCGCCCAGCGGCGCGGGCGGCGCCGGCGCCGGCAATATCGGCTTGGAGGCGGGGGCGACCCGCCTGGAGCACGTTCGGAATGAGAGGAGACATTGTGGTGCTGAAAGAGCGGGATTGCCAGATCTATATGTGCAAGGGATGCACCGATCTCAGTTTGATGAAGGCATACGATGGTCCGCGCTCGCCGAAGATGTAACACGGGGCGAAGCGCCCGCGCGGCTGTGCGGCAAAGGGGTATGGTGGGACAGGCACAGCGTGCAGAGTAGTATCACACTTCTAGCTCGTCTCACTCGGAATCTCGAGCCTTATCGACTTAGAGATATGTGTAAGAAAACCCTCCCCCCCTCCTCCCTCCGACCATCGCCCTACATTTCTACACCTTATCTTGCTCCTTCTTCTCTACCCCTCCTTCGTCTTCGGCCTTAGCTGCCTCGCCTCCCCTGTCTTAGCCACATGTGTCAGTCATGACTCACGGCCACAATACGACTCCGACGTAACACACCCCAGCCGCGAGCCCGGCGAGGAAGACGTAGGCGCCAGCAATTCCAAACACCTTCGCAGCCATCATGCGCCAGCTGTCAAAGGGCTGGATCGCGGTCTTCATCTGCACTTCGCCGTGCGCAAGAAGATCTTTGTGACCTGTGTCGAGGGGCGACTTCCGCGGCAAGCGCGAGACACTCGAGGCGTGTAGGGGAGAACAGGTGAGGAAATGTTGATTGCTCTGGAGCGGGGGCTGGGCGAGGGCGAGACGCGCAGGCATCAGGCGCAGCGCCGGGCGGAGAAGCAGTCGAGCGCGGACGGACATGGGTGTGTTGCATATACGATCATGTCACTCATCTGGTATAAATCTTGCACGCGGCAACGATGGCCTAAGCTCGGCGTGTGGCCCGTGCACGGAAGCCGAAGCCGGCACGACACGGGTGCGAGAGGCTATATGATACACCGAGCTTGTCGATCATCCGTCGGGTCTGCGAGCACAACACATCAGAAGACCAAGTCGACGAGTTCACCCATTCAGACGTCCTTGAAAGTGTACATCTATAGCCCCAAGCGGGCACGCACAACTTCACCCAAGCGCGTGTCTACCCTGCGGCCAATAAAAACAAGTTTGGGCTCAGCGTTGCCACTCCCAAGCGCTGGGCGAATTTCGAACAGGTCGGCAACGCCTTGCACAACCTTTTCGACCCCATCGATGACCAAGTATCCCTTCGTGCGGAGAATTTCAGGCCGCTCTCCGTCCCACACAACGTCTGCTCCGTCGACAAGGAGCTTGCCAGCCCAGATGAATTCTTCGAGGAAATCGTGGAGCTCCGCGAATTGCTGGGCAGTGAGGTGAGGAAGAGGAATGGTGGTAGTTGTGATTCCATGCGCGTGATGCCCGTGAGTATGGGCGTGGTTCACATCACTGTGGGCACACTCGGCGCATCCGTCCGCTGCTGAGGTGGGAGGAGGGACAGCGTACGCTTGTATGTTGAACAGCTTTTCCAGGCCAATCTGGGAGTGGTCTGTCCTGTACACCCGTAACGTCGGATTGATTGCTGCGACTGCCGATGCCACTTCGTCGAGAACCTCGGGCGTGACCAGGTCAGTCTTGTTGAGGAGGATCACGTCGGCGCACGCAATCTGACGCTGGCACTCATTCGGACTCCCATCTTCTCGCGTCTCATCGATTTGCAGCTGTTAGCTGGTCCATATCCACAAGGTGCGCGGCTTACATTGAGCACGTTTCTGGAGTCCACGACGCAGACGACACTGTCCAGCTCTAGTTCGCCCATCTCTTCGTTAGCCCAAAAGGACTTGGCGATTGGCGCAGGGTCTGCGAGCCCCGTCAGTTCAACCACAACCCAGTCAATTTTCTCTCGTTGGGCAGCCACCATGTCCTCAATGGCCGCGATGCCGAGATCCTTCACGCTGCAACAGAGGCAGCCGTTGGGAAGGGCAAGCATCTGAGCTGTGGGGTCGGTGCCGTCATCATTGGAGAACTGTAGGGCCTTGGCTGGGGTCAGTGGCTGAAACCAGAGAGGCAATCAGGTGAGGAATGGACAGGCAAGACTGGACGAAGGTGTAAGGGGCGGAACAGATGGGAAAGTTGGTCGTCGACATACCCTCGATGTCCGTTGTATCACCATAGTCTGCCGTTAGCTGATAAGCTCTTTCTACGCTCATTTAGCTCACCGTTCATGCACACCGCGATCCGATACCCGTGGTTCTCAGTCAAGATGTAGCTGTAATTAGCTCCACCCTCACCACTGCCCGCTCCACCGACTCACTCCAAAAGTGTGCTCTTCCCTGCACCGAGATACCCCGTCAACAGCGTAATGGGGACCTTGTCGCGCTCCATCTTGCGCACGGCGATGGGGGTGCGGGCCCGCTCCCTCGGCTGCGCCGCCGCTTCCCCAGCGTCCACGAGTCTGTCACTCATCAGCTCCACCCTAGTGACCTCATGGGCAACGTACTCCGGGACCTCGTCGACGTCGACAAGTCTGCCGTCAGCTCTGTCCCACACAATAGAGCTAGCGAGCACACTTACTCTGGAACCTCGTCGTCGCTAGCCATCGTGATGAGTAATGGGTAATGCAAGGAAGAGCGCTCATGACAGCAAAGTCAGAGTGGAGGTCCGGGGTCCCACGCGGAACCAATCGGCCCGGTTGAGAAAGTCGAGTTGGAGATGATCAAAGACGCAACAGCAACAACAGCAGCGACAACGAGCACGATGCGGGTCTCGCGACGAGCGATGAGCGGCCTTGCGCCTACGGTTCGGGGGATTGTTGAGGCGGCCGCGTCTTCCTCCTCGTCTTCTTCCTCTCCCGCGTCCTCATCCTCCTCCTCTTCCTCCCCTTCGCCCTCATCCGACGCTACCACCTCCGCCTCGGGGTGGATTCGCTCCCTCCGATCTCACAAGAAGGTGGCGTTCGCCGAACTAGACGACGGTAGCGGCGGTACACTGCAAGCAGTGCTGAAGGGCCCATCCCGCGCGCTGGCCGACGAGCTCACTCCTGGGACGGCCGTCCACCTATCCGGCGCGCTCTCTCCATCCAAAGGCGCCGGCCAGGCCGTCGAACTCCTTGTGGACGCGGGTACTGTCCTCGGTCCCGTGTCCGACGGCTACCCTATCCAGAAGAAGGCGCTGCCCGCGTCGGTGCTGCGCGAAAACGCCCACCTCCGCTTCCGGACGGGTGCGATGGGCGCGACGGTGCGGGTGCGCGACGCTCTCGCCCGCGACTGGCACGACTGGTTCGAGGTACGTCGATTCGCTTCGACGCTGACGGGAGGCGCACGAGTTTGTGCATGTCCACACGCCGATCTTGACCGCCAACGACTGCGAAGGCGCCGGCGAGGTGTTCACTGTCGCGCAGAGCCTGCCCGGCGTGCAGAAGGAGCCGTTCTTCCCGCGCCCCGTCAACCTCACCGTCTCGGGACAGCTGCATCTCGAGGCGCCGACGCACGCGCTCGGGCGCACGTACACGCTCTCGCCCGCGTTCCGCGCCGAGCCGAGCCAGACGTCGCGCCACCTCGCCGAGTTCTACATGCTCGAAGCCGAGGTTGCGTTCGTCGACAATCTCGACAGCCTGCTGGACATTGCCGAGGCCAGCGTCCGGGATACCGTCTCCACTCTGCTGCACTCTGATTCTCGGCGGGCGCGCCGCGCGCGCGAAGATATCGGCCGTATTGCCGCGAGCAAGGTCGCCGCCGAGGCGGAGGAGCGTGCCAGCGCCGGACTCCCCCCGCTCCCTCCTCCGTGCAAGGAGCCTACGCCGCTCGCACACCTCGAGGCGGCCACAACGCCCTTCAAGCGGATGACATACGCGGACGCAGTGGTGCTGCTCGAAACCGAGCACAAAGAGCGGCCGTTTGAGCGGGCGCCCGGAGAGGGGCTGGCGAGCGAGCACGAGCGCTGGCTCTGCGAGCACTTTGGCACGCCTGTTTTTGTGACCCACTACCCCGTTACCCAGAAACCGTTCTACATGCTCCCCTCAGACGCTGATGCGTCCACTCCCTCCTCGGCCGCCGCGGCCGGGGCCACTGTGGCCTGCTTCGATCTCTTGTTCCCCGGGATCGGCGAAATGGCGGGCGGGAGCATGCGCGAGCACCGTCTCGACGCCCTTCGCGACAGCCTCGCCCGCCATGGCCTCCCCGAACATGAGTACCAGTGGTACCTCGACCTCCGGCGGTTCGGATCCGCACCGCATGGCGGATGGGGCATGGGTTGGGAACGCTGGGTGTGTTGGGTCACAGGGCAGGCGAACGTGCGCGACGTTGTCGCATTCCCGCGCTGGGCCGGCAGCTGCCGCTTCTAGATGCTCAATGGCCGCACAATTACTGCGATATATATAGCTTCCATAGTCTTCTTCTCACACGCACATCGCACCTCTCGCACATTGCACAATGCAGATCTCAATTCATTGCCCTCTCCCCCACCCTGCGCCACCAGTATCACCATATCCTGCGACGAGCAGCCATGCATAGATTCTCAGCATGGTCGCGTGCCCTACTCTATCCAGTCTTACAGGTCATTGTCGCTCAGTTTCGGCGGGGTCTGGGCGTGAGCCCTTCTAACTAGCTGCCAGGCGGGAATGCAGCCGCGTGTCGTGCAACCATTACTCCTGCTCGGCAGCCCTCTGAGCGGCGCGCTTCTTTGCAAGCGCGACGGCCTCCTCTGCCTCCTTCTGGTTGTCGATCCAGCGGAAGGTTGTTGGCGGGTACTGAGTCTTGGCGGCAGCCTCGGCGTCGGCAAACCAGAACACGAGTCCCGGGGCGCTGGGCGTTAGTCTTATCGCAGGCTTTACCCGAGCGCGTCCGTGCGCCAGGTACTCGAGACTTACGCAGGGCGAATGCGCGAGCACGGAAGACCCGTCTCGGGCTCGTCCAGAACAGTGTGGAGAAGGTCGGCCTTTTCTGGGCCCGAGACGACAAAGACAGCGCGGTAGCAGTGCGTTAGGACGGGGATGCTGTTGTAGTCAGTGACTGTGCTAACTGAGGGCGTAGCGATGGCTGTGGATCGACCGGTTGCATGCCACGATAAGCAGCAGCACATGACATGCGCGTCGGCGTCATCGCGGCGCCACCAGTCAGTTAAAGTAGCGACACTCACGTCATGGTGATACGGCGCTTGGGTCCATTAGGCGCGTCTTCGAGGCTCGTAACCCAGGCATCCCGCTCCGACAGGACCTCGTGGCCGGCAAAGAGAGAGCATGTCTCGCCTTCGACACCCATTCCGAGGAGCATGAGGTCAAAGGTGGGGTAGCGGGCGGCATTGGAGGCAGCAAAGTGGTTGACGAGCTGCTTCTCGTAGTCATCTGCGAGCTCCTCAAGGTCATCGAGGTGTTCGGGGTTGATCGTGTGGATCTGATTCTTGGGGATTGGAACGTGCTGCAGGAACGATACGTAGTTGGAGTGGTAGTTGGAATCCTCAGACTCGAGAGGAACGGCACGCTCGTCGCAGAAGAAGACCTCCCTGGGATGTTAGCTGCGCCCTTCCTCGTGTTCGTTTGTCACGCTATACACACCACTTGTCCCACTGCACGTTCTGCTGGCCAGCCAAGCCGCGAAGGTTTGCGGCCAACGAGCCTCCGGAGAGGGCAATGGTAAACTTGCCACGCTTGTCGACAGCATCACGCTGCGCCTTTATGACAAAGTTGGCAAGGGAGTCTGAGTATAGTCAGCCGGTGTCAAAAGCGGTCGGACTATCGGTGCCTCGCACTACGCACCGACAAGGGTTTGGTTGTCCTTGAACGAGTAGAAGACGGGGGGAGCGGGAGGAGGGGGAGGCATGGTGGGTTGGAAGTTTGGGGATGTGGTTGACGAGTCAAGAAAAAGAGGATGGGTGACGGACGGCCTTGTGTCGATTGCGATTGAAGGGCCTAGGTCAGGTGCGTGGTGGTGGCGAGATACGCTGTGGTAGCTGCTGGAGATGAGTCGACTCGATAAGATGGGATGGGCGGGCTGAAGCGAGTCAAGTGCGACGGGAAGAGAGGATGAGCAGGTGACCCGAGGTGGATGGGATGGTGAGGTTGGAGCAAGTGTGTGGAGGATGGAGGAGAAGAGTGAGGATACGACGAGGACGAGTGGAGTTGAGTGGATGGGTGGAAGAGGAAGCTTGAAGGGAGTAGAGAGTGGGAGCAAATGGCTATTAACAAGTCGCTATCGCAGGGTAATACTGCTCTATTCGCAGGGCCGGAATCAGTTTGACAGAGTCCACCCAAACGTGTTCTCAGGGTATTCTTTGGCAGTGACAGAAGCCACCTCTCTTTCCACCATCCCTGCAAAAGCTGCATCCCTTTCCCCTCAATTCCTCAGTGATACGCCATCAGTCGGCGCCGACATCGGCTGGACCTCCTCCGTTTAGTGCATGCATGCGCATGGCAGCTACGTAAGAGCAGAGCCGCGGATCCCCATGTCGCAGCGAGTGTTTTCGTCGTGTGTCGATGACGACAGTCCGAGGTCACTTGGCACCGCCTGCTTGTCATGTGCCCATTGCACATGTCCCCCGCCCCCGAGAGCGGAATGGCTTGGGCTGCAAGGGCTATGGGGGGGCCTGGACAAGGGCATAACGTCATTCCTTATCCAACGCAATCCACTCTTATACCCCCGCTAATGCTCCCAATCGACCCACTTCAATTGGTCCACTTTAGCAGCTCGCTCCTTGCTCTCGCGTGGCGACCTTCCACTCTCCGATCTCCTCCCTCCACCAGACTTCGGCGCTTCGGCGTCGGCCTCGCATCTTCTCCCACAAGGCCACCAACATGTCCGGCGCCGGCAAAATCCTCTGGGGAAAGTACGCAACACCACAGCCAAGCTGACGGCAGATGGCTCGCAGTGACGTCCGTCAGTGCGTGCCCCCGCCGTCTCAGCTAATGCAGTCATGGGCGTCGGCTACACGCTATTGAAAGGTATGCTCGGCATGGGCCCGCTGACGCCAGTGGCGACGCCGACCGAAGAGGAGTTCTACAACGTTCGATATCTTTCCCGCAGACACCTGACTCCAGTCCCTCTCACCCGACCTCAAGCGCAAGGTTGACGAGGTGCGCGCCCAGCGCGCCGCAATCGAGAACAGCAAGCTTGTGCAGGCAAAGCTCGAGGTGCGTCGGCCCTAGTGTGCCCCCTCCCCCCGCCCTTCGGACCTTCCTCCCAGTCCTCTCACGATCACACTCCTCGCCGCTCAAAGGACCGTGCTGACACTTGCTTCTCACAAATCTCACCTCGCACCGCGCCAATTTCTGCCCGCGATAATCCACGCCCCCATCCCACACATGTCACCACACACCCCAATTCTGGACGCTCCGCAACAGGCTGCAAGCGACGAAGGCAAGGTTGTTTGGGGGAGTGACCTCAAGAAGCCCAGCAAATAGACTCGCATCACAGGACGCATCTACAGATCCACAATTCCGTGTATGTATTCTACTCGGCTGCCGGCGGCAGAGTGGTTTGGACAGAAGCGTGGAGAGCGGTGAGGCCGGATTCCTTATTTCTGATCGCCGAGGCTGCGCCATGCGCCTTGCGCCTTGCGCGGCCAGACTGACTTGCCGACAGCCGATCACCAGCGTTATTACTTCATCTGTTCTCATGCCACTCCGATGGTGACTGTTCTCACGCAGTCCGCAGCTCATGCCCTCGGTCACTCTCGGTCACCGAGACGGCGGACGCGGAGGTCCGCGCAGCAGTAACATCGTAGTGGACGCTGTGCTGCGCGCATCGCTCGAGTTGCTGTCCGCCTGAGACATAGGGCGCTAAGGCGCACTCTCTCCGCTCGGCATCGCCCCATCACATCACTAAATGCATGGTATTCTGTTGTACGATCGATGACGGCTGTAGTGCCAAGATACAAGTTGGTACACGACGGCGGTGGCCGCAAACCTCGGCCCGAGAATATGTTCCAGTCCGTGATCTCCTCTCCCCTCAAACTCAGAAGAACAGCGTGCGCGGGCAGGGCTCCTCGCCGCTCTTGCACGTCGCGAAGCGGCTGTCGACACGCCCCTTCTCCTCCTCAGTCAACGGACCGCACATCTCCGGATGACACGGGAAGTACTGCCCGTCGACGTGCGTGTATGCCGTCTTGAAGAGCGTCGTCAAGCGCTGCGAGAGCTCCGGGTTGGCCGGAGCGCAGACTGGCGTTAGCATGAGGAAGGCTCGTGTTGCGCCTCGCCGCTGCGGGCAGCGTAATGCGGCGCACACACAGGCCGGGCTGACTCGCGACTCACCGTCCGTCACCTGCTTCGCCCACATAAAATAAGCCTGGATGCGGCGCACACCCCAGCCGACGGGAGGCGAGCGGCGGATGCTCTCCAGGTTGTGCAGCTTGCTGCGGTGTCAGCGGATACCGCAATTCAGATGCGATTCCACACATTACGCCGATCTCCCTCCATGCCGACTCACTCAGCTAGTTTGACCTGCTGCGCTTCGCGACTCCGCTTGTGAGCGGTGCGCAGCTGCTCGGCCTTGCGCTCTTGTCCACTGAGCGAGACGTCGTCGGTGCACTCTGCAACAATGCTGGCAACACGAGGTCCGAATGCGTCCTCGATTTCCTCTATGGTGGTAGGGGTGTCTTCCACCGTGTCGTGTAGCAAGGCCGCCTGCAGGATGTGGATGTCGTTCACGCCACAGGATGCAAGAATGTTCGAGACAGCCTGCTGGTCAGCTCAGCGCCTCTTCCGCACGCACGATCGGGTGGTTGATGTAAGGTGTCTGATCGAGGTCTTTCCGGCGCTGGCATTGGTGTTTCTGTTAGTCAGCGGGGTGGTTGCACAGACCCTTCCTTACCCAGGCGGCAAAGTCCATCGTGCGCAGCAGCACAGCGAGGGGAGGCTCGTCGTGTGCTCGGCAAGCGCAGTGCACCGCGTCGCGAGGAGGGGGCGCGGTTTGGTTAATGGGCGGGGGTGTATTAGCGACCTCTTCGTCGCTGGCGGCATTCCCGTTGATGAGGGGAGCCTTGACGGTCTCGGGCGGTGGTGTGTTCATGCCGGGTGGTGTGACGGTGATGGTGATAGGCGGGAAGGGGCGGTCGAAGGATGGAAACTTGGTTCTTGGGGGCGTGCACACAGCAAATGGACGAGTGAGTGGGCGAGTGACTGACGCTTCTAACGCTGCGAGGTGGGTGGTGGCGCAGCGGGGACTTTGGAATCTGCCGATGCTGCCGAGGCTAGGCGAACTGAGAGTGGGCGGGGTGCGGAGGTGGACACAGCGAAGGAGAGGCAGCGTGGAGACGTGGAGAGGTGTGCTAGATGTGGGAATGGTTGCGAGCGGGCGTCGAGCGATGAGTGTGGGCCGTGGGAATTCCAGTGCGAGAGATGAGTTGGAACGCAAGAATAGTAATGCTGGTGTAGTGGGTAATATCCAGGTCGAGTGGTGAGAGCTAAATGTGGGGTTGGGTGGGGAATGCCTCCATGATCCATGACAAACGCGTCCCAAAAGAGCGGGCGTACGAGGGCTGTGTTGCCCATCTGTCACTGGCCTTCTCGATACGACCATGCATGCATAATGTGCGCATTTCAGTGCACGAGCCGAGGCCCGAGGGCCGAGGGAGTACGGAGACGGAGCCCAATGCGGGCGGCTCGGAGGCACACGAGCAACCCGCGACGTGCAAACCCGCACATCCGATCAGATCGCATCGTGATCAGACCAGCGCCACGGCCGCCACCCAAGCCGCTGATTGCACTGGGGGCTTGGGTTTCTTTGCTCTCTGTATCACTGGGCCGCCTGAGGCACGGGCGAGTACCAGCCCATCATTTGCACTCTGAGCTCTCGATTTCGGCTCTCAGCTGACCACTCAAATGCTGCGGATAATGGGTGGCCATGAATCATGAATCGGACCAATTCGGTTTCAACTGGTCCGCCTCCAACACTCGGATAACTTGGTCGTCGTTCCGGTCGCATATGCGTGTTCACCTGTATCGTGGCCGCGGCGCGTGTAAGCGAGAGTATGCCCGACCTCTTCATGGCCTCTCGCGATCTCTCGGGACCTGCGGCTGCAGACAAGAGTCAGTTGCGATCTGAGATCGGAGGGTGAGCAGCCAATGTGGTGCAAGTCGCAATCAGAGTTCCGGCTCATCCAAGGTCTCTGCAATGTCTGGCATGTCTGGACCCTGTGGCTAAATAGACCGCAGAAGTAGTAGGTGTGGAACATCCGAAGATTCGAACGCCCGACTTTGTGATGGGAGAGGTGAAACGAGGATCGAGGAGGATCGAGGAGGAGGAGGAGGAGGAGGGGGATCACACACGTGGCGTCGCTTGATGAAGGGGAGACTCTGAATTCATGTCCTGTTTTGGCAGGGATCTACAAACGGCGCAGAGTGGAGGGACGAACGTGCGTGTGGTGGAACAGTGACGTCCAACCCAGTGACGACCATCTTCGGCCATCTGCCTCCTCCGGCGTCTCTCTGTCTCACTCCGCTCTCTCATTCTTTTGCTACTCGTAACTTTTGACTCTGCTTCCAGTCTGCGCAACCTTCTCAACATCCATCGCCATCACCAGCGAGCGCGACTTGTTTTGCGGCAGCAGTCAACGGCCATCTCATTCTCAAACCCTCCACCGCTCCGCTCCCCCTATCCGGCGGCACCCCCACTCCACCCGCCAAGCCACACTACCTCATCGGCACGACACTCATCCATTTCTTCCTCCGGTCTTCCGTCGCCCAAGCACTTTCTCTTCAGTCACACTTCTCACGCTCTACGCAGCGTGACTTAAAGTCGAGATGAAGTTTGGACGTCGTATCAAGGTGAGCACGGAGCTGGGTGCGCCCGCTAGCAGGGCTGTCCTGCCTTGAGCAGGCCGCCATGGCTAACATCAGGACTCGCGTTACGCCGAGTGGGCGGACCAGTACATCAACTACTCGGCGCTCAAGAAGCAGATCAAGAACAGTCTGCCATGGACAACCGAGGCTGAGGCCGAGTTTGTAGCTTCTCTCACGCGCGAGCTTGAGAAGTGTGAGAACTTCCAGCGCCAAAAGGCGCAGGAGATTAATCTTCGCATCGATAAGCTCGAGAAGGAGGTTCACGCCCTCGTCGCTAAGGCCAATGCCGATGACAGCAGCGACGACGTGTCGTCCAACGAGCAGCCAACAGAACGCGAGGTCGAGGCGCAGGTCGACAACTATGCAGACGAGGACGGAGGCTCAGATGATGACGACGACGACCGTGGGGACGACGATGACGACCAGCTCAGCCTCGATGAGATTGAGGAGCGCTTTAAGGAGCTCGAGGAGGAGGTCGCTGTACTTGTCGCCGATGTGCATGACCTTGCACTCTTTACGAAGCTCAACTTCACTGGTTTCGTCAAGATTGTCAAGAAGCACGACAAGCTCACGGGCTTCCAGCTGAAGCCGTCGTTCAACAAGGAGGTCTTGGAGAAGCACCCCTTCTACAAGATGAACTACGACGTTGTTATCGTCAAGCTCTCCAAGCTGTTCGACCTCGTGCGCACCCGTGGCCACCCCGTCGAGGGCGACTCGTCGGCTGGTGGAAGCCAGAACGCATTCGTGCGCAGCACTACCAAGTACTGGGTGCACGAGGAGAACATTGTGCCGCTAAAACTCAACGTCCTCAAGCACCTCCCCGTTCTCGTCTTCGACCCGAACAAGGAGTTCAACGTCAAGGACTCGGCCATCACATCTATCTACTACGACAACGAGGACCTTGAGCTGTACCTCGGCCGTCTCGAGAAGACCGAGGGCGCGGAAGCTATCCGCATGCGCTGGTACGGTGACGTGGATGGCAAGGTCGTTTTCGTCGAGCGCAAGACGCACCGCGAAGATTGGACCGGCGAGAAGTCTGTCAAGGAGCGCTTCACCATCAAGGAGGACAAGCTCAACGACTTCTGCGCGGGTCGGTACACGATGGACGAGGAGTTTGATGCCCTTGTCGCCAAGGGCAAGAAGACGGAGAAGGAGGTTGAGAACATGAAGCAGCTAGCCGACGAAATCCAGTACGCTATCGTCACGCGCAAGCTTCGGCCCGTCATGCGCTCGTTCTACAACCGCACGGCGTTCCAGCTGCCCGGCAACGCGTCTGTGCGCATCTCGCTGGACACGGAGCTCACGCTTGTGCGCGAGGACAACTTCGACGGCGTCGATCGCACGAACGGCAACTGGCGCCGCACGGACATGGGCATCGACTTCCCGTTCCCCACCATCAAGAAGGAGGACAAGGAAATCTTCCCCTACGCCATCCTCGAGGTCAAGCTGGCGACGCGTGTGGGCGAGGAACCGCCGCAGTGGATCCGTGACCTCGTCAACTCGCACCTCGTCGAGGCCGTCCCCAAGTTCTCAAAGTTCATCCACGGCTGCGCGACGCTGCTCCCCGAGCGTGTCGACCTCGTTCCCTTCTGGCTGCCGCAGATGGACCAGGACATCCGGAAGCAGCCGAGCGCGCGTTCGCGCGTGCTCATCGAGCGCCCCGTGTCGCAGACGCACAGCGCTGAGAGCAGCTCGCAGCCGCACTCGCCGCACATGGATGGCTCAACCACGTACCAGGAGCCGGTATCCGAGGGCGAAGACGACGAGTACCTCGTCGAGGCGTCGGCGAGCAACGAGGACGCACATCTGCGCTTGCCAGCCGAGGCCGCCGAGGAGGCGCGTGCGGCGCGCGAGCACCGTGAGCGCAACCTGCGCTCTGGGCCCGACTCGAGCGGCTTCCAGCGCCCCGCGCCCAAGAAGTACCAGCGCGGGCTGGGCGTGGACCCGCTGCAGCCGTCGAACCGGTTCGACTCGAACGTATCGGCGCTCGACGCCAAGCTGCAGGACGCGGCGAAGCGGGGGCGGCGCGCGTCCGAGGAGGAGGACGCGGACGCCGACGACGCTGACGAAGAGCGCGAGGAAGCGGACTCCGTCGTGTACACGACCGAGTTCCAGGCGCCGGCGGGCAAGCGCATCGCCATCCCCGTGCGTATCGAGCCCAAGGTCATCTTCGCGACCGAGCGCACGTTCCTCAAGTGGCTCCACTTTGCCGTCCTCCTCTCGGCCGTGTCTATCGCCCTCATCAACTTCGTGCCCGCGGACGACACGGTCGGCTTCGTCGCCGCCGCCTGCTTCACCTTCACCGCGCTGCTTGCCACCGCATACTCGGGTGTCATGTATGCGTGGCGCGTCCTGCGCATCCGAGCGCGCCGCGCCGTCGACTACCACGACAAGTACGGCCCCACCGCCCTCTGCGTCTCCCTCATCGGCAGCGTGCTTGTTAACCTTATTCTGCGCGTGCGCGAGCTGTAATACATTTTAGTGTCGTAATGTGATGTCTTGCACAGCTGCATGGGGTTTATTCGGCGGTCAGTGTTGCAAAGAAACGTAGGCTTACTCAAGCACTGGGCGCGGCACTAGAAACTGATACTGTTGCAACCCAATTGTGTCCACGATCCCATGCATACCCCGCATCCCAGTAACAAAGTCCAGCATCTATGCATAGTGTACAGGTACATTACACGGCGCGCCCCGCGTAGTTCTCGTCAAACTCGGAGGGCGGGCGGTTCTGCCACGCAGTGTTAGCCGTGAAGTCGGGGTTACCCCAGGCTGTGGGCGGCTGGCGGCGTTGTGGTTGGGAGGACAAGGGGGCCTGGCGCTCGGCCGGCGAGCGCTCGGCGGGTGAGAGCCGGTCAGCGGGAGAATGTCCAGAGGAAGGAGTGTCGTGCCAGCGCTGGGACTCGGCGTTCCAGGGGGTGGCATCGTAGGCCTGGGCCTGGGCTTGCGGCCATGCCTGTGAGGCCAGCGTGTTGGGCCACGCGGCGTCGGGGCGCGGCGTGGGGCTCGTTGGCGTCGGGGGGCCACCGGAGTCCGTGTTGGGCGCACGCTCATGCAGCAGCGGCTCGGAGGGGCGGGTGGGGCTGTCGAGGCGTGTCTCGACAGGAGTGGGGCGCGGCTTGTACGCGTAGGCTGCCCCCTCGATGTCAGGGTGCAGGCGGCGGCGGCGCTTGCGGTGCGGTACACCGAGCTGGTCTTTGAGGTCGCCGCCGACCCAGGCCTCACGGATGATGTCCTTGTCGATGGGGAAGTAGGATTGCTTGATCGCACGGAGGAGCCAGTGTGGCGCAACAGCGACCATGACGGTGAACAAGACGGTGGCCCAGAACGTGAACGTTGGGAAGATGATCGAGACGACAGCGTAGTACGCCAAATTGGCCATGTACGAGTACACGGCGATCCAGACGAAGACGGCGAGTGTGGAGACTGGAATGACGATCCACGGGATGAAGGTCCAGTACCGCGTGTTGATGCCGACGTACAGGTTGGCTGCAAAGACACCAGACGCCGCAATCGCGGACGACAGGTCGTACAAGTCGTTCGTGTCGCGACCGCTCCACGACCATGTGGTGCCGTCCCCGTAAATGAAGAACGGAATGAAGAATATGATCGCCGACTGGTACAGCCCATCCAGCATGTACAGCCAGAATCGGAGTCTTGTGTAGTCCAAGCCCTTGATTCCTCTCTGGTACAGTTGCGGGAACGCCATCGAGCACACGGCATTTGTGTCCTGGTCAAATGCGCCGAGAATGCCGACGGGCAACGATGTGAAGATGAGGTTGTAGAGCAGCACGAAAGTGTACTCGAACAGGTACGTCGCGTCAAACGAGTTGAAGATGAGGAACCAGAACATGGCCAACGTCCAGATAACGTTCTTGTAGAAGAAGTTGGCGTGCATGTCGGCCACGCGGACATACGACCAGCGTCCATGGACCAGCAGCAGCCGTGTGAGGAATCGGAACTGTCCAAAGGCGTAGTCAGCCGACATTGCCGCTTGCGAGCCCTCGAGGCCGAACAACCCGACGCCGACGTTAGCCTCCTGGATCATGGCCACGTCGTTGGCGCCGTCACCGATGCTCAGCGTCATCGCGTTGCAGCCATCCTTAACAAGCTTGACGGTCTGGGCCTTTTGGGCCGGCGATACACGGCAGCAGATGACTGCCGCACACTGCGTCCCAAGCGAAAGGAACAGAGGCTTGAGAGCGGGATCCAACGCGTATCTCAAGCTCTCTCCGTCGATGACCACGGCAAACTCAGCCGCGGGGTTCATGCCCGCAGTGTAAATCTTGCCCGCGCCCTTGGTGGGAGGAGGGCCGAGTGTCGACGCAATCTTGTTCAAGCCGCCTTCGATTTGTGCTCGTGCTCCTTCTGGTGAGTCGGCTGAGATGATCATCACCTCCATGTCATTCGTGAGCAGGTTGCACGAGTAGCCGATCTCGATGGCCGTTTGCAGTTTGTCACCCGTCAAGATCCAGAGCTTAATGCCAGCCTGGTGCAGCATGGCGATGGCGTCGGGCACACCCTCCTGCAGCTTGTCCTCCAGGGCCGTCGCGCCGAGGATCGTGAGACTGTGCTCAATGACCTCGCACGCCTTGTCGATCTTGTCGTCGCGGTCGTTGACCGCCGCACTGGCCTCGTCGAACTGCTTTGACCACCGCTCGAACTCCTGCTCACTCATGTTGCGATAGGCGATGCAGAGCGTACGCAGGCCCGCGTTGGCGAAAGTTTCGAGGTCCTTGAGTGTCGTCTGCTTGAGCTCCTCGTCGTGGTTCTTGTCGAGTCGCTCGTAGATGACGCTGTCCGCACCCTTGCAGTAGAGTACGATCTGCCCCTCAGGGCTGCGAATAATCACGCTCATACGTTTGCGGGTAGAGTTGAACTCAAGAACACGCAATGGCGTCCAACGCTCCGGGATGCCAAGAACCTCGATGTCGACCTTGTGCGTGTTGCGCGTGACGAAGGGGAACCCGACGTCGCGAGCCGCACCGACGAGCGCGGCCTCGTCCGGGCTCTCAGCCTTGTAGTCCAGGCAAAATGGCTTGTCCTCAGGCTCAGGCTTGTCGGACAACACGGTGTGGCAGAGCGCAAGAGCGCGGAAGAACGAGATTATGTGTGGACGCAGCGGATCCTGCTCGTCCGCGAGTCTCTGGGCGAGACTCGGGGCAACGAGCGTGAGCTGCTCTTCGCGTAGGAAGCGGTTCTTGAAGGCGCGCTTCATAGTGTTGACCATAGTCTCCTTGTACTCCTCTAGTTCCTCGGCCTGGTCCTCCATCGTCATGCCGAGGTCCTTCCCCTCGCGCTTGGCAGCGCCGAGCATGGCCTCCGTGATACCCTCACCGAACGAGACGCCCTGAATCGAGCATTTCTTGAACTCCATGACATTTTGCGTGAGGGTACCCGTCTTGTCGGAGAAAACGTACTCGATCTGGCCGAGGTCGTCTGAGATGTTCCAAGTCTTGGGCACGCATGGAGTGTCGTACGGCGCGTAGTACATCTCAATGTCCTGGAAGATGAAAAACGCCTGAATCGTCTTGACGATTTCGATGGTGATGTAGAGCGAAATCGGCACAATGTTTTGGAACACAATGAGGGACGACACGAAGATGACGACTGAATCGAGAATCACGCTGTCCGAGACGGCGGCGCCAATCTCATAGTACTTGGCACTCGTGTCGTCCTTTAATCGGTAAACGCCGTGAAGAATCGCAGTCAACAGACACAGCACCATCAGAATGATGAAGTTCATGATGACGTTGAAGTTGGTTTCGCGCTCGATCTTGCTACGCTTAGACGGAGTGTCACCGCCGTTGAGCATGATTTTGGTGTCGGCGCCGGTGAACACGACAAGGCCGATGACCCATTTCGTATTGCGAATCGTACAGCCACGCAACAGCAGCTCGTTGATTGTGACAGGCTCGACCTTCTCCTCGCCTGCACTGAGCCGACCATCGCCGATTGGGCGATAGCGCAACACTCCGTTGTACGAGTAGAGGTTGGCGTGTGGTGGTTCCGAGTCCAGCACAAATCCCGAGTGCTCGAGGTCCTCCTCGCTGCGGATCTGCGCAGTAGCCTTGACAGCCTTGCGCGGCTTTAAATTGGTCTCGCCATCAAGGTTTTTCGTCTCGACGAAACACAGCCCGTCAGAGTCTGACGTAGCAAGAACGACGACGTCAGCAGGGATCTGCTCGTTGTCACGGAGGAGAACGAGGTCGCCGACCTCTAACTTCTTCCAGAGCGTCCGTTCCCACTGCGCTGTTCCAGCAGTACGCCGTGAGTAGTCGACAACCCCGGCGCTCCGCCGCGAGGTCGCGCTCGGTGCTGTCGACGATACGGAAATTGCACGCGGGCGATAGGGGAGATGCACGCCCGGAATGGACTCGGTCTGCATTCAGCTTTCGTCTTAATACTCGCGACTCACGGATGGGTACTGTTGTGATGTTGGCGGTTGCAGCGTTTCCCGGGGTGCATCGTCGAGCTGGATGTCCTCTTGGTTGAGCTCCTTTGACACGCGCTCCATGATGATTTGCTTCCCGGTGCGAGCCTCGGCCTCGCGCAGTTTGCGCACGCCTTTGGAAGGCTTTTGGGGATCTGCTGTCAGCTGCCATCGCCATTTGAGCTCACTTGGGCCAAGGTGAAACAGCCGCTCGAACCAGTTGCGGGGGTCGGTGGGCTGGTTCACGTTCTTCCAGTTACCGAGCTTGGTGGCTGCGCTGGTGTTGACCTCCTCGTCGAGTCTAGCGCGACGCCAGTCCTCAACTGCGTCCTTAATGGCAGTCATACCCAGGATGGCGACGAGAGGCAGCATTGCAATCTGAGGCGTCGTAGCTCCAAAGATCGGAAACAGCTGCAGGATGACGAGGCCGAGGAAATAGATGTTGGCGACGCGGTGGAACTGCTCGAAGAGATTGCGTGGTAGGAAGGTAAAGAGTGTGTATTTGGAAGTGCGGACCTTGTTTCGCGCGTACCGCACTACGGGCTCGCCGCTGTGGTCGAGCGCACTCGTTGGAAGGGGTACATTGACATACACGGAGCGGCGAGGCAGAGGTCTCTTGCCCTTGACCTTGGGCTCATCGGTCGGTCGCGGCGGTGCCGGTTCGTCGCCTGCAACGGAGGTACCGGCCTGCGACCCGCCGGCCTCGCTGTGCGCGATGGTCGGCATCCTTAACTCCTCCTTGTCGTTGGAATCAGTCTTGTCGTCGCTTTCCTCGCGACGACGCCGGCGTTTGCGCGTAAGATGCCGCAACAGCCGCGAGCGCTTGCGGTGCATCCTCGCATCCTCTGATCGGATACTCTCTGCGATGACGCTGTGCGCTGTGCGCGTTGTGCGCAGCCGCAGAGCGGGGTCGATCGCATTCGGGTCAAACTCGTCTGTGTCAAACGTGTCATAGTATCTTTGCTGCGACGAGTTGAGCGCCGCTGTACTTGTCGAGGCTGATGCAGAGTCGTCCAGCGGGTGCGACATGTAGTTGCTTGGGCCAGCGTACGGGTCGCCGTAAGCGTACCGGTCGTCTCTTGGGTGCGCCATAGTGGGCGGCCGGACAATGCCGAGAGAGAGTGAGAGTGAGAGAGAGAGAGACAATGAGGAAACGTGATGGCGGGCGTGGGTGATGAAGGGAGCGGAGTGAATGCTGATGGAGACGGAGATGTTGACTGTGATGCAGTGATGTATGATGACTACGAGAACAATGCCGGGCTAGTTGAAGAGTAGTAATCAAATGATGAGCAAGAGTGAACAGCGATGCAGATGACAAGTGAGACTGACCACCTTCCCTCCAACCCAAGAACTGTGCAAACCACGTCGCGCGTGCGGGGGGGGGGGGACAGACAGAGTAGGCCACCAGGGTTGTCAGGGCTCCCACTTGACCCGCGTTCCCCCGCTCGGACCGCTTCTCCCCTCTCTCCTCGCCGGCGAACGCAGCCACCGCGTCCTCCCTCAGGGTACGGGGGCAGCGCCTCTCGGTAGCGCTAGCAGTGCTCGGCGGTGCGTACTCAACGCCGGTACGCGGTACGCCGACTGATAAGGCAGGCTGGAGGTGTGAGGGCCGCAATGTATCTACTGTAGACTCGATATGTTCATTGTGGGCCAGTGGGCAGTGGAAGGAACATTGGTTCCTGCGTACCTGCGTACCTCGCTGGCCGCGGGAATGCGAATCAGAAATTCTCAACACGTTCGCAAGATTTTGAATGCGTTTCAATGCGGGACGCCACTTGCCACTGGTTCCTCGCGCGTCTTGCTTGGCCCCTTGATACCTTAGGTCCAGGACGCCAAATCATCTCCTTCCGTTGGACTCCGTAGGCCGCGTAGGCCATAGGCCGGCGTACCCATCAACTGGAGAATGGAGAATGATACAAGGGCTTGCGGCCCCCGAAAGTGCGCCGAGCCCTCCGCAGTCCGCCGCGCCGGAGACACATCTGACGCGTCCAAGCCCTCAGTAGTGCCTGAAACTCAATATCGCGTTCCACCATTCCACTGCCATATCCGCCATTTGCGACACTTGCGACATTCACCATGACCATGGCAGATCTGTAGCTCTTTTGAATGGACCCATGATATGCAATGCTGTAAATGTAATAATGTACGTCAACTCATCCGTCTACGTCTCTAGATCATGCTCACCATGTCGACGCGCCGGTCGACAAGCCACCCTTCACTGGCATCCCAGGACCGCGTCAGTGGCGGCACAGCCCGCTTACAGCGCACCGTACTCGCTTCCCGCTCGCTCGCGCTCATGCTCGCACGCGCCGCCACCGCCGGAGCCGGAGTTGCCTCCTCAACACCCAAGAGATCGACGGAATCCTTTGGAACCTCCTCCTCCTCCTCCTTGAGTCCGTCCTCCTTGGGTCGTAGGGTCTCGATAAACTTGAAAAAGGGGAGTGTTGGCTTGTACCCTTTGTGCCGTTTGAGCAGCACCCGTCCCTCTATGTTGCTCGTGAAGATGCTCAGATCCACCTCCTTTCCAGCTTTAAAGTCGACGACCATCCGCGCCCCATACACGCCCTTGTCGTATTCGACACCAGCGGGGAAATGGGCGCGCCACTCACGCTCAACAGCGTACGCTTCGTCTGTGCGTCCAGCAAGGGCGAGGTTGATCATGAGCCGGCCAACAGCGGCAGACTTCACGGGCCCAACCTGCTTGGACGCAGTCCGGAAAATGGCGAGCGCCGAGTCCAGGTGCCCCTCTTTGAGCACGGCCATAAGGAGAGATGAGCCAACACCACTCGTGGCTGGCACGCCGGTCTCGTCCATGTTGCGGTACAGGGCGATGACCTGCTGCAGCCCTGCGGCGCGGATGTTCTTCACAAGCGCAGACAGAGCGAGAGTATACGCCTTGCTCGCGTCAGAGGGTGGTAACTGCTCGAGGAGCTGCCGACCGAGGGCTCGAGTTTCAATGTTAGAGGAGCTAAACAGTGAGGCAACGAGCGACTCGATGGCTCGTGCTGGAATCGTGACACCCGCCCCAGCCGCAATACGCCGACACAGCTGAGTGGCGCGAGCAGCGTCCGCGGAGATGCCGGTCGAGCCGAGGCCTTGGGCTACGGCCACCATAAGAGGCTGGACGGGTTGGGCTTCGTTCCACAGATAGTCTTTGATGTGGCGGTCGAGAAGAATGGCGCGAGAGTCACTGGGCGTGCTCGCGATGAGCTTGATAAAGGAAATCTGAGCTCGCTGGGGCACACGCAGACCGTCAGCCATGAGGTCAGCATAGAGGCGTGACGGGAAATGCAATTGTCTGCGCCTGACCGCGGCGGCAAACAGCTTGTGCCACTGCGGCGCGGTAGCGTGCGTCCATGTATATCTCTGTGCCTCATCTGGCGTGCGCGCCAGGGGGTACAGTCGGACGACGATGTCATACGCGGTGGGGGAGGGGAGGCAGTCGAGCATGGCCATGAGCAACTTGTTCTTGAAGGCCGACGAAAAGGGGTGCCGAAATACGTTCGACTGAAAGCACATTTCGGCGACCTTGAGCGCATAGCGCGGGTGGTTGCGCACTCCGTTGAGCGTGGTCATGAGGATTGGCTCCAAGCTTGCATCCATCTGCAGCGCCCGATCGCAAAGCTTGATGGCCAGCTGAAGCTCGGCGTCGCTCGGTGAGCCGCGGAGTAATTTCTCCACCGACGAGTGCAGCCGTCCGATAGTCGCTTCCGGGTCGTCTGCGACGGTTGTCGCGCGCTCCAGCGGCGTTCGATTGATCAATTCGAAATGCTTGAGCGCGAGCACGATAGGCACGGCTGCCTCGTGGGCCTCACCCTCGCGCAACTCAGCAATCAAATCCTCGGCAGCCTCCCGTGCACGCTCACGCCCGTCATGACCGTCTGCGTCATGCCGGACTTTCAACCGCGACAGGATGCGCACGATGGTATCCTCATGGACAGTCACACCACGCGCTAGACACCACGCTGCGAGGCGCAGCGACACAGCGACAGTTGCAGCGTCAGCGCTCCGTGAGCGCAGGAGGATTTTACTCGCGGACTTGGTGATTCCCACCCCGCCATGATGCCCGACGAGATGCTCGAGCGCGGCATGCGTGCGCGACAAATCACCTCGGAAGCGGTAGTTTGTAACGTCTAGCCAGTCCTGCTTCATGCGGAGAGAGACGCGGCGGAAGTCGCGCCCGATGAGCTCAAACAGCGCTGCCCACAGCCAGTCGAGTGTGTCGTAGTGTCCCTGCCATGCCTTGTCTTCGGGTTCCAATGCGAACATGGCCTTCAAGATGTCCTTGATGGACTCGGCTCCGAGGCGAGCGGGATCCATTCCACACACCCGAGCGAGATTTGCAAGTTCGACCAAACGGTCCCGTTTAAGGTTCTTGTCGGCCGCGAGTTGGCGCGCGATAAGACTCGAGAAGATATCATCTGGGATCGCTGCCCGAAGCTCAGGATGCAGAGCTTCGTAGATACTCCAGCTTTCCTCAGCGCCGGGCGAGAGCAGGGCGAGGCTCAGGATCTGCATATGGCGCAGAAAAGGTTGCGAGTCCGGCGACCACGGCAGGGGAGGTGGCAGGGGAAGGTGAGGCGTTTGCATGCGTTGTAGAACGCCCACAGGGGGTATAGGGGAGTCTGGAGGCCGCGGGGCACGGGCGCGCTCGCGCGCACAACAAGTGCACGAGAGCCAGCGCGAACAGCTTGGCCCCGCAGGTGGCCGACGCTCCAGCAGGCGGAGAGCGATGCGCCGCATGCCGAGGCCCAGCCGCGCGGGAGACCAATGATGCGAGCTCTTGTCAACACAACCGCAGTGAAGGCTCACAGTTTAGGTTAGAAGATACAGCTGGTTGTCATCCCGGTCGTGTCCCTGCGACACGCGCTGCTTCTGGAGCTGAGAAGAGCTTTCCTCGGGGTCAATTGTTGGCGAGTCGTGTGAGATGTTGCGAGCGAGAGTGTGAGGAGCGAGCCCTCGCCGTCGACCATCTTTTCCGGCACATCGTCAAGAGTGACTGCCTCGCTAGCCACGTGAGCGCAGGCCTATTGCAATGCCTATCACAAGTGTTAAGTTGGTTGCAACGCCAAATCACGTGCCTTCGAAAGGTAATGACTTTGATGGAGGTCACGTGATACCATTGCTGGATGGCCCTTTGCTGTGGTGCATACAACTGCCTGATGATAGGGTAGACGATTGAACTGTATATACGATCGAGCAGATATCATAAGTCAATATGCATGGTACAGGGTCCTGCTTTGATGTATATGTAAAGGTCTGGAGATTGATGGCGCGGCAGAGAAGGCGGAATTGCGGCGTTGTCTGTGTCTTGCGGTCACTCCAATCGATGCTCAGAGCCGCTGATAATGTGCAGCAGGTCACTGGCGGATGCGCTTGGCCTCCCAGGGCTTCGCTATGCGACCAAGTCTGGTCGTCTCGGCACGCGCTTCCTCGTAAAGCGTAGTCTTATACACAATCTTGCGCACAGATCTCTCGACCTCGCCATGCAGACTCATCTTGTCTTGACAGTCAGCTTGCATGTTCACAGCTGGACGGCGTAGGAGTCTCACCGCCCTCAACTTTGGTCACAAACTGGGTCAGTTCTCCGATGATGCGACCAATCTCCCTCTCGTACGCATCAAGAGCTAGGCGTCAGTGCTGATCGGGGCAGAGCTCTCACCGGTGAGAATGTCGAAGCCTGGGCTCTCACGCTGGCGTTTGGCCTCAATCATAGCGCTGTGCCACAGGCCACCCAGATCAAGAGGCTGAAGGGGAGCCATTGGGCTCGGGAACTTGCTCCCGGAAAAAAGAGACGGCCGAGTTAACTGTTGACGTTAGGCCTCTGCGCAACGGCCATTCACCTTGGGCTGGGCTTGCTGGTGCGCCAAAGGTGACATTCGTCCCCGAGCGCGGAAGGATGTGTCATGAGCCGCCTGGTCATCAAGTCGATTCTGGAAGGGGTGCCGAAGAGCGTTGCCAGCAGCCGGGGCTGATACCTGATAAGGCCCAGACGCGGGCACGCCGGCGTGGGGATGATAAGCGGAAGGCTGCTCGTACGGTTCTCGCGAGGCAAATGTGGCCGCGTCTGGACGATTAAAGGCTGGACCACCAATGTGGGTGGAACTGTCGTTTCCTGAGCCCTCGGCATAAACAAAATTGTTGTGTTGACTGCTACCCTCATGGATAAACCCGTGCATGTGAGTCATGTCGGCGCCGTGGGTGCGCTCAACGCTGGGATAATGCTGGAAGTCTTCGGCAACGCCAAGAGATGTGTTGAATTCCGTCTCGGTGTCCTCGGCGAGCGACATGTGGCGCTGGATTAGTCAACATCGCCTTATCCACATACCCCCGCAATGTTCTGCGTGTTCAGGCTGAACGAGCGGGTCATGTCAGAATCACCGTGATACTCGTCACTGAGGAAGATCTTGGGCTAAGGGTAAGGAGTGATAACAAGAGCCAAGCCAGAACTACGCACCTCGTTGTGGGCTCCGCGTGCTCCTCTGGGATGCACCTTGATGGGAGAAGGAGAGGTGTCAGCACCGGGTGCCATGGAAATAGGGAGATCGGCCGATGTGGTCGGAAGACGGCGAAAGGTATGAGTAGGACGAGCGCTGCTGTTACCAGGAGCAGGTTTGCCTTCGGCTCGCTGCACGCAGGATGTGAAGGACGAGCGACTAGGGGCAAAGTTTGCCGGGAAGATCTTGCGAGAGGTTGGCTCAGTGGCGTCCTCCTTTTCCTGCGGTCCGTCAATTGAACACATCGCTGTCTTACCTCTGCAGGAGGCTCCTCTGCACCAGCCTCGTAATCTCTCGCAGTCGTCGAGCTCACCAGGGCCTGGCGCTTGATAGGCCGTGGCCATTTGCCCTCTCGAGTGGCGCTGTGGGTAGCGCGCGGGCCGAAGGATCCGGGGACCGAGACGGTTGATCCCAAGTGACGACCACCGAATCCATTGGATTTAGTGGACGGGCGGCGGTCCAAAACTTGGTTGCTTGACTGATTGACGTCCGCAACGGAGGGTGGCATAGTCTACGAGGGGGGAAGGAAGTGTCAAGAGGTCAAAGTTCAGCATGGAAGTAGGACCACAGACGACGCGAGGAAGGTTGAAACGATCGATAGTGACAATGAGCACGTACGAGAAACGAGGGCGAGGCGGAGAAGGGGGTCACATCCACGACATCAAACTACGCACAGAGGGATGTTATCGTGGTGGTGGTTGGTGTGCTGAGATGGTGGTAACTGGAGCTGTGGTAGCGATGAATTAGTGAGGTAGAAGGTAGATGAGACGGGTGAGATGGGAATTGAGAGTGGGAGGAAAGATGGGTGATGTGGAGAATGAGACAGCGTGTGAGTGACTCGATGCTATATGTGGAGGATATAGGGGGAGGAAGGTCAGTGTGCCACGGTCTTTCAGAGAAGAGAGGAGAGGAGGGCACGACCTGCTCGCGGCTCGATTGCTCACTCAATGCTCTGTTCCGATCGAGATGGCTTCCCATTCGCGTTGTGAATCCTCCCAAGGCCGAAGTGCGGTGAAGGTATCGCTGTCACACGTTTAACTCTGTTTCACTTCACCGGTGCTCTTCACGATCTCCACGAAGAGCTGACCGAGTTGGTGAGCTGATCGTGATACAAGTGATGCGCTGTCGTCCGAGGGGGGTTGCATGGTGTAACGACAATGGTGGAGGGTTGTTCGGTCAGTCACGTGCGCAGATGGCCTCGCGTGCCATGTGGCCATGTGGTGGAGGCTTGTGCCTGAAGTGGACCGTTTGTGTTGCCTCCGCCGCGCTCTCTCTCTCTGCTTTCTGCTCGCTGCACTTTGCACCGTCTATCTCATCCTCCCCGTCATTCAATCGCTCTTCCTCGACATCACTTCTTTCGTTCGACATTTTCTGCAGACAGCACACCCACTATAGCATCTTCTTTCGAAATTCAACGGCCTCTTCTTGCGCGACATCCAATTTGGCATCTTTCCATCTCCTGCTCATATCTTGACATTGCCACCAAGCCTATGTCGAACATCTAGTCTCATGGCCGCCAATCCCCCGCCCTCAGGCGGGCCCACGGCCAACGGCGTCAACGGCGGAGTTTCGTCTGCCCCACCTTCTCTCTCTGAATCGACCGGCGGCTCGAGGATATCGTTCGCTATACCTTCAGCCACTCCTCTAAAAGCCGCTGCCAAGGGTGCGCCTGTCAACTTGGACACGCGCGCGGCGCTCCCGCCCAAACCGGTCACGGTGACCAATTTCAAAACAGTCGCCTCAAGCCTTCCCCCCCGTCCAGGCTCGTTACCATGGCCGCCAAGCACCAACGGCTTTGGAAATCTGATGCGTATGGGCTCATCATCTGGCGGCCCAGTTGCCGGCCCCTCCACCGAGCGCCTCAAAGAGCGCCGGCCAGAACGGCAGACGCGCGAGCGGTCCTTGTCTCGTGAGCCAGGGGAATTATCACCTCCACGTGAACAACGCCCAAGGTCGCGCTCGCGCGAACGCTTCGACGACCGCTATCGTCGCGATCGTGAGAGGAGCAGGGATCGCGAGCGCGACTATCGAGACCGCCGGGGGGACCCCGATTCCCGCGACCATTATCGTGAACGAGACCGGGATCGAGACCGGGATCGAGGCAGAGACAGAGGCCGCGATCGCGATGGTCGTGGCGATAGATATCGCGCGAGTAGGTCGCCTGAGAAGCACTCTCACGATGATGAGCGGTCCAACGGCCATGGACGCGGCCACAGCTTGTATTCGCGCGATCGTGGTCGTGAACGGGAACGAGAGCATGAAAGAGGCCGCGGCAGTGACCCCCGGGACTATGACCGGTACGCGTGCGACCGTCGCTCTCCCGCTAGGTCGCCACGGCGCACAGAGCGGCATCACTCGCCGGCCAAACGCAGGTCGCCATCACCAGCGAGGCGCGCACGCTCTCCGCCACCAAAAGCCGCCCCGAAATGTGCCTCGCCCTCGCCTGCACTACCGCCTGCGCCGCCCCCCGCGCCGCCGGCCGAGCCGCCCCGACCTGTAGATGCACTCCCTCCCCCACCGCCCGAGGAGGTGCCGCCTCCACCTCCTGATGGTGACGCACCTCCACCTCCCCCCGCTACCCCTCCACCTCCCCCGCCTCCAGGGGATCACCAGCTCTCATTTCGTCCACTCTCGCCTAACAGCAGCCACTCTTTCGCACCATCGTCTGGTCTTTCATCGAGACCTCCTGTGAATCCTCCTTCTGGTCCCAGAGCCCTGGCTCGCTCAGGACATGGGCCGGGTGCCCTCAATGGAGTTGCAAGTCAACCGAGTTCTGGGCCTGTTGCAACGAGCGGGTTGAACGGCAATGCGCCTGCTTGGGGCGCCAATGCAGTGCCCAGAGGCCCAGCTGGGTGGGGTTCGAAGGGGGCGGCTGTTCAGCGGCCCGCGCCGACCGCTGCGCTCGAAGTTGCAGCACCGTCACCGCCTCAGCCAGAGTGGAAGTCGCCTCCGAGCGCGTCCCGCCGTCCAGGCATCGGCAATTGGCTTGTGGTCCCTGACCCTGCTGATCCCAAGATTTATGTCAAGCGTTTTGACGGCGTCCTCAACGGGACAGAGGTGCGCGCGCGCGATCCGCGCCTCAAAATCGCCGCCGAAGTCAGAGAGCGGGGCGCCGGCTACATGAAGCATCGCAAGGACGGTCTGTACCCACTCAAGTACGAGTGGGACGAGCACTCGCCAGGCCCGAAACCTCCTGCTCCACCGACGGCCGTACTCCTCACCAATTTGAGCCCTCTCACGACCGTTGAACAGGTGTCAAAGTTCCTGCGCCCACATGGACGGATCAAGGAGATCGACGCCAAGATGGACACGAAAAGCGGCATGCAGCTCGGTATTGTGTGGGTCAGATTCGACGGGCCAGCACCAGGAAAGACCGGCACCGCACACGACGTCGCCAAGAACGTTGTTCGAGCGTGCGACGGCCAGCGGGTAGGTCTGCAGAGCCAGGAGCGCGTCCGCATAGTGCTTGACGGTCGGGGTCTCCTCGCTGAAAAGGCTGTCAAGGAGGAGATGGCGAGGAGGAACGCGCCGAGGCCGAGGCCGCCTCCTCCGCCCTCTGTGTCTACTCCCGCTATCAGCACGCCGAGCGAGGGTAAGCAGACGCCGAAACCTCCGTCCCTAGCGCGTCCCGCTCCAAGGCCGCCTCCTCCTCGCGGCCCGAAGTTCGAGACTTTCGGTCGCAACTTCTCGTCACTGAGCCGCTCTCTCCCCGTCGACCGCTTCCAGCACCAGCCGCGCTCCAGACTCGGCGTGCAGGCCGTGCAGGATTTCTCGCGCGACTTCCGCGGTCCTGCTCAGGATCGCGACCACCGGCGATTTGCGCGTGCCGACCTGTACTCCCCAGCCACATCGGGCTCCCGGTCTCGGTCCCGGTCCCGCTCGCGCTCGCGCTCGCCTTCGACTTCTGAGAGCGACTCGGACGAGGATTTCAGACGGCGCCGCGGAGATTATCCCCGACGTCGTGCACGCGGTCCAGCACGTGCCGCTGTCGAGAAGAAGGAAGAGGACGAAGCTGCGATCGAGCGCGTGCGCCAGGCTCTCGCGAGCAACGGCAAGGCCTACGTTTTCATTGAGGCCAAAAGTCTGCCGGCATCGCAGTCCGAAGCCCATCACGTTCGTGATCATTTCCGCGCGTTCAAGCCGGAGCAGGTATTATGTAACCATACCGGGTGGTTTGTCCTCTTCGGAGACGACCAAGCGGCGTACCGGGCGCAGCGCGTGCTTGACAAAACAGCTGTGCAGGGCCATCGCATCAACATCGATGTGCGCACACACAAGGGTGAGGCTGCTGGCCCAGCTGAGCCGGAGAAGGCCGCAGGAGGGTGGCGCTTCCTCACCATTTCGAAGAACCGGAAGGCTGCCCCCAAGCCCGCGAGTCTCAAGAAGACGCGCCGCCGGCTGTCGGTGTCGTACACGTCGAGCGAAGATGACGAGCCGCGGCCACGCAAGGTGGCCAAGAAGACGGAAGCCCCGGAGGTCGAGCCGGAATCTGATGCGATCGTGGAGGCGGTCAAGGTCGAGCCGGTCGATGACGGCGAGACGCAGGTAGGGATCGAAATCGAACTCGAGCCCGAGTTGAACAAAAAGAAGCGCGCGGGCAAGGAGGCTAAAGCTCCAAAGGCGAAGAAAGCTCGTCTCGAGTCGCCCGTCGCTGAGGTCAAGGTACCGCCCAAGCCGGCCAAGCCCAAGGCAGCCAAGAAGACCGTCTTCGACAAGCTCGTTGCGGCCGATCTTCTCGCCGATGATGAGGACGCGTACTGGCTCGCTCAAGCACTCGCTCACGAAGGCGAGGATGTAGACTGGTCCGATGCCGAACCTGACCTTGACGAGGAGCACCCGCTGTACCACACCTCCGGGGCGTGGCGTGCGGAGGGGTATCGCAAAGTCGCCGCGACCAAGAAGAGCGTCTACCTTCCACAGCGAAACCGTGCGACCGCGGCGGCTAGCGCTGCAGCTATGCCGGGCGGCACAGCTGTGCTTGCGACAGGGCGAACTGCACGTGTCGAGGGCCGCCGCCTCAACCTTGGTCTGGAGAGCACGCGCAAGGCCGCCTCGGCGTCGCATGCCGAGGTCAACGACGTGTTTGCATTCAACCAGCTGCGTATCCGCAAGAAGCAGCTGCGCTTCGCGCGCTCGGCCATCGAAGGTTACGGGCTGTACGCAATGGAGACGATCCAGCCGAACGAAATGGTGTGCGAGTACGTGGGCGAGCTGTGCCGCGTCGCCGTCTCCGAGGTGCGCGAGCAGCGGTACATGAAGCAGGGCATCGGGAGCTCGTACTTGTTCCGCATCGATGGCGATATCGTGTGCGACGCGACGTTCAAGGGCAGTGTGTCGCGTCTCGTCAACCATAGCTGCGACCCCAACTGCCTCGCGAAGATTATCAGCATCAACGGCGTCGACAAGATCGTGCTCTACGCCAAGCGCACGATTCACCCGGGCGAGGAGGTGAGTAGAATTGTCGAGTCGAGCTTACTCCAGTGTCTGTACTCGTACAACTTTGCTCTCGAAACTGATCCGGCACTTCGTGTGCCTTGCCTCTGCGGCTCCGAGAAGTGTACCGGATTCCTGAACTAGGTGTAGCCTGTAACTATGTCACATTATGCATGAGAGCGTAAGAGAGGATGTCGGTTGGGTACTGCACCAGTCTTGGGAAGCGGCTGGCACAAGACCCTAAATATTCCGTTGAGAAGTGGCATCGGGCACTTGCTCTGGTGCAAGTTGCTAGAGGAAGTGCTCAGGCGGCATGCACACGTCGTTCACTGGTGCATTCAAACTCGTTCTGAGATCTATCTTCATCTTCCTCATGCATTCATATCAGAAGCCAACACGGTAAATCTGGTATCAGCGCTGCCTTGCCTCAGAGCTGTAGACTTACCACCACACGGCCGCTCTTGAGATCGTCGAGGCGGTACGACACCTCCTCAGGCACGCCCCGCTCAACTTGGAGCACGCGCATCTTGTGCTTACCGCGGCTGTCGTACTCGCTGACAACGCCCACAAGTGCATCCTCGACGGATCCCACGTGCTGCGTGTACCCCTTCAAACCCTTCTGGCCCTTGAAGCGCGCATCGTACAGTGCTGCCACGTCGCCGGGGCGCGGGTCATCAAGGCGCTTCATGACCGTATGCGCCTGCTGCTCATACACTGGCACTCCCCAGTGCTCGGGGGTTGGGGCGGGGAGGCGCGCCTGGTCGAAGGCGACGCGGAGGAAGCCTGCGGGCGATCCATCGCCGTAGTACCCTCTCTTGCCCTGGTCAAAAACGCCGCGCGCGGCGCGGAACAAAGCAGAGCCTTGCGTCTGACTGGCCTGCTGTAGGTCGTTGAAGCCCGGGCGCCCGATCTGCCCAGATGAGCGAGGCGCAGAATGCGCCGAGTGCACGGAGTGGTGCGGCGATGGCTCACGCGGGGGTGCAGGGGGTGGCGGGAGCTCGCCACCAGACTGGGCGTGTGCAGCAGCGAATTCCGAGGCAGAGGGTGCGGCTTGAGGCGCATGCACCTGAGGGGCTGTGGGCACGGGAGGTGCTTGGGGTGGAGCGGCCAGCGGTGCGTGCATGGGCGGACGATGAGGTACGGGAGGGGCGTCATCAACATGCAGCGGTGCACCGAACGGTACCCCATGCTGCGGGAGAGGTGGGGGCGGGAGTGACTGCGCCTGCTCGTATTCATTGTCCGCTTGCGGGGGAGGAGGTACAGCGCGTGGCGGTGGCGGCGCCGCCTGGACTTCCGAGGACATTGTGCGGGTCGGGCGAGGTGGGGGAGGGGGCGCGGCCTCTTCCTCGTCGCTGTCGTCCTGCGGAGGTTGGGGTGGAAGGCTGGAGCGGGGTGCTGGGACCGGCGGACGGGCGCCCGGCATGGGAGGTGCGCTCACGGCAGAAATGGGCGAAGCGGACATAGCGGTAGGGACAGAAGGAGCAGCGTGCGGCGGGCGGGGAGGTGGTGGCGGTGCATGCTCCTCCTCAGATTCCTCTGGCTCAATGCCACGCTCGTCAGGCTCCTCGGCGTGAGGCGTTTCCTCCTCTACCTCGGGCTCGGGAGCAGCCTGGAAGAGACCGCCGCCCAGCATGCCTCCAGCGCGAAGACGGGCGAGCGTCCGACGGCGGCGCTCGGCCTCCTGCTCGGGCGTCTCGTCCCTTTCGTTCTCGGCAGCTGGCGCGGGTGCGGCGCGAGGTGGTGGAGGAGGGGCGTCCTCTTCCGCGACCTCAAGCTCAGAGCGAACTTCGCCGGCGCCACTCACTGGCGAGAGGGTAGCAGTCACATCAGAAGGCGAAGTCACCTCGTCGACAGTGGACCGCTTCCTCACCGGCATAGGAGGAGGGGCACCGAACCGAATGCCGCCGAGCTTAGCCATGCGAGCGGCGATGCCGGCGCGGCGCTGGGTCTCCTCGTCATCCTCGTCCTGGTTGGGAGCGGTGAGAGGGATGGGTGGGATGGCACGCCCGGGCGAGATTGGTGAGCTGGCGGTTGCAGAGCTATGTGAAGTCGTACGTGCAATGGCCTCGGTGCCCGTCGTTCTACGAGTTGGCACGGGCGGCGCAGGCTCGTTCTCCTCCTCCTCTTCGTCATCACCAACTTCGCCGCCTGGAGGTGGGGGTGGGGGAAGAGTGGGCATGCGAGCGGGCGAGGCGTGCGCAAGCTCCTCGGCAGTGCCATCATCAACAGGGGCAGGCGGAGGAGGCAGCGTCGGCTTGCGGATAGGAGGAGGAGTAGGTGGGGTAGGCTCGTCATCCTCACCAACCGGCGATGGAGGTACCGCGCGCGGCGCAGGGGGAGGAACACCGCGAGAGGGAAGAGCAGGTGCCTCCATGAATCCTGAAGTGTCCTCGGTCTGAGTTGGAACCACATCATCCTCCTTCATGGAGCTAGAGGACAGGGGACGAGGTCCGCGAGGCCCACCCGGGCGGATGCTGGAGAGGCGGCGAGCCTCACGTGTAGCAAGCTCGTCCTCGGTTGTGATTCCCGTCGAGGCTGTCTCTGAAAGCGCGAGCGAATCGCCAGGAACGGGAAGGTGCGGAGGAGGGGGTGGAGCGGAGTTGTCCTTCGATGCCAGGGCCGCGGCCATGGCGCCACCAGCCAACCCCGCGCCCGCCGCGGCCGCAGGTACAGTACGAGCGGGAGGAGGAGGGGCGGAGGTGATGTGGTCGTCGTCGTCACTCTCTGGCGCTGGAGGAGGAATAGCACGGGGAGGCATGGGAGGTGGGACGGCACCTGGTGGCTGAGCTACGGTTTGGGCATCCGCAGCAGAGTGGCCGTTCTGCAGGCCGCCGGCTTGAGCGCCCTGCGTGGAATCATCCCCGCCGTCCACGGTGTCCTCCTCCTCGTCCCCATCCCCCCACGCGGGGACAGTCGGAGGCGGCGGCGGTACAGCACGAGCGAGGGGCGCCGCCATTGGCGGCTCAGTTTGCACGGTAGGGGGTGGTGGAACCGCACGGGGAGGTGGCGGTGCATCCTCGGGCTCCGCGACCAGGGTTTGGGCCACGGGGTGCTCTGGTAGCGGCGGCGGAACATGCGCTGCGTCGTCCTGCGAGGTTTTGCGTTGAGCGGCCGTTTCGCGATCAGCGCTTTGAGCGTCAGGCGGGGGGCTCAGAGCAATACCTGCGGCTTCTGCTCCTTCAATGCCAGCAGAGCTGCGGCCGAACATCTCCAGCGTCTGCTGCCGCTCATGGCGCACAGGACTAAGTGATCCCTCCTCTTCACCAGGCTGCGGAACCTGTGCGGGAGGCTCAATAGACCCATCAGGTAGCTTGCGCTCCAGGCGCTCGGCCGTGTGCGGAGGTGCGAACGACGGGATCTCATCTTCGTCGTCTTCCGCGTCCTTAGGCGCCAGCGCGATTCCAGCAAGCTGTGCACCCTCAGCGCCGAGAGGGCCAGCGCCGACCTGTTCCTCCACGGCACGCTGCTCGCGCTGCTTTGGAGAAAGCGGCATTGGCTCCTCCTCGCCAGGCACCATGACCTGAGGAGGCGGCTCAATCGTCCCGTCAGGGAGTCTTCGCTCGAGTCTAAGTTCAGTGCCGGGAGGCGCGCCTGCAACTGGAGCTGGAACGGCAGTGGGCTGGGGGTCCGAGGAAGACGACTCAGCACCTGGAGAAGAAAGTGACCCGATAGCAGCAGCGGTCGCTGCGAGGACACCGGCGCTAGCGACCGCAGGTACTGCCGCAGGAATATCCTTTGATTCGTCCTTGGCCTCATCGACTCCAGCAGGTGGCGCCGGCGACGGTGCGGACGGTGTGCCGCGGCGACGCGGTCCAGCGGTGCGCCGCGGCACTGCGGGCATCTTGATAGAGGCGGGGGGTGTTGAGGTTGCCTCTGACTCCGGCGAAGTGGCGGCGACCGCCGCGGCGGGGGGTGACATTGCAGCTTCGGTGGGCATTTCCGGCACAGCCTCGTCTTCTGTCGACTTGCGAAGTGATGCCAGGCCAGGAATTGGAACAGGGGCAGCAGGAGCGGACTGCTCGGCAGGAGTTTCGTCGCTCGGTTTAGGGCTGGGCTTGCGGGCGGGGATAGGACGTGGTGCGCCCATAATAGGAGGCATGCCCATGGGGCCGCGGGCCCCAAGCTTAGCCATCCGCGCGGCTATGGCAGCACGGCGCTGCTTCTCCTGCTCCTCCTCGTCGAGCTCCTGCTCCTCACCATCAGCGTCGGCCTCCTTGTGCGCTTCGCCCTCAACCACCTCTCCCTGGGCGTTGGGAGAAGAGACGCGAGGAACAGGGTCTACGGCAGCGCCCTCTGCCTCACCCTCTTCATCTGCGGCAGGCTCGGGTGCCGGAGGAGGAGGAGGGCGCGACCAGGCCTTGCCAACAGGCTTCGGCGGCGGCGGAGCTGGGGCTTTTCCAAATGCACCACCAGCCTGAAGTGCTGCCATGCGCTCCTTGAGTGAGCCGCCGGCGCGAACCGACTTGGCTGCGTCAGCCGCGGACATGCCCTCGCCCTCATCTTTCTTGTTCTCAGGCTCGGGAGATGACCGGGTGGCGGCTGGCGTCTGGTCCACCGAGGCAGTAACGATGGCTTTGTCCGGCTGTACTGACTCGCCAGAGGTTGCGCCCTTCGCCGTCTCAGACTCGCGCTCCCTTGCTTCCTGCTCCTGGCGCAGCTTTTGACGCTGACTCCATGTAAGGCCGCCCCCTGCAGGCTTGGGTTTGATCGGCGGAGGAGGGGCTTTTACTTGCGCCTTGTTGAAGAATGCGAGGCGCTCCTTCATAGACTGACGGGGTCCCTCCTCCGGGTGGGCTGCGATGGCCGCTGCAGGCGCAGCAGGAGGCGATGTGGACTTGGTGGGGGACGCCGGAGCCGGGGATTTGGGACGGACGGGGGAGGTTGTCTTGATGGGAGACGGCACCTTCTCCACATTCTCAGACACGAGAGAGGTAGCTTCGAGGGGAGGGGGCGACTTGACTGCCGCAACGGGGGGCGGCACGGCTGCCACTGGCTCGACACTGGCCGTCGAAGGGGGCTCCGAGGTAGAGGCGGGCGCTGAGGAAGGAGGAGCTTCCGAGACTGGAGTTGCGACCGCAGGCTGTTCAGGAAGCTGGTCGGTGACAGGTGGGACAGGGGCGCTGGGCGTCGGCGGAGCGGGAGACTCGGGCGCAGTAGGAGGAGCCTGTACAGCTGAAGCAGAGGAAGCGGCCGCAACTGCGGGGATTTCAGTGGCCGCAGCAGGGTCCTCAGCCTCTTCGATAACTTCAATGAAGTCCTGCCATCAGCCAAGATCGCGCTGACAGTGACCAGCAGCCACTTACCTTGGGGAAGCCGCCCTTGCGCGCGCCGTCGATCGACTCGCCGACAAGCCAGTCCTCGTCATCATCCGAGGGCCCCGTCACGCGGATTCTGTTGTGAGTAATGCTGACAAGTGGCGCCGTCGCCCAAGAGTGCCTGACCCGGGACAGGGGGCGGTGCATGGTCTGAGCCGGCGCGGTCACCCGGCGCTCGGACTCCACAGCATGCAACATTGTGATGCTGACGGGCACTCACGTCTCATTCTTTGCGAAGGACAGGTCAGTCGCGTGAGGCGACTTATACTTGAGTCTGCTGTGAGCGTTGACGTATACGACGGCCATCAGTTGCTGCGCACGATGACCGAATAGCAACTCGGCGCGCGCGCGACTCACATTGTCCGGGCGAGGTATGGGTACGACATCCTCGCCGGTTTGGTGTGAGGTATACAAGCGATGGAGGTGAAATGAACGAGGGAGAGACTCGAGATTGAAGACGATGAGGGAAGGGAGAGTGCAGTGTCGACGTCGCATCGGGTTGTGACGTAGCACAGGGGGCAGTCGAGCGCGTCACGTGCCGCGTGCCTCGTCATTAATTATCATTGACAAGGAATCGTAATGCCCAAGTCTAATCGGCTGATCCCTCTGTCCTGCAGCAGATGCATCCCGCACCGTTTTAATCTACTTTACACTACACTAAAGGTACTTGAGGATGGCGTCGGTGACCTCGACGGTGGTGCTCTTGCCACCAAGGTCGGGGGTGGCAAACTTGTTCTCGACAATGACCTTGTCGACGGCGGCGTTGATGCGGTTCGCGGCCTCGGTGTAGCCGAGCGACGAGAGCATGAGCGCGGCCGAGCGGATCGAGGCGATGGGGTTGGCAATGCCCTTGCCAGCAATGTCGGGAGCCGAGCCGTGAACGGGCTCGCCCATGACAAAGTTGTCACCGGCGTTGATCGAGGGGACGAGGCCGAGCGAGCCAACGAGGGCGGCGGCACCGTCTGAAAGGATGTCGCCGTAGAGGTTGGGCGCAACGACGACATCAAAGACCTGCGGCTCACGGAAGAGGCGGTACACCATTGAGTCAACAAGCTGCTCGTTCATGTCGACGCCGTTGTAACGGTCGGTCTTCTCCTTGACGCTGCGGACCGTCTCCCGGAAGAGGCCGTCGGTGACAGACAGCACGTTGGACTTGTGCGAGATGGTGACGAGCGGGTTGCCCTTCCAGAAAGTGGCGGGGGCGCCGGGGGCTGCGCGCTCCTGACCACGGCGGAGAGCGAGCTCGAACGCCATGCGGCCGACACGCTCCGAGGCGTACGAGGTGATCTGACGGGTGGCACGCGCGATCTTGCCTCCGTCGGCAGTGTCCTCCAGAGTCTCCTGCTTGACATACAAACACTCAGTGTTCTCACGAACAATGACGAGGTTCACCTCGGGCCCAGGAGTGCCGGCAACGCTGGCGACGGGGCGAATGTTGGCATACAGGTCAAGGTGCTTGCGGAGCGCAACGATGGGCGAGGAGTAGCCGGGCACCTTGTGCGAGGGGCTCTGCACCGAGCCGAACATTGCGGCGTCGCACTCATTCTTGAGCACGCTGACGGTCTCGTCAGGCAGCGCCTTGCCGGTCTGGTTGAACACCTCCCAGCCCGCAAGGAGGGGGACAAACTCGGGCTTGGGAATCGCCGAGCCGAGAGCCTCAATGACACGCTGGGCAGCCTGTTGTCAGCCGTGAACCGACTGGACAAAGCAACTGGGCCGACCATGCGGCAAGTGACGCCGACGGGCCGAGATAAGATCACGAAGCCGATCACCTGCATGGCCTGGGCGAACGGTATCGCGTGTCGGCGCACGACGCCCCAGCTGGACGAGCAGGGAACCCCCGGAATCCCCTTCCGAGAGCGGTTGTACCAGCAGGGACAGCCTCAGCCCGCACCCTTGCACACTCACAGGGAGAACCTCCTTGCCGACGCCGTCGGCGGGGATCATGCCGATCTTGAGCGAGGTGCGCTTGAGAGCCGATGCCATGGTTATTGAGTGGTGGGTGGAATGGGAGGAGGAGTGTTCCGAAAAGTACAACTCGAGTCCGGGCAACTGCGGCGAGTCGCCAGACGCTCGGTGCCTGAAAGCCGATAGGGAGCACGCCTTGATTTCGGGCTCGCTGGGCCGAAAAAGTCCGCCGTCCATCTCCAGTTCTTCATCAACATGCGGCCTCGGATACGCTTCGGAGTCGGAGCCCCCGACCTCCGCCTGCTGGTGCGCGGCGCGCGGTTCTACCGTCCTACGGCGACGAGTGCTGCGCCGAGCGCCTCACCAGCGCGGCCCGTGCCGCCTGCGACTGCGATGCCGCCGGCGTTCGCGGGCCTAGCTGCGGAACTGAGCGCGACGCAGCCATGCTTCGGCGCACACGGAGACAGTGTCGAGATGCTTGAGGGGCCTACCGTGTTCCACGACCGCCTACTCGAGATGGTGCGCGGGGCGCAGCGCCGCATCCTCATCTCGACATTATATATCGGGACGGAGGAGGAGTCCTTGGTGAGTAGTAGTAGCGGTTCGACTTGAATCTTGCTAATGGCAGGTGGACGCTGTCACGACTGCCCTCGCAGCGCGCCCCGGTGTGCGTGCGACGTTCGTGCTGGACTATAACCGCGCTACACGGCCGGGCAAGGGCACACCGGCGAGCACGGTCGACATGCTCATGCCCTTGCTCGAGCGATTCGGCGACCGCGTCGACGTGTGGCTCTACCGTTCGCCCAAGCTGCGGGGACTGCTCGAAAGTCTCGTCCCACCACGCTTCAACGAGGGCTGGGGCACCTGGCACGCAAAGTATTACGCCGCCGACGACGACGTCATGCTCTCCGGCGCAAATCTCGCTGCTTCATACTTCACGAACAGGCAGGATCGGTACATCCATCTCGCGTCGCATCCCAGTCTCCTCAGCTACCTGAACAGCATCACCCGTCTGGTCTCAGACTACAGCTACAAGGTGGTGTCGCACGCGCGGCCGGGCGCTCTGGGCGAGCACGGTGTGCTTCTGCCTCCCGGCTGTGCCCCGGTTCCGGTCGGCAAGCGTGGCGCATCGACGGCCAGCGGGCCAGGCGCTGTGTGGCGCGAGCGCTCGCTTCCTCCCAGAGGGTGGGCGGGACACGCAAACGCGACACTCGGCGCGTTCCAGCAGGCGTGGCGGGCTAGCAACGGGGTGCGCACGCGCGACGCTGCCGCCCGGGGTGCCGATACGTGGTTCTGGCCGGTGCTGCAAGCCGGCGTCCTCAACATAGGAGAGGAAGAGCGCGCGATGGCGGCAGTTTGGGCTGCCATCCGCAAGGCACACGAGGCTGGCGAGAAGGTCGAAGTCGATCTCACGAGTGGTTACTTCGGGCTGTATGCAGCCTACAAGCGCGCAGTTGTCGACTCACCTGCACCTGTACGGGTCATCGCTGCGTCACCGAAAGTGAGTTTGTTCATTCGAGGGAGCTGACGCCAGGCAAACGGCTTCTACGGGTCCAAAGGCATATCGCGCCTCATCCCAGAAGGATACACGCTACTTGAGAGCAGATTCTACGCTGACGCGGCTGCCCACGGTCGCGTTGGACCCGGTGGTGTGCGTTTGCAAGAGTGGGAACGTAAAGGGTGGACATACCATGCCAAGGGGATGTGGGTGTCCGAGGCGGAGGAGGGCGAGACAGCCGAGCAAGCCGTTGAGCATCCTTTCCTGACATTCATCGGCTCATCCAATCTCTCGACACGCTCCTTGCAGCTCGACACCGAGTTGTCGTTGCTTTTGGCGACGAGCAACAAGCCTCTGCGCTCAGCCCTCGGGCAGGAGTTGTCGCACTTGCGTGAGCACGCGCATGATGTCGGGCCAGCGACGTGGGCCACGCCCGAGCGGCATGTGAGTCTGGCGAGCCGTGTGCTCGTTGCGCTCGGGGTGGAAGGGATGCTGTAATGAGAGCGAGCAGGATCGGCCACATACGCTGGGAGCGGGAGGAGAGTGGCGTTCACAACACTTCTTAGACTACATTCAGATGCATAGCATTCATCCGTACCGAAAACCCATCAGCGAACGCTCATCTCACAACCACTCTTTCATGTGCGCTGTACATTGATTCTGTATCTACAACCTGAAACATCTACAACCTGAGACATCTACATTGCCTGTATGATTAGAGACAGACCACTACAACAGCGCGCCCCCTGCATAGGTTCTACTCCTCATCATTTGCAGAGATAGCGAACAGCTTGCGAATATCGTCCAGCGTCAAACGACCAAGGCGACCGATCGCACCCTCGCCCATGGCACCATCCGCCAGGAGGCCCTTGTGCTCTTGGATAGCGAGGAGTCGATCCTCCACGGTCTCACGGATGATGAGGCGCTCCACGCCCACGGCCTTGCTCTGACCAATACGATGGCTGCGATCAACCGCCTGCTGCTCTGTGGCCGGGTTCCACGCAAGATCGCACATGATGACCTTGTGCGCCATGGTGAGATTGAGACCCACCCCACCTGCCTTGGTGCTAATCAGCATCACGGGCAGTGGGTCAGTAATGCCAGATGGGGTACGGAAGCGACGAATTGCTTCCTGCCGTTAGCAAGGCCGAGAGGAGACGCACTTCACGGGCTGAGGCGCTCATGCTTCCGCGATAGCCGACGGTTGTGATGCCGTTGTCTTTGAGGAACGCCTGAAGAAGGTCCAGATAGGCAGTAAATCTGAGGTCAGCGTCGCCTAATAGCAGACGCACTGGGAAAAGATCAGGATTTTTGTGGTCGGGTCCTCGTCTAGCCACTGTTGGACAAGTTCACTGGTAAAATTAGTCTGTTCTGGGATTATGCCTCACAGCGTGCGGCGCATTTTCGTGGATGGAGGGATCTGCTCCTCGAGGAAGTCGGCATCCGAGTCATCGTCCACCGAGGTCGCCCGGCCTTTGCCCTTGCTGTCACCGCGCTTACGCTTCGGGTCCGGTTTCTCATCCTCGTTTGTCAAGTCGGTCTTCAAGCCGCCGAAGAACGCCTCAGCTGCATTCGCGCGCTTCTTGCCTTTGCGGTCGCCTTCGATGCTGGGCTTGACGTCGGGCTTGATATCCTCAATCACATCATTCTCCTCTTCCGCCATGGGTGGCGCCACCTGCGGACGGAAAAACGCTACGCAGCGGAAGACGTGCCCGGGCTGTAATTTAGAGCGACACATAGGACAGGAACGGCATCCGGCGTTGACATCCTCGTCGGTGAGGTCGCTTGCGTCGCGGACTGGCGATATGAAGTAATTTGAGATGCACGCTCTGCAGTACAGGTGCCCACACGGGGTGATGACTTCCGTGCCGTCGAATGGCTTGATATTAGTTAGGTTTCTTGGAAATGAACTCACTTCATAGCAGATGGAGCAATCAACATCCTGATTCGTGTCGTCTTCGTCATTCATGCGCTCGTCACGCTCCTGCAGCTTCTTGACTAAAACATCCACGACTGGCTTTCCCAGAATCGCGACGGCACGGCCGAATTCAGCTTCGTCATTGTCGCGACACTGCCCCAGGTCCGCACCGAATGCTGCGTCGTCGATAAGGAGATCGTCCTCTGCACCTTCGTCACCGGGCTTGCGGCGCAGAAGCCACTGCTCATCAGCTCAGTCAAGACCCTAGGCCTACGGGGTGGTTAACAGCCTGACGAAGACGCGTAAGCAGGACCAGAACGACCTGTCGTTAGAGAGGCGATGGGGTAAGGCAGAAAGGCTCTCACGTGGTAGTTCTTCAGAACAGTGCCAGCCTTGAGATACTTGGTAACCTGCCGTCAGAGATAGTGCGGAGGGAGTCGTACCTTCACACGAGCGCGCTGCTCGATTGCGGCGTAGATGGCGCGCTCCTGTTTGTCAGCACCGGATAAGTGACAGGCGGCTTACATCTAATTCGAATTCTTGATACGCCAAGTTGACGGTCTTCGGCGGAAGCTCAAGAATCCGCTTCCCGTTGAGCTCTGTCTCCTTGTTGCGGCGCAGCATAAGCGGCTTAAGGATCGCCTGACACCTGCGAGCCGCGTTCTTCGGTGTTCTCTTCTCACGCTTGACGACTTGGGATTGATACTCTGAGATGTCCATCGCACCAATGAACTCGAGAAGTGGCCCAACATCGCCCAACGAGTTGACAATAGGAGTGCCAGTTAGACACCACGCGTGGAGCACGTCGAGTTCAAGGACAGCGCGCGCCGAAATGGTCTGGCGATTCCGCACGTTGTGGGCCTCATCAAGCACTACGCGGAACCAATCGATCTTGAATAGAGGGCCGCGCTTCTTCTTGGCCACATAATCGTCTGCTTCGTCGTCAGAGCTAGCGAGACGCTGTTTCTTCTTCGCCTTCTTGTGCGTCAGAAGGGTAAATCGTCTCATCTAAACTCACCGTGATGCCCGACTCGGAGCACAGAGTACCGTAAGTCGTGAGTACAACGTCGAAGTTGCGGATTTGGGCCACAGACTTGAGCCGACCCTGGCCGTGATGAATGTAGACCTGCGTGATTAACCAAGTGTCAGTCAAGCAAACTCACCCGCCACCCGTTTAGAGTCCTTTCCTCAATCTCCCCCTTCCATTGAGTTAGGAGGGCCAGAGGAGCCACAATGAGCTGGGGTGCGCGCTCGAAGTCGGGCGGTCGTTCATTACGCGCCAGCATAAGCCCGATAGTCTGGATCGTCTTTCCAAGACCCATTGCGTCGCAAAGCATGCCGCCGCGGCCACCCTTACCAGTACGCTGCTCGCGCTTCACCATGAAGGCCACACCCAAAACCTGGTGCGCCATGAGAGTGAAATTAGCCCCAGGAAGACGCTCGGTGTTGGCGTCGAGACCCAAGACCTTGCTGGCCTCCTCGACAGTAGCGTCGTCTTGGAAGTCATGCAGAGCGTCCTTGAAGTAGTCGGTCAGAGCCGGACCCGTTGGGCGATTCCACTCCTCCCGCATGCCAAAAGCATCAAGATCGTCACCTTCATCGGGGATGGCAGGCAGATACGGAAGGAGGGAAGGGTGCACCGTGTGGCGGAGTTCTGGAATAAACCGCAGGAGTTGGAGTGATGGCGGCATCCACGTGCCATTCGTAAACACCTTGTTGAGTGAATTCAACCGGTCACGAAGGAGAAACGCGACTCCCTGGAACCGGGGGTCAACACTGGTGATCAGCGCCGCCGAAGTATCTCGACTCACTCGTAGCGAGTCAGCGCCTGCTTGAGTACGTTGTGCTCCTTCATGAGCGAAGCCATGCGACTGTCCTGACCGATGCGCTGCCACGCCGCCTTGACAACTTCTGGGAGGACAGCAGCCCTGCTTGCTATATCGTCAATGAGGTAGGAGTGGTTGCACTTACCGAGCGAGCGCACGAACTCGGCGTAGGCACCAGGTGTGGCATGCTGAGTCGAGGGCCCGGCCACTGGGGTGCTTGTGTGGCCTGAAGGACCAGCTGCGGGCTCACTGAGCGCCGGCTTCTGAGATTAGCGCATACGGTTGCCGTCACCCACTAAGCGCTCAAAAGTGCCAGCCAGTCGAGGGTGTACATAAAGGTTCGAGAAAGCCTGGAAGACAAGTGGGTCAGGCGGAGTCCATTGCATTAGGCAGCCTGATCCCTCGACGACGCGGAGGGCATCCCGACGACGGCTGACGGCACGTATGGCCTCAAACGAGCTCGGCGTTGATGGTTTGCTGAGGTCACGTAGCTCCTGGGTGATCGCAAGCCGGCGGTCGCTGAGACTCATGGCGGACCACACCGGAATCCAGCGTCGAGATTGGCCTCCAGCAGGAGTCTTCGCCTGTGAAGACCTAGGGTGCGACAATTGCGAAGAGCCGATGGCGGGCTTGACATCTTCGTCGCTGTCACCGACATCGACGATAGCCAAGCTTGGGGACTTTCTACCCATGAACTCTATCTCGCTATCGCTGTCGTTGCCGTCGTCATTGTCGCTGTCGCTGTCAATAAAATCGGGCCGGCGTATCAGACTGGATGAGGGGGTCAACGCGGGATGATTGACTGGCTGATTCCGAAGGATGGGGCTAAAACTCAAACTGAATGCGTTGTGCTTAGGCGCGGCGTTATATGCAAAGCGCGACGGTCCCGCTTGAGGGGACGAGAAATCACGCGCAACATCTCGTGGCAACACGGCGGTGGATAATGCCTCGGGAAGAACATGGCCCTGCGGTTAGCGGTCGCGGAATGGGAGGTCGGCTGGGGGCATAGCTTGAGGATGGCATGATGTGCCAAAGACCTCACATGTGGCTGAGGCCCCCGGTATGGTCGCGAGGCACTCACCATCCGTCTCAGACGCTGCGTTCGACACTTTATGTGGTCGGGGATCTGACAGTGCATGGCGTATTCCCAGAGGCTGCCCACGCCGTAGGACTTGCCGCCATCAGGACGGTCCGGGTCGGCTGATAAGTTGATATTGCTCCAGCACTCGTCCTCCATGCCTGTCGTCAGATCGCCATACCCACGACGAGTTGACTTACAGGTGACTGCCCCGTAGCCGTTCCCGCCACGGGCCGGCTCAGCTGAGTCGGGGAGCTCCAGAATGAAATGATCATCGCCTGGGTGTTCAGTAAGGAACCTGTGAAGGATGCCGATGAACCAAGCAGGGGTGGGCTGGCGTCAGTGATCGGCGGTGAGGGGCCGTTTCCAGTCATCAACAACGCGTCAATACTCACCGCGTCGGGGTCGTCAATCGAAAGCACGCGTCGGGCGACATCGTCTACGCGCTCCAAGGAGGGTGGACTCCCCGGCGCGTTGAGAGTAGTCATCGTCATATCAACTCGTCAAGATACGGCTATCTTGTTGCGTCCCCAGCAATGGGGATGGGGGCGCTAAACCGGAGGTGGAGCAGAGACGCGTTGCGGGAGAGGGTGTAGTGCTGAGTGGATCTTGAAGGCTATGTGATGGATGAGTTGGAAGAGATGAGGTGTGAAAAAGGAAAGAAAGATTCAGAAGAGGAGGGAGCAGTTCAGAAGAATGAGACGTTGGTCGGATGAGGAGGAAGGTGGATTCCAGGATGAGACGCGTCCGTCATTGACTTCTGCGGGTTCGCTCTGGTCCTCTCATCCTGAAACATTTGCCACTTCGGAATCAAATCACCCCGCAATGGCATCACCACCCCCCCTCATGAACAGACTGCACGAGCTGCACGTGCCCACCTGTCGTTCCTCGCTACGACTGCACTACTGATGACCTCTGACTGTTACGAGCGACGGCAAGTGGATATAACTCCATTGCAGTTCGCTATCGGAAGACATGTGCCCGCACACAGAACCTCGTCACTGGTGAAATACATTCATGTTGGATGAACAATTGCGCGGTTATGATGCACGCCTCTATAATGTTCTATGCTACAGTGTAGTGTAGAATCTACTTGCTTCCGCGGAACCAGCTGAACATGGAGCTCAGACTCGATCCGCGACTATGCGCGGGGCTGGCCCCGCCGTTCTGGTGCTTGATCGCGGCGCGCTCCCGCTCGCGTTCTGCGTTCGCAGACAGCTGCCATGCGACCTGCCGACCCTCCCATGTGCCCAGAGGGAGGAAGACGCGTGGCTCGCCGCTCACGATCGGGACGGAGAGACCACCCTGAGGGTCCGTTGCGAAGACTTGACCAGTGAGCGCGTCCACCACTGCCATACGCGGTGCGAAGGTCGTTAGCGCCGAGGGGAGGTAGTACACGCGGACTGGCGAGGCGGCTCCAGTGTTTGTTAAGATCGTGACGAGTGGCGGCTTTGCAAACACCGCCGTATGGGCGTCCAGCTTGTGGTGTCGCATCAGGGAGGTGAGGAAAGGCGGGAAAGCTATTGCTCGGCGTCGGGCGTGATTTAGCCGCGCAAAGACGTGGTACATGGGTCGTGAGCTTGAGAAGCCGTGTTTCCAAATCGCCTCCCTGTTGAAAGGGTCAGCGCCGCCGCTCAATCCATGCTCTTGGCCTTGGTAAACGACGGGGTAGCCGTCATTGATAAACGGGTATACGGCAGCGTTCTTGAGGAGCTTCACGTCAGCACGCCTCGAGGTGTGTGTGTGTGGGCACGTACAGCACGGTCCTGAACGATTCCGGGGTAGCGGGGATTGTCGTGGTTGCTGACGTTAGCCACGTGTTTGGTTGTTGATAGAACAGGCCAAGCTGAGCAGGACTTGTAGCTTACTCTAAGAAGGATGCCAGCAGCGTCGGGTCTGGAAGCATGCGGTGGACGCGCGTGATCATGGAGGTGAGCTCCTCGATGGGCGTGTTAACGTTTTGGAATGCCCGGCGGAGGTGGAAGAACGTCGCGTAGTCGAGGATTGACTCGAGGCTGTGCTCCTGGTACCGACGCAGGTAGAGGGGATCAGAGGTCAGATGAATCAGCAGGTTCTGCTCACCTCCGTGGTAAACCTCGCCCATGGCAGCAACGCCTGCCGCCGCGACGAACTCAGGCCAGAAGTCTTTGCGGACGTGCTTGACCGTGTCGACGCGGATGGCATCGATGTGGAACTGACGCACGAGGTGACGCACCCATCCGTGCAGCAGCGCAATGACCTCGGGATTCTCTGTGTTGAGGTCGGGCATATGGTCGGTGAGCCAACATTGCTCTGCCTCGAGCTGGTCATCAAGCTTCCAATCGGGGATGCAGAAGTCGTGAAAGTGCTCGGGCTTGCTAAAGGGGCCGTACTGCGCGCCTGGTATGAACTCGCCCGGTACACAGCCGACGTGGTTGACTGCCACGTCGACCATGAGGTACATGCCGCGCTGGTGCAGCGCGTCTGAAAGGTCAAGGAGGTCTTGTGGAGTACCGAACCGTGAGTTTAGTTCTGTGGTTAGATGCGCCCGCAAACACACATACCAAACATGTTCGACGCCCAGTAGCCTGGTGTCAGCGAGTCCACAAATAAACACATACCGTGGTAGCTCTCCGAATTTGGAATGCCCTCAATGTTGGCGACGACGGGGCTGATCCACACTGCCGTCAGCCACCGCACTCGGCGCGCACAACTTACCAGTGTCGAACCCCATGCCCTGGATATATGGGAGCTGGCGCTCAATACCCTTCCATCCGCCGCCGCAGTAACGGCGGTCGGCGGGGTTGCACGGCTGCGCAGTGCCATCGGGGCGCTCGAATCGATCGGTGACGACTTGGTAGATCGACCGCTCACGCAGCTGAGGTGTAGTCAGGGCAGCCGTGGGCGCCAATAGCGCCAGGAAGGCAGCCCAGATCATGGCGATGAGTTATAAATGAGAAAAACGGAGCATGGATGCTCGCCGCGTCGACTAGTGATACTTTAGGGGAGAATGTGATGGAGGGCGGAGTTGAATACTGAAAGTTCGGCGCGGCGCCGATGTCCGCACGGGCCGACCTCCACTCCCGCGGCTGCGCCACTGAGTGGCGAAGTCAGTCTCACTTACCGCGTGTTATGTTACGTACACAACACGTGCCAGGACGTGTCGTGTTCCAGGCTGGCCTCCACTTCCGACCTCCCCTCCAGCGCGCGAAACAGCTATCATCTCCCACGACATTACCACACCGCACTCATCATCATGGACCAGTTGACAGAGGAGATCGAGAGCGATTCGTTCGTCTCGCGCGAGGTGATGGGTGAGCGGCACTGGTATACAACTGATTCCAGTGTATCAGGTCCCCCCGCGCACCTCGGCGCAAGGCTACAAGGCCGCTGAGTGGGACGTGGAGAAGTTTCTGTGGAAGGGGAGGCTGCGCGTGATTGAGGTTGGGGCGCGGTGCGACATTCGTCTGGAGGTGGGTGCTCTGTCGGCCTGGAGTGTCGGGACTGGGCGACACTGGGATCGGCCCATTCCGTCCATCTTACGTTCCGTCGTCTCGCTTCCGAGCTCGCGCTCACCCCAGGACCCGAACACAGGCGAGCTCTTCGCGCAGGCGACGTACGCCTCGCCGTGGACACAGGTCGAGCCTGTCCTCGACAGCAGCCGGTACTTCGTGCTCCGTGTGGAGGGCGAGAACGGACAGCGGGCGTACATCGGCATGGGGTTCCTCGAGCGCAGCGAGAGCTTCGACTTCCAGGTGAGGCGTGTGGAGATCTAGCTGACTTCAGGTGGCACTGCAAGCCGTCGCGAAGCGCGCATCTCAGCCGGCAGAGGCCGAGGACAAACCACAGAACCGCGCGCCGCCCAAGGACTACTCGCTCAAAGAGGGGCAGACATTCAGCATCAAGCTGCCGGGGCGCGACAAGCCTGCAGCGCCAAAGCCCACGAGCAGCGGCAGCGGCAGCGGCAGCGGCGGGTTCTCGCTCCCGCCTCCGCCGCCGCCGGGTCGCCGACGTTGAGCGCATAATCGCGCATGAATAGCACGGGCCGCCGACGCCCATGCCCATCTGCAAACCGCAAGTTGTCAAGGGCGCAGCCCGATAGCCCTTTCTTAGTCACGCCATGCATAGTAACGAGCCGACAGCGAACAGAGAGGACGCGAACGCTATCCAGGGCGAGCGTGGACAGCATGGACAGCTGGACGTGCGATCCGCGAACAGGATATACTGGATGGCACTGCAGCGCCCGTGCGTTGTCAACTGTGTGGGTGCGAAGGTATGCGAAGCGCCGCACCGCATACACTGCCACGGCGTGACGCCACCGCTATCTCACATCTACTTCTTCACTTCCCCGGCGCTGGAACTCACTTTCATCTCACTCTGATGCTGCGGCAGCTGGTAATCCTCGGCGTCAGTCTGGCGGCCTCAGTCTCTCTTGCGGTTGCCGCGCCCATCGCCCTCCCCCTCGGCGAGAGCAACAGCGTCCCTCTCGTGCCTGGCGGCCGCCCGGCCGATGTCGAACCACCATCTTCAGCACCATCTCCGAGACAAGTGCAGGGCGGCGCACCGCGTCCGGACTCGGACGTGGACTCGAGCAAGATGGGGGTGATTGCGCCCATCGTGATCGCGTGCGTCATCGTCATCGCCGTGGCCTACTTCGTGCGTCCGGCCTTTATCACTCCAAATTCCTAACGCTAGCTATACTGGGGGCGCCTGCACTCGCATCGCGAACGCGCAGCGCAGCAAGCCGCAAACCCGTCGCAGGAAGAGCTCACCGCGCCCACAGAAAGGCCGCCCGAGCCGCGGCGGCGGCGCGGGCTCAACCTCTCCGGCGGGCTGGGCCGGAGCGAGAGTGGGCGCAGCGTGCGCACGCTGCCCGCGTACACGAAGGAGGCGGGGGACGAGGAGCGCTTGTTGTTACGGTGCGTGTCCTTCCGCACGGGGCTAATCGTAGACGCGATCCGAGTCTCTCGAGCGCCGGCGGACACGAGCATGCCCGCCGCCTCTCGGACATGTCGGGCTTGAGTGTCGTGACGGAGGGCACGGACGGCGACGACGAGCCCGTAGCCCCGCTGCACTGGGGCGGGGCGCCGAGCTACGACCTCGGATACGGATATGGCTTCGGAGACGTGTACGACCCGCCCGACGAGCCGCCACCGCCAGGCGCGCACATCTTGCCGCGGGGCGCGCACCCTTCCGCCGCCAGCAGGGCGTTGGGCTCCGCCACGCGCTCCGTCACGCCCACCCGTTCTCTCTCGGTGTCGACGGCGCCAACGCACACATCGCTGCCCTCGACCCCCATCGCACGCTCTGGCACCCTCTCAGCAGGCACGACACCGACGATGGTGACGGCCCGCGCCTCGCTCGCGTCCGTCCCGCCCCTCGCCATCCCTCCGGGCACGCCGCCGCCTCCGCCACCGTCGCTGTCAGCGGTCTCCCGCTCACCGTCGATGATGACGGCCCGCTCGGCACTCTCGACGCCCACCCGCCGCTCTCCCGCACACAATACACCACCGCCTGCGCGCTCGGCGTCATATGTCGCATCGCACCGTTCCACGAGCCGGCACGAGCCCGTTCGCTCCGCCAGTGCTCCACCACTCCCCATCCGTACAGGTGTGGTGCGTGCGAGCGAAGTATTGCGCGCAGTTACCCGCGAGGGAGGTGGAGGCTTAGAGCAGGAAGGGAGGGAAGTGTTGCGAGAAGAGCCGGAAGAGGTGAGGGCGCAGGCACCTAGCGCTGCTTCCCTTGTGAGCGAGAGTTTTGCCGCACCGATCGGAGGCGCGGCGATGAGCCGCTCCGCTCCCGCTCGAGCTCCAGCTTCTCCCCCAGCTTCTCCCCCAGCTTCTCCCCCAGCTTCTCCCCCAGCTGTAGAAATGACGCCGGTGAGGGGCAGGGAGGCAACTACACCCTCCTCCGCCCCCACGTCAGCGGCTGGTGGATGGACCCGCCTGCTGATGCTGTCACCGTGGTAGAGACAACGATTAGATTAGAGTTTTGCCGATTTGCTGCATGATCTTGTCACGAAGACCATTGACGATTACACATAACCATGCATGGAGAGGACGATTACACAATGCTTGTCCTAAATGTTTATAATATGTCACCTCTGATGCGTATACAATTCGTGGGAGGGTATGAGATGCGAAGCAGGTATCGAAATACGCCGCAGATGAGAGGATACCTATGCAATGTTTATGTTGGCTTTGCTGGCGCGGCGTGGTGTCCGGCGTTCGATGATGGGGAGGGAGGTGCTGGCAGCAGGCGGCGATTTGGCCATCGGCTGCGAGGAGGAGCGCGGGAGCGCTGGCGCCACAGGCGGGATAACGGTGGCTGGCTTGGCGGCCGCGGGCTTGACCGCAGGCTTCGGCGGTGAGAGCGGTACGCTGTTGCGCCACTCCTCGGTGCGCCGCCGACGGTCCTGGGGCCGCGGTGGCGAGCGGCTTGTGAGCACGTCGCCCACCGAGCGCTCCTTGGCGGTGTCGCCACGTTCGTGTTTGGGGGCGCGCGAAGGGTCGGCACGTTCGCGTTCTCGGCGGGCCTGCTCATCGCGCTCACGTGCCTGTGCTTTGGACCACTCGTCGCGGGCGTTGGCAACAGCAATCTGCTCCCGGATCGGTGCAGTCACCGTGTCCTGCAGCTTGGAGAGCTTGTCGCGGTGGCGCTCAGCAAGTTCCTCAGTCGTCATAGCACGCGGAGCGGTGCGCGGCGCACGCTCGTTAGGTGTTGGCCGCGGAGCAGCGGGAGGAGGGAGGGCGGAGGCGCGCTGCATGTCCATCGAGAGCGCCCGCATCAAGTTGGCCCCGTACTCCTGGCCAGGGGTGCGGTCTGCGGTGCGAGGCACTCCCTCGTTGCGCTGCGAGATGGCGCGGGCCACGCTGGTCGAGACGACGGTCATATCGTTGTCTAAGGCAGGGGCAGGAGCTGAAGTGCCTTGGACATTGCGGCTCTTGACATACTCCTCCCATTCCGAGTTTCGTCGCTGCCACTCTGACATCGGCGGAGCATCGTTGCTGTCCACACGGAGGACTTCAGTGGGCCGGGCGGGACTCTCTGCCAAAGATAGTCGAGGGCCAAGGTCGGTTGCGCTATACTCGCCGGGAAGAATAGTCCGTGGCGAGCGGCGCTCATCAAAGCTGTTTCCGAGAGAGCGTGAGTCGCGGCGCGCGTAGAAGTCATCGTCACCCAGTAGACGACTGCTGGTGCCGGAGAGGTGGCGGCTGCGGGGGCGGTCATCCAGGAGGCGACTGCTGGCGTTCGAATCCTTGCGTTGGTGCACGCCGTCAAGTAGCTGCAAGCTCGATGACGAATTGGCGCGCGAGTGCATGCTCACAGGCTGACTCGGAGCCGCTCCACGTCCGCGATCCATGACGCTGATTACAGTCGCAGGGCGACCACTGCCTTGCGAGCTGATCGAGCCGCTCTCGCCTGCGCCTCGGGTGTCGTGGAAGGAGGTGCGTAGATTGCCCATGGACGATTGCAAGTCTTGGCGCTGACGACGGACTTCGGCGAGCAGCTGAAGCTTTTGCTCTATTTCAGGATCGGTGTCGTGAACGAGCAAAGTGGGAGTCTGGGGACTAGTGGGCAGCTCCTCATCGCGATAGCCCATCTCCTCAAGGAGACTCATGCGGCGAGGGTTAACCTGCAGCTCGGGTGCGATCGGCTGAGGTTGCTTGCGAGGAGAGCTCATGGCAAGAGTGGAGTTGGAGCCGCTGGCCTGGCCGTCCTCAAAGCCGGGAAGGTTGCGCATGTTCGGCGGTGGGGTCAAGATGCTGCTGCCCTTGCCGCTGCCGTCGCCATGCTTGCCCTCCCACTCAGCCAGCTCAGCGTCGACATTCTTGAAGTTCTCGGCGGCACGAGCGACCTCTTCAGCCTCGCGACGCGCCTCCTCATCCTCAACGATCTGCTTGCGCCTCTTTTGGAGGAGGTTGACGACTTTGAACTGGATGAGGGCGGCGATCTGTTGTCAGCGCCTCTCAAATTGATGCCTTCGGGAAAACGCACCAGAGTGGCGGCAGCAACGACACCAATCTCGACCTGCATAGACTGGGTCAAGGGGTACTTGCCACCGTTGAGGGAAGGGAAAAGCTGGGGGTAGCCGAGGTTATATACGTAGAACTGCGGTCAGCAGCGCCCACAGACAGTATAGCTCACCTCCTTGAGGCCCGCGCGGGTGAAGCAGTCGACGCCTAGGGTGAAGGCGGTGGCGCCGACCAGTGCACTAGCGACGAGTAGGACGTACTCATGAGCCTTGGGGATGAAAGCGGCAACAAGCGCTGCCAAAGTGAAGGAGCCAAGAATGGCCCAACGGGGCCCAGTGTCTCGCACCAGGCCGCCCTTGCGGAGGGCGAGAAGGAACCATCCAAGGCAGAAGCCACCAGCGGCCCCGACCCAATACTTGGCGAAGGTGAAGAAGAAGATTCCAAGTCCCGCGCCGACGATGCACGAGATGCCTACCGCAAGGAGGTAGAGGCCTCGCATGGCGTCGGTCGGAGGATTGGGAGAGGGTGGCTCCAGGGCCGGCGTCACACTGCCATCAGCATCATCACATCACGACCCGCTTTCCAACGCCCAACCAGCCCCAGGAACACCAACTCCGGGCCGTGCACGCTCGTGCCCGTTATCTGGCACCGACTTACCCGAAAGATAGAATGATGACGAGACAGAAGAAGGCGACGGTGTAGCCTGAGACAATCGCCAAGGCGCTCCATCGGTTCTTGCCGCCTAGCGTCGCCACGGGGATGCCAGAGAGGATGAGGAGGGCACCCCCGAGGCCGTACGCCGCATCGAGCTTGGGCGAGAAGGGAAGGTAAGAGAGTGTATCGTTCCATGGAATTGTTTCGTTCGAAATAGTGCCGTTGCCGCTTGCTGTGCCGTTCGTTAGTGTGCCGTTGTTGTTGAGGCCGTCGGTCGAGCCGTTCAGCCCGACCGTAAATGTGAAAGTGAAGACGTTGGTCTGCGTGCCGCTAGGGCCAGGGATAAGGCTCGTGATGGTGGTCGCGATCACTTGGCCTGCAACGAGCGAGGTGGCCGATGCGGCGCCCGACGTGCGGTTGCTGCTGCCCGCCGATGCTGGTGCGGAAGAGTTGTTGCTGTTACCGCTGATCCCACTTGCGCTCCCACTGGGAGCAGGAGTGGGTGTGGGATTCTGATTGCCTCCACCATCGCCGTTGTTACCTCCCGCGTTGTCTTGGGCGAAAGCGTGCCCGACCAGGGTGGTGACAAGCGCCAGACGAGCGAGGGCGAGGCGCAGGCGCATGTCGAGACCGCTAACGGGAAGTGAGCGATGTGTTCGAGATCAAGATTTGCGGTGGCCTGGGGGTATGTGAGAGATGTGCAGCGCCGCCGGGCGCTTAGAAGGAGATGTAAGAGGAGGGGTGAAGCGGTGGACGGGGGTCGGGGGAGGAGAGAAGGCGGACGGAGAACCCAGCGGTGGGAAGGTGTGAGCACAGGCCGATGCAGGGGAACAGGGGGAGTGCTAGAGGTGCAGGGGGAGGAGGGGGAGGAGTGGGAGGTGTGGGGGAGGAGGAGGAGGAGGAGGGGAGGCTGGGCGTATTATAAAGTAGGGAGACGAGACGCAGAGGAGGGAGGTGTTGAAGCGGAGAGTGCTGCGTCTGAGATGTTGAGAGCGACGAGAGATGAAAGGAGAGAGTGTCAAGGAGAGTGGGGAAGGGATGGAGGAGAGATGGAGTGATGATGTCGATGATCGATCAGAGCCCTCTCAGCTCTCCGGCCTAGGGCCTCCGGGGTAGTTGCAGTAGTTGCGCTGTTGCTTGCAGCGTTGCAGCGTCGTACAGTAGCGCTGCCGTTCTCCTCAAGGTTGCAGGCTGAGCGTTACAATCAAAAGGATAACGGTTCGGGACCTGGATGACCTGGACGACCTGGACCTCCTGGACCTCCTCGACGCCTCGACCGGTGTGACAGGTTGCACCGATGGCCCGTGCGTCAGGCTTGTCTTCTGCGATTACCTGCGATCCTGCGATCCTGCGATGCGATCTTGCGATACGGTCCTGCGATGACCGCGATGAGGCAGCGAGGCAGCAGGGTGACTTGATCCCGGACGAAACAGGCGGGTTGGTATGCGTGTATTCGCGAGGACGAGATGAAGATGGAGATTGCGGATCGTGAATTGTGTCGTGGATCGTGTTGATGCAATGCCAAGAGTTGCTAGATAGATCTAGCAAGGTGGTGACTGCATGACCGGGGGGCGAGAGATGTGTGTATAGCATGTACAGTATGGCATGTATGGGCCAGTGGGCTTGTGGGGCGGGAGGGGGAGGTATAGACGGTGGCGTGTGGGAACAAGTATCGTGCCCGTCGCAGGATCGCAGTCGTCGCGGACACCACGACGGACGTGTATAGAAGGCATGAGGGGCTGGCAGGCGCAATGTGCCGGCTGCCGTTGCCGGAAAAGTACGCCATGCCGTCGAGTATGTACACTACATTGCGGCTGTGCACAGGATCATACATAGGAGATATGCAAGACATTGCTATTGTGGGTGCTCTGGGTGGGAAGACAACGCGGCGTTGTGAGTGTGGCCCCGGTGGCGTCAGACCTCGACCACCGCCGCCATGAGAGCTGGGAGCCGAAGAAACGGCAGATTGCGGGCAGAGCCTTCCCGCGCTTCCGGCCCCTCTGACCTTGCCCGGCTTGGCGCATACGACCGTCGAGCGGTCAACCGATTCCCACACTCCAGGCTCGGTGCCACTCATGAACCGAGCATGTGATCTGTCCCTTGCCCCTTGCACTCATGTACTTGACGCCAAACTGCCCGATCCACCCAAAAGTTAGCCTTGCGTCATCTCTAAAATCAGGCGCGTGTTCTCCCATGCAGTATTCACTCGACTGATAATTCCGCCTTCGTCCAACTGTCCATGGCTAGCAAACAATATTACCCAGCTTCAGGCGGGCTTGGGAGATGACTACACGATTGGCATGTTGCGCTCTTCAAGGCACTTGACTTGTGCTTGCAACCTGGTTGCGCCCAACGGTCTGCTATACTGCTATATGGTCTGTCAGATGAGCCCCACACATGCATTCTAGGAACGACCATCTCGCCCCTCTCGTAAACACAAACCAAACATATACTTGCTCCATTCCAAGTCGTCTGCTCCTCATGACAAGCTCCCCTCGATGACCTGCCGAACATGCATCTGCACGTACTCAGATATATACAACTGTTGTCTGCTATGCTACTGTGACAATGATATGCTGTCAACCCTCCCCGATCCTGCAGAGATCCCCAACATTTGAGACAAGTCAATTCTTTAACCTCTCTGCCTTGGCGTGCGACAACGACCAAGCTAAGCTGCCGGACCCGATGTGTCTGCCTCCGCCTCCGCGGCAGCCTCATTCTCGCGCGCCTCAGCCTCCCGGCGGCGGCGCCACTTCTTCCAGCGCTGCATATTAGCATCAGGCGTCAACCTCCAATCTCACCGAGTGGTCGATCGTTGTAAAGTCATCAGTTGTCTGTGCGATGTCTATGAGCTGGTGTCAGCAACCGTAAAACGTGTCCTCTCACATAGCTTCCTAGCTTCTTCAACTCGCGATCGGACGCGCCCTCAAGCGTGCCAGCTCCTTTGAACGCTCGAATCTTGAGTCCCTCTCCTGGATTGAGGGCGAAGTTGCGACCAAGATCATCTATGTGGATAGACTTGTTGTGAGTACGCTTCTGGCGTGCCTGGTTCTAGTGGTACTCACATTCTTCGCCGACCAGTGAGGAAATTGTGCCCAGAAGTATGCCAGAGGCTTGACTCTGAAGATGTCAATCCTTACGCCCGCCAGGAAGAAATCTCAGACAACTCACTCGTGCTTGATCATCTGCCCATAGCGCTGGCTGAAAATCTGAGTGTTAGGATGATCGATGACTTTTACTTGTACTTACCGGGAACATCGTGGTGCGGTCGGCCACGAAGCAGATCTCATATGAGTCAACCTAGACGCAGCGGAGACTCACCTTATACGACGCATCGCCTCCGAGAATTCCCAGCTCGACGAGCTTGGTCTCTAGCCAGCGCCAGTGCGTTTGGCTCCACATCACAATATCGTAGTGCGGGTACACACTGTTGTCAGACTGTATTGAGGTCTTGAAAGCTTACAGCTCCAGGAAATCGTGTAGCCCAGGCCGCGCGCACTCTATTGGTGGGAGTGCCCCATCGATGAGAGGCCGAGTGTCCACGATGGTGTAGTCGATGTCGAGGACAAGCAGCCGTTTCCCTGGACGCGCTTCATTAATGATCTGGGGTAAGTTCCTGATATTGATTGAGGGGGTCGTTCACTCACGGTGATGGGATAGTTCTTGACGAGCTCAGCCACCTTGCGTAGATTGCGCGGGTCTTCCTCAGGTGCAACATATCGACCGTCCCGACCACGGGCTGGGTAATTGATATCAAGCCCGTCGTCGGGAGGCGGGGGCCCTACGCGCTCCTTGAAGCGCAGGTGGACGGGCGTACCGACCATTTGGAAGCGCGCGCCGTTCTTCACGCCGACTGCGGCGAGACGTAACCCGTCCGCATCCGAGCTCAACTTGGCCTTTGTGAGGCCCATGATCTTTTGCGCATCGGCCGGCACCTCGGTGAGCGCCTCGATTTGGGCACGCAGGTCATACACGCTGGTATTAGCATGTGAAAAGCGGACAAAGGGGCCAAAGAAAGAGCACGCACAGGTCGCTCGAGCTGGCCACCAGCTCAAATGACTTGCCTGCCCATTTCATGAGCAAGAGCAGCTTCTCCTCGACCACGGAAGGCGGGGCCGTAATGGGGCCTTCGAGCGTCTGGTGACCGTCGCCATTCGACATCTGGACATCGTCTGCTTCTAGGGAATCGGGGGCGGGGGTAGTGGAGGTGGCGTCCAGGGTGGCGATACGAGAAGGCGATGACGCGCCACTGGATGGCGCAGCTGCTGCCTCGTTGAGCATGGTGGGCGGGGGAGATGCGGGAAGGGTAGTCGGCAATGTCAAAGCAGATGTAGGAGACGGCGATACATCAGCTTCGGGTGGCGCCATCGTCGGTGGAGAGGTTGCAACACGATGACCGCAACTCAGCGACGGTCGGAGCGACAGGAGCGATGGTAGGCGGATAGTTGGGCGCGTGGATGGGCTGACTAAGTCCACTGGGGACTGTGGATTGAAGATGAAGGAGAAGAGGATGAAGAGAGGTGTAGAGAATAATGGTGAAATACTGTACAATGAGTGAAGGTGAAAGACAGAGGGACGGCACAACACGCGCACGCGCACGCGATCGAATTGCGTCACCCGTCTACACTCACCCCACACTCACATGGCATGTAAACAAGTGGATAAACCGAGTGGCATGCCAGCTTCAAATGCTTCCGCCTTAACACTACATCTCCTGTGTGCTTCGTTCGGCCCATGCATCTATAACCACATCATCATGCAGAGGAGTCATTGTACAAATCATAAGGAGCGTTCGAGGTTCAAAGTCCCGCGTACCTCGCACCCGTAGCCACGGAGGTCGCCGCCGCCCCACACTGCCGACCCCATGTACTGGAAACCTCCCCAGCAGCGCAGCGGGCGAACAATGATCGATTCAGAGGCGAGCACCTTATTCCGTCGTGACGGACTTGGCAAGATTACGAGGGAAGTCAACGTCAACGCCCCGCTGAACAGCGATGTCTGGGTGTTAGCGAGGAGAAAGGAAGGGAAAGAGCAGACGGAAACTCACGGTACGAGAGGAGCTGAAGCGGGATAACGTTGAGGAGGCCCTGAAGGCAGTCGGTGGTCTTGGGGACAACGACAGTCTTGACATCGGCGGGCGCCTCCTCACCCTCAGTGATGAAGACGATAGGCTTGCCGTTACGGGCAATGACCTGCTGGAGAGCAGACTGGACCTTGGGGTAAAGCGAGTCCTTGGTCATGATGAAGATGATGGGGAGGTTCTCGTCGACGAGGGCGAGAGGGCCGTGCTTGAGCTCACCGGCAAGAATGCCCTCAGAGTGCATGTAGCAGAGCTCCTTGATCTTAAGGGCACCCTCGAGGCAGGTCGCAAACTGATAACCGCGGCCCATAATGAGGAGCGAATTCTGCTTGGCGAACGAAGTCGCGAGCTGCTGAATCTCCTTGTCCATAGTGAGAATGGTCTTGATCTGGCCAGGGATGTCGTGGAGACCGGCGATGATTTCAGCCCGGCGACCAGCCTTGGACATCGAGTCCGAGGCCAACTGAACAGCCATCATTATCAGGGCAATGTACTGCGAAGTGTATGCCTTGGTCGACGCGACACCGATTTCGGGGCCGGCGTTGATGTGGATGCCGGAGTGAGTCTCGCGCGAGAGGGTCGAGCCGACGACATTAACGACACCCAGGCAGAGAGCGCCACGCTCGAGGCAGTAGCGCATGGCAAGGATGGTGTCGGCCGTCTCACCCGACTGGGAGACAAAGATGGCGACGTCGTCACGGAAGACCGGCGTGCGGCGGTCAAGGAAGTCGGAGGCAAGTTCAACGGCAACTGGGATCTCGGTGAGCTCCTCAAACACCGGGCGGGCCGCGATACACGAGTGGTACGAGGTACCACAGGCGACGAACAAGAGACGGCGGCCACGGCGGATGACCGGGAGGTAGGCCTTGAGGCCACCGAGTGTCACGGTGTTGTTGTCAAAGTTGACACGGCCACGCATAGTGTTGACGACCGACTCGGGCTGCTCGTAGATCTCCTTCTGCATGAAGTGGGCGTACTGGCCCTTCATGATCTCGGCGAGCTCAATCTCCAAAGTCTCAATGGCACGGACGGACGAGAGGCCGTCGTCACGGCGGAGACGGTGGATGTGGAGCTGACCATCGGCGATGTGAGCAATGTCATCGTCCTCGAGGTAAAGAACCTTCTTTGTGTGCTCGATGATGGCGGCGGGGTCCGAGGCGACGTAAAACTCGATTGGCTGAGGCATGCCGTCCTCCGAGAGGAAGGCACGAGACTGCTGGCGACGCAGGTTGGAGCCAGCAGGGGCGTTGCCATTGGCAGGGACGGCAAGGAGGCCGTTGGCGTCGCCGACTTCGGGAACGGCGATCTTGTCGTCCTGGAGCTCGACATCGACGAAGTCAACCTTGAGCTTGCGCTCCGACTTGACACCGATGAGAAGGGGCGAGCCACGACGGGCAGCGACAATCTCGTCCGGGAAGTGGACCGACTTGAAGACAAAGGCGAACGAACCCTCCAGCTCCTTAAGGACCGTCTTGATGAGGGTCTGGAAGTTGAGGCGCTTGTTGGGCTGGCTCTCGTAAACGTACTTGCAGAGCATGGCGACACACTCGGTGTCGGTGTCGGTGCGGAACACGTAGCCACGCTTCTGGAGGACGAGCTTGAGCTCCTTGAAGTTGGTGATGATACCGTTGTGGACGACAGTGAACTCAGTCATTGGGTCGCTGACGTGGGGGTGGCAGTTGAGTGTGCAGGGAACACCGTGAGTAGCCCAGCGAGTGTGAGCCATGGATGTCTGGCTGACGAACACCTTCTTCATGTCGATAGGAGACGTGAGGGCGTTGGCCTCGTTGCCAGGGGCGGGGGTAGGGATGCCAATGTCGACGTGCTTGCGGAGAGCCGAGACCTTGCCAACCTCCTTGAAGAGGATGTAGGGGTCGCTCGGCGAGTCGCCATCGATACCGATACCGGCCGAGTCGTAGCCACGGTACTCCATACGGGCGAGGGCATTGCAGAGAACGTCGCAGACGTAGCGGCGGTCACGCTCGGTCAGGTACGAGCAGTAAGCAAAGATTCCTACCAATGTTAGCGTGGGGCTGGGGCGCGTCAGTTATCGACATACCACACATGATGGCTGCGGGCGAGAAAAAGAGAAATGACGCAGATGTTGACGCGAAGGAGACGCAAGCGATGGCCAATGTAAGGAAGGGTGGCCGGGGTATATGGGATCGAGTCGCAACAGCACAGCGTCGAGAGTCACGGGCATTGCAGGCGACGGTGGGAGGTATTATACGATTCAGGACGCGTGTTGTGAAGACGGGGGCAAGGTGGGAATGCAGTGGTGGGCGGCGGATCGGGGCATGACCGAGGCGATGTGATTGACGTGTCAGCACAGCATAACAAATCGCACGGAAGTCGATATGGGATCTGGGAAACAAGTCCGGCACCCGGCAGCCCGGAAGCTGGACCATGGGGTAGTAGCACAGCCGGCTGGCAGATGGGTTCTGCGAGCATTGCAGCGCGTCCCGCACACTGGTCTGCAGCGCGTCTCGCGGCAGATGCTTGAAGTGATCCACATATGGTCTCCGGACCGATCTGAGGGGGCTCCAGCATGATGTATGCCCCCCTCGCCCTTCAGCCGGCGCACAATCAGTTCCCCAACAGAACAAGGATAGGAAGGACCGCATAGAAAAAGAGAGAATCGAGAAGAGCGACTTACAAGTTGTGTTTGCAGGGAAGGAGATGAAGAGAAGGAAGAATGCAGTGATGCGGTGTTGTCGCGGCGACAGCGAGTGGTGACGGACCTTGCGACGTAAGGGGTTACGGCGCGAAAGAGGGTGTCAAGGCTTCGAGTCGCAAAGCGAGAGTAAGCTTGGCGAGAGCGAGTATGTATCGAGGGGGAGTAGTAGATGCTGGGATGAAAGATGTGAGAGATGAGTGTGTAGGAAGCGAGAAGTGATGAAGAGGAGATGGGAGCGGAGGCGCGGAGGGGAGTAGATTGTGCTTTGCTGGCAGCTGGGAGTTATTAGCGGTGGGCCAGGCGTGCAGGCGGAACAGGGTAATACGGTTTGGGTGGCGGAGGAGTGTACGGTACGGTACGTAGGGCGGTATGATGGGTGAGAGATTCAGGTGTTTGTTGCCTTTCGGTTGAATCGAGCACTCCCGCTCGCTCGAGGATCGAGGACTCGTGTCGCGTGTCGCTCAGAGTTTGCTCTGGATGTCTCTTCCTCTGACTCGATCTCGTCGGTGGCGTGCGCGTCACAGGCCCAAAGGCAACAGGCCAACAGGCTCAAAGGCCACAGCGATTCTCACATACAGAGGGGTAAATAGCGGATCATAAAAGGGTCAAACGGTCATTTCAGCCAATGGGGCCAGGGCCACACGGGGCGGTGTACCCCGTCGCACCACTTGTCTTGCTCCGGTCCTCTGGCCTCTGGGCGTAGCTGATTGTCAAGCCGATCGTGGATCATGGAGGATCAAAAGTCTTGGCTCGGTGAGCCCATGGGTGCATGGGTGCACCCGCTGTGCGCATTGGGGCTCGTGTACAGTGCAGGCGCATGCCGGGGCATGCTGCATAGCTGCTAGCTAGCTGTGTATAGGGTAAATTGACCCCGGACCTTGGGAGCCTGGCAGCTGGTCACAGCTCGGAGGTGGCGGCGGCCATAGCGGTGAGGATGCGACGATGGCTGTGAGCTGTGAGGGCACGCGAAGGGCGAGGGTGCGTGCATCCCCCTGCATGCCCTGCACCCTTGAACTGGTGTTGCGACGATCTGATGGATTTCGGAGGGGATCAGAGGCTGATCAAAAAAGAGGGATCGAGTCCGCGAACCCAGGTAATGCACATGTCGCCCCAATACCTGCGGCGCAAACGCTGGGCCTTGTACTGTAATTCTGTAAAGCACAACAGGTGGAATGTCCACTGATCCACTAATGCACTGAGAGTGTGACGGGCATGACGGGGTGACAGGGGTGAATGCATGGGTACAAACGGCAGGAGGGAACATGAGCGCGCGTACGCGACGTGAACACGCTTGTTCGCGACGTGGCTTCAGGGCTCAACCCGAATATCCTGCCGAGCTGCCGAGGACATCCGTTCCTCTCGGTTCCTTCCCTTTGTGATCTGCCTCCGTTAGCTCCGTTGCTCGGTTTGACTCGAAGCTGGAGTCGATCGTTGACGAGGCCGGCTGCCCACGTGGCCAGTGTGGTCACGTGATATTTCGTAATCTCACGTGTTGTTTAGCTTCAGACCTTCCCCAGATCCCCACAACTTTGGAGTGTGGAGAGGAGAGAGCGGTGATGACGGCCGAGAGGCGACCGGCTGGAGATTGGACCGGGTGCGAGCTAACCAACAGCTAGTCCCATCTCTTGTTGCGCCCAACACTCTACACATCACTCATTCGTTCTCGACGCTATGAGCGACTCTCTCGCCGCGGACAGCACCGCGCCTGGCGCTCTGTCGGCAGCAGCAGACATCACACACGACTCTCACTCCGATCCCACCTCATTCACTTCCTCCCCCACATCAGAAGACCCCCCAATGGTGCACCGGTCCAAGACAGCCCCGCCACCTCGAGCCGAGAGTAGCGGCAGTGAAGATGAGGAGCTAGAGATGGACACGTCAGCCGTCTCCGAGCCCGAGTCCATCGATACTGACACGCCAACGGGCATCCTCTCCCCTCCTTCCTCCGTCCTACGACGCTCCCGATCTAGCATCGACGCGACTAATGGACATCGAGTCACCAAGCATCTGCGCTTTACTGCAGTCGGCGGCGAATCGCCTTCCGTCCCTGTTCCCGAGGGCAAAGTTGTCTACCCCGGCGGGGCGCGGCGCCGCAAACGCAATGTCCCTCGTGATCAGGAATGGCTTCTGAGCGGGCCTCCCACACCAAACCTCTCCGAGACGTAAGCCATCATTCTCCGAGATCGCTCGACGACCTGAACGTCCGGTGTGCTCAATCGCTAACCCCAGTGCCGATCAGATCCGGCGCACAATCTCGCTTGCTTCCCTAGATCACCTTCTCCTACTTCGCAATGACCAGGAGGAGCGCGCTCGTGTCGTCTCCGAGATTTCGCGCGCAGGCCGAGAGCTCGTATGGCGTAGCAAGGATGAGAAGCGGCTGTATCCAGACGATGCCGAGCGCAGCCTCATTCTAGCTCTCAAGCGCGGCCTTCGTGAGTTTCTTCGTGCTCACACTACTGACTGCGAGGTTCCTTCATTCTCGCGTTCAGCGTTCGAGCTGGTGTAAACGTGCTGATCGTCCTCTTCCGTGTGCTCAAGGCCGGAAAGCGCGGCAAGGGTCGAGTGACCATGACGACGCTCCGAAAGGCCATCTTCGGAGAGGAACCGATGAGATTTGGTGCGATGATTGGGACGTTCACCTTCCTCAATTGTCTCACTCTCCATCTTCTGCGACTTGCGCCCCCACTCTCCTACATCAAACGCAGACTGCGACACGGGCTCTCGCAACCTACGTTCGGCCCACCTCAACGTGAAGGCAATGAGGGCGAACGGCGCTGGCAAGCTGCTGCAGCTGGTGCGGTAGGAAGCTTGGGCCTGCTGTGGGAGACGGCTGGCCGGCGGACCGGCATTGCACAACAGTACGTAGTTGCGCTGAAACAGCTACTGACTGTGCCAGGATGTTCGTGCGTGGACTGCAGGGGACATACAATCAGTATGCACCGCGCATGGGCATTTCGATTCCCCACGGAGACATCCTCCTCTTCGGTCTGTGCTGCGGCCAGATTATGTACGCCTTCCTTCTTGCCCCCGAAACTCTCGCCCGCGAATACTACAACTGGATCCAAAGCGCCTCCGGCGTACCAAAGTACGCGGTGGCGTCAAACCGCACCGCCGTTCGCCACAACCTCATCGCTCCGGCCCAGCTTCAGAAAGCGCTGCGAGAGCCACGAGTGAGTGCCTCCCGCACGGACTGTACTGATGCTAAGGGCGTGACCCCTCGTCATGCGCGCACTCTCCGTGCGATGCTGGAGCACCAGGCCAAGGGTGGCAGGCCTGACTGGCATATTCCGTGGTGAGCCAAGAGATATAAGTCCCAAGCTGACCTCAGCGCTGTGCTGCATCCTTGGATGGATTCGTGCATTATGTGCGATGTCCAACGCTTCTTCCAGGTCTTCGTGAGTCGGGAGTGTGTTGCTCAGCTCACACCAGCGCTTTATGCTTCCTGTCTACGGCGCACTACATCTCATCCCTCCCCTAGTTCTCCGTCGTCACCACTTCAAGAATGATCCCCTGCGCATGCTCGCGAAGATCATCTTTGGCATAGTGCGCAGCTGCTCGTTCCTCGGGTTCTTCGTTGTCATCAACCAAGCGCTGTTTTGCATGCGCTCGCGTACCCTTGACATGCCCAACATTCCCAATCTGCTCCGCCGCATTCTTAACCGGAAGGAGAACCTGTGGGTCATGGGCTTCCTCAACGCCGCCTCACTGTTCGCCGAGGAGAAGCGCCGCCGCGCTGAGTTGGGTAAGTCGGAGCGATGTTATGTCACTTACAGCAGCCATGTACGTTCTTCCTAAGGCGCTTGAGTCGGCGTGGTCGGCCGCGCGACGCCGAGCGTATGTGCCCCTCGTGCCCTTCGGCGAAACAATTCTTGGTGCCGCTGCCATGGCCATGGTTATGGACGCCTATAAGGTAAGCTGATTCATTGACCTTTAGCTGACGTCAAGCACTCGCCGGATTCCCTTTCGGGCATCGTGCGCAAGCTTATGTTCCAGCTGGTTGGACCTGTGTAGAGATGAGTGTGCCGATTCTTGCCCCACGGAGAGCCCGTTGTATCCCTAATTTGCACCGTGTGCCAACTCGCTGCCTTTCCTCCATCACAGATGATGCGATATATATTCAGCGACCTCCTGAGCCAGTGGCACCTTGCATGAGCGCTCAGATATGTGAGCAGTGAGCACTTGGTGGATGAGAAACTCTGATCATTGTGTTTGTCAGTGAATAGGTGAATAGAGGGGTAGCGTGCACCGCAGATGCGGCTGTAGCAAGCCGGGTACATGAGACACCACGAGGAAGCAGAACCACCTTCGCAGCGAGCCCCTCAAGTCGTAAATGCCAGACCAAACAGTCTGCGTCGGGTTTCCCAGACATCCTTCGCTACAGATATCACCTCGAGGCCGAACCTCAGGAGCCCTCTCAACGGACCTCGTCGCGAGAACGACAAGGAGTTCTCCATGTTTTGGGGATATTGCCCTCGGCCCCAATTCCGCTAGTATTGGAAGGTGCTTTGACTGACCTTTCCTGAGGCATGGCATGGATTCCCGTCGAGAAGCCCCAGGCATCGCACCACAAGGGCACAAACTTCATCGAGAAACGGCAGGGCAAAGTCAAGTCAGTCATGTGACTACAGTAACACAAAGCACAAGACGTTAGTCAGCGGAAAAGGCATCCGGGAGTAAGGCAGGTGATGCGCTAGAGCACGATGTGCATGACTACCGAGCTGTAGCTACGGTGAGACGGCAGCTAGCGGAGGAAGAGCGACACAGAGTGCCCCAAGCTGTCCTTGAAGAAGCATTTACTTCTTGCCCTTGGTGGCGGCGGGCTTGCTCGACTCGTCGAACATGTAGGTGAGGCCGCACTTGCCGCAAGCCTGGCGGTCCTTGTGCATGGCCACTGTCTGTCAGCAACGGCCCGAAGATCGCAGAAAGCGTATCGCTGCGCTTGCGCTGCTGCAACTCACTGAAGACACCGGCACCGCAGGTAGGGGCAGGGCACTCGCGACGAAGGCGGGTGATGGCACCGTCAGAGCCGACCTTGTAGTACTTAAGGACGGCCATCTTGACCTTCTTGCGCTTGTGCTTGATCTTCTTGGGGGTGGTGTAGTTCTTCTTTTTGCGCTGACAAGTCAGCGCGGGTCCCGACAACAGGGTATGTCACTGCCGCAACTCACCTTCTTGGCCATACCGCCGCGAAGACGAAGAACGAGGTGGAGGGTCGACTCCTTCTGGATGTTGTAGTCCGAAAGGGTGCGGCCGTCCTCGAGCTGCTTGCCAGCGAAGATGAGGCGCTGCTGGTCGGGGGGGATGCCCTCCTTGTCCTGGATCTTCGACTTGACGTTGTCGATGGTGTCCGAGGACTCGACCTCGAGAGTGATGGTCTTGCCCGTGAGGGTCTTGACGAAAATCTGCATCTGCAACTGTCAGCGGTGCTCTCATGAAGGTAAGGGCGCGAGCGGGGTCGACTCGAGCATACGAGGACGCAGACGAAGCGGATAACGGGGCTACATCCAGATGACCGATGCATCTGCGACCCGACTCCGTCCGCCACCCCGTCTGCGACATAATGACCGTTGGGAGTGTGCAAGACGCGCCCTTGGGCCGCTCGCGACGTCTGGACGCGTCTCGAGTGTCGAAAAGGGAGGTACTCACGATGGGCGAGGCTCTACTAAGCAAGTCTTGCTATCCTTGAAGAGGCTGAGGAATCAAGAATGTCGCCGTCGTTGCTGATGGGAGGCCCTCGAGCAGAGACCCAGGCACGAACTTTGGAAATCTGGCAGACAAGATGCCGCATTTCGCCGAGAGTGTGGCACAGTTCAGGGCCCAGAACCAGGCGGTGTCCAGGCTATGCATGAAATGTGGCTTTGTTGACAGCCCAGCAGCCAGCGTGCCAGTGTCCGCCAGGGCTTTGCAAAAGCGCATCAGACGCGACAATGCATGTGCTCAACATTACCGCAGACGGTCCACCGTGCATCGCGGCGAGCGCGGCGAACAGCTCCTCTCTGACAGCAGCTTTATTGTCCTGCCCCATCGTGATGCGCAAAGCTTCAGCAAGGCGGGAGGAATGCAGAGTGAGTCCTGGGATTTTAGTCCCGTTTGCCACCTAAAGGCCTAATCGGTTGCGGCCCGCGTGGTGGTGAGTGACGGACAGTGAAGGACTGCCCGGCGGCGCCCATCCGATCCTCGTCTCCTGGACATGCAACTCGAACTTCATCTTCATCATCCTCTTCCTCCTCGTCCTCATCCTCTTTCATCCTCTTCATCCCTCCATCTCCTCCGTCCCTCACCCCTCCGTCCCTCCCCCTCCGCACCTTCTTCCCGACCTCCCACTCACCTCCATCCTCCCTTTCTTCACCTCCATCCTCTCCCCCCTCCGTTCTCACTCTCCGTAGTCTCCCCCTTTCCTTTCCGCTTCCCCTCACTCCCGCAACCTCAACTTTTCCTCGCCTCTTCCCCTCCTCTCCTCCTCTTGCGTGACCTCACTCCGGCACACGCTCTCTCTCTCACCTCCCTCTCTCACGTCTACACTTTCGCGCAAAAATGGCCGACTCCGGTGAGTATCCAGGAACTAACGCGCGTCTCATGTGGACGCGTCCACCTTCCTTCCTCGCGCACTCTTGACGCGCATACATTGCTCACACAAGACATTGCCTCCCCTTCGTCCCCTGTGGACCACCAGGTTAATGCGGTTCCTGAGGAGCTCACCCTCCGCGCTCTCGTTTCCACCAAGGAGGCTGGCATAATCATCGGCAAGGCTGGTGCTACCATCGCCAACGTTCGTGCGGTTGCCAACTGCAAGGCTGGCGTTTCCAAGGTCGTCCCCGGTGTCCAGGACCGCGTCCTCAGCATCTCGGGTGACCCCGAGGCCATCGCCGCCGCGTACTCCGAGATCGCGCGCCTCCTCCTCGAGACGCCTCTTTCGGATTCGTCCCTCCCTCCTCCCCCGGCGATCGCCTTCACCTCGATTCGTCTCCTCATTAGCCACAACCTCATGGGTACGGTCATCGGTCGCCAGGGTGTCAAGATTAAGCAGATCCAGGATATGTCGGGCGCCCGTATGGTCGCGTCCAAGGAGATGCTTCCTCAGTCGACGGAGCGCGTCGTCGAGGTCCAGGGTGCTCAGGACGCGATCAAGACTGCTGTCTGCGAGATTTCCAAGTGCCTTCTCGAGGACTGGGAGCGCAACGTTGGTACTGTCCAGTACCACCCGGGTGCCGGCGGCGACGCCGGTGTGCTTGCTGGCGGTCTCGGCGCTCAGACGGTCACTGGGCCTACCGGCGGCATCCGCCGTACCTCGATGGGTGCCTTTAACGCTCAGCAGCCCAACTTTGGCGATCGCCGTGTTTCGCGCGGCTCCATCTCGGGTGGCACTGGCGAGCGTCGCATGTCTGAGTCGCAGAGCACCCCTCCCCTCAACGACCCCAACCTCCGCACCCAAAACATCTCGATCCCCAGCGACATGGTCGGCTGCATCATGTGAGTGACAACTTTTTTTGCGAGACTGCTGGGCTGGTGAGCTGACATGCAGTGGCCGTGGCGGCTCTAAGATTACGGAGATCCGTCGTCTCTCTGGCTCGCGCATCTCCATCGCCAAGGTCCCGCACGATGAGACTGGCGAGCGCATGTTCACCATTGTCGGCACGCCCGAGTCGACTGAGCGTGCTCTCATGCTTCTTTACTCGCAGCTCGAGTCGGAGAAGGAGCGCCGTGAGTCATTCAGTTTCAAGTTCCCTCTGACGGCAGGCGTCAACCAGACCGTCGATGGCAGTGACGCGTAAACAACTTTACGAGGGCATTTCTGTGAATACGTATCAAGACACAGCTGTGACCCCTCCATCTCCTTTGTGCCTGCCTCCCCATCGTCCTTCTTTATCGTACTCTCCATCCTGATCCTCGCTCATGTGGTGGGGAAGTGAATCTATGGGCCATCGTAGTCGATGCATGGCAGTCTGAAGTGATTGCCTGGGGCTGGAGGGTCCAACGGCATTTGAGGTGCATAAGGTGGGCGTGCATGCGTGCGGCGCCACAAGCCATGTGGAGGTAATTTGCCGCCGTTGAATTTCAGGGTGGTGATTGATTAAGTGGTGGAGTGCAGTGTCAGCGCAGGATCCAACCCAACGTTGAATCTACTCTCCCTCCCCAACTCGCCGCATCCTTTCTTCTCCAGCCTCCCTTTCCACCTCTTCTCCATCCCTCACTCACCACTCTTTATCTCGAGAACCGAGCCCCATTGCATGTCCCACACGCCCACTTCGACTACCCCCGGTAATGCCAGCGGTGCAGCGGCCAAACCGACCCTAAGTGGTGTGCGAATCAAGCAACGCAAGGGCCAGGCCAAGGCCACGGCGAAGTTCGAGCCCGAAAGTAAGTCTCATGTTGCCGAGTGCCTTCATAGCGGCGAGCGGGTGGCAAGCCCGGCGTTGGATCACACGACGCCGCGTCGTACTGGCGCCTCTGGATGACTGAGTGGTTGCCCGTCGCCCACCATCCGTATAGGTGCAGGTTCTCACGCCTCCCCTACCACCTTCCCTGCCCGCCGTTCTTTGTGCTCCTCCCGCTCTGCGTCATTCGATCTGACATCCAGTTTTCCGTGACTCGCTTCTCCTTCACCTTGCGCTCGTCCCGACGCCCCCTACGAACGATGCGCTTGTGACCAAGCTCGTCCAGGCTGGTACATCTCTCGAGTTCCTCAAGTACTCGGAGCAGCTGTTCGAGCTGCTCGTGGTCGGTGGCCTCCTTCAGCCAGGCGGCAGCTACCTCGACGACAAGCGTAGCCCGTTCTACATCCTCCAGGATGACTCGGAACTCGGTGACTGGAACCCGGTTAAGGGCATTGTAGAGGTCCTCCAGCGCGTCATCCAGCGCTACCGCTACCTCCAGAAGCCGCTTGAGGAGACCTTCCTCCCCGACCTTCTAGGCTATATCGCCAAGTGGGATGCCTCGCAGCGCGCCAAGCTCGCTGAGGCTGTCGCTCTCTTCGTGGCTGACGTCGGCATCTCAGCCAAGTGCCTTCAGTCGCTTGCAAAGTCCCACGTCGTCAAGGACGGCGTTGCGCTCTCTTTCCTCACGAGCTTTTTCCGCACCTACCTGTCGAAGCAGAGCATTGAGCACCTCAGTGCCAACCTGCGCAGGTCGGGTCTGCGTGACATCCTTTCCGTCTTCCCCGCGGAGAACAAAAACCGCGCCTTCCTTGAGGCCCACTTCAAGAAGGAGGGGCTCCCTCAGATTGTCGACTGGTACGCCAAGGCCGCGCTGAGCGGCGTCAAGGCGAACACCATTAGCACGGTCACGCGCATGATCAATGACGAGGAGTCTAACGAAGCTGTGAGTAATCTATGTGGTGTTCTCCTCTTCGCGCACAGGGTAGTGGCTTACTCCAGATCGTTGAGCACCTCAAGAACCAGCAGGCCCAGGACCCAGTGCCCGAGGCGGACCTATGCGAGTGGATCTGGCTTGGCTGGATGGGCGCGTTCGACTGGACGGCACGTGCAGACCAGCTGGACGCCAATGTCGCCCAGTACATCACGCGCCTTGCGCCGACGCTCGAGCCGTTTGCGAACGGCGCCAAGGCCGAGGTCAACATCCTCAACACGGCCCAGGTCTACTGCTACCAGGACACGCGTATCCTCAAGGCGTTCCCGCAGATTGTCAAGATTCTGTACAACGCCGACTGCGTCAGCGACCAGGCCATTATCTACTGGCACCAGAAGGGCGCCAAGCCGCAGGGCAAGCAGCACTTCCTCAAGGTCACCCAGGCTCTTGTCGACTTCCTCGAGGAGGACAGCGATGAGGAGGACGAGTAGGTGGTTATGGGGTAGGGGCGCTTTTGCTTAGCGACCACCCAAAACTCACTCTGGCCATAGGCCTAATAGTTTCTGCATGATTTTTCTCAACTGCGCGGCGCCTTTCTACTGACGGGACACGTCTGCGGTTGCTCAGCCGCCTCGGGCTTGACTCTCGTGACTGAGCGGCAGCGAATCTTTGATCTATAGCTGTCGAGACGATGCTAGATGACGCTAAATTCAAGTCGCGTGCGAACAGGGTCCAGCCGTTAATGCGTCATTAGGCACATCGCAACCATGTAGAAGGCACGCGATCACTAGAAACAGGTGTCGCGGATCACCAGACGTCGGACAGCTGGACACGAAGAAGTGCGGGAGACTGCTTCACTGGCCGTCCGGGTGCCCATCTATGCAGCACAGCCAATACAGACGCCCGCTCGTCATCTGTTCATCTGCACTCTGATCAATCTCATCCCGATCATCCCTGCGTTCCGTCCGCGTCCACGTCGATGTTCTGATCTTCGATCTTCCGGGCGGCCGGGCGCGGACAAGAAGCATCCCATCGCGCACTCCATTTCCTTTCACGTGCGATCCACCCCGGCGGCCGGCGACCGCGACGCGCGACGACGACGTGCGTGGCACGATCGCCGTGCGACTGCACGACTGCACGACTGCACGACTGCGAGATTGCGGAATGCGGCGAGATGGATCCGATCTGTGGAGGAGATCGTGGTTCTGGCATTCGTAATCTTCAGATCGTCAGAGAAAGAGAGCATCTACTGGCGCATGTCTCTCATTGCTCATCTGCGCGCGCACGCCCGCGCCCGCGTCGCTGCACCGCATGCATCGCTTCAGTGCTCCGTCGGGTTGGCCGCGTCGCCCGATGCGGTCCGCCCGATTGCCGATAGGAGAGGAGACCAGGAGTCCTGCCTGCGATCCTGCGATCCTGCGAGTGATCGCTTGCCCTGCCACTCATGGCAGGGACAAGTCTTGGCATCCCCATGCGGAAAGGGCTGTGTGGCACGAGTCGAGCGTGAGTGGGTGATGAGAGCTGTCGGCTTCCAAATCGCGCTGCTGCCGAGCTCGGTTCGCGCAGCGCACTCGTGGACTAAGCATTACGACTTGCATTAGGCTATGTAGAGATGAGAGACATGGGGAGGAGAAAGTCGTCATCTCGCTGCTGTGTGAAGAGTCCGTGTAGGTGAGGTGTATGCAAATGCGTATTAGGTCCAAATCAATGTCTGTCTGTCTAGAGGGAGAGGACGGCAAGCGCGCCGAGGAGCAGCGAGGCGAGGCCGGGGAGGGCGAGAGCCGACGCAGCCGAGTTGGAGGTGGTGCTCGGCGAGGCCGAAGCGGAAGCAGAGCCCGACGAGCTCGCGTTGGCGCTGCCCGACGCACTGACGTTGCTCGAAGCCGAGGGGGTTGCGCTCACGGAGGCACCGAGGATGGGAGCCGAGAGGTTGAGGTTGAGCTGAGTGTCAGAGGCGATGGTGAAGTTGGTGACGGGACCCTCGTTGGAGTCGGCGTTCTGGTACCACTTGAGGCCGAAGGCGTCGGGAACCGACGAAACCTTCCAGCCGTTCTCGATAGCACCGGGGTACTCGGCGATGAAGACGTCAACGCAGTCCTTGTTGAGGTCGTGCTCGAGAGCAAGGATACCGGGCGACTTGGGGCCGACCCACCACTCCTGCATGATCTTGCGGGTGCTGTCGACGGTCTGCGACTGGCCAATCTTCCAGTCGTTGGTGTCACGGTTCCAGAGGACGCAGTCCATGCCAAAGACATGCTTGGCAATGGCGCGAACACGGTTGTCCGTGTCACCGTACGAGGGGCGCCAGTAGGCGGGGACGCGGCCACCAGTCAGGTCGGCGATAACCTGCATAGTCCAGCCAAGCTCGCCCATGACAGCCTCGTCCGAGAGCGTGGTCATCTGGGGGTGCGACCAGGTGTGGACAGCGATGTGGCCGCCCTGACGGAAAGCACGCTGCATGGTGTGGGGGTCAGCGGCAATGTTGCCGCCGATCATGAAGTGGGTCGCCTGGCGGGTGATGTTGTTCTCCTGCATGAAGTCGTAGAGAGCGGGCGAGGCCGGGGTGGGCCCATCGTCAAAGGTAAGCTGCACAGTGTCAGTTATAATGCTCGGGATCGGGTACGCGGAGAATTAAGTGAGACAACACAAGACATACCACGAACATTCCATCTGGGGCGAGGAAGTAGTCATCATCGGCGCGGCAACCCGTGTTGAAGGAGCAGATCGACTTGTCAGAACCGTCACGGCCCTCGTAGACGGGGTTACCATCGCGCCTCACGGCAACGGGGTTGACTTCGGGCGAGGGGATCTTGCCTTCGGCCTTGACGCGGTTATACTTGTCAACCCAGGCTTGAGGAAGGGTGCCGTTGGCCACCCGGCCAGAGGGAGGGTAGTGGGAGGCAAAGCCTTGGCTGTCAGCGCTTTGACCATTGGCGCGGAGGGCGCTGCGGAGGCTGAGGACGGGAGGGACGTGATGAGCTTGGCTTACCTGGCTGGGACGGGTCGGGGATGGGACCCTGGCGCTTGAAGAGGTTGTGGATTTCCGAGTCGCGGGGTTGGAACCACGATGCGGGAGCCGCGGCCACGAATGGGAGGGCGAGAAGGGCGAGCGAAGGAAGCATGGTGGTGGTAGACAGAAAGCGGGGAGGGAGGAGAGGGGGAGGAGGCTAGTCGGGGTAGCGAAGAAAAGAGGTTGTCGAAAGTGAGTGTCCTTTAGAAGGCGAAAGGGGGTGGGTGCGCGGGGAGGAGGCGTGAGGGAGAATAAAAGGTAGATGAGAATGAAGATGGAGATGAGAAGAGAGAGAGAGTGGAGAGAGTGAAGAGTAGTTAAGAGACAAAGAGGAAGGAGGAGGAGAGGAGGAGGGGTGAGCGGGATGAGAAGAAGATAAAGAGAGAAAGCGATGCCGACGGAGAGAATGAGAGAGAGGAAGAGATCAGAGTGACCCGATGGCCAGATGAGTTGTGGGTGTACACGGTGTACGTGCGGTGTGTGGGTGGGGTGGGAGCTGGGAGCTGGGAGCTGGGAGCCGGGAGCTGTGCGTCCGCCGTATTACGCGGGATGCGGCACAGGCGGCCAGGCGGCCAGGCGGTCAGATACGGGCCGGAGTAACGGCAGTGGACTGGACTGGACTGGACGACTGACTGGTCCAACTCTTCTCTCTTCTCCTCGCTTAGGACACGAGCCTCGCGTCAGCGCCCTACAATCCTGTCTTACTCCTGACTCCTGAACAGCTGGAAAGCAGGATGCATGTGGCGTGCATGGCGTGGCGGCTTACGGCGTGGTCGGTCGTGGGTGTTGCGGGCGAGTGGCTGTGACAAAGCCTGTCGTGGCTTGGCTTGTGGTCAGGCCCCCCTTTGCTCCCTTAACATCAGACCAGGCACTCTTCAGGCTGGCGGCGCGCTCACGCTCTGCTCGTAGCCTCAGAGTGCTCACAACAACATCACAGCTCTCATGATCTCACGCACCTTACACCTTGCAGCTTTCACTGGCTCATCCTCGGATCCCGAGTACAGCAAGGACGGCGAGGATCCCAGGACAGCTCTTGCCTCCCGCCCCGAATTCGGGACCGCCTCCGGCATCTTCTTCGGCAGGCGACCTTCCGTTCCTAGCAATATCCTTCGTTTCAAAACCTTCAACCGTCAAACACCCCCAGCCCCGTCCTGGCTCTCCCTCCTCACAGCCTTCGGTTGTTCACGACCTCTTTCATACCTCATTCATGCACTCTCGCACAGCGCATCGAAGAGCATAGATCACTCGATCACTCGCCAGCGAGCAGATCCAACGGCACAGGATAGGGCGCCAGAGAGAGGCGCCACTGTGGCTGCAGAGGGCGTGCCAAGAGATTTCCGAGGGCGCAGGGGACACCGCGCACGACCCCAAGAAGAATCAGAGCAACGACTCTTTCTCAGGGTGGGCGATGCTCTCGGGGCGCTCAGGGGCCGAACAACACATGTTTCCGTCCGATGGGCGGTGCACCAAACAAAACATCATAGCAGGCACTTCTTACCCTGCCTGCCCTGTCTGCCCAACGCCTTTTTTTGCACCGCCAAAGTCTTGGCATTGCCACAGCGCTCGTATCAGTCTCCCACCTCGTCTGTTCTCCTCGTCTCCACACCCAGTCCACCACTTTCTCGTCACCCCGGATCCCACTGACCAAGACGAACCACGTGAAAAACTTTGGGATGCGTTCTGTGATCTGTGAATCCGGTGGACGCGTGGCACTTGCTTTCAAATCCGGCGGAGTGTCGCAGTTTGGCCAGGGCAGTAGGGAGTGACGATCAAACGCCACCCGATGATTGCAGGTGCGCACATCATCCAAACCATCACGTTTCCCAGGCTGCTCTCGAGATTTGTCAGACGTTTGTGCACGCGCGTACACGCAGGCATGCACTCGCGCATTCAGCACTGCTGATAGTTGAACAGGTGTCGCCAGCAGCAGCCACGACCATATTGATCCGCTACAACAAAGTGGCATTCCGCGTTGCCCACCACATCAAGCCACCCGCAACCCAAACAGCGCGCAGAGTTCCCATGACCAGCTCGCCTTTAATCGCCTTCCAGCGTCTCTCACGCTCCCCCTCCTCCTCCAACAGGTGACCAAACTTGCTTCCCATGACAACACGAGATGGCCAGTTGACCAGATGGCTAGACTGCCGCCCCTGTCAAGCGCTCATCAGCTGATGTGCGAGAGATCGAGAGGCTGGTGCCGCAATAATGGATGGAATGGAGTGAGCGTAATTGGGCGGTATTAGCGCACATTACAAACCTGTTCTTAAAGCTACTATGTTTTGGTATGGCGAGGGTCGCTGCCAAAAGTCCCTGACACCGCTGGGCCTGATGCGTCATCCTCTGGCCTCTGGGCATTTGACACCGGGCAAGTGGCTGCGGTCCAAAGGGACGACCCTTTCCAGACAGGGGCAGCCGGGGCGCCATGCATAAACACGCTTCTCACTCCCACTCCTCCCTACCACCCTGCCAAGCCTTTATTCCAATCACAGACCTCGTCTCGCTCATCCGTCACCGCCACACTTGCACACGCCATCACATCACATGGTGGCCGTGGTCTAGACCATGAAAGTACGCATGCGTGGGGTTGCAAGTGTGAATCACAGCGGGGTTCTGCATGTCCTGCTACCAACCGCGCCATATCCGGAAAGTCCGGAGTTGCGGATCTCTGCGGCCTCCGGCCGACGCTCGACCGCTCCAGCGCTCAAGATCCAAAGGAACGCCGCCGCACATCCGGCGGAGACGATCAGGACGCGTCGCACGTCCCCTATGCGCACCGATCAGCGCGAACATCAATCATGAACCTGCACGCGCCCACTCGTCTACCTCTGTATCCATCTGTGCGCCCTCGCTTATTATACGCTCACGCCACCACCCCGCCTGGCCGGCCGGCTGCTCGCCCATGCTCCTCGCTCATACGCGCCGCATGCCGTACATGACGTGTTCTGGCCCGTCGACACCCCAGATTCTTCTGCCGTTGCTGATACACAAGGGGCGCAGGATGCCGCACGCCGACTCGCAGCTTCGCCACCACATAACGCGGATCCGCGGCGGACGCGACGTGACGCGTCACGATATTCCGAAGATGTTCTCTGCTTCTCTGACGCGTTTGTCTCGCTGATCGCTGATTGCTGATCGCTGTCTCATGCCTCCAGAAATCCAGAAGGCGCGGGTAGGTGCCCACCCGGCACATCGCACGCTTCTTCCTGGCAGCGTCGGTCTCATTTACGCGCTCTCGCACTCTCACGCTCGCACTGCTGTAAATGTCCCACTAGTCCCCGCCTACATTTCCATCACGCACTCTTTCTCATCCTAAATAAAAAAAGACGCAGACACAGAACCGGAGCTGACCGCCACGCGCAATGCTCACATACTCACATCTGAGAATCGGAAAATGCACCTTCACTCCGCCCTCCGGCCTTTGAGCTTCGGCCTGCGCGGCCTGTTTGTTCCGCCCCCGAATTCGCGGTTATCATGGCCGCCGATCACCCATCAGCCCATCAGTTGTCAGTCACCGCTCTCACAAATAGTCCAATTTCACGACTGCGGGGATAATTGATAAGCTACGTGGGCCGTTGCCCGAATAGCAATATTATTTGCGGCGAATGATCGTGTTGCGGCTTGCGGCCCGCCTGACCAAAACAGCATCACCCGGCCAACCCGGGCGGCGGCCGCCGCGACAGCCGCTGGATCCTTCCATGATCCATGAGACTGTTCTGTTCTGTGCCTGCGATTGCGGCTATCGCTCTCCGCGATCCGCTGGTATCCGTCGAAATCTCGCCAAGAGAACGGAGCGACAAAGAAACCAGTAGCAGAAGATGCGTTCTAACCCGTCGGCGGCGCTGGCATTGTCGTCGATTGGCTACAAGCTGCAAGGCTGGAACTGCTGAACAGAGAGATGAACAAAGGGGATGCGAGATTCCGCATGGTTCGGCACGGATCTGGGAGGATCAAAAAGACCGAGGCACGTGGATCGTAAAAGCGCAATTGAATGCGGTCCCGGACGGAAATGCGGTTAATAATATGAGCGGGAATGCTACTTGGGCGAGGTCAGGTGGAGGATCGAGGATTGGATGGCCGGTGGCCGGTGGCCGGTGGAGGTCAGGTAATCAGGTACACGGGTTGGGTTGGGTGGCCAAAGGCCGGTCTGGAACGCGGAGCGGACGCAAAACCCTCCACCGGGGGCAACTGTACAAAGGCAGAGTTCAGTCTCACCCCCACAAGGCCACAATGTGTCCAGCCCAGGCCGCAACCGAGGGCGGCCGTCGTTCGCCATCCACTCTCCGTCCATTCTCTTTCCCTCCTCACTCCTCCTCCTCCTCACCTTCGGCCCCCCCCCCGGACGCACAACGACGGACGTCAGACACTTGCACATCGCACTTTTTGCTTCCAATCCACAAGCCCACGACTCTCGTGTTGGCACACCCGCAACGGGTGTATTGTCTCCGCCTCTCGCTAGCTGGCCGCGTCGCCCATATCCGCAACTACACGTGTCCGCATTCTTGCATCCTCCCATCTCTTCCCTCAATGGGTCGCACGGCAGTATGAGCCAGCCACCCTCTGCGATCCCACGCCGCCTCTCCGTTGGCAGGAGCCACACCTCGGGCTCGGTCCCAACGACATCCAAGGATCGTGTCGCGGTGGGACGCATCCCACGCCACGAGCGAGCGCCTACTACTGACGCCGAGTGGGAGGAAGCCCTCAGATAGTACGTTTCCCCGCATTTTCCTCTGACCCCTCAGCTATGGTGTCGACCGTCGGTCAGGCGACCACAGCGAGGCCAGAGAAGGCGATGTCGCCGCCCAACCTTCCCAGCTCCTCATCCACAATGAGAGCGATGACTCATACGACTTCCTGGCGCCCTCCGATGTCAGCAATGGTGGCGAGAGCCCCGGGCGAACCAAGCTTCCCATGTCCTTTGACATGTCGCGCGATCTGCACATCCTCGGGGGCACAGCCGCGGACGATTCACACAAATCAACCCCCAGCGGCACCCCTGAACACGAGTTCACTCAGCATCCCGAATTTGTGCTCCTCCCCACACTCGACGCTCTCTCCTTCACAACCTTGCAGACCCACGCATCGATTGGCGCCTTTGAGCACACCTACAAGGTCCTTCATGCGACCAAACTCCCCCGCACGTGTCGGCCTGACGAAGACTCGGGCCATCTTTGCGTGACAGGCGAACGCCAGCGGCTCCGCCGGTGCTACGAGCAGGACGGATGGCTTCAGGCGCCCAATCCCAGTCAGGCCCTGCGTGAGAAACGCTCCCGAGTGCTACGCCGCCTCGGCCTAAACGACCCCAACGAGTTGGGCGAGCGTTTCGCCGTCCTATCCCGTTATTGCGAGCTAGCGCAGCTGGTGCGTAGTGCTGTGTACGGCAGTATGTGGCTGACACACAGGTCCTGGGCGCTGACAGTTCTTCCGTCTCCATCCTTCGCGGGGACAACGAGGATGTCTATCTTCCCAATCGCAACTTCCGCTGCTGGTCGTTCCCCAACGGCGAGGCGTATGGCGGCCATGCCGTGCTTCATCCAGAGGGCAGGTGCTTCGTCGTCGCCGACATGGACAAGGACTGGCGGTTTGCTAAGAATCCCGGCCGTCTCGGAGGGCGCAAGCGCAAGTTCTTCGCCGCTGCCCCGCTTCGCTACTACCGCCCTGGCGGAGACTTTGTCGATTTCGGTATGCTAAGTATCGCAGGCGATGCTGCTCGGGACACGTTTGATGTGCGAGAGCAGAGCACCCTGCTGCGTCTCGCCAACATGCTAGTTTACCAGCTGGCGACCCTGGTAGGTTATGGCTGCGGACTCCCTGACGCGCAGCAATCCGAAATCATGGCCAAGAAGTCGAGCGCCATGTACGAGGCTAGCATCAATTTCCTGCGCCGGTCACTCGTCCCTGAGCATCTCAAGTTGAAGCCAGAGGATCCGGACTCTGCAAAGGCGGCAGAGACTGCCAAGTCCCTCAAGCCCAGGAAGACGTCGATCTCCCGGTTGAAGAAGAGCCGCTATTCCCGGCTCCCGAGGTCGGGCGGCGCCCGAGCTCTGCTTATGGACGCAAGATCCCGCCTGCCCAACATCGCCGTCAATCGCGCTGTCAGCGGCGCCCAAGCGTCGTCCGCGCAGGCCGTTGTTTCACCAGCGCAAACGCCCCTGACTCCAGCGTCAAACCGCTCCGAAGCTTCTGTGGACATGCCTCAGCTGCCACAACGCGCCGTGAAAACCGCCCCGCGTGACTCACGCCGTGCCAAGCGCAGAGATCTGCGGGCCGAGACCACCATGTTCAACGACGCTGCAGAAACGCTACGAGGCATTCTGCACGCCGATGCGGTTTGCATGGTTGACCTGCACGAGTATCAGCTGTACATTCGCAAGGGCGGCACTACGCCCGAGAATCAGCCGACTCAAACAAGGGAGTCCATTGTTGCCGACTTCCTGCAGGGCAAGGAATGGCCCGCTAATGTTGAGCCTGTCGTCAAGTATGTGCCTCGCACCGACAACCTCAGCGTTGAGATTATGGGGCAGAACGCTGCTCCTGGCTTCGAGGTCGATTTCAACAGGCCCAACGCCACCGAGACGATTGCAAAGTTCGCAAAAACATATCTGGCTACAAGCCACTTTTGGTGGGACCGCGAGGACCCCAACGATGAGCTCGCGCAGGAGATCATGGCATTCATGCCCAGCAAGTGCCAGACTGTCCTGTCGACTGTATTCTTGACCTTCGACGGGATGCTGCGTTATGCCGTCTTTGTCTCGTGGGAGCGGTCGCCTCGCAGTTTCGACGATAGCAGCCGCCTCGCGCTGCCATTTGTTTGGATCATCGGCGCCGCGCTCACCTCGGGTCTTGCCATTTCGCGCATCCGCAGTGTCGAGGAGAGCCAAATCACGTACTCGAACCTGCAGGCCCACGAGCTGCGCACCCCGCTGCACCAGATCCTCACCATCACCCACCTTCTCCGCTCCTCAATGTCCGACCTCGCCGATGCCGGAAATGTCGGCCAGGTGCAGTCTGCAGCTCATGGCTGCATGACCACGCTGGAGCAGGTGCGCGACCTTCTTCCCCTGCTCGACGCTATCGATACGTCGGGCAAAACGCTGCACGGCATCGTCGACAACATCCTCACTTTCCTTGATCTCACCGGCAAGGACAAGTTGTGGGAAAGCTCCCGGGTGAAGCACCCGGCCCTGTTTGGGCACAGCTCGAGTGCACCTCAGACTCTGCGGGCGATGCTCGAGGATCTCGTCCAGGAGGCGTACGATGAGGACCGCCGCGGACGCGCAGGCAGCGGCGAGGCACAAGGTCACATAGAAACCGTCCTCGAGATTGTGTCCAAGGATCTTGGAGACTTGGTCACAGAGGACCGGGGTGGCGCCCTCCGCCGTGCCCTGGGCCGACTGATCTCCAACGCATACCGGTACATTGACGGTCCTGGCTGTGTCGAGATTTACGTCGACGACATCGAGGGTTACCTCCCGCCCGAGGGCTGCGAAGACCTTTCCAACACCCGCCGTGTCGCAATCACCATTGTCGACAATGGCCGTGGCATGTCCCTTGACTTTGTCGACAACAAGCTGGGCGAGCCGTGGGCCAAGGAAGACTTGTTCGCGACTGGCTCTGGACTGTCTGTTCACCTGGCGTACCGCATCATCGACCTCATGGGCGGCGAGATGGAGATCTCATCTGCGCCCGGCGATGGGTGCACCATCTCCATTCAGGTCCCGCTGCCCATCGCGCCTTCGCCGCCGTCGCTGACTCCGACTGTCACCACGGTGGACGGTGCACCACGCAAGGTGGCGGTCCTCGGATTTGACCGCCCTGGCGGTGATCTTCGCTGCGGTTTGGACCGCCTCGGCGCATCATTGGAGCGGCAATACGCCAGCCTTGGGTGTGACATTGCCCCTGCTGCTGAGGCCGATCTCATTGTCATGGACGGCGGCTTCGAGACGGATGACATCGCGCCGAGCATGTTGACCTCGATAGAAGCGTCCGAGGTGGTGATTTTCGAGGCAGATGGTGACAGACCTGGCTCTCTCCCGCTTCCACCTACCACAGAGCTTCGCCGCCTCCACAAGCCCATCACGCCTTCTCTTATCAGAACTACCCTCTCACGCACACCGGCCCGCGTGTCGATGGAGTTTAGCAACGGCGACAGCGCCTTCAACCGTCCCCGTCCGGTCCGTTTGCAATTTGACTCCGAGTCGATTGCCCGCTCTGAAAAGAGCTCACAGGCGGAGAAGGAGGAGAAGGTCGTGGTTACAACATCGAAATCGGTGTGCAAGACCACGAAAGGCCTCTCCACCCTGTTCGGGTGGAAGTCGCGCGGCATGTGCGTCGAGGAGGCTGTAGCATCGTTGTGCCTCGGCGACTACTTCTCGTCGCGTGGCCGAGCCCGGCTACCCTCGGGGGCGTCGACCGGGTCGTCTGGTTCATCCTTCCCAGCGACATCTCCGTCTGAGGACGCCGGTGCTGACACCGACCCTCTGGCGTCGCCGGGACTGGGCAGTACGCCCTCCTCGCCTTGGCTCGGCACAGAATCGACACCCGTCACAACCCCGTCCGAGGAGGCCCCTATTACCGTCCCTCCGGCTCCGACGCCTCACCCGATGACCGTCCTCGTGGTAGAGGACAACATGGTCAACCGCAAAATTCTCGTGCGCATCCTCAAGACGAGCGGCCTCGACCTCAACATCCGCGAGAGCGAGGATGGCGCGGATGCTCTCGAACAATTCAAGCAGCTTGCGCTTGAACGCCCGCTCATAGTGCTGCTCGATATCAACATGCCCAACATGGACGGCTTCACTGCTGCATCTGAGATGCGGCTGGCTGAAAAGCGCCTCGCTGCTGGAGCGTTGAGCAACGGCGCTCGCTCCACAACTCCTGCCGTGCGCTCCAAGATTTTCGCCATCACGGCGCTCGCGGGCGAAGACGAGAAGCGCCGCGGCCTCGTCGAGTGCGGCATGGACTGCTGGCTCACCAAGCCGTGCTCCAAGGTTACACTGCAGAAGGTTGTGGAGGAGGCGTGTGACGAGTTCGCCAAGCTCGGCCTGTGATCTCCCACGCCACTCCCCCACATTGCTCCCACGTTCTTTTCCACTCATGTTCCTCATCATCTTTTGGGCTCTCTGGTGTATGTACTGTCTGATTGTACATGTTCACATGTATGCATGGATCTCTGGTGTGCTCGTGCAGCGGAATGCGGATATGGATGGTACCGGATAAACCGATAGCGGATCAAATTCGGAGTGTCTCGTGATCTCGTGTGATGGTGACAAGACAATGGAGCTGCAGTGGAGCGGGTGGGATCGGCATAACAGAGCGTGCGGTTTGGTCAGGGCTGATTAACTGTCATCGGGCCGCGATCCGCTCCTCCTAAGGCCCTGCTTGCTGCATGCCGGATACCGGCGCTCGGTCGCCATCGGATGTCTGCGGCTGGAATGCACAAAGCGCCTCGAGGTAGCTACAGGACATTTTTTTTTTGAGATGTAAAGAAAGCCGGCGCGGCGGACAGGCGTCGAGTCCGTGGCTCGGCCGAGGTGCGAGTCGAGCCACGCGATATGGCGACCTGTGCGGCGCGTCCACCAGCATGGCACAGTCCGCCCGCGGCTCGCCCGCATATACGCCCGCTACCCCACCGCCCCACCCCCACCCCCGTCCCCCCGTGGGCCGTGGGCCGTGGGTGCGGCATGCGTGCGCGTGGTCGATGACTCGGCGGCGTGGTGGAGCAGAAGTGGTGGATGGAGCGCGATACGGAATCGGGAGGGAGGAGACTCTGAAGGGAAAGAAGGAACAAGGGTGAAGGCACGCGCCGCCAATTAGCGGTGGCACAGACGTCCGCCGTCCGCCCGCGTTCAGCGACGAGAGCTGCCCTGATGACGGCCAGCGAGCAGAACTGCAGCGAGTCAGCCATATCGGTGTGCGTCGGATGTGCCGAGGAGAGTGAGGGAGCGGGCGGAGGGCGCGCTCCGTCGGGGGACGAGGGGAGCAGGGGCGGGGATGCCGGCGCCGCGAGAGCAGACGACGAGTGAAGAGTGGTTCCTGGGTGACGACTGATGAAAACCGACTAGCCCCGACGGAGATTAGGGAAAACCGCCTGGGCCCCGGCTAAGTCCCACTGCAGGCGTAGCCGTGGCCTCGGGTCGCAGGCGCGGCACAATGCCGGTGCGGTGAGGCAGGAGTATCACAATGTCGTGTCTGCAGGCTGCAGGCCATGAGCACGTAGGCGGCCAGGCGGGGATAGACGCGCAGGCTGTATCTGTCATGGTGGGGGCGCTGGGCGCTGGGCGCTGGGCGCGGGCGGAGCGATGGAAGCCGAAACATACTTAGTACACCCGACCGACCATTTCTTTTCCCCTCTACTCACCACTCTGCTCCTCGCACTCTAGACAGCGCTCGCGCACTCTCGGTTCTACATCCCCTCCCCCGCCCCCACCCCTCGCTACATTCAAAATGGCCAAGAAGGAGAAGATCCCACTTTCCACCCACCTGCTCGCCGGTGGCACCGCCGGTCTCGCCGAGGCGCTCGTGTGGTGAGTACCGAGCACGGAGTTGGCGATGTAGAGGAAAGCGTCGGAAGATCTGGCGAGCGCGAGATGAGCAGCATCAGCGAGCAGGCGGGGCAGCAGGCGATGGAGCTGAGGCTCCCCACCGCTTTCTGGCCTGCTTGCGAGATCTGCTCGTGCGAGCTCCACACACTCAGCTGCCAGTCCGCCAACATCTTCTGACAGAACCTCCAAACCCCGCTAGAGAACACCGCTGACACCAGCCACCCCCTTGACACCATCAAGGTCCGCATGCAGCTCTCGCGCGGGCGCAAGGGCACAGCCAACAAGCCCCTCGGCTTCTTCGCGACCGGCAAGCAGATTGTTGCTCGCGAGACCCCCCTCGGCCTGTACAAGGGTCTCGGTGCCGTCGTCACGGGTATCGTGCCCAAGATGGCTATCCGTTTCGCCTCGTTCGAGAGTGAGTACGAGTGTTTGGGGCGCAACGTGGCGCGACGCGGGCCGAGCTCTCTGTGGAATATTCCATCTTGCTCGGTCGCCTGCCTCGGCCCCACCCCAACTCTTGAGAAGAGTCGCGCTGACCTCCAGTGTACAAGGGCTGGCTTATGGACGCCGACGGCAAGCTCTCCCCGTCCCAGATCTTCCTCGCTGGTCTCGGTGCCGGTGCCACTGAAGCCGTCGTCGTTGTCAACCCCATGGAGGTCGTCAAGATTCGTCTGCAGGCCCAGCAGCACTCGCTCGCGGACCCCGACGCGACGCCGCGCTACCGCAACGCCGCGCACGCCCTCTACACCATCATCCGCGAGGAGGGCTTCTCCACTCTCTACCGTGGTGTTGCTCTGACCGCGCTCCGTCAGGCCACCAACCAGGGTGTCAACTTCACCGCCTACCAGTACTTCAAGAAGTGGGCGATGGACTTCCAGCCCGACTACGCCGCCAAGGGCGAGCTCCCCTCGTACCAGACCATGGTCCTCGGTCTCGTCTCGGGTGCCATGGGCCCCTTCTCGAACGCCCCCATCGACACGATCAAGACGCGTATCCAGAAGGCGTCCAAGCAGCCCGGCGAGACCGCCTTCTCGCGCTTCCAGAAGGTCGCCGGCGACATGTTCAAGAACGAGGGTGTCTCGGCCTTCTACAAGGGTATCACTCCCCGTGTCATGCGTGTCGCCCCCGGCCAGGCCATCGTCTTCGCCGTCTACGAGCGCGTCAAGCGCATCATCGACACCCTCAAGACCGAGGACGTCAAGAAGGAGGACTACGAGGCGTAAGCGGCTCCCATGCCGTCCGCGGTGCCGCGGCGCCGCGACCGTCTCACCTCCATTTGTAGAACACGCCGCGGCGACCCCGCCGTCGTCGCAGTGTGCGAGCAAGAAAAACAACCGCCTAGAGTGCATGCTTGGTCCAGGGCCGCATGCGGGAATAGTAGCCCCTGCATGCATGTTGTACAACACCGCAAGTGTGCGAGAACGGAGCGAGAGAGCGTTGGGCGAGCCAGACGATGCAGCGAACGCTACGAGCTGCAGAGCGCGGCCATCGCTATCTGATACGAACTGACATCTTGCCGAGTGTGCGAGCGGGGATCCTCCTCTGACTTCTGCGGAACCACTCGGCAAAACGGGCCTTGGCGCTATCGCTATTTTTTCCGCAGGCTCGCAGGACAAAGGTAGCCGAGGCGTATCCCGACATGTCCCCCGACATCAGGTCGGTTCCTTGTTCCTCTTAAACTGTATCCTTGACGCGATGGAGCTGGTGTGGATTTGTGCAGCTGGACATGCTTGCGGAGGTGGAACTCGCCTAGTCCGATGGAAGCTTGGCAAGTGCTCCACAATCCCAGAGCATGCCGATGCCGAAATACCGAGCGCCGACGACCGAATTCGAGGAAGGCATGCGGGACACAACTTTGGGGCGTAGGGGTAGATTAGGACTGAGGAGATGCTCGTCTCTTGACTGTTCGTGACCTAAAGAACTGTGGATAGGTAGGCCACCACGGAGGGCGGGCCCTCTCCATGTTACAGTAGAATCCATTCGAAGAACGAGGCTGTGGCGCAACCCCGTGCTGCGAATGCCTCCGCTACTCTACCTTTGCGACTTCATTGCATGGCAAGATCATGACGAGGCATCCCCGTTAACGAACTACAATCCGACTATTGTCTTTTTGACCAGCTGATGCGAGAGACGTGTGTACACTAGGGGAGCAAGGGCAATACTAAAAAAAACAACTAGCGCCTATTGTGCCCGTACTCTTCTGTTGCGGGATACGCCGGCGGGTTTGCTGGGTAGCCCGCGAGGAGGGGCTCTTGGACGACATGCTGCATTCCGGGCGAGCCCGGCGGCGAGCCGGCCATCATGGGCGGCGACGATGGCATCATGGACGGCGACCCGGGGTGGCGGGGAGACAGGGCTTCCGGCGCGTACGAATAGTCGGACAACTGCTGGCTCCGCCGATGGTTGTTGTAGCTCGTGTCCGCGAAGGGGTCGGCCGGGTGCTGGTCCGAGATGATGGAGAAGCGGCTGGTCGCAGGCGGGCTGGTGGGCGGGCTTGTGGTAGCGGAGAAGTTGTCGTCACGGTACGGCTGGTTGCGGGAGTTGCCGACGGTCGCAAACGTCTGCGGTGGGGCGTACGGCGCTTCTTCGAGAATGCCGTCGCCAGGCCCGAAGGCGGCGGTCTGATGGCGCCGGCGGTGCTTGCGCGCGAGCGACTTGAACCAGCCGCACTTCCACGCGAGAAGAGCGAGCAAAAGCAGGCCTCCAGCGACGCCCACACCTGCTGCAACGCCCGGGATCCACGTCTTGGACTTGGTCGCGCGCGACACGGACTGCAGTGACGCAATGTCGTTGTTGGGGTTGCCGGCCGTCCCTTCAGGAATCGCGCTGATGCCGCCTGGGCGCTGCACTACCTCGCAGCTGATCGCGTCGGTGAACGCGCCCGAGTCCTTGCCGTTTGAGCAGAACGACCCCGGCGCAATGTTCTGGAGCACTCCCATCGGCGTGTCCGGCGTCGGAGCTATCTGGCACAGCGTGCCGTTGGGTGTAAGCGAGACTGTGCCAGCCTCGGTTCTGACCGAGAGACACGGCGTGCGTGCCCCCGGTGGGATTGTGGCCACGCAGAGGCCGGCGTCGTTGAAGGTCCCATTGAATCCCTGCGCCGTCGCGCAGACAGTGCCGACGGTCGGCTTCGCGATGCAGTCCCGCGCGTTCGGGCCATAAATGCCGGTTGGGCAAGGATCGCCTGGCAGGATGCAAGTCGACGACGCAGCATCCCAGCGGCCGCCCCAGATCTGCCCGCGCTGGCAGGCGCCGCCGTCCTGGGTGGGGTTGCCGAAGGCCGGCGGCGGGACGACACAGAGATAGCTCGGGCTCCAGCGGCCCTGCACGCCGTTGGCGTTGCAAGTGTCGTTAACGATCATGCAGGTCTTGAGATCAGACGCCAGGATGCCGTCGGGGATAGCATTAGAGAAGTAGGCAAACTGGCCGCCGCGGAAGCATGGGTCACCCGACTTCGGCTCTAGGGCTCGACATGAGCCTCGCTCGATCTGGCCCGCCAGGCCCCCGACAGCACACTGCCCCCCGTCGGAAAGACTGGGTCCGCCGCTGCCGCCGCTAGTGTCGGGGCCACCAGACTGTGTCGGCGGGAGACACGTTTTACCGTCTGGCTGCATGAGGCCCAGCGTAGTGATCCCGGGAACTGGACAGGCGGCGCCAGCAGGCGGGGCTACTACGGGAGGCTTGCACGTCTTGCCGTCGTTCGCGATGGTGCCAGCCACATTGAAGGGAAGTGAGCAAGGCGCGCCCGCAGTGAAGCTGTTGCCAATACACGACAGAGTCGTGCCGAGACCTTGCAGCTGCGCTGTGCCCTTGGTGCCATCCGAAAGCGAGCAAGGGGAACCGACGGTAACGACAGGTGCGCATATGCCCGTGTCCGTCGTCGCACCGGGGATGCCATCTGATACTGTGCAGTCCTGGCGAGCGTTTGCAAAGCAGCCTCCGGGACCCAACTTGCCCTTGAGGCCAGTCGAGGTCGTGCACTCAGTACTGCCGGCGCCAACACCCCCCGCGGCGGTTGCGGTCGCGGCTGCGGCTGCGGCTGCCGAGCTAACATCAGCAGGCCTCTCACTAGTAAGTAAATTTCACGGATACTGACGAAGCTTGGGGAGGAACACCACTTCCTGAGCTGACGGGTCAGTAACAATTTTTGATGATAATAGGCGCATTAGCAGTGGCTCACGCAGGGGGAGGGGAGGGGCTGCAATGTCAGCGGCGCGATGATTTATAAGAAAATGCGGAAAACTCCGACCAGGAAGACACCAAACTAACAGAGCAACGGAGGTGGTCAAAGTGGCCACGACTGACCCCGAGGTGACCACTGTCTCGACGACAGCGACCGAAACTGGAGGAGGCGTGGTCGCCTCGGGGGTGGCAGCCGCGCTATTCGCAGGGCCCGAGGGAGGGCTATTGTAAGCCATGGGAGGCCAACCAAGCAGGAATCGCACTCGAACTTCTGCAGATGTCACTTACATTAATGCGGAGGGCTGTTGGCCTCCAGAGCTGCTCGGGTTAGCCGGGATCACATCCGTGGCCCCTTGGGCAGTATCAGGCGTATTCGGAGGCGGAGGCTGGGACAACGCGGCATTCGGCTGCGCTTCACTAGCGGGCGGGGGCGGCGCCGTCGTCGCGGCGGCGGGCGCAACCGTAGTTACGGGCACAATGGGAGGCGCAGCAGGGGAGGATGGAGGGGGTTGGACAGGAGCACTACCAGCAGGAGGGGTATCTACGGGGGTGGGGGACACGGGAGGAGGTGCAAACAGGGGAGTGAGGGTGGGGGACGGGGGTGAGGGGGGTGAAGCTACCACAGTAGGAGTGGGTGTCTGCGGAGGGGGGACTAGTGCAGCAGGATCGGGTACTGACGTAGCAGGAGAATTTGGGGAAGCGGCCGGGGTGTCGTTACCTGCACTTCTGGGGTCAGTGGATTCTTATCAGCATTATTTCGCCGCCAGCGCCGATCCCCTTTGCCAAGTGACACGAGCGTGCTTCGCCGCCCGCGTGGCAACACAGGATCGCGGTGGTGGCACGTACGTCGGAGACGGTGCCACCCCTTGTATCGTGCCCGCGGACGTTGCTGCAGGCGTCGCGACATTCGGTGAAGGGTCTGACGGCGATGGAGGCGTAAATAAAGGCGGCGGCTGCGGGGACTGGGGAGGGGACGACGGCGAAGATGGAGCCGCCTGCAGTGATGTCTCTGCAGAGAATGTAGGGGGAGGAGGCGACGCTGGTGGCACAGAGGGCCCCGGATTAGAATCGGGTACTGACGTGGGTGCGGATGGGGCCTGCGCCGTTGGAGTCTGCTGTGGAGGCGACGCCGGCGGTTCAGCAGGCAACGATGCTGGTCCTTGGGCCGGTGAGGACACTGGGGAGGCCGCGCCGCCATCTGGGGGCTGGGAAGGAATCTGTGGCGTAGGGGATGCCGGAGATGGTTGTTGCGGAGGGGTTGGCTGAGATGGCTGTGACGGAGGTTCAGTGGGAGAGTTATTCGCTGGGGTTCCCGGGTTCCCACCGCCGCCTGAAGAGGGCCCCGCAGCGCCCCCATCCCCTGCGGGGGTGTTCCCCGGCGTCGCGGGACTCGTGTTTCCGCCCCCAGGATTGGTGGGAGTCGGTGCTTGTTGCCCGCCAGGAGGCGTGGCCTGGCCGGCTCCATCGGTTGCCTGACGCTTTTGAAGTTCGTGGCCGTCGCCAAGCGGGGCAGCGGCGGCTGGAGTGGTCAATGATGATAAATAGAAGCGATGATAAGTAGACGGACGCACCTTGGAGACTGACAAAGGCCAGCCAACCTGCGAGGACAATGTGAGGCCTCATGAGGTGGACTTGACACTGCTCTGGGCGCAGTGATGAGCGTGAGGGCGTTGTAGATAAGGGCGTAGGGTGACCTCGCCGTCGATGGACGACGGAGTTGGTGGAACTGTCGAGCTGTCGATGAATGGGTAAGTGGTAGCGAGACAAGTCTCACTGGTAGATGTGAGAAGCAACGTACAGAAGATGAGGGCTGATCGACTCGCTGCATAGCTGGGACATTACCTCTGGATGTCTGGAGCGTGTGGGCTGTGCACAGACGCTTCCCTGCATTAGTGGTGCGACCTGTTCGCATCCGACCCGACATGACATCTCATTCCTCAGTTTCATCTTGTACATTGCCCGTGCACCTTGCACCTCCTCTCGCCCTCATGCCGTCTCTCGCCTCACCATCGCTCTCAAGCATATCGACCAATGTTCCAGACGTGCCTGTTTCATCGTCAAGCTCGGCGCGACTTGCTGATGGCGGTGCGGTAGTCGAAGGCTTCTGCCACACAAGAAGCGCAAAGGCGATCAAGGCGATATGCTTGGTTCTCATAAAGAGCTCGTGGAACACCTGGAGACTACCAGCATTAAAACCCTGAAGTGCAATGTCTGCTATCCAACCAGGCGTAACTAAGCTCGAAGACCAAAACCTAACTTTGGCGTACGCAGCGTCTCGACCTGCGGGACGGGGCAAAGGCGAACAGATGACCTTGGGGGCCGGGCGAGGGGAGTCTGCGAACGAGCGAGTGGGAGGGGATCTCGTGAGGTCATGGTGCATCTGCGCTGTGGTGGACTTCGCAGTGATCGGCGAGGGCCGCGAACGACCACAGGCACGCGATCATGAGATCCACGTTCCCTGTTCTCTGACGCCACACGCGCCACACGCCTGTGCTCTACAACTTCCAGCGATGGATGCATGCGCATCTGGGTATGTGATTTGCCACACAGAGCGGTGTGCACAGCGAGATGGGGCGATGTGGCACAGAAATACCCTACGTTATAAGTTCTTCAGCTGCTCCCATCATGCATTTTGCTGCGGCCAGCGACACGCTCTCGCTCCGCGGCCATTTGTAGTTGCGAGCTGTTGCTGCGCAACGCTCGTTGCCGTGAGACCTGGACCGCATGCAGAAACCCGCATTGCTCGTGTTCGGCTCATCGTTCCGCTTTTCTCGCACTGCACGGCAAGTCGGGACGCTCGAAGCTGAAGGGTGCATAGGCAGCTCGTGGGAACCGCCCGCTTGGAAGCATCGGACCCACATACTGCGCACCAAACCGCTCATGGGTAGTGAGCCTGTTCTCGTCAAGTCCCCAAATCATGAGCTCAGACGAGCCCAATTATAGCCTATTGAGCCCACCAACCTTCGTTCGATCGAGCGTCACCTGATTCTGTCCGGCATTCCAATTGCTGGCGCAGTCCCAGATGGGCCGAGGCACGCTTCATATTCGGGTACCATGAATACGCATTGCCGCGAAATCACAACGAGTCTCCTGCGCTCCAGGATGTTAGCGACATTTGCGACATACATGCACTCGTGCGCACGGCGTATGTGCTGTAGGACGCTCTGCATGTCGGGGTCACTACAGCGCTATTCTCGTGCGCCCGCTGCGGCTGCTGCCTATGCCCGAAGTGTGTGTCGGGTACAAATGTCGGCCACACATAGCGCTTTCCTTCTCGGCATCTGCGCAACGCACAGACTCGTATAGGCTCTTTCCAGGCTCTCACGGGACATGTCTGGCACATCGTCGTGCAATTCATTGTCTGCGCGGGACGAGCGCTCTTGAGACACTGGCACGATGCACGGGTTGCTGCTGGTGCATTCCTAGCGAAGCCATGCACGCGCTCACGGGCGACACATGCAGGGTGCTCAGCTGCGGAGCGTCGGGTGGCATGCCCACACGTGTGTGTTGTGACTGGTGCTCTGTTCCCTCGCTGAAGGATACCTCGGCTTCGCCGATTTGCACCAGGCCATGCACCGAGTCGGGCCGTCCAGACGTAGCAGCACAGGATGGCCGACCGCTGCAATGCTGCAAGCTCGACGCGACAGCCCAAGAGCATCTCTTCATCTCACTCAAGGATGGCGACGTCGCCGCTAAGCCACCGTTACTCAAGAAACAACACAAGCCGCCACAGTCACATCAGGCTAGAATATCGTGGCCCAGGCCACGTTCTACGACCGGTACAACCTCTGCTCGAGGAGGTACTTGGCGACGGGGTCGGCGCACAGGCCGCGGAGTGCGCCCGCGCCCGCGCCCATTCTGAGTGCCATGCGAACACGCGTCGAGCTGACGTCGGCGACGCTCTCTGGCGCACGAATGAGGCGGATGCGCCCGCGCGCGACCCAGCGCGCTACGTCAGCACGTGCAAGTAGCGCGTCCTCCTGTCTACGTGTGTCCGCCGCGTCTGTGCTTTCGCCTCCGCTTCCGCGACGCGCACACACAAGCCACGCGTGCGCAAAGAGCTCCTCCATCGCAGCCTCCATGCCTCCGGGCGGGTAGTATTTAGCGTCGAAGATGCGCACGAGCGTGTCCATGCCGACGAGGAAGGTGATGGCCGGCGGCGGGGACGGGAGAGGGGTGCTCGGCGTTGCGGGCGAGGCGGGCGACATGGGAGAGGGAGACGTAACAGTGCGGCTGGGCGTCGGGGGTGCCGAGCTGCGCTGACCGAGTGGTTCGTGGCCGGTCGGCCACACGACTCCCGACTGCTCGAGAACGCGAACCAGAGCCTTAGCCTTAGCCACAAACGTTGGCTGCGCGACGATGGCAACAGCGACGGGGCCAGCCTGCGGGGGCATCGCCTCAGCCTGCGCGAGCATGAGCTCAGCACGCTGCTCCGGCGTCGCGTCAGTCATGCCCGGTGTCTTGTCGGCGTTCCGCGCCGCGTACAGAAGCAGGCGAGCGGTGTACGGCCCTGGCGCGGGATCGGGGTGCGTGACCTCATCCTTGGGCGCTGGGGCAAGAGCCTCGTCTGGCGACACCCCGTGCGAAGTGAAGTATGTCGCCGCTTCGCGAATAAACGCTGCGGGGCTCTTGGGGCTGCTGAGGCCGCGCGATCTGCGGACGTTCGGGTTCAACATAGGCGGGGGGAAGGAGGAAGAGGCGAGGGCGAGGTGCGCAAGCGTAGGCGGGTTAAAGCTGCTGTCCAGAATGGCAATGTGCGGAGGCGTGTTGACCCGGGGCGGCTGGAAGGAGAGGGATGCGACGGACGAGCTCCGCGAGCGAGTGTTCAGTCTCGCCGGAGTGCCGGTGGGCGATGTTACGGGGCCTGAGCACTCGGGCCAGCCAGCGGGGCGGAGAAGGAACTCGACGCCATCGAATCCCGGCTCGGCGGCGCGCTGCACCGCTGCGGCCTGCGCGTCGGTCAGCATCGTTCGGTGGGCGTGGTCGCGTGACGCGGGGGTGGAAGGGGAGGCGGTGGCGAAGGAGGCGAAGAGTGGGGCGCGCAGGGCCCTCGGAGCCAGGCGCAACACTTTTGAGGGCAAGAAGGAGAGAGAAAGACCGTGGAATTCGCGGATGAACGCGAGAAGAATGTAGATGACGAGTGCGATAGCGCCCCAATGGTCTCAGATGGGAACGGAATGTCGTCCATGCCGGTCCATTGCCGACCTCCACCACATGTTCCTGAATCAATGGGTTCTCTGGCAAAACCGAGCCGGGCCGGCGAAGCTCTCATCACGTGATTCACTGTCCTCGTGGTGTAGTGGTTATCATACTCTCTTAGGGTTGTCCTGAGCATCTTATGGGAGTGGCCCCGCGTTCGAATCGCGGCGAGGACCAGCAGCCTTCAATGGCTGGCTCTTTTGTTGCGACGCTGCACTGTCTCTCAGGTGCTCCGACGTCTCGGGTCATCGTCGAGGGCGGAGGCATCAAGCTCTGGCCGCATTGGAGGTGCTTCCTGAAGTGGCATGTTGTTGCCGACGTGCGGTTTCGTGCTCGTCCTCTCCGTGGCTGCGGACCGTAGCGCTGATCGTCAGGCCTCAGTTGGTAACCGCTATCAGGGTTACACCGGCAGAGGTACACCGGCAGATCGCTAGGACTCCCATTTCTGGTCCAGGATGAGACTTGTCGCAACTCCGCACAAACACGCAGGCATTGGCAACGTATACATGACATGGCCTAGGCCACGTAACTACTTGTTGAGGTCCTTGCCAAGAGCCTGGAGCTGTCCGTGAGCACAAGCCGTGAGCATAAGGGCGATACCACGGCCAAACTCACCTCCTCGCGGGTCTTGGGCTTCTCAAGGCCCTGGGCAACATTGTCCGGAAGCTGCTGGATGCCGGGGGTGTTGAAGACGTTGGCCTGGCCCGCGACGTCCGAAACAAGGTCGCGAGGGTCGTTCGTCTTAGCCGGGTGCGGCTGGATGGTGAACTCTGGAAGGGTTAGTTCGCGGGACGGTGGCAGTCATGAAAGCCGAAGTGGTGGGCAGCTGAACCGTCACCATCCACATCCACTCACGCTGGTTGTCGCCCTGGTTGTTGCCCGACATGATCGTGATCGTTATTGTCTAGATATAGAACTCGTAACTCTAATAAGGAAGTGGATGGAAGAGAAGGAGAAAGCAAGAATGCAAGACCAAGACGAGTGCCGCGGTGGCGTGGATTGTGGGGTGAGTGCATGTGGGGGTGGCAAAGGCTGGAGGACGAAGACGTCATCGTTCATCTTCGGCCCTGGCCGCCGGCATCCGGCCATCAGTCCATGGTCCGAGCGCATGGGATATGCGTGGCGGGTTTATTTGGTCCCTTACGCAGCCTTTGATATCATCCTCAGGACTGCCTGCCACGCTGTTCCGACACCGTCGGCCTCGGACATGCTGACGGACATGCTTGGAGTGACCCCAAAACGTTCGCTATATCCAAGAGCTTGCCTGGCACCAATTTCCCACCGGGCACGGCGGGACCCGACACGCGGCGCCACGGTCACGCCGTCACACCACGCGACGATGCGGGAAGCCCTGCGGGCCTCGCGGACCCGCGGGAGGCGAAGCTCACTAGCGGGCCCGAGATAAACTGTGTGCGAGCGGAAGGCTGACCATGGCTGGGCCTTGAAAATGCAGTGGTAGGTAGGAACTGAGCGGCACCGCAAGTGTGATGAGGTACGGAGCGTTGCGCGCGTGCTGTTCCGGATCGATGCGTCCGCACATGGATTTTGTAGTAATGCATCTGTCTCCGGCCTCGGAACTTTGGCTGCTCGACATGGTCAAGGTATCTGCCGGGAGAACTTGGGCTAGAGCCTCAGTCTGATGTGTTTGCCTAGCCTCTGAGACCTGCATGACATCTTGTTCAATCACGGAGCAGGGCAATGCCGGCCATTTCATGGGAGCAGCCAACCAAACTGGTCGCGAGGACATGCTGCAGAAGAGGCGGTGTGGCGTAGCGGGTTATAAGACACCCAAACAGTTCCACTCCGCCTCCAATTGATACCGACGGCCCGTCCAGAGCGGATCATGGTGGTCGAAATCGCAAGCGGCATCGACAGTACATGCTTGGACGTGATGTAAATTCTGGCGGACGGTCTTGTGAGTTTTGTGAGTTTCAATGTATTAACTTGTTTGGTGGCCGTCAACGATCGTCACGACGGTCAACAACACGCGTCAATCGCATTAGGAGCAGGGGAGGCGATGCTGTCCGAAGTTATAAGGACTGTCAGTCGCCGTCGTGAGTGCCTCAAAGGCCCAGGGCACCGGAAGTGAAGATCGACGACTTCTCCATCCGGCGAGCGATTCGCAACACGCGACAGCAGGGGGATGCCGGAAAGCCGCGTCTGGGGTGGCTCTCGAACCGGAAATTCAACAGTATCCAAGCTGACGCTGGTCAGGCCGGGGTCGGGTGGTGGTCCAGAACGTGGTGAAACCAGGGCGTGCCGGCATCCGCTGTTCTGGGCGGCCCGGCATGTACGCGTCCAAGCAGAAGCGACGGCACAGAGTCAAGACGACGCCGAGTCGTGCCGGCATGCGCGCGGCGGGTGCCAGCGAAATCTGAGATCTCGAGAATTAGTAGCGGGGATACGTGGGGCACCTGATCCGGCAAGTTGGTGATGGAGTCGGGAGTCGAGACTCGTCCGGGGGAGGAACCCGCTGCAGGATCAAGACACTCTAAAATGGGATGCTTGATCCCGACTCTGGGCGTTGCTTGATCCCGATTTCTCGGCGTCGCTTGTGACACGCACCGCCTTGCTGGTGACTTGCTGTTTGCTCGTGACTCGCTCGCTGGTTGCTCAGACTTGCCTGCTGTTGACCGTGACGCTTGCCGATCATCCACCGCTCGTGGCATGGACAACTCGACGCGTCCGGGTTCCTAGACGGCACGGCTCGACCACTGGGTGGGGCTGGGGCGGTGCGGGCGTGACAGGCCCCGGCTGCGTCACCCGCCGTCGCTGGCGAGCTGGCAAGCAGCAACGCCGCGGGTGACACGCACCCACTGGACCGAGCCCGTTTCAGCCCTATGCATGATCCAGCGGGAGCGGATGTGCCGTGCTGGCTCGGGTGGCCGGGAACACGGGCCCTGCGAAGAGCATGTGTCTTCCCGCTGCCCTCATAGCAGAGGGCCCCCGGGTTCGATGCAGGACATGCAGGATCGATACCGTGCAGGATGCGGCTGACGACGCTAAATCAAACACGCAGCGGGCAGATCGACACTCCATGTCCTCTGCTTAAGACTATCCGCCGCGCCACACCCGCTTCGACATGTCGACCCGACGCAGGATGCCAGGCGATATGACGTACCTTGATCATACACTGTGGGCATGGGAGAGTGTAACGCCTCACGCTGCTCACACCACGGACAGGCGGGAAATCAAGCGTGCGGGTGCTCGATGCATGCACCGCTTTTGTATATCGGTCACCGACTTGCTGGGTGCTGTTGTCCCGAGGATCGAGGACCCGGAGTGTCGCGTCCCTTGAAACGAGTCGATTCACAGTGTTGCATGTTGCAGAAGCAGACAAAGTTTGGATGCATACGTGCATTGACCTGTCCGCGCGTTTCGCCCTCCGTGCGCACACATGTGTGGAACAAGTCATGCGCCTTCGGCGATCGGAGATGCAGCGATCAGCGGGATCGTCGTCACTGATACACTCTGGAACAATGTGTCCTCCCTCCTAGCTGCGGGTCATTTCAGCGCATAGCATAGACACAGTCATGCCGCTACAGATTCACTAGATGGTAGTGGTACAATGCAATGTGATGTTGAGTGTGCGAGCAGGAGTGAGGGGACAAGGAGACCAGCTCCAAGGCCCCGGGTCGTGCCACAGCGGGTGAAGTCCGCGGTGGTTTCACATTAGGAAGATGCCGGTTGGGGATGGGGAATGATGGAACAAAGTCACCAGACTGGGTTCCATGCCGATCGTTCCCAGCCTCATGCCACAGTGTAGTCTTCACGGCGCCGCCCAAAGAGCCTCCTCACAATCGAGTCACGCGTCTCCTTGGCAGCGGCGCCAGCGCTTGCTGCGGCAGAGAGAGGAGACTCGGAGGGGTCGGCAATTTGGATGGCGCTGTGCGATCGCTTCTCGTAGGCGAGGGCGGCAGGCAAAGGGCGCTGCAGGTGTACTGCAGCGACGACCGCACGCGAGATGCGAGCGGCCGAGACGAGTTCGGGAGAGGGCGAGCTCTCGGTCGAGCGCGGTGTCCGTGGCCCTTCTGACCCGAACGACGAGGTCGAGTCGGACCGGTCGAGACCGGGAGCCTCGTCGTAATGCTCGTAAGCAGACGACTTGTGGGCGACAGCGGCCTCTGGAGCAAGGATGTGCCCAGAGGGAAGGCGCGGGGTGACCGGGAGAGAGCAAGCCGAGACAGGAGTAGGCGGAAGCTCGGGCTCTGGGATCTCGAAAGTGTAGCGCGAGAGGAAATGCTCCGAGCAGCGGACGACTTCGTCCTCGGTGATAGCGAGGTTGTAGTCGAGGAGGAACAGGAGCTGCTTCTCCATAAGGTTGACCTCGGCCTGCGAGAACATCTGCGCGTAGCGGCACCAGTGCTTGTTCTTTGGCGACGAGTCGTTAAGATACTTTGCGGCGCAGATGAGGGTTGCGAGGAAAACGCGGTGGCGGGTGCAGGGAAGACCTTTTGTGTCAGCCACGGCTACGGAATCATCTGTGCGCAGAACAAAGCCCTCTCCGGAATTTGAGTTGGGGTCTTTGGGCAAATGCAAGCACAAGTAGCAGTAGCAGTAGCAGTAGCAGTAGCAATGACACTTACCCTTTGCGACGCGCGGGAGGCGAGTGCGAAGGCGCTCGAGGTAGACAATGGTAGCGATGAGCGTCGACACCTGGACGTTGCTCTGCTCGCAGACGACGGCGATGAAGGTAGTCAGGGAAGGGAAGTTGCCGTCGGTGCGCTGGATCGTCTTTGGGTCAATCGAGGTCGAGCTGGCAATGATAGAGGTCGTGGTGCGCGACAAGAACTCGATGAGCTCGTGCGAGACATCAGAGCGGATGAACTCGAGGAGCCGAGGGTCGTGCTCGCCACAGAGGTCGAGGGAGGCCGGGTGGACGCGGTCCTCGAAGACGGGCGAGGCGGGGGTGAAGCGTGGCGTGCCGGAGGGGTAGGACGAGACGAGCTCGGCCGAGAGGGGAGGGGAGCACGGCGAGGCGAACATGATGGTCGATGAAGACGAGGAGGAGGGGTGTAGAGCAGTATAGAGGTGATGGATAGATTGAACGTGAGGAGGTGTCGTGGTTATCGCTGCTACTTTTACGATCAACGTGAGCAGGCGAGTTAAGAGGATGGGGGTAGAGGAGTAAAGAGAGAAGAGGAGGGAGAGTGAGGATGCGAAGAGATATTAACAAAGATGGGAAGATGTCGAGAGAGAAGAGGAGGAGGAGGAGGGAGGAGGAGACAGGAGAGAGAGAGGCGAGAAGAAGAGAAGAGGAGAAGAGAGGAGGACAAGAAGGAGGAGGAGGAGGAGATGGAAGAGGAGATGATGATGAGGAGGAGGAGGAGGAGGTTGAAGAGAAGCGGCGGTGAGGATAATCAAGTCAATCACGCTCTTCGTCCTTCAAGCCCTCCAGGTCAAAGCGCGCGTCCAAGGGCCGAGGCGCAGAGGGTCAGAGGGTCAAGAGAGGCGCAGGAGAACCAAAGGAACGCGCAGTGGGGATGCCATCTCGCCAGATGTGCAGGGCGCAGGAGGGCGTATTTCCAGGGTACCAGGGAATAGCATGAGGGACGAGTGACGCCAAGGGTATCATGCAGGACATGCAGGGAATGGGTTGTGCGTTTTCTCTCCAACTCTTTGAGGCTTTCAGGGTCCAGTTTTCTGTATCAAGCTCACCAAAATTGTGTCGCGCGTGTCTTGACACACACCAGTAATTGCCAGTAATTGCCTGCCACACTCGTCTCTCAACTCTCGGCATAAACCTTGCTGCTTCAACGTCACCCTCCTCCTGTAGCTCTCCTCCTCCAATTCTGTAACTCAATGGACGCACGTCCACTACAAAGTCGAGGCTCTGGCCAACAATCCATACTGTAACCCCGGCGCGCGTCGCAACTGATCGTCTCCAGTTTCCAGTGCCTCTGCTATTGTCGTTGTGCCACGGACTTTGGGTGGGCGTGCCGCACAAGCGGCGGCGGCATGGCTAGCCATCGGCTCGAGTATGCTTCGGGCATGCCAGCAATGCCGGCCATGCCGGCCTGCCAGACTACAGTACACTCGCCCCGCCAAGCACAACTAGCCCCAGCCGATGCCGTGACCTCGCCGAGATTGCATGGCATCCCACACCTCCTCCATCCCACATGCACCCCTGCCCGAAGATAGCTAGCGGGTGTTCCTTATCCTTGAGCGGAAGCCGTGAGCAGGATCGCAAAGTAGCCGGGGATCCCGGGTCCTGCACTAATCCTGCCGGGCGTGCCGCGGCACCATCCACCATCACGCTCCATCTCTGTCGGAACGGGACGAGATTGCAATGATGCGTTTCCCACTTCTCTCTTGCGACCAGCCGAAAGGCTTACGCCGTGCATGCTTCGTTCACAAATTCGTGTCGCAAGTCATGTGCCATGTAGCGTAAAGGTGTCGTGGTGCTGATGATCTGATGAGGCAGTCACCTGCCCATCCATACGAGCTGCGCAGATTCATCACGTTCGTCTTGTCTCGTGTCCGAAACGCACAGTCACCAGTGGCGTTCGTGGCGTACAGTGACCAGTGGCACGCATGAACTGCTTATCGACAAGACCAGGCCGAATTCAGATGTGTGAGACCTGCCGTACCTGCTGCAATACACTCCTTCTTCTGGGCTTCTGGAACCAACAGGGTACTGAATGCAACGCGTCTACGCCACGCTGACGCGATGGTCACTTCAATTGAAAGGTGAGGGAGGGGGGCGGAGGTGACTAGGGCTGCGAATTTGGGGTTGGGCCAACCCCGCAGATGTCGGACTGGACTTTATGGCTGCGCGACAATTCATCGCCTTGTCATGTCGCCGAGCTCTCCAGGGAGCCAATTGTCACTGCTTTAGAGCCTGTGGCGTTGTGACACAGCGCCCAGAACATAAGAGGCGCGTGCCGGCGGCATGAGAGTGGAGGTCCGGCCTACCTGCAATGAGCCGGAGGTAATCCGCAAAGATCTCAATTTGAGGCTGCAAAGCCCAGAGTGTCCATGTCGCCGCATTTCACGGAATCTCCCTCGCCAATCGAGGGGGGTGGAGAAAAGTCGAGATGACAGTGCTGCGATGGCTACAATGTCCGCATGACGCCGCGTGTTCCTCGTCATTCACGGCCATTCTGCGCAACCATTTGAACCAAATATTTCGCAGGCTCTTCCAAGCCAACAACGCCAGTACGCCAGAGCTTGTAGGACGAAGGACCCGAATACTGATCCGTGCTGCAAAATGGGAAACGTCAGGCACGGAACTATTCTGGCTTCGGATTTCGCGAGCCATTAAAAGGCAGGCTTTTGAATGGCAGGATTCGTGAGGACGCGGATGCGAGAACTCAAGGACGCCAGGATGGCGATGACAAGGCGGCGAGGCGGTGAAGGAGGAGCGAGCTGACGCCTCTGCAAGGACCAGGCAGCTGCTTGGCGTCTGGCCGCCTTGTTCTGGCCCCCCCTTCTGCTGACCCTCTATCCTCCGACAATTGATCCCTGCGCCACAAGTGCACACATGGAACGGAGGCCCCAGCGAAGGGGTTGTCGACGGAGAAGGGTGGCTCCGATGGCTACTCGGCGCCGGCTAGGCCCACCGCGCGGGTGCCCAAATGCCGGCGACGCTATAACGCCCGCCGTGATCCCCAGTAACATGGCGACGGAATGGTTTCAGTTCCGCATGCGGCATGCGCAGCCAGGTGCTCCACGCGCCACGATCGCGTAGAGTTTCAACTCAATTAGCCTAGTGTCTTCTGTCGGCGTCACACGCCGGTCAAGGACAATTCATTGAGCGGGGGAGAATGGGCCTCCGCGCGCGCCAGGCAGCAGGTGATTGAAACGCGGGGGATCATCGATCTCACCTTTACCGTGGGTTTTATTGCTCATCGCGCGCAGGAAACCTCCCACCTGGATCTCATGACCGTGGCATCAGTTTGGCGGGTATTGTCAATCCAACGCCGATCGGAGCAGGGCGCCTCCTCATCATTCTTTCCAAGTTGAACCACAGCCATTGCCGGTGAGTCATCCGGTCCTGCCTCAGCACTTGTGCTGAAGGTGAGCATAAGAGGACGCTGGAAGCACGCATCGCCCACCACTATCTTATAACACACCGGGAATTCTTTGCGACGGCAAGAACCGGCTGATAGCGGTGGCGACGGATGCGGGACACTGATCCGTGAGAGAGATTCAAGAGCGTCTGGGCGTGACCTCCGAGTTCCACGCAAAGCGCTGCCCCATCTCCCGCATACACAATGCTAGTGCATCTGGCGCGTAGTGATACAACGGTGGGGCGACATCCACCGGTCATGCGGGTGCTTGATGGCATGATGGCTGCTCAGCGTGGGCGAGCTGAAGCAGGGAGCCGAGCGCAAGGCTATGTTGCGTAGCCGCGCCAACTCATGATTAACTGAGGCCAGTAATTACTTGGTTTGCTCCTTGGCCCACTGTTCGGGCGTAAATGTTTTCTGGCATGAGCTGAGGAAGGCGATATGAGAAAGGTTATTTTGAGATGACGGTTGATGTGGGACAATCGGATGGCCGCCATTGGGCCCAGGAGAGCATGGCGGTCATCCCACGCAGACACAGCCGCGCACAGCCCAGTTTCCATCGGACCGCTGGCCGCAGTTGGAAAGAGACAGAATCGGAGCCGGCGCTGAGAAGCTCGAGCACCGGGCCTGGACCATGATCATGGCGCTGGGCTTCAAAACGCAGGACGAGATGAAGTGCAACATACCTGCGAAAAGGCGTGCAACTGGGCGATCTCCTCTGCGAGAATCTGGTTGACTGCTGTCAGCTGGGGCGCGAGGGTGTGGCTGGCTGAAGCTGGCGGAGAACCACTGACCCATCTTGTGCCGTGCCAGCGTCATCTTGCGCGCAAAGTCTGGCGCGACAATAACGACGGCAAATGAGGAGCCGCAGTTGCCAGATGTGTCCACAATTTCCTGCTGTCAGCTGAGTCACTCACCAGCCGAACGCTGAGCAATCTTCGCAGGGCGAGGGAAGTCGCCGCCATGCTCGAGCATGTACCCCTCGCCGCTACGAGTTTGTACGCACAAAATGCTCAACTTTAAGGCTAGCTCGGAGCTTGCCCTCAATTCGGACGTCGATAGGTTGTGGGTCGGCCATGATGCAGAAGTATGCGCGTCGATGCTTGAGCGCGATGACCGAGCAGAACGAAAGACGTCAACATCCTGGTCTGGCTGTATCTGATAACTCAGCCCAAGCCTTGTATCAAACCACGTGGTAATTTCGTGTCATTAACAACTGGACAAATGCAACCTCGGACCTGTTTCTTGTCTTTCGTCAAAAGTCGGCCTTCGCAGATCACCGGCATTGCGATCTTGCGCTCCGCACTACCCTCCCATGTCCGCTCCCCGCAGCCTGCTGGCTGCGCGCGCCGCGCTGCGCCCGGCCGCCGCCGTGGCTTCCCCCGCCCCGCTCGCCGCTCTGTCGCTGGCGGGCTCGTCCCGCCTCGCCTCGACCTACACCCCCGGGCGGACATTTGAGCGCAAACGGCCCCCGCGCCCCCGCCAGTCGACCTACTTCACCGCCAAGGCGGACCTCACCGCGGCCCTTCTGAGCCTGCACGCGACGCGCGTGCAGGCCGAGGAGCGGCTGCGGGCTGAGCTCGTCTGGCCGATCCCGAAGGGTCTGCCGCACCTCGATGCTCCCCCAACGGCGTGGAAGAGCCGCGACAACATGCGCATGGTGATGCGCGCGAACCGCGACTACGACAACCTCGTGTCCCTCCTCAGCAAGATGCACCACATGGCGCACGTCGCATCCACGTGCGGCGTGCACGACGTCGCGGCGCGGCTGCAGGCCGCTGTGGAGCCGTACCAGCGCTCGGAGCGTGTGGCCGACCTCGCGGCGCGCGCAGCGGCCAAGAGTGCGCGCGGGGCTGACCACGGCATTGATGCGTTTGGGCGCGCGTACGCTCTCGGTCGCAGGAAGAGTTCGAGCGCGCGTGTCTGGGTTGTGCCGTCGCAGGCGGCGCGCACCCTCGCTGAGGTCAAGGAAGGGGAAGAGGCCGCCGTCTCCGCTCCTACCTCCGAGATCCTCGTCAACCACCTCCCCCTTCCGGAGCACTTTGTCAAGGTTGCCGACCGTGAGGCTGTCCTCCGCCCCCTCCGCGTGACGGGCCTCCTGGGCGCTTTCAACATCTTCGCGTCCGTCCGCGGCGGCGGCTCCACTGGCCAGTCGGGCGCCATCGCCCACGCCGTCGCACAGGCTGTCACCCTCCTCCGCCCCGACGCCCACGACGCCCTCTTCAACGACGGTGCGCTCGGCCGCGACCCCCGTGTCGTCGAGCGTAAGAAGACTAACCGCCCCAAGGCGCGCAAGGGTGTAAGTTTATGCCGGGGCGCGTGGACGCAGCTGACAAAAACAGTACACCTGGGTCAAGCGTTAAGTTGGGTATCATTTCCCTACCACTCGAGCATGCATCATTCTGTATTGACGAGGGTGCTGATGAAGTGCCAGCGCCAGTGGTAGCTGACTGTGTGGGCAGGAGAGAACGCTCGGCAGATGCCGGATGTCGCTCGCCTTCTCCTCTCGCAACCTGCTAGTGGGACTGCGGCGACCCACTGGAGCCTACCAGGCACGCCGCAGAAGGCACATCGTGTGCAGCAGATAAATGGATGCGCACGCATCAATTCTAACACAGAGCGCCCTATCGACGGGCGACTGTACAACACGATATCTATCACTTGCTCCAAGAGCCCCGCTTCCCTACCCTCGGCTCCGCCGGCCGTTCATCTTCTCCTCGTACTTGACACGCTGGGTGCGGTCAACGACCTGGACGTAATACCGCCCGCCATCGCCCTTCCACGACACCCAGTCCGAGAAGTACTGGTGCGATGTAGAGCGGAGGATTGCAGCGAACGAGTCGCACTGGGATTAGCCGCGCCTCGACGTCACGCCCGATGAGCAACTCACATTTGACTCGTTCATACGGAATCCCTCTGGAACGAACGGCTTCAACGACACGATCGTCGCGCCCTCCTTCAAGTCAAGGAAGAGGTGGGTAAGGTCCATGTTCAACGAGGACGGGAACACCTCGTTGTTGACAAGCACGACGTCTGCCTCGGTGAGGCGACGTCTCACTTCGGGGTGTGTGCGGAAGTCGCCTTCGTGACACTCGACGCTTAGGTTGCCATCAAGACACCACATGGCCCAGCGGCGCTGGACCTCGCGCAGCTGTCGGCGCGCACAATGCGACGGAACAGGTAGCAGCTCGAAGCCGTAGCTCGCGCAGCCGGCCTGGACGGCTGCCCGCAAGACGCAGTTGCCAACGCCGCTACCGAGATCGACGAACACAGAATCAGGTTTGAGCCCAGTCTGTTCTATGACCTTGCTCATGAAGGTGTTGCCTAGCTCGCCGTACGAATCCTCCTTTTCGCTGATGGCGGCTGCAACAGCTTCGGGGTGTTTGGGATGGTGGGCTAGTTGCTCCACGAAGGGTGCAACTACCCGGTTATACGCAGAGTCATGCACGACGTTGATGAGCGCCGACCACTCGCTCCGCGATATGCGGTAGTCACGGCTCGTGAGCCATGCTTCGAGTGTGCCGTCCTCCTGCAGGTCTGCCAGTGCGACATTGAACCGTTGGATCGCCTTGACGAACCCTGGTCCATCGCGACGATTTGGCGCAAGTGCACGTCGCAAGGCCTCTCCGATAGTCTCTTGTTGAGTTTGTGGGAGAGGCGATGCGCCGTCAGGAGGAGGAGTGGATAGTGATGTAGGCGTTTGCAGTCGGCTGGGCATAGCCGACTCGAAGTAATCAGACGCATCAAGCGTGCCAAATATATGCGCGTGAGATGGGGGGATGTAGTCTGCCGTAAGCTGGGAAGGTCGCGGGTGACTCACGCTTGAGGATCATCCCTAGAGCGGCCTTCAGCTCAGAAATGGGGTTATATTCTGAGGCTGAATGTGGAGTCAACAGGATGAATCTGTGGAAGTCAGTCTCCTGGTCACCACGTCCAGCTCCTTTGTTGTGACTCACTTCTCCACCGCTCCAGAGGGGTACCGCAAGTCGACTGACGGAATGGGATCTGAGTTCTCAAAGCCTGGTTGTGGAAAGTCTGCTGTCAGCTGCATCTCCGAGCTGCAACTTACATGGAATATACTTGTCGCGGCCACCTTTGCTCATAGATCCCTTTTGTCCGCCAGCCCACCCGCGGACCTCGCCGCGGACGGCCTCCTCGCATGAAACAAAGCCTGCCCAGCCGCGCCCGAACTCGCCTCGCTCGTCGACGAGCGAGGGACAAAACACTTTCCTCCCGACGTCCACGTCGCCAGCGTCAGGTGTGACGCCGTCACCGGCGAGTCGGGGGCGCTTGCGGTCAAAGGCGTCAAGCGCATCCTCCTCACTGTCGTCCGACTCGGGGAGGACGCGCCTCTCGGCTGCTGGCGTCTTGCGCGGGCGGGCAGGAGACGCCGAGCCCGCCGATTTCGGCCTGGGAGACGAGCCGCGCGAGGGTACTCTCAACCGAGATTCGGATTTGGGACGCGGGGCCGAGGGGCCCGCTCGTGCCGACTTGTGTGGAGGGAGACCAGGGAGAGGAGGTGCGGCGGGCCGAACGGTCACCTTTTTCTTGACCGTAACGGTGGAGACTGCGGTGGGCCGGCCCTGCTTGTTGCCGAAAAAGGACTGCATGACGATGACGAGGACCTCACACCGTGAAGGAGAGGCGAAGCGGCTGTAATAAGCGACTGGTGGAGATGAGAAAGTGTATTATTGTTGACAAAAGGAGGTGGAAGTGGCCGATCATATCGAGAGTGGCACTGGCATAAGCGGGTGGCCAATGGCCAGGGACCGAGGCTTAAAAAAAGGCCCCGGCAGGTTCTAATTCCAGGCTCGGCGATGCATACGCCCGCCCAAGCGCCACCCGTAGATGGGATCAACCACACCTCAGGCTGCGCTGTGCACGACATCTCGCCACCACCTCTGCGACCTCACCTCACACTGAGTTTGAAGCTGATCAAATCTACATGTAATGCGCTACAAAGGGTCGTGTCTAGTTCTAGCTAGAGTATCTCATCACGCGTACGATTGGGAGGCCGTGTACTCCGTATTTAGCAGCACGGGATAGGGAAGATGCAGATGTTGACGCTGGAGTCAGCTGTGCCCAAATCACAGAGAGACAGTGCATCAACTCACCGGCATGGGAGGATAGGGAGACCGCAAAACTTGCCAGGGCATCCACCGCGGAGGCGGAGGACTTCCTCCTCGGTCTGCGGCGACTCGCCAGAAGGCTTCGCCATGGCGTCTGGGGGTTTAGTCTCGTCTCGCCGAGCATAACTTGTAACTGCAACTCACTCATGGTGTTCCTGGCGGTGGGCTGCTCGTTGACAACAACCTGAGGAGCGTCGGTCTGAGGCGGGTACTGGGTGGGCTGCATGGTGAATGAGTAGATGGATGTGTGAGAGGTGAAAGTGTGCTCAGAGTGAGTGATGACAGGATGACAAGAGAAGCGGGGTGAGGATGCACGTATTTGTGCCCCATCGGATGCCTCGCGCTGAGTCCTGCCCTTGTTCTTCGCTCATTCCTAAAACGGGACGTGAAGGGGCCGCATGCCGCAGCTGCTCTGCGCACCAATGCAGTGCTCCGCAGAGACCAGAGGCCAGTGACGATGCAGAGACCCCGCGAGGTCGATGGGGCGGAGCAGGCATGACATCACCAGACCCCATATGCTCTAAAGGTCCGCGCGATACATGCACCTCCGCGCTCCGATTGCTCGGTGGCACCACTTGCCCCCGGCGCGCCTGTCGACGCGTGGAGGGCCACGTGGATAATGGCAGGCCTATTTTGTTAGGCGCGGAACATTTTGTATTGCTCGACACAACTCCTCTTTTCGAGAATTCGAACCAACTTGTCAACTGAACTCCTCCACCCCCTCCTCCGCCGAGCTATATCTTCTCGCCCGTACCGCACCTGCCACTATCATCGACATCTTGCATCTTTCACATCATTGCATCTATCGCGCCACCAAATTCATCGTCAATCGACGCCTATCACTCGCATATTACGACCCGTGTTCACACCTGCGACTCCCCTAGCATCATCCCACTTCAATCCTAGGAATCTTCTCCGTGTTTCCCTCAAGCTACAGCTTCCGGATACTCGTCGGCTCATCCTTACACACCCGCCATCCATATCTCGCGTACCCTCCCCGGCCATCGTGCAGGACGCCTTCATTCCCTCCTGATTCGCACGACGTCCCACCATGTCCCAGCCTGCTCCCCGCCGCACTGCGTCTCTTACCGGTAGCTCGCGACTGTCGCTGAATGTGGGCACCAAGCAGGCACCGCCCGCCCCAGGCCGCGTCGCTGGCCGTCACCCCCTGCGCCAGGAGTAGGTGGACGACTCGAGGAGGGCTAACAACCAGTTGGTCGATCAGCTACGTCCACCGCCCCCCAGGAGCCAAGGTCGATTACGAGAAGGAGATTCACAAGGTCGCAACCTTTGGCTCGGTGAGTGAAAGCGGCAAGGGATAGGAGGTGCTCGAAGCATGCTGCCATCAAGGGCGCACTCCACATTTGTTTGTGCCCATTTGTAAATACGCTCTGGCGCTCCCCTAATGCTGCCACTGCGGAAACGGCGGCTCTCTACCCCGCCAGCAGCTCACTCAAATCTGACAGCAGATCGAGTCTTTTCTCCACCTCTACGCGCACCTTACCCCACCTTCAGACTTGCCGCCTGTGACGGACTTGCTCTGCTTTGCCAGCAGGATTCAACGCCCGGGTATCTGGGAGGAGATCCCTCGGTATGTTACGATGCGGTTTGCCGTGGCTCTCCGAAACCACTGGGACGCTGCTGACTCTTCTACAGCGGCGGCAAGTTCACCATCCGACTGCTGCACCCCATCACGCCAGTGCTGTACGAGTCGCTCCTGTTCGCTCTCATCGGTGACCAGTTTGACGAGTCGGACAACGTCGTCGGCTGCGTCCTGAGCGTGCGTCAAACCGAGGACATCCTGAGTGTGTGGGTGGAGGAGGAAGGCGAGGCTGTGCGCTCTGGAGCATTGCGGTGAGAATTCTTTTTGCGAACATGAGTCCTCGCTGACTTCCAGAGAGAAGATTATCTCGCTCCTGTCGCTCCCGTCCACGACGCTCTGCGAGTACCGGTCGAACAAGGCCCTGCTTGACGCTGCCTCGTCCATGAACAAGGTGGAGGGTGGGGCTCAAGAGGGCGCACACCACGGCAACGCGCACACACACCACTCGCACGGCTTTGGGGGGCTTCACCAGCAGTCCCAGGGCTTTGGGCAGCACCGGCACCAGCAGCACGGCATGGGGCAACATCACGGTCCACACGGCGACAGAGCGTATGTTCGGGAGCCACGCGGCCCGAGGGACGACGCTTCGAGGACGGGCGGGTGGGGTAATGGGTTTCGCAGGGAGCAGTAAGCCGTGAGATTGATAGTGTTGGTGCGAACGGCCTGACCTTAGGAGGTGGGCGATATGTGATAGTTGGGAGGAGGTCCTCATTGCCACTGCCTAAAATTCTTGGACATTAGCATGCGGCATTGGAGATCGCGATGCCGACGATATACTGATAAACATTGTATATCCGCCAGGCCGGCCGGCCGTGTTGGCCGCGGAGCAGACAGCCATATTTCTGCCAAGAATTTCTTGGCGACTCGAACAATCGGCCTTCAGTGAAGACCGATGACCTCCGCACGATGTAGTGGGTGTCCTGCACAAGTAGGTGCTGCTTCGCCGCTCCGGCGATGGGCCGGCGGCCCCGCCCCCCATCTGTTCGCCATCAGCTAAGGAGAAGTACGTGAATTCGGTAACTTTAACATGCCGCGGCCCGAAAGGCAATCCTGAGTACAGCTCGGCACTTACTCGCGTCGCCAGATCTGCACGGTCATGTGGCCCTATTCAGCGGAGAGGATTGTGGACGTCGCTCGCCACAACGCTGTGGACGGTGCCGGGTGGACGGCCCGGGGAACCCTGAGCCCCCGTGGACTGTCCTCAGGGGCCGCAACTTACCCCGCACTCGCCCCGTGCCTGCCCCCCCTCCACCCGTGGCACCCCCGAGCGTGGCACCATGTCGCCGTCCACTTCTGCCCCTCCGATGCTCGGCACGCCGGGCCGCCGGGCCGCTGCTCCTCGGCGCCAGTGGACTGCACGCGGTGGACGGCGTCGGCCCATTCGCAGGCTATAATACCCCTCGCCGGTGCTCACTGCCCCTCATCAACTCGAGGAAGCGCATCACTCCACCAACACCAATCCCAGTCACGCCGCCCACTCACCTCTTCACATCCTTTCATCTCGCAACCCACCATGGTCGACTACCAGTGAGTCACACATCCAGTGATCAGCTCCGAGACTGGCAAGCGAACTCGATCCCCGCGGACTTGGGGAAACAGCTTTTCGCGTCCCCCCCCCCCCCCCCCCCCTCTCTCTCTCTTCGTTCTTCAACAAATGTTCCACACTTAACCGCTCCCACTGGATGCGGGACTCACCAATCCGTCCTGTCCCTGCCGGCCATTGTGCTCAATTTTCCCTGCACTCAAAACAACCATACTGACGCCACAGGGATGAGGAAGGACGCGTTGGCTCCTACGACTCGTCGCCAGCCTCCTCCCCCAAGCGCGGCTTCTTTGGGCACTCGCGCGCATACATGATGGCCCTCATCGGCTTCATGGGCATCTTCCTATTCGGCTACGACACGGGTCTGGGATCGGCAACAATGAGTCTGAAAAGCTTTCAGCGCGATTACGGGCTGGTCAAGCCGGACGGCTCGCCGGTTGACAACATTCGCACGTTGCAGGGCAATGTCGTGTCGATCTTGCAGGGCGGTGCGTTCTTTGGTGCCCTCTTCGCCGCGCCAGCGGAGGACCGGCTGGGCCGCAAGATCTCGCTCATGATCGGCTGTGCCATCTTCATCGTCGGCGGCGTCATTCAGACCGCCTGCTTCTCGTCCCTCGACCAGTTCTACGTCGGCCGCTTCATCGCCGGCTTTGGCGTTGGTGCCATGTCCTGCGTGTGCCCGACGTACGCGTCTGAGATCGCGCCCAAGGAGATCCGCGGCCGCATCACCGGCCTTTTCCAGATCGTGGTTGTCATCGGCGTCGCCTTCGCCTTCTGGATCAACTACGCCGTCTCCTTCATGGACCCCAACGTCGGCGCTATGCAATGGCGCATCCCCATCGGCTTCCAGCTTGTCCCGGTCGGCATCATGCTGTTGCTTCTCCCCCTTCTCCGGGAGTCGCCGCGCTGGCTCGCCGTCAAGCACCGCGACGACCAGGCCCTCACCAATCTCGCCTGGATCCGCAAGCTCCCCGAGAACGACCCGAGCGTCAAGATGGAGTTTGCTGAGATCACAGCGTCGATCCGCGAGGCTGAGTCGGCTACCGGCGGCACCACTTGGCGCGAGGTGTTCCGCAAGGGCAACTTCAACCGTTTCGTCATTGCCTTCGTGATCTTCACCCTTCAGCAGTGGAGCGGGCAGAACTCCATCTCGTACTACGCGCCCATCATCTTCGAGTCCATTGGCCTCCGCGGCTCCCACACCAGTCTCCTCACGTCGGGCATCTACGGCATCGTCAAGATTGTTGCCACGGCCGTGTTCATCTTCTTCGGTGTCGAGAGGTTCGGCCGCAAGCGCCCCCTCCTCGTCGGTATCTTCATGATGTCGGGTTTCCTCTGGATCATCGGTGCCATCTTCAACACCAACCAGCCCGACAAGCACGCCACGAGCCCCTCGTCAGCATCTATTGCGATGGCCGCCATGATCTACCTCTACGTCATTCCTTACTGCTTCTCGTGAGTTCCCGGTCTCGCCGCCGTCCTGGCAACGCACGGAAACTAACACACAGCGTCGGCCCCCTCCCATGGGTTATTTGCAGCGAGATCTTCAACAACCAAACGCGCCACTACGGCCTCATGACCGCCTCGATGTCGCAGTGGCTGTGGAACTTTGCTGTCTCGATGGCAACTCCCCACATGGTCGACAAGCTGCCCAACGGCGGCATTTTCTTCTTCTTCGCGTGCATCAACATCATCTCGTTCCTCCTCGCCCTCTTCTTCCTTCCTGAAACTAAGGGCGTATCCCTCGAGGCTATGGACATCATCTTCGGCCTCACGACCGCCGAGGAGCGCGAGCGCGACGTCGCGGCAGCCGCGCAGGAGCTCAACGGGGAGAAGGGCGATGTCAGCTTGCACGAGGTCAGCATTGACCGCAAGGAGCGCGTGTGAGAAGTTGGGCGAGATAGAACAGTGCGGTACAGTTGTTAGATGGATGGGTTTAAGATGCAGTGACATTTCAAGAGTTGCGATGCGTGTGGGGAGTCGCTGGAAGGGGATGAGATGGGAACAATGTGTCGTGCGACTCGAAACAGGTGCGCCAAGATGAGCCACACTGGTCATTTGCGCCACGCTGCAACACGACCCGCGGTTGATGATAAACTCATCGGTTCTTGCTTCCCGGTACCTTCTGCATCGCGCAAGGGCGCTCGCATCTGACATGAGGCCAAGTCGATCCGCCGGGCTGAAGCTCGCAGCTTGCGAGCCAAGTTTGCCGAGCCGCTCAGGCGTGTATGCGACACGATACACGCCAACGGCCTCGGCGTTGAGCTTGAAAGTGTCGCTGGCGACATTGTACTCCATCTCACGATCGGAAAGGACCGCAGAGTGGTCAACCTGGGCGCCATCCTTGTCGACAGTCTTGACCTCGAGCGGCACCCACCAGGTCGTCTTGTTCTCTTCGGGCTTGGCATCTCCTGTCGACAAGAAACGGGCCTGCGACAGCTTGAGTTTACTATTGCCGAGCTCCTCTACGCGCACAACGGGGAATCCGACCCGCATGGTCCACGCGTTCATCATGTCGCCGACGTCCTTGCCAACCGAGCTGGAAATACCGTCCCACAAGTCCTGCATCTCAGCGTTGCCGTAGAGGTGCTTGTTGAGGTACGTGGCAACTCCTTGGAAGAACTTCTCCTCCCCGACAACGCTCATCAGCATTCGCAGTACCGACGCGCCCTTTGAGTAGCTGATGGCGTCAAAGATGGTCGCAATCTTGTTGGAGTCGGGACACTCGACTTGGATGGGATGACTGGAACGCTTGGCGTCGAGACTGAGGGCCCGATCCCAGTGCGCCTCGAGGAATTCGCCCGCCATTTTCCACTCCGGCCAGATACGCTCTGGCAGCACAAGGGAGCCCATGAGCGTTGCAAACGCCTCGTTGAGCCACAAATTATCCCACCACCTCATGGTAACAATGTTGCCGAACCACATATGCGCAACTTCGTGACACTGAATCGTCCCGCATCGCTTGAGGGACGCGAGACTGCTGCGCTCGTTGACGAGATAAGCTGCGGTGCGACCAGTGATCAGGCCCCAGTTTTCCATCGCGCCCATGTCAAAGTCGTGGGCGACAAGCGTGTCAAGCTTAGGAAGGGGATACGCGATGCGGAACAGCTCCTCGTACACCCTGAGGGCAGACGCAGTCGCGTCAAGAGCCATCTTAGCCTGGTCAATGTTGTTGGTAGCGTACACACGCAAAGGAATGGTCTTTCCCGTGATTGCTGACTTGTGCAAAGCCTCGATGTGCGTAAACTCCCCGCACGCCCACGCTAGAAGGTACGTGGACATGAGTGGCGTCGGCGTGAAGCGCGTCGCTACCCATCCATCGGGGTTGGAGGCGCTGGAGAAGGTTGGGGCGAGCGTGGAACCCGCCACGTATCCGTCCGCGAAGATATCCTCAAACTTGACGGCGGCCGGGGAAAATGGTTTGCAGCCCTCAGCGTCCATGTTGGCCAGCACAACTTCATGCTTGCGCGCGATGAGGGTAACGCCGAAGGTCGCCTTGAACAGCGGCTCGTCCCAGCACGGGAGCGCGCGGCGGGCAGCGGTGGGCTCGAACTGCGTGAGCGCATAGCTGGCGTGAGCACATCCTTGCCTGTCACCACCTTTGGCGCCACTCACACCAAACGCTTTCCGTTCTCGTCTGGGTCCGAGTTGGAGCGGTAGTACCCCATCATATTACCGTTGAGCTCGGCTTCATAACGCACGGCAAGCTTTGCGGCGCCTTTCTTGAGCGGCTCTGCAAGTTTAACGGTCGCCCTCTCCTTATCCGCGTCGGTGTGGAGGGCCGAGAGAGCGAGCTCCTGCGTCGAGCCTGCGTTGAGGGCGAGGTGAGTGACGGAGAGGGAAGGGTGCATGTGGAACACGATGGTAGGCGTGTCCTCCAGAACCTCGAGCGATATGATCACCTCGGCCTCATAGCGCAACGCAGCAAGATCAGTGCGGACTGCAAGTTCGTAATGCGTCGGCCGCACCGACGTAGGAAGGCGGTAGTCACTCATCCTCGGCAGGCGCGTGTTTGAGGTGAGTGGCGAGGTGAGACTGCTTAGGGGGACGTTGGCCGGAGATAACAATCAGGAAGAGATCTATGCGTTGGGAGTGACGAGGAGGAGTAACAACGAGAATGTGAACGGGAGGGACCACTTCCCCGTGGGGGAAACACGGATATACCCGAACTCCTCACCCCGGTTATGTTGACAGACATCCAGACCGGTGGTGGGGTTGGCATTGACCGTTCTAGCGAGATTTCTCTGCAACTGCATCCTCCATCGCTCTCCCTTCCGCCCATCCCTCATCCCGCAACTCTTACGCATTCTGATTCTCTTCAAACACACTCTTTACCTCCCTCATACTCACTCTCATTATCCACCATGGGCGCCTGCTTCGAGCATGTCAAGGAGGTGGGCCCTAGCATGATTCTCCGCTGACAGTAGTGCTGGGCTCAGTCCATCAAGGGCAGTAAGTGCTCCGCTTCGGACGAAGGCAGACGACTGAGACAGATCACGACGACAACGTCTTCGGCAACTCGGTCGAGGTCGTCTCGGCGCGCCCAGGTCGCGCCGAGCTCCGCATGAAGGTGGAGGAGAGGCACCTCAACGGACATGGAGTAAGCGACTAAGCTCTCCAGTGCTGACGGCAGAACGTGCACGGCGGTGTCGTGATGACTGTAAGTACCACGCGCTCGGCCACATTGCCGACGCGTCTATGCCTCCTCGCCCTCCAACTGACTCATCTGACGCCAGCTTGTGGACGACGTGACGTGGCTTGGCATGCAGACCCTCGGCTTGCCCAAGGTCGGGAGCGTCAGCACCAACATCTCGTGCGAGTTCGTGCGCCCATCAGGTAGACTCGGTGACTACCTCCACATGGTCTCGGAGCCAGTCAAGATTGGTGAGCAGCGAGTGATCGGCGCCCCAAACTGACGATCAGGCCGGAGACTCGCATTCCTGCGCATCACTTTCTACGACAAGAACGGCGAGGTGTGCGCGTATGGCACGCAGACCGTGGCCGTCCTTGGCGACCCAACATTTACGCACAAGTTCTCCGCAGACGGTTCTGTTCTCGTTCCAGTCCCTAAGGACGACAAGAAGAAGGGCGAGTTGCTGCCGTCCACTGAGGCGAAGGGCAAGCTTTAGACATATATGTAGACGAACAATTTGGACACCTTGGAGCTGGGGCATCTTGAAGCTGGGAAAACGTGCTTGTACATTGGGCTTACCTAACTCAGCGGGCCGAGCGGAATTGGTGCAAAGCAAAGTAGCCAGAAAGAAGGACCTACTCCTCTCTCCGCCCCGCTGCCCGTCGATACTGATACATCCTATATCCTTCACCCTACACAGAAGTCTTGGCACGATCCACCTCCGGTTCAGTCGGCACAATGTCAGTCATGTTCTCGACGAACACGCGCGCCTTGCGGCACGTCTCGGCGTCGAGGATAGACTCGTCCGACGCGACCGCGACGCTCGAGCTCCCCATCTTCCACATGCGCTGCTGCGCGAGCCCTTGCTCAATCATGGCCTGGACGCCGCCAACGTCCTGCCACCCGAGCGCGGCGGCGATCTTGAGCAACGGCGTCAGCCGCGGCTTGTACGCCATGTCGAGGAATATGCGCGGGGACGGAATGGGGAGGTCGCCGGTGGCGTTGCCGGGCTGGAAGGGAAGAGTGAAAATGTGGGTTGCGATGGTGTATACCATGCGCTCCTCGAAGCTCTTGGGCGCGATGGCTGGGGTTAGCTTGGTCAAGTTTATGAGCAGAGGTGTGCTTACCAGGGATGGCGCCGACGACCATGGCGATGCCTGGAAGGCGGTCTGTTGCGTTGGGCCCCAGGTGTCCCTCGACCTGCTCGACAGACGTCAGGTGGATCAAGCGCAGGCGGTTGGGATTGGCGGGGTCACTGCGCGAGTCGAAGTGCGCGATCGTGTCCGCCACCTCTGCTGCGTCGCGGTTGGCCAAGAAGATCGGGTTCATCCCCAATGTGTAGAGAGCGTGTACGGCCGAGCGCGTGGTTGCTCCTCCACCGATCACCATCCCGCTCGCCTGGCCGGGCGCATACGTCGCTGTCGTGCCGACGGACACTCCGGGGTGCTGTGTTCCCAAGGCCGCGAGGAGGGAGTTGCGCACGCCAAGGAAGTCGGTGTTGGTGCCGACCAGTTTGCGATGCCCGTTCACTTCAACCGGCACGACAGTATTGCAAGCGCCTGTTGCGTAGCCCTCGGGGCTGATCTCGTCGAGGTACTTCATAATCTCAGCCTTCAGGGGCATCGTCACCCTGCTGTCAGCTCACTGAAGGAATCTAGAGCTCACGCTGCTCCTCCGGAAGAGGCACTTCGCAGCTCGTCCAACACAGCCTGGGTCACCGCCGACGTCGACCACAGCTTGTAGGTGCATGGGCTGCCGATGGACTCGAAGACCAGGTTGTGCAGGCTTGGAGCACCAGAGTGGGCGATTGGGAAGCCAAAGAGGTAGATGTCCTTGTGCTCTGCGTGCGTGTGCGTCATGGTGAAGTCTTTGCGAGACCTGTGGGGCAATAGATGATAGATGCAAAGCGTGGAAGAGAGAGGGGAGGTCGAGCCAAGAGTGAGAAATATCAGCCATTCAGCAAACGGCCATCGGGCCGATGATGCACCACTCACAGAAGGCTTGCCGGCATTTCCGGCTCCTCTTGGATATTCCCTGGATATAAATATAACAACATGGCCCCGGATGCGGGGGAGCTTCTCACATTGTGCGTGAGAACCGGCAGCCTTGGAGCCGGAGTCATTCACACTGCGGATGGACTCTGGAAATACGCTGCCCGGTGACACCCCTCTCACCTATTTTGAGGATGGCTGATGTCACGTGCATCTCGAACACAAACCACTCCCCACAAGTCACCGGATATCAGTCTCACCACATGCACCCCTCCCCCGGGATACTCCATGGATATCACGGCCCCGCCGTGCCCCACCATCCTCTCCAGCCTCGCTTGGCGCGTCCCTTGGCGACTTCAGACGTCCGGCGACCGACTTCGTCGTCACCTGGGCCATGCGCGCGATGTCTCGCCACGGCCCACGGAAATATCAGGAACTTCCCCGGAGATGAGGCGCTTGTAGCTCCACTCTCAGGTTAGATTAGTCCGACCGGAGCAGAAAACGGAACGGATCCGAGTAATTGATTGGCTGCTCGCTTTCCAAGCCCAGGAACGTCCCGAGGCGTTCCTCGGCATACGGTTGTCAGTGCCCCGTTCCAGTTGCCCGCCGACAACCGTCGCCCCCGTGGAGCCAGAGGTTTTCACTACCCTCCCACCGAAAGCCAACGAGATTGCGATCTAGAGGTCTCGCACTAGTTGCGGCGTCGGTGGGCGGCACGGGCGGGCAAGATGGACCAGATGTGCCAAGCGGTGCATCAGGCAGTTAAAAGGCCGTGGTCAATCCTGACCTTTTTTTTTTTCCTCGCTCCATCGCCCTCTCACAGCAACACAGCGAATATGGTCAAGCTCACGATCGTCGAGGACAGACCCACGCCCAAGGAGGTGTACAACTGGCGCGTCTACTTCCTCGCCTCCATGGCGTGTTGGGCGTCGGTCATGATCGGCTATGACGTGAGTCACCGACCGCGCAATGATCATTCTAACGCCAGTCCGCGTTCATCGGTTCCGCCATGGCCCTCAAGTCGTTCAAAGACGAGTTCGGTCTCAGCACCAAGACCAAGGCCGAGTTCAATTTCCTCTCGGCCAACATTGTCTCGTGCTACCAGGCCGGCTGCTTCTTCGGTGCCCTCTCGGGCTACTTTGTTGGGTTCTATTTTGGCCGCAAGTGGGGCCTTTTCGTTGCCTCGCTTGTCTTCATCGTCGGCTCGATTCTCCAGACTGTCGCCTCGGGCAAGACCGGTCTCGGCATCATGTATGCTGGCCGCATCATCGCCGGGTGGAGTGTTGGTGTTGCGTCAAACCTCACGCCCATCTACATTGCCGAGATCTCGCCACCCGCCATCCGCGGCCGCCTCATTGGCATCTACGAGCTGGGCTGGCAGATTGGTGCCGTCGTCGGGTTCTGGATCGGCTACGGTGTCAACCAGCACATCCCTTACGGCAACGTTCAGTGGATCATCCCCTTCGCCGTCCAGCTCATCCCCGGCGGCATGCTCGGTCTTGGCTGCCTTACCCTCAAGGAGAGCCCTCGCTGGCTTGCGTCGCGTGACCGCTACGACAGCGCCCTCGCCAATCTCGCCCTCATCCGCCATCTCCCGGCCGACCACGTCTACGTCCAGGAGGAACTGTACGAAATCAAGTCTGCCATCGAGCATGACGAGGAGAAGGCAGGCCGCGGCATTCTCGCCCCCATCAAGACTCTCTTCAGCAACCGCTCGTACATGAAGCGTCTTGCTCTCTGTGTGTCACTCTTCATCGGTCAGAACGTCACCGGCATCAACGCCATCAACTACTACTCTCCCACCGTGTTCGCGTCCATCGGCGTGTCTGGCACCTCGACCTCGCTCCTCACTACCGGCGTCTTCGGCTTAATCAAGTTCGCCGTCGCTCTCATCTGGCTGCTTTGGCTTGTCGACCGGTACGGCCGCAAGCTTCTGCTCATCATCGGCTCGGCTGGTGGTGCCGTCTGCATGTACTGGATCGGCATCTACATCGCCGTTGCCAAGCCCGCCAACAACCCGTCCAGCAATCTCAGCGGCGGCGGCATCAGCGCCATGGTCGTCTTCTACCTCTGGACCTGTTTCTACGGGCCCACCTGGAACGGTACACCCTGGGTTATGGGTGCCGAGGTCATGCCGACTTTCATCCGCTCCGCGACGCAGGCTATCATCGCATCGAGCAACTGGCTCTTCGCATTCTTGATCGCGCGCTTCACACCGCAGATGTTCACCGCCATGGGCTTTGGCGTCTACCTCTTCTTTGCGTCCCTCATGGTCGTCTCGATTCCCTGCGTATACTTCGCCGTTCCTGAGACCTCTGGTATTCCGTTGGAACACATGGACGAGCTCTTTGCCCTCTCGCCCCGGACCGCCCACACCATTCTCGCCGAGCGTCTCCGTGCCGAGCACCACATGGACGGCAGCTTTGCCGACACCGACGCAAAGAACCCAGATGACGGGCACCTCGAGCCTGCGCGCTCTAACGATGGCCGGATGGTTTAAGCACACGACGACGACAATGTTAAGGGGAGGAGTTGTGGAGGGGAGGGACGGGGATGAGAGGAGTCATTTGTACGATTGTGGACTCGGCAGCATGTATCAGCGACATAAGGGTCATCTGGAAGGCATGGAAGGGCTTACGATTGTTGGGAGACGTTGGATCGGACAGGAGGTCATGTTGAAGGAATACGGAATCACGGAACGAGTGATGAGCGTGGACGACCTCCACTTTGATTTTCTGCTAATCGGGGGAGATTTCGGCCGAATGCCGGTAACGGAGATCCGACATTATTCATCTCGGCCTGGGCACGTGATGGTCAACCTTCCTCCATTGCATTCTCCATCATGACGGCGAGCGCGGCCGAAACGTCGGCCCAGCACTTCTCGCACGATAACCACCACCATTCCCCTTCCCCGACTTCAGACACAGGCGAGCCGCAGCATGTCCTGATCCTCTACGCGTCCGAGACGGGCGACGCCCAGGACGTGGCGGAGAGAGTCGCGCGTGCGTTCCGCGCTCACCACCGCCGCGCAATCACCATGAGCATGGACGCGTACGACATCGCGGACTTGCCCCATGAGCCGCTGTTGATTCTCATCACGAGCACACATGGGCGCGGCGAGCCGCCACCCGCCATGCGCGGGCTGTGGAGCAAGCTGATTCGTGCCGGCCTCCCGAGCCACATTCTAGAGGGTGAGTTCGTTCGCCGCCCGGCTGACCCAAGACGTCCACTACTCGCTGTATGGGCTGGGAGACTCGTCGTACGAGCGCTTCTGCTTCGCAGGCAAGATGCTCGCTCGAAGAATGGAGAGCCTCGGCGCCCAGAGCCTCGTTGAACCTGCGTGGGGCGATGAACGTGCTCCGGACGGGTAAGGCCGTGTCGGAAGAACGATACTCATTCTAGAATCGAGGAAACCCTTCTACCATGGCTGGAGCGGACGCTCGCAGCCATTGTTCCCTACCTCCCTGGCCCGTCATGTGCGCCCCGCCCCGACACTGAGCTTCCGCCACCAATCTACCGACTGGAACCCGTCGAGGATGCGGACGTAGCCAAGGCGCTAGACAGGCTACACCTTGCCAGCGCGGACCCGTCCGACTCGAAGGCGGAGTATACCGACATCCCGCCAGCTGACTCACGCAATGGCAGTGAGGCTAACGGCATCACGGAGAGCGCGCGTGCCATGGTCTATCACCCTGCCGGGTGGCAGTGGGCAACTCTGTCGCGCAACAAGCGCGTCACAGCGCCAGACTGGTGGCAAGATGTGCGCGAGGTCGAGCTGGAACTCGTGCCTGGAGTGTGAGTCGACTGCTGTTCGTCTGATTGTCTGTGCTCATCTCAGTACATATCCCCCCGGAGCAATCTGCGCCCTACAGCCACGATGCTCGGACGAAGAGGTCGACACCTTCCTTGAGTGTAACAGGCTCGAGGCTGAAGCGGACAGGGTGTTCGTAATTCGCTCCACTGTGCCCGGTGAGCTTGCTGGTGTAACATCGCTGACTTTAGGTCAACCACTCCCCGCTCACCTGCCGTCGGGGGCTACAACGCTGCGCACTCTGCTGACCCACCATTTGGACCTACGATGTCCACCACGGAAGAGTTTTTTCGAGTGGCTGCGGCGCCTGAGCACCGATGAGCGTGAGCAGGAAAGGCTCGACGAGTTTATCACGGATCCTGTAAGTAGGGCGAGCATACAGCTAGTTAACGTCCAGGACGAGATTCATGACTACGCCACGCGCCCCAAGCGCTCCATTCTCGAAACCCTAGCCGATTTCCGCGAGACTACCATCCCAATGTCGCACGTCCTCGAGATTCTCGGCCCGCTGCGACGGCGACAGTTCTCCATTGCGAGCGATTCTGGAGTGAGTCACTACTCATCTCACCTTCAATAGCTCACGTCTCAGGCGCACCCGGGCAAGATCCAGCTGCTCATCGCCTTGGTCGACTACAAGACCAATCTCAAAATACCTCGCATTGGACTATGCTCCTCATGGTTGGTAACGCTACCCGAAGGTCAGTCTGTGCGACAACGCACACTAATCAGCAGGCACACGCATTCCTTACACCCTGCTTTCTCCGACACTTCATCTCCCAGCAGACGACGTGCCAGTAATTCTTGTCGGCCCGGGAACGGGCGTAGCACCCATGCGCGCTTTTCTAGAAGCACGTCTGCGGCGAGGCGCAGCGAAGGGTGAGTTGATTCGGCATCCGAGGCTGACACCAGATACGGCTCTCTACTTCGGCTTCCGCTCCCGTACAGCCGATCTGTACTTTGCTGATGATTGGGCGGAAGCTGAGGCTAAGGGGGCGCTTGTGCGCCTCGCTGCCTCGCGAGACGGCAAGGACAAGGTGTACGTGCAAGATCTCATCCGTCAAGATGCGACCATGATCAACGACTGGGTAACCAAGCGTGACGCTCACGTGTTTGTCTGTGGGTGAGTACCAGCATGCCAGCATTTTGTGGGGATGGAGATGGCACGCGCGGGGCTGCCGGCCGCCAAAGTCGTTGCGATGAGGCCGATGCGTCCGACGCCCTAGCCCCAGTCTGAAAGCCCACAGCGGTTAACACGGTCTTCGCTCACCGCTCACAGGTCTTCAAACGCCATGCCTCGTGCCGTGCGTGAAGCGATCGCATGGTGCATCAGCTCCGAAGGTGCGGGCACGCTCTCTGTCACTGAGGCAGAGGCTTATGTGGATGCGATGTTCGATGGCGACCGTGGAGGGGAGGAGAGCTGGTAGAGCATGAGCAGAGCGGTCTCTCGAGTTGAGACATTCTCGACGTTTGATTCAAATGCATGGACCATGAAACGTCTCACTACGGCGCATTCATTATCCGGAGCGCGGTGCCTAGAGCGCGGGGCGGGCATCAGCGGCCACCGTAGATGCGTGGACCCTGAGGTTCAACTGTCTCGAGTTCAGACAGTCGCGTATTGTTGGGCTGTCTTAAGTTTGGCACCCGATCATCACCCACGGCAAGCTCGACGATCGACGACGCTTCTTGCTCCAACAACTTGTTGCTTTCGCGCAGCAACTTCGTCATCGCCGCTTGCCATCGATTCGGCGTAGCCCACGCTTGGACAGACGGTGGCTGCTGACATTACGTGCCCCTCCGCTCCCTTCCGCACCTTCCCCCAGAGCCGAGCCCGCAATGTCGACGACGACCACGACACCGCCCGAGCCGCAGGCGCGCTCGAGCTCAATGCCCTCTCCGCTGCACCACTTGCTGAAGAGTTATACGTCGTCGCACCCATTGCGCTCGCCATCGCCACTGCCGGCCAACGCCCGCGTCGATCCCCAACGGCCACAGCGCACCGCGCCACCCTCCAGCTCGTCTCCGCTCATGTGGACGTTGGGCGTGTGGATCGCCTTCATCCAGTTCGCGTTGGCAAAGGGTCTGCACATTGTGTGGAGCCTGCTCAAGCACCTCATCGTCGGACCACATCGCAAGAGCTGGGGATATCGCATGACGTTTGTGAGTGCAGTTGGGGAAGGCGTCGGAGCTCGGCGGCAGTCTCGCGGGACCAGGGCTGAGTGGGGGGGGGGGCGCTGGTTTCCGGCGGGAAGGACATCGGTTCGCTGCGCCTTGGACGACGTCAGCCGGGGCACGAATGCCGTGCGCATGTAGAGGTGCACCAGCGCTCTTCCTCGGTTGTCGTTGGCTTCTGCACCCCAGACATACTGACACCAGATCGTCTCGTTCATGCGCAATGTCGCAAACTACACTGACTTTGCGGATATCGTGCTGGTGCGACGGCTCGTCTCCATCACCTACCTCATCCCACTGCCCGCGGACGCTGTGGTAACACCCATTACCTTCCTCGTCCCAAAACGGCGAGGAGAGGACGCGTGCCGAGGCTTCTTCCGGTAAGTTGCAGATGTCGATCGCAGTTTCAGCGAGATAGGAGCATATGATTGCTCTGCATAAAAGCAGAGCTGACAGCAGTGACTGGGACTGGCAGGAGACCGGCACGCGTGAGCTCACTGGCGAGTGGGTGGTCAACAATGACGTGTGGAAGCGTTTGAAGGCGGAGCGACGAGCGCGATGGAACGCCGAGATGCGGCGAAGAGCCCATTATCACGTAGGCCCGTCGCGGTTGCGGCACGACAGCGTGAGCTCAGAGACCTCGGAGACGCGGTCACCACAAGGTCGCGTTTTCTCGTCATTACCTACTCCCATTTACGGTCGCACACCGGTCGTTACGACCCAGGCCCTACCTGGCGGCCCCGAGGCGATGGAGATGCCTGAACCTGGGGTTGAAGCTGTGCCGCCGTCGCGCCGAGAACGTGTGATCTACTACGTCCATGGCGGTGCGTACTACGTCGGCAATGCCGCGACCCATCGCCTTATCACCATAGGCGTGAGCAAGGCTTGCAACACGCGCGTCTTCGCCATCACGTACCGTCTCGCACCAGAAGCGGCATTCCCCCTGCCTCTTCATGATGTCCTCCACGGTTATCTTCGCCTACTCGCCCCGCCTCTGTCCATTCCGCCAGAGAACATCATCGTCATGGGAGACTCGGCGGGCGGTGGTCTGTCCATTGCGCTGTGCATGTACCTTCGCGACAACAGGTACCAGATTCCCGCAGGTCTTGTGCTCATGTCACCGTGGGTCGACCTGACCATGTCGTGCGGAAGCTGGGACGAAAACGCGTACAGTGATGTCGTGCCCCGCCCAGACGCCGAGGATCACCTCAATCCTGTCGGATGCTACCTGGGCCCCAAGGGCCTCCAGACATATCTCACTCACCCCTACGCCTCCCCGCTATTCGGTGACTTGCGCGGGCTTCCTCCGATGCTCATCCAGAGCGGGGAGGCGGAAGTGTTGCGAGACGAGAACACCCTGCTTGCTCACAAGGCCACCCTCGCCGGGGTGCACGTGACACACGAATTGTACGAGGATATGGTGCACGTATTCCAGACCTTCACTTGGCTACCCGCCGCCAAGGCTGCAGTCAACAGCGTTGGGCGGTGGGTTCGTCAGACGCTCCCGCGTGTCGAGTGGGAGGCCGCGCAAGCGGCGCAGGCAGTTGAGGCAGCGCAGACGCTTCTCGAGCGCGAGGTGGGAACGGACAGCGACGCTGAGCCGCTCGACTCCGATCACAGCGGCACGGACGAGGGCGATGACACTCCTATCGCCGCGTCGCCTGCCCCGCGAGGCACCATACCAGTCTCTGAATCGCTTGACAGCATCGACTCCCACCGATCGCGCAGAGAGGACCACGACAGCACGCCAAGAGACCACCGCACTCCGCGGCGCCACAGGTCCAACGCGAACTTTGCCCCGGACGTGTCTGTCATTCCGCCCCCCGGTTCCCGTCGCGATCGGCCGACAGCCGTCTTCCCTCACCACCCAGCCCATGGCGAGGAGACCGCGTCTCTTCGCCCGCAGCTGCGCCGTGCGCACACGGCAGGCGTCACCTCCAACCGGACCTCCAACATCACCTCGCCGCTCATGTCTCCCCCGTCTCACGGCATGCGCTCCACCTCCACAGCAACGCTCTCTCCGTCATCCGAGGCCTCGCTCTCTACCCTTGGGCGCACGTACTCTCAGTTGCATGTCTCGCACGCAGCCCGCGATCATGCTGCCATCCGCCGCCGCCGGACCACTGCCAGCCTCAGCATGCACGCCAGCTCGCCTGTATCCCCTACGGGAGCGTTCGCGACAGGCCCCATGCACCCGACCTCTCCCCCCCCACCAACGCCCCGGAGACGCCTGCGGGCTCCGACTATCACAAGCCATCCGACAACACCTACTGCACGCACGCGCTCGACCTCGCACACGGACATCTTCGAGCTCGTCGACAGCTACCACGAGAGTGGCGCTGCCAACCCGACCGTTGTTTACGGCGCAGAGGGCGAGATCCGCAGCGTGGGTGTGTTGGGCGATGAGGACGACGGATGGGGCGTGCCCGAAGAGGACGCGCAGGGTTAATCGGAGAGGCGTGTCCTATCCTACACTGGCTCCTTACACGAATCCACGTCAATCTTGTACAAGTACATCGAGCACAGCCTCCTACATAGTATTGTTGTGCACATCGTGTTGGGTTTCCTGCGCAACGCTGTGGCCACCCGCTGCCGCTGCTGAGCGCCCAGCATTAAGCCACTGCTGCTCTGAGCTCTCCGCGCTCCGCAACGTGATAACCCTCATGCTGTTACAGAAAGCGAGACTTACAACCAGAATCCATATTTTCACACTATACAATCAGAAAGCCCGTCTAGCTCCAACCTACACAACTAGTGAGAGGAATATCGCTGCAATGATCACGGGTCAGGCCAGCTGTACCCGTTCTACCATATCGTCGAGGCTGGGCCTTGCGGCATGAGCGGCGCCGTTGGCACGCTCCAGCGACGAGCCATCGTGGCAGAGTGGCGCCCGGCCCGCCATCGCATGAGACGGGGCCTGCGACTGCGCATGCGCCCATGCGGCCCGCGGCGATGGCATGTGGGGGTTGGCGGTAAACACATCCCCACCGCTCAGAGGCGACGTGCCCCCCGAGGCGGCCCACACCGCGCCCTGGCGCTTGTACGCGGGACTTCGAGGCGAGACGGGCCCTGGGGCGACCGCCCACACCGCCCCGTGGCGCCTGCACGTGGGGCTTTGAGGCGACACGGGCTCTTGACGTGGACCGTAGGGTGGAGGCGGGGTGCGTTGGGCGCGAGGTGGCTGCGGGGGAAGCGGAGCTGGTGGCCCAAGGACGCTGGGGCCGAAAACTGAGTCGCGCGGGACGAAGGGGAGGCCGTTGGGGGACTCGGGGCGGCGGTAGCTGCGCGGGGAGGGCGGAGCAGCCGACTGCGAAACGGAGCAAGGGCGGCCATGCGTCGGCGTCACGCCAGGCAGAGTTATGAACTGCAGCTTGCCGCTCGGTGCATCGGTGTCGAGAGCGAGAGAGAGGTTGACGGAGCTGGCGAAGGGCGGCGCATGCAAGCTCTGGGGACTGTCTCCCGATGGAGTCAGGGAGAAGGGGCCACCGGGCGCTGCAGAGGCTATGAGCCCATCCGCTTCTGGGCCGTGGGAGCGCTTCATCACGACCTCCCAGCGCACCTCCCCTTCGGCCGCTGGCAAGCACTGTACGCTTACGACGTAGCCGGAGCGATCGAGCGTGCCGGGTGCTGTGGGTGCCGGTATGAGAGGTGGTGGAGGTGGTGGTGGAGAGGGGCGCCGGGGTGATGACGAGATCATGGCAGACATTGGGTGGCGCTGGTGCTGCGCCGAGGTCGGGGTGGCCGGCATTCCACCGATTCGAGGGCTGATAGTCGGTGTAAAGGGCTCGTCGATCGACTCGCCCGATGCACTCGTCCCGCTCATGCTGGGACTGATGTGCGAGCTGTGACTCTCAGCGCGTCGCCGCCCATCCACTACGGATGCGAGGGGTGCAGGGCGGCGGCCACTGGGCTTGCGGGCCAGCCAAGCGGCTGTGTCCGCTCGAGATACAGTCGTCTCTGCTAGATCTCTTGCGTCGCCCGGCCTCACAGTCGGCGCTGCAGATACCCCGCTCTCGCCCATGTCGCTGTACATCGACCCGGACGAAGGTGTTGATGACCGCGAGTCACTGTGGTGGAGTGCTGCACCGCGCGGTGGGGGAGGAGGGGGCACAGGGGAGCGCGGGGGTCGACGGGGCGGGCTCAGAGGCGTCGCATAGCTGGTCAATGCCGGTGAGCCCGACGCTGAGAGGAGGAACGGGTGGGTGTGTATCACGGTCGGTTCACCCTTTATGAGTGGATGGTCGGGAGAGGGGCCAAGAATGATCTCCGTGTCGCCGTTAGCTGACGCCCCATCGCTGCGGATTGAGCGTATCGAGCGGACCGAACCAAAATTGGAAGCATTCGAGTTTGCGTTTGCGCCGGGCACCGCGGCTCCAGAGCTAGCACTCCCATGGCGCGAGTGCGCAGTAGAAGGGCTGGCAGGGGTGGCCACAGACGCGAAGTGTGCCAGGCCGCGCATCGAGGGCGACGAGCGGAGCTGGGGTGTGTCACTCGGCGCACCACTCCCGCTAGTCCGACCAACACTGGAGCGATCAAGTGACCCAGACGTGGAGTGGGACATATGGCCCTGTCCTCGCAGCGCGCCGAACCAGCCCTCCTCCCGCTCCCCACGATCCCGTGGTTCGCGGATAGAGCGCGAGCCTTTCCTCCGCAGCAGTCTGGCTGGGTTCAGCCGGCTAGGGGAGGGTACCGACTCGCCTTCGCCAGAACAGGACCGCCGCAGTGCTTCTGGGGGCGGCGTGCGCGGCGGCTCAGGTTCCACTGAGTCGACAACCATGGCGGCAGCGCTAGTGTTTGTGGTGCCCCCCTGCCCGCGGAACAGGGAGAGCGGCGCCATTGAGGGCCAGTCGTGTGGGGCGCCCACTCAAGTGTCCTTGTGTGCCACTGGGGATGCTCCAGCTTTCAGACCTCACGGATTAAGCTTGCTGTCCCGTTGCTGGTATCGTGAGAAGACGAATTTCGGGACGGGAAGTATCGTCCGTCCGGACCGGTGAGGCGACGGCTCAGTGTCGACGTCAGCGTGACGCTCACCGCCGGGGGCAGGAATCGCGGAATTTTGACGCGCAGACGACGAGGATCTGATTGAGAGCGGATGGCGTGTGCACAGCGACTCAGTCCGCATAAGAATGGGCGCAGCCAAGTTGAGGTTGCGCAGGAGATCGGACTACAGCTATCGAGCGCGGCGGATGCGCACGGCCGCGCAGGTGACGATGACGCGGGCTCTGATGTCCAGTCCGGGGAAGAGAGGAGACGTGGGCGCCCTTGGTAGTGACGTGCTTGTGCAGAAGCTTATTGAGGAAGTGGATGGAATGAATGCGGAAGGAGTGTCTTCGGTGAATCGTTGCGGAGGTGGAGGGCGGAAGTGGTTGGGTGGCGAGAGGCCCGATCGCCGAGTCGCAATCCCACCTTGCGGACTAGAGCGTCTGTCATCACGGCCACCGCATGCAGCACTGTGCGAGGGCCGAGGCAGGACATTAATTCGGGATTCAACACCTGCCCCTTATGGGAATTTTGGTGTCGACTTGTTCGCTCGCTTACCCCTCCGACATGAGATGAATGCCGGCAAGCATCTCCTCAACTTTCACGACGCGTCGCGGCTGCTGTCAATGTTGCGAAATGCTATGACAAGACCGCGGGAACAACACGGGGTACAAGGCCTGCAACACTGTAATACGGACAGCCGAGTATGCTGGAGTCCCCCACGGCCCCTCCGTCTCGTGCCTCGTCATTCCTTCGATTGATCCAGATCCTCACAGACAACGAGTGGCTACTAGACGCTTACGGCCGTGCCGTAGGACTTAGGGAGAAACATTGTGCGCAGACCACTGAGTGCTTCGAGGGAGCCGACTATTCCTAGCATTGAGCACTATCGCCAGTCGCTATCAAACTGCCGTTTGCGTGCCGAGTGCCGAGGCGCCGAGAAGGGACACGGGCATGAATGCAGGTCATGGTGACACAGTAATTACAAGAGGTCTCGGCGAGCTGAATATATTTCATTCACCACCCTGCCTGACAATTAGAGGCGCTCTACTTCTCGGGCGCACTTCAGAAGGATTCGGCATGATGCACAAATCGATCTAGCGTCTGCATAGTGAATGTCGCTGAAATCCGTATGATTCTCGTGTGTGCCACACGCTGTGCCACGACCTGCTATAGGCGATATCAATGAATCACCGCCACATCGCCACGATCATGGTGTCAATGGGCGTGGTAGAATACGATGATCGGACCGCGAACAGGCTTCGGCACAGGCTGTTGAAGCTTCGACGGCGCGGTGCCTGCACAGCGACCTGCAGGGTGGCACGCAAGTGTCTGCCGAAGACCGGCTGGAACAGCAACCTCGTGGCGACTTTTGGGTGCAACGCGACGTACTACGGGGCGGCCCTTTAAGCGCCACAGCTCATCCACTCACCTGAAACATTGCCCTGGTACCTAGCCCGCAACTCTGAATGACAACGAGACCAGCAAAGCGGTAAGGCTGGGGCAGGCCAGGAACGCAGGGCTAATGTACGATCGCGAGCACTTCCATGCCACGCACATCACGCGCACATCAGCGTGACATCTGGCCCCTCCTCCGTAAGTTGCGGAAACCGCGCTGCAGCAGCCATCGTCTGCACCGAGCGCCACCTGGCCATGTAATGTTCGTCACGCCGCCACACCCGCGCACGCGGTCAGATCTGCACGCGGTCAGATCTGCATTAGGTGGTGGGTTCAGGACCAGCGGAGGGAGCAAGGTCAGCCCCAACATCTGCATCGAGGCCTTTGTTGTCGACGCCCGCGTCCGATACTCACGTCGGGATGTGGGTTGTGACATGGAAGACGCGAAGGGTAGTGAAGGTCGGTGGCGGTGCTTGAGGGAGATAATGGGCTGTGTTACGCGTGGGGCAGCCGCAGTACTCATCTCCCCGTGTCCTGCACAACGCAGTGTCATGTCATTCTTTCTCAGAAGCTCATCTCGCATCACCCTCAGTCCCAACGTGTATGTCATAATCTGCAGCCCAACGACCCGCTTGCGGTGTTAGTCGGGCACCCAGTATGGAATGCATAGGTAGATACCTTCTAACTATAATGTGCAAGCATTGTTCCAGGCGTGGGAATCCACAGGTGGTGACTAACGCAATGTGTGAGCACAAGCCGAGCGCGGCCGTGGTCACAGGTCTCATGACCTATGGCTGTGCAGACAGAGCCTAACCCGTGGGAGTAGTATCACATCCTGGAGACTCCCCCATCCCAGGCTCCTCTCTCCACCTCACCGCCATGAACCCTAGACGACCAACGACGAGGTGCCCGAACCACAACGCGGGGCACAGCGTTGAGCACTGCCATTCAGCCGACAACGGTTGTCGACCCCATCAGCATCTCTCGTTCCTGTGCAAGGTATTCCATAAGTTGACATACCATTGTGACTCCCAGCACCATACCGCGATGCCGACAAGCCCCAGTCTTCTCTCAGCCTCTCGTTAGCCTCTACGCATGCCCTTGTCATGTGATGAAAGTCAAAACACGATGTGACTATTGCTGAGAAGGAACACGAGGTACAGTGCAGTGTGGACATGGTCCGAGCTGCCGAGATGATGAGATGCTGTGATTCTCCGGCCGCTGTCCATGCCCCAGGGTGTCTGAGCTGTACACCTCAAGACACCCTGGCGGCCATAATCTGCAGATGGTTTGCATAGTTACAAGATGGATAGCGGGTGTTGCTACAGCGCCTCCTAAGGCGACCTTCATATGGTACAAAGTTTTGAGGAAATGCGATGATCGTTATGCGAGTGTGACCAAATAATAAAATTGATGTAGTCCACATGGAGTAAGAAGAACCACATGTCGACTCAGAGTGGGATGTAGGGATGTACGTAATGGGCGGTGCTGGCAAGATATCCAGTGATGCTGTTGCCTTTTGTCGAGATGCGGGGTGCAGCATAAGAAGCACAGGTGTCAGGTCGAGGGGTGCACGGGTACGGGCCCTCGCTGGAACCCGATGAAGAGCGCTGTGGGAGGGCAGAGATAGTGTCAGGGTGCAGAGCTGGCAAGTCGATTTCGTTGCAGAAGTCATCGTAGACGAAAGTCTCTGGGTCCTCGAACGAGCTCTGCTCAAAGTAGTGGCCGTCGACATAGGCGTGGGTTGGAGTGACTGGTACAGGAGAGGTGGAGCCAGTTGTGCGTGGAGACAGCTTGGAATAGCGGACATCCTCAGTGAACGAGACGATGTTGCAGACAAGCGTGCGAAGGCGGTCGAGAGAGATGCGCTGCTCAGGTTCCGGCGTGAAGATCTGGGTGAGAATATCGAGGCACTCTTGCGAGATTGGGAGGATGCGGCGAAGGAAGGTGGGGTCCGCAAGAAATGCAGTGAAAGACTCGTCGGTCGGCGACGCGCAGCGCCATGGGTTGCGACCGCATACGAGGTTGACAAGTATGACACCTAGCGACCACACGTCGGCAGTCTGCGTGGTGTAGCACCTCGCGTTGTCCCACTCTCCGAGGCACTCAGGGGCAATGTAGAATGTGCTCCCACAACCAAACTCCGTTGAGGTGGTGTCGCGAGTGGCAAGACCGAAGTCGACAATACGGACAACGGTGCCGTCATTTGAGCAAACAATGTTCTCCGGCTTGACGTCGCGATGGGCAATACCCAGCATGTGGAGGTGCTCTACGCCGTCGAGGATTTGAAGGAAAACTTTCTTGATGAGCAGGTCATCGCCAGCGTACTAATGGTGTCAGCCGATGTTTAAGGTAATGTATGATGACAATTGTGTCTGTGCGATGTCGCACAGACATAGACACCATGATGATGACTCACGCGATGCTTCTCGGTTATCATTGCAAATAGATCGCCTTCGTCTCCGTAGTCCATGACAACATAGATACCGTCGTCCTCTGTGACGAGACGGTCCATGTTGATGATGGAGGGATGGTCGCGAGCCGTCCAGTGCAGGGCGATCTCGCGTTGTTGAAAGCGACGCTGCCTGTCGTCGATATTATGGCGACGAAGCTGCTTGACGGCGCGCTTCACCCCCTTAGGCTCGTAGCGGTAGTCAATAGCGTAGAAGACTACACCATAAGCGCCGTTGCCGATCACATTCAAGAGGTGGACACGGCCCTCATCGATTGTGCGTGGGCAATGGCTTGAGCAGGTGGCCGACATGGCGAGTGGGTGCAGTTCGATATTGTGAGTTACCGAATGGGAAGTAAAGTGTGAATCGAGTCGACAGTCGTGCTAGCGTCTCAAACGGCAGACAGTTGACGTGAGGTGATTTGGGGAAGAGCAGGGAGGGGAGGCGAATGTGGCGGTCGAGGCGGGGTCGTCAACTTGAAGACGCGTAGTCGTCAATCGTGAAATCGCGGAGAACAAAAAAACTTGTATGAGAGATGAAGCGTCGAAATGAAAGATGGGATGGGATGGGATGGGATGAGATGAGATGAGATGAGATGGGTTTATGCACAAGAGTAATGGAGGGGATGAGGTAGTGGGTCAGTCGCGAGCCCAGGCGTTTTAGGATCGGCTGCTAGGAGTCGGTGGTTGGAGATGAGGCGTTGGATGGCGGCGCGCCCTGGCATTTTTGACCAGAACGCATGAACTGCGGCTAGTGCCAGGTGTCGCTGGTGCGTGGCCAGCTGATGGTGGCGGCTGCGGCGGTGGCGAAGCAGGATCGTGAGGGGTAAACGTGCAGGGCAAGAGAACAAGAGACGAGCGTTCCTGGGGAGTGTGGCAGCTGCATGGCGGAGGCGAGGCAGTCGGAGGGAGGGCTTGCAATGCCAGGGCCAGGAGAGCGGGTCTCATCAAGCGCAGGCTTACGTGCCGACCCAAGGCCCCTGGCCTAGATCGGTGATCAGGGAGAATACCGCTCCCGCTTTTGCGTGCTTGCGACGCCAGGTGGTATGTACGGCACCCCCCTGGTCCTGGTCGCTCCGAGCTGGGGTAACCCGTGGGTCGGTCCGCACCCTTGTTCAGGTTGACGGCAAAGAGCTGTCAAGAGCCGTCAGGGTTTCCGCACGAGGTGAGTTGGCACTTTGATCTGGCCAGCCACGGATGGGCATCGTTAGTTAGAAACCATGTGAGACAGAGTTGCCACTTACGGCAATCTCTCCGCTCTCAGGCCCCGCTTGGGGGAAAAGGATTCGCCAGCTATTCACCTCGACGCCACCACAGGCACGCTTTGAGATCACGTTTGGGTGTCGGGTCTCTCCCATTGTGCGGCTTCCCGCACTCCGCCTCCAGCCCACGTCAAACGCCAAATGCCAAAATGACGTTCCCATTTGGGCAACTAGTGTGAGACTCCTCGACACAGCTGCTTGCGCCTCAGGGAATCATCCCTCTTTGACGATCCGCGTCCCTGCTACCCCGGGGGACGTGGCAGTGGCGAGCTGCCTATGTTTCTGTTAGCCTCCTCCTAAATTGTGCCAATTGTGAATGCGACACCAGCCACGAACGGATTCGGGTTGCAGGCATCCACCAATTGGCAACCGAGCCTGGAAGTCTTGTTGGATATCGGTATTCCGGGCAGGGTCTTATTCAACGTCAGAGTGGCGGACTCTGTTGCCCCAACCGATTTAATGCTCAAACCTTACGAGCGCGGCTCCACTCGCCCCCGTCAATGTCCCAGGGCCAGATCAAAGTGGAGCTGACCACAACCGCGCAACAGCCACAGATGCCCAATACCGCGTTCCTGCCATTCGTCCGTGGCATCTGGGTGGCGGTGGCTTCCAGCCCGAACACCATTGCGCTCAGGCACAGCGCCCAGCAAGTCAGAGAGCGTGTTTCAATGCCATTACCGTCGTGGTCCCCCCATTTATGCCAGCTTCCGCACCCTATCTGGCTCCATGGCTGTCTGACCTCCGAATAAAGGGTAGTAAACTTCGATCGACAAACAGTCCCGGTGGCTGTCAACAACTGTAGCGGTGAAATGGGCGGACTCAGAGAGCATCAATGCAAGCCCACGATGCCCCCAGGCACGTTCGGGACGTTCGACCTGTCACAACCCACAGCCCATTGGTGAACCACCCCGTTTCGCGCTCAATACCCAATCACATCATCCCTGCCATAGAAGGTACGCAACTCACCTGTGTTCGACCCCGCCTGCGCACGCATCCCTCTTTATGGTAGAACGGTGCCTTGCTGCTCAGCGCCAGCCCCGCTATGATTTTGCCTTCCCCTATCACCTGCTATCCGACCATCTGCCGTTCGACGAAGTCTCAGAAAACGCATAGGTGAAGTGTCTGTCATCGCGATGCACGTCCGACGGGTCTCAACCGAAAATTCTATCTTCAGAGGTCCGGGTGAGGAGCCAGCATTGTGGTCAAAGCAAATTGATTGATTGAGCACTCATGGTGAATTCATGGCGCAGCATTACACAGCAAGTGCCGGTGTAGAAGGAGTGCGCTGTGGAGTCTGTTTCCTTCCTCGCAGCCACTAAAGCTTGTCGTCCACACGTCTCTCGTTACACGGACCACTCAGATCCTTGGCTGCAGCTCCTGCGGTGATCACCATGTGAGTGTAGTCTCACCTGGCCTACAAATTCGAGGGAAACGCAGCGTTATGAAGTCGCGCTCGCTACGCGTGGCGGTTGAGATCAGATCGGAGGAATGAGCGACGAATGTGCACCGTCTTACACCCTGGGTGTCGTCTGCGTTGCTTTTCCGCCTGCGGAATCACGGCCGGACCCGACCGCGAGGGATGCGTATACTGTTGTAATGCAGTGCAGCGAGTTCCCCAGTACTGCTCGGCACGCGTCACCATTGGAGAGCACTCCTTTCAAACTCGCCCCGATGGAAGCAGCACAGCAGGTGCTCGGCTCTTAGATTCGATTCAGGCGAGCAGGATGAGGCCATTCCTGCTCGACTCCATTTGAAGATATCTCCCCTATCTCACACGAGGACCTATGAATTATTCGCAGGACAGCAATACTTTCCTGAAGATCAGGAAGCCAGCCTCTGTATAAGGGCGACACAGGGCAAATTGGGCTCTGATCACACTACCCCCGCTCCAAGTGGCGATGATGACCATTACATTGTGCGGTGTAAAGCGAGCGGGCTCATCGGGGGTTCAGCAGGTGACGGCTTGGTGCAAATCGGAGTCGTCGTCGGAAACGAATAGCGGCGATGTGTTGCTAAGCCGGTTGCCTCCTGAGCCATAGCGGTGCAGCTGGCGACTCTGCAGACGACGCTCGACTCGGGCCTCTCCTAGTCTTTCTGCGGGCGATGATTTGTTACATGCGTTCAATGACAGGTAGTCGACAGGTAGTGAGTGACCTGGAAGACTCGGTGAAACGTGGCTGTGTCAGCTCTGGGTCTCAGGCACGACTGATTCCTTAAGCCTCGTCTGCATCGACCAATGCTGTGTCAGAATTATTCAGGAAAAGCATAGCATTGTAAGCTTACTCGATTTACAGTGTACAGTGGACATGTGTTTGCCACCCACTGCTCTCGGAGCGTTCATATCTATCGCGACGGTGAAAACCATATCTCCCGCAGCAAACATTACACACCAGAACTGCATAATGTCTCGCGTTCTCAACAAATCATACAGTGGGTGTTGCAGGCGTGCACCGAACTAAAGTCTCACAGTCATCGGAGTCGGCTCAACGAAGTTCGAGAAACCTCGTGGAGAGCGTGATTACGACGAACTCGGTCTCGAAGCTGCAGTCAAGGCGCTCTTGGATGCTGGTATTACCTATGACGATGTCGAGTACGCCGCCTGCGGCTATGTTTTTGGCGACTCGACATGCGGCCAGCGTGTTTTGTATCACCTCGGCTTGACCGGCATTCCCATCGTGAACCTCAACAACGCTTGCTCTGCTGGTTCGGCTGCATTTGTTAATGCCGTAAACACGGTCCGTGGAGGTCAAGCCGAGTGCGCTATCGCCGTGGGATTTGAGAAGATGGCTCCCGGCTCCCTGTCCACGCCGTGGACGGACCGTATATTTCCCATGGCTGGGACGTTGGCTCAACTATGGGAGATTGAGGAACAGAATGGCTACGCAGAGCCCGAGAACGGGCCATATGCGGCCCAGATATTTGGGGCAGCTGGCCGCGAGTACTGCGAGCGATACGGAGCTCGACCAGAACATCTCGCTGCCATTGCCGCCAAGAACCACTCCCACTCTGCCCGCAACCCATACGCCCAGTTCCGAGTGCCTCTCAGCACCGCGGAGGTCCTTGGCTCCCGTCGAGTAGCCCGCGACGTAACTCTTCCTATGTGTTCGCCGACTTCTGATGGTGGCGCGGCCGCGGTGGTGGCAAGTGAAGCTTTCGTGCGCAAGCACTGCCTCCAAGACCGTGCTGTCGAAATCGCCGCTGTCGCCGTCGCGTCTGACTCGTCCCTTCTGTACAACGCTCGATCTCGTATCGAGCTCGCCGGCGCAGACATGACTCGCCGTGCGGCAAGGGCGGCCTTCGCCGCGGCGGGCCTGACCCCGGCTGATATTCAGGTAATGGAGCTGCACGACTGTTTTGCAGCGAACGAACTCATCAGCTATGACGCTCTTGGACTCTGCCCGCCTGGGAACGCCCACAAGATCGTGGAGGCGGGCGACAACACTTATGGCGGCAAGTGGGTGATCAACCCGTCTGGTGGGCTTGAGAGCAAAGGTCACCCCCTCGGCGCCACTGGCTTGGGTATGATATTCTCCGCTGTTCTTCAAGTGCGCGGGGAAGCAGGTCGCCTTCAAGCCCCTGGGGTCCGCAACGCTCTCACCCACAACGTTGGCCTCCGCGGTGCCTGCGTGGTCTCCATCCTCCAACGACCCTCATTCTGGAAACCCGGGTCCACTGCCGCCACACGCTTCGGGTACAATGTGGCAGACGAGGTCCGCCAAATATCAGCCTCTGATTTGGCGAAGGTTCGATCCCAACAACATTACTCTGACTTCATTTCGCCGCCTCTCGGTGGCGCTGGCTGGACGGGGACCGGGCTCGGCACTGATGTCCCGTCCCCGCGTGCCCGACTGTAGCGCGCCTCGTACATGGCAAACCCCCAAACAACCCAGCCGCGAAGGTTTCCGTAGTTTTAAAGCACTCCCACACGGGGATACACGGAAACGTGTAATGATTCAAAGTACACTTGTATCATGTTTGAAACATCATGCACATCTGAACGAGTTTGTGGAAGGGCGGGATAGTGCATTGTGTCGATTAAAGGGTCAGCAAGATGCCGGCACTCGGGAGCGGAGTTGAGGTTTGGTACGCAATTTGCCCCCGAGCGGGACCTCGAGGCATCGGGTTCAGCTGGCGGCATCATGGGATGAGACTTACAAGGGATGATGCAGAGAGGCCTCTGCCGGCCCTGGCATCCTTCTCTATTGCGTAAACCCATGTTCCTAGGCGGGTGTCAAATTGTGCCTTTGCTCCATCGCAAAGCACACTGCATCAAACCGAAGGAGACCTGAGGTGATGTCGTAATCGACTCCAGGTCGCCTGACAAAGCTCACGTGCGGATTCGCCCTTGCCAACAACAGCAACGCCCGTCATGACGACATGAAACTGCCCGCGACGCTCGTGCTGTAATGCCGACCTGTTTACGGCCAACTGTCGCAAGGCGACGGGAGAGGGGGTGCACACGAACGATTGAGATGACGTGAAGCAAGACTGACATGGCGGATCTGTCCATTCTGGGAAGTGAAGCTGCATGCCTTCAGCCCCTTCCCGCATATTTTCCGTAAGCCTTACCAGAGTATTCCTCGTGAAACATGCTGACGGACACGTTGCCTAGAAGGTGGTGAGGATCACTAATCCGCGACTGAACGGAAAAGTCGGGGCCTGATCTAAAGGCAGGTCTGGGCCTCCGCTCGTTGCCGATTCAATGGCTCACGCTCCCCGCATCACGGCTAGCGTTTCATCTGGCGTCCTTTGCCGCCTTGCCAGTCGCATGCAGACGCAGGACGCTCGGGACGCATAGAGCCAAGACAGAGACCGCTTTGCGTATGCACCACGACTGCCATGTCAAGGCGTGGCGATCGACTCGTTTCTCAGCGACGTCCAACTTTTCCTGACCAGTCCGTAGTATTTTCCTGCTGTGGCAGACTCACGGCCCCAAATGGACGACAGCTACGAACAATAGTATGCGCCTAAACTGTTAAGATTGAGCACAAGCGCACGCACACTGGGCAAAAGCCATCGTCACGAGACTTCGCATTCCACACTGAGCTCGTTCCTGATCCGAGCTTAGGATGGTCGGGACGAGCGCTTTGTCCTGGACGCCTGGGCGCCATCGTAGAGTGCCGCCCAACTGCGACGGCGGCGAGCTCCACCCGGGCCTGAAAAGGCTTTTGGGTCGCTCCTCGATCCCGCTCCACTGTTCCAATCGCCCTCAGCCGGAGCTCGGCACACTCGCCACCGCATAATCGGCATGTGATCTTCGCGTGGGGAGCGTACGCCACTAACGTTAACGCGGACGAGCAAGCTTCGTGGCGGGTGGAACGAGTTCCAGACCTGATCACCGTCCAACTCTGTCAAGTAGCCGCGCCCCATGCAGATCAATCGGTGGGAGCGGTGCCACATTCGGATCTTCCTCGCTTGATTTCCACTGCCGATGTCCAGCAGCCGCTCACCACCCCCATCCCAGGCCATGTTCTAGTGCCTCGACCACGAAAATCAAGACATACCGCGGCCCGCATCAATGCCAGTAACTATCACCCAATGCAGCGGCTCCACACGACGCTCGAGTCCTAATTCTTCTCACGCGTGCCACACACTGTTGCGGCTTGGCGAGGTACCTCGGCGGAACCTCGCATAATTGACACACTGTGACGCTCCGAGCTCGGCGGGATCCGGCGTACTTGCTCCACACACTACTCATCATCCTGTACCTTGCATACGTGTACCATCTCCCTTGCTGCGGCACCGGGTAGCGAGCGTTTCATGCTTCTGAACAGGTCCTCTCACCCCCGTGGGGCAGCCGTTTCAATGATTCTTGCCGTCTGTGCATCTCAGTGACTTCATTGCCAACACGGGCTTGACGTTATGTACCCTCGACACATACACTGTCGAAACGGGCTGGTCCTCTCTGGCCTGGCTGACCAGCTGGTCTCTCTCCAAAGGCCCTGCACGGCCGACCTCAACTCTGAGAGGTACAATCGTCGGACAGCGAAGCGGGAATTAGCTGACATGTTATATCTGCTAATATTCATTGCCGGCGGCAATGGGCGCTGACCAATGACATCACATTTGCGCCATCCACCTGGTGGACTGATGAGGACGTCGCAACTTAACCTGATGCTCGGTCATTCATATATTACTCAACGTCCCCAAGGCGACGAGCTCACGCTCAAAATCTGGTAGTACGACTCAGGATATATCCTACACAGCGTGCCATGGCAGCAGCTCTTTACTCGCCTCCAGTCGGGCGCTACTCTCCCAGAGACAAGCAGAGGTAGCACACCTCTCATATCCATGCTCACCTGCAGTTTCTCGTTAGTATAGCGGGTTTGGGATGAGTAAGGGCCAGGATAAGCTGATGTTCAGCTACAAAACAGTCGTTCACCGGTGAGAACGCCTGTCTGGGCGCCAGCTGACACCAGATGGCCAGTCATTCTCACGAACATCGTTTCGGCGATCAGCAGCGTGAACCACACGCTTGGCGAGGCAGACAAAGGGAAGCTCGAGGAGGGCAAGGGGATTATCCGGAAGCTGAGCGAGCTCAAGCACAACATGGGACGGAATGGCGTGCTCCAGTGCGTCCCGTGGAGGGTGACCTGTCGTATTGACGAGGGCAGTCAGAGCGGCGCTGACAGCAGGCCTATTCCAGATGACGGTGAGGGAAACCTCACATGCTACAACGACGAACTGGCTGCCACGCCGGAGGAGGAGAAGCGGTGGTTCACCATGAACTGGCTCTTCGCGGAGTGCTACTTGTGAGTACGCTGCATGGGTGCCTGGGCCAGAATGGAAGCGTTGCTTGGCACCGCTGACACCAGATATCGTCTGCTGCGAACGTTCTTTTCCCTCACGACCCACTGGAAGTCGTATGACCCCTTCTTCGAGTCCAAGGCCGAGACGTACAAGAGTAGCTCGGGCGCGATCGTCCACCTCGCGAACGCACTCAATGCGATGGTTGCAAACCCGCGTCTCCAGGACGGGTGGGAGGGGGAGAAGAGCCCGCTCGAGATGGCCTTCTGGTTAGTGCTCCGCTGATCGAGCAGCGGCTCGCCAAGGGCCCAGCTGCAACCGAGTGCTCGCACACCGAATCGCTGACCGCAGGGAGATGGTCCAGGCCGACCTGTGGGGCAACGCGACAGACCTCTCGCTCCTCGTTGACCTGAACTATGCCGACCTGCAGAAGCTGCAGGCCGTCGGCGCAGCGGCGCAGAAGGAGCAGGCGACTAGAATCTTGCGGGACGATCTCCCGCGCGTGTGGGATCTCCTCAAGACCGTCAAAGGCGGGCGAGTGGACATCGTCCTTGACAATGGTGAGGGTCGCCCTCTTGCGCCCTTCGGGATACACTACTGCTCCCCGAACGCACTTACACGCAGCCGGTTTCGAGGTGTACACTGACCTCATCTTGGCCGACTTCCTGGTGTCTTGTACGCCCTTCGTCGACTCCGTCGTCTTCCAGTACGCCGACGCTGCGCCTGGTGCTGACCTCAGCCCCAAGCTGATCCCGTGGTTCGTCTCCGACGTCCTCCCCCGAGACTTCGAGTACGTCCCTTGGTGCGCTGACGGCCTTCTGACGCTGCAGGTGGGCGATCGACTCCCTGCTTGACCCCGCGTTCTTCTCCGCCCACGCCAACGTCTCCGAGGCGGACACGCGGGCACTCAGCGAGCTCAGCCGCCGCTGGCGCTCGCACATGGCGTCGGGGACGTTCCGCCTGTCTGTCCCCACTGACACGCCGATCGGCAAGGACGAGCCAGCGGCCAACTTCTGGACGACGCAGTATGCGTACGCCGACATGCCCGCGCTCGACCCCGCACTCCTCGCCGAGCTGCAGAAGGCTGACCTGGTGGTCTTCAAGGGCGACTTGAAGTGAGTACAAGGAAGCTCTCAGCTGCATCTTATAGTTCTCCTGCGAGCACAATTGGACTCCGGGTGGCACCTGCTAACGCACCAGCTATCGCAAGCTCATCGGAGATGGGAAGTGGCCGGCGACGACGTCATTCGAGCAGGCTCTTGGTGAGTTGGTGTGTGGCTCTCACGTACAGGGCATGGCTAGAGCGCACTCACCTGCTGCCCTCCTGACTGATGTGGACTATGCTGGCGTATGCGCGCAGCCATCGTAGTCCTCGCCATCGACGTTCTTTGTTCCTTACCAACAGAGCACGCTGACCACAGGCCCGCTCAACGGCACCATCAACCTCGTTTCCTTACGCACAAACAAGGCCGATACCATGTACGTGTCCTCCCTCTCGTCTTCTTTACTTTGACTCCTCGATCCCGCTGCCCTTGTCCTATCCCGACTCCGGCTCACCGCGCGGACTCGTTCTCTCTCGCTTTAACTGACCCCAGCTGCGGCCTAGAGCCCGGAATCGAGGAGCGCATGGACGCCGAGGCGCCGGACTGGCGCGTGTCGGGCAAATACGCCGTCGTGTCGTTCGCGCCGCGTACGTAGACCTGGTCCACCGTGGACCGGAATTAGAGCAACGTGTGTGATACGACAGGACGGGGCACATCTTGAGCGCCTGCCTATGGCATGGTCTGGTCACTGACTTTGAAGCGCTTATCGCTCTGACTTGCTGACGCCGCTCGCATCAACTTGTGCTAACACCTTTCTTACACTGGAAGCCAGATGCACAACGAAGACTTCAAGTGGTCTCTGTGCAGGTCGCAGGGGGGTCAGTCGCGTCCTTTGAGATGCCGCCTGGCATCTGCGTGTCGCGCCAGGTCCTTGTCGCGACGGATTGGATCCCACGGTCATTTGCGCAGATCCGACGGCTCGCAGACTCAGGTGAGTGTTAAGATTACCGCCGACCAAACGCGTTATTTACAGCGCCAGATCCGTGTCGCTGTCGTGTTTCCTGCGCGACAGATGAGGCGTTTGGCTGTTCACGACACCCACGGCAGCCTTCTGCCCTCTCACGCCGCGAGCGGCACGTCTAGCGTTTCTATGAGGCCACCACAGCGGCGCAAGCACAAAGTGAAGGCAGAGCAAGACGAGCGGGCCCTCGAAGAGTGAGGACACAGTTGGGAGAGCAAGGGCAGAGTGAAGAGCGAGAATAGAGCGAAGAAGAGCAAGAATAGCTCGGCCACGCAAGCCCCCCACAAGCACTACCTCTGGCCCTGTCTCTCGTATCTCTCGCACCAGAGGCTCCAGTGCGCCCGCGCAACCAGCAGGTGCACGGTACCGCCGTCGTCGCGCCAGAGAGCCTGGACCAAGGAGCCGAAACGCCATGGGAGTAGTGGCACGACATGTCGTGGAGCATCAGCTCCTGGCTTTTGAGAGCTTCCGTTGCGTCTGTGGACTGGACGACTGTGGGGCAGGCGTTTCCAACCCGGCGCAGCTGGACGCGTCGCGCGCCGGGCTCACCGGCATCCCGTGCTCCGTGCTCCTGCGCTCCTGCGCTCCTGCACTCGCCTCCGCAGTCGCTTCTCGCCTCCGCAGCTCTCCGTCCTCGTAAACTCATAAGCCGCACCCTCCTGCACCAGTGTCTGTGCGCCACGCAGCCACGGTTCCGCGAATACAGTAACAAGCATACATGTGCCTATCTATGTCATGCGCGTCCCTCTGTCGTGTCGTCATGCTTCTCACGCGCTGCTGCGTCGCTGCGTCAGCGCGCAGTCGCGGTCGCGTCGCGTCGCACGGTCGCAGTTCTGTCGTGCTTGTTTGGCGACTGGCGTGCGATGCAACGTGGCGCCTGTACAGCCTGGATGGCATATGGCGCTGGACAGCAGGGGTGCAGGCGTGTTCGAAACCCCAACGGGCGCACCGCCTTGGGGCGGTGCAGAGTCAGCCGTGGTCGATATACATGTATACATAAGGCGAGGCAGTTCTCGGATCTCCCAATCTCACGATCTGCACTACTGCGAGTTGCAGTGCACCGAGCAGTGCATGTCGACGAGTGTGTGACGCGTCGGCGCGTTCCACCCACACCCACACCTAACACACACCCCGCCCACCCACACCCACACCCACACCACAACACATCATCACCACAACACATCATCACCACATGTCTCACTTCACCCACCCCCCAACCCCGCTCCTACCCGCGGAGGTGCCGGTCATGCTGTCTCTCGCCAGTGCCCGGCGCCTCCACGCGTCGACATCGCGAGTCTGAATGTGTACAACTGCAGAGTCCCAACCCTCCGGCGGAGCCCTCGGAGATACCGGCGCCCGGGGTTCGGGAGTATACTCTCTAAACTAGGCATCGCACGTTGCGGCTGGTCCCGACCAGCAATCACCCCACGGCCCGGTCTTCGGATGACACTCACCGGATGGCACCCGAAACGCAACAGCTGACTTGTGGCCTTGTGGAGTAACGATAGGGTCGCAGGCTTGGCATGCTGCGCATTGCGGGGCGGTGCACATTCCGCGAGTGTGGGGCATGCGTGGGGAATGCAGTCGTGCACTCACAGATCACAGGTCGCACTCACGACTTGGCGGCGACGGTGTGATTTGGTTGAGGTGATGGCAGGGCAGATGAGTGCACGGCCAATCGTAGGCGCGGTGATTCACCTGGGCTATCAGACTGCAGACCACACGCTCACTCAGACCTCTCGTGTGGCCGTGTGGGCCATGTTGATGCGCGCCATGGTTAACGCGGCGCTCCGACTGATCATCCCCGCCCCCCCTGTTCCTCTCCACTTTACACAAACTGCTGGAATTTATCTTCTCATGCATACGGCCCACCGCGGCCTACTAAAATATGAGCTAGGCAACATCCCACGTCGCCGCGACTAGAAAGCAATGAAAGCGCGGGGCGGGCGGGTGAGCTGGCCCCGACATCGGACACGGAGGAAACTCGAGAACCGAAGGCGAGAACGCAGCCCCTACAGGAGGTGATCCTTAGAGAAGGAGACCAGCACCGGCAACGGCGCCCATGACAGCGAGAGCAATCTCCTTGCCGGGGATGGTGAGGGCGGCGGCGGCGCCAGCCCGCGAGGTGGCGGCAGAAGCGGCCGACGAAGCACCGCTCATGACCGACGAGGCGCGCGAGGCGGCGCTCGAGGCAGCGGCCGAGGCCGAAGACTGGACCGACGAGAGAACAGCCGAGGCCGAGGCGACGGCACCCGAGGCCGAGGACTGGACGGCCGACTGCTCAGAGGAAGCCGCGGCGGCAGTCTCCGACGCGGACGAGACGGCGGCGGAACTGGCGGCGGCGCTGTCAGCGGGAGCGGAGGCCGAGGCCGAGGCGCTGCCCTGGCCAGCGCAGAGCTGGCCCTGGAGGGCCTGGGCGGCGGCAACCTGGTCGGGGCACTGCCTGTGGAGCGTCAGCTCAAAGTGCCCACATGAATGAAAGACAGAGACGACTCACGCGTTGATGCAGTCAAGGGCACCCTGGACGAACTGCTGCGACGAGCAGATGCAGGCAAAGTCGGTGACACCCGAGCAGCCCGAGGCGGTGGCACCCTGGGTAGCGCAGGTGAGGATGCAGGGGTTGACGGAGCTGGGGTCGAGCCTGGGAGGGAGGTTAGCGACTGATCTGATGGAGGCGGTGGGAGAGGGACTTGGGGTGGTGGTGTCGGTGTGGCTGGTGGTGGTGGTGGTGGTAGGTGCGTCTTCGCCCGTGGGCCAGGCCCACATGAGGTGCGGAATTCAGGGGGAAGGCTGTTTGGATTGGACGCCGCGGCCCGCGGGTGAGGAGGGTGTGACGCGAATGGCAGCGCGGTGTCAACCGCCAACAGTCTTCAGATCAGTGTCCTACATCTTGCCGATGCAGGACGCGCCGACCAAGGTCAAGGCAACCAATTCAAGTGCAAGGTGTGGGGCGAAGGAAGGCAGGTATAGATGGAAGGAGAAAGAGCGAGATGGGGATGGGTTTGGAGACTCACTGGGCAACAGCGACCGAAGCGAGGACAGCGGCGGCGGCGAAGTACTTCATTGTGATAAAGAAAGTGAAGTGGGGTGTTTTGGGAGGTTGAGGTCTGAAGAGTACGGTAGAGGTCGACGACAGGTGAGACGAGAGGATGAATGAGAGAAAGAGAGAAGTAGATGAAGCGAGGATGGGGGGGGTTCTTATACTTGGAGTGCTTTGGGGGGGAAAGGGAGGGAAGGAGGTACGAGGTGCAAGGAGTACGGAGGATCCACAAGGGCAAGGGAGAGCGCGCGGGGGTAGGGACTCACGCGGGGCGGGGAATAGGGTTGAGTTGGGCGACAAGAGGATGAGAGCATGGGAGAGCGCGCCGAGAGCATTGGAGCAGAGGCGCAAGAGGGGGGCTGTTGCCTGCATTGCCTGGTGCGGGAAGGGCCCAGAAGCCCAGAAAGGTGCATCAGCCCATAGTATCAGCGTGGATGAGGGCGTGGGCGTGGGCACCCATTAGTTTGTGTGTTACTCGGTGTGGCCTTTAGCCTGATGATGCATGGTCTCGGGTCAGATGCCTTGCATGCCGCCATATCGCCATGCATCTGATCATCTGAATGGGTGAATCGTCGTCGGTCCGAGGGCTGCGGGGAGAGCGTGCCGTGTGCCGCGTACTGACTGTGGCCGGAGTCGGCCGGTTACCGGTGACCAGTTGGTCAGTTGGTCAGTTGGTCAGTTGGGCCATGACCGTCGAGCAGGAAGCAGTCAGCTTGCAGCCTATGCTGTCTATGCTGCCTATGCTGCCTGGCTGCCTACCAGTTGGACTTGGAGCGCACAGTCTTCACTCTTGCTTGGCTCATCTACCTTTGGTCAAGTCAACGGCGCTCGGTTTCCTGGATGATCTCGATATGGACCTCGCACCTTGTTGACAAATCCTTGGCCCTCTCGCGGCCCTCTCGGCTCGGGTTGCTCGCAGATCGCAGATGCTCGGGTCTTGTGCCCCTCACTTTCAGGCCCCTCTTACATCCAAACCCAAATGACCACTTGTTTCTCGGCTCCATCTCGCCAGCTCGCCATCTGCAGCTCTGCAGAACAACATGTGCATGTGCAACCGATCTCTGATTTCTATCTACTATGCAAGCACATACCTGCACGAGGGTCGTATGCATAGAGTGCCGCTTACCGTCGGCACAGTGCCTACGATTGGCTAATGTCCAGCCAACAGGCCAACAGGCTAACAGGCCAACAGGCGGGCCTAACCGCCTCCCGAAGCCCCCAAGCCACAACAGTAGACGCCCAACGCCCAGAACGCCGCATTGTGTGCCGCCTCGATCCCGTCCTTCCAAGGAATCCAAGGATCATTGTATATGACATATGTCGAGAAGCGCGAGAAGCTTCCAGTTGGCGTAGGCGTTGGCTGACATCGGCCACTCTGTTCCGGTGTACTGGCTGGCGTTGCTGGCGCCTGGCTGATGGCTTGGCGACTGGCGGCTGATTGCGCGGCGACCGGAGACCGGCCGCTCGGAGACGTTACGCTCCACGCTCCTTGACGCGAGCATCGCGCCGGAAACCCCCACTCCACCGCCCACGCCCCACCTAGGAGCGCAGCCCGAGCTAGCTACATCTGCAACGCTACTCGGCAACTCTGTGCCGTAGTGCAGAGCGCGCTGTACTAATCGATGCTCAATCGACGCTACTCGTTTCCCCCCGAAAGTGACCGGCAAGGGCCGGCGATCCGGCGTACCGGCGTACGGGCCGGCATCAGTCAAGTCTCGACGCGCGCGGCGGCAACATACAAGAGCGGCAATTGGAGATGCGGGCCCTGAGGATGAAAGGACCCCTTGTGTCAGCGGGGGAGCGACGGAGGAGTCTGGATGTCGGCGGCATGTGGGCAATGGGGCAAGTGTGGGGCCGCCCGGCGCCATTCACAGGGCCAGGGATCGGGTATGCGGGCACGGGCCAGAGCAAGCTGCAGGCCTGCAGGCGAGGCGTGACAGCCCTGGGGGTTGCCAGTTTCGGCTCGGAGGATACTACTGATTGCAGAGCGGACATTACCTCATGTGGAGGGATGACACAAGAAATGACGCAGAATGTGGAGGCAAGTGCACCGCCTCGCTCTTAATGACTTGTGTGCGCAGCAGGCACACGCGCGATTGCTTCCTTCCCCAAGTGCCAATCTTGCGCCCTCCGTGCGTCCGTCCCCTTCGGATCACGGACAGACAGCGGCACGGCGACTAAGCCGACCATGGGGATGGCCGAGCAATCTCCGCTGTCTCATGCGATCATGCTGCCCGGTGTGCGCAGCCCATCCGATGCACGCTGTTTCGTCCGTCTTGCACTTGCTGGCGCGCTGATGTTTCTGATATTATCCACTTCGTTTCGTGTGTTCCTGCCGATTGTGCCGTGCCGTTCCTGCATCTCCAACAAAGCTCTCCACGTGGTTCGCTAACCCTGAGATGAGATTTCCGATCTGGGTCTACTCACGTACTCACATGCGATGCCAACGGATCAACGTGGGCTGCGCTGGTCATCACATCGCCATCGCCGGGCATCCATCACCGCGCGCGTGAGCGCAGTCATAGACCCACAGATCACGGGGCGCGACTGACCTTTCTTCCGTCCTCGCACCTCCTTCGTCTGCCACAAGAGCCAAACACGCTAGCAGGTACGCAGGGCATGAAGCCAGCCATGGCGCGACGCGTCTCCCGTGGCCCGCCGCCCGTGGCCCGTCGCAAGTCGCCCGTTGCCCGTCGCCTCACCCCGCAGGCAGGGAACTGGCCGTTCCGCTGGCCTGGCCCACCGATCCACATCCCTCCAACCCAAACCCTCGTGCCCTCGACTCCCTTTCTGGCACTCCCGGTATCCAACACTTTCCCGCCGGACCCCGTCCTTATGCAAAGGATGCAGCGCGCTGTTGTCGTAACGCGCGCGGCACTCTTTAGCGATCCAGCTGCAGATCTGCACACGCGTGGCGTGGCAGTGGTAAGATCACCACGCTCAGACTACGCGTCCGTTATGCCATATCGGATCTGCGCCCGACCCGCGACCCGCGATTCGAAAGCCAGAGCGTGCAGATCTGCGTCCGCGCTCGGTCCAACGATCCAACGACATGGACAACCAAAGCTTTTGCAGCGCTGGCCCAATGTCCAAGGATCCAAGGACGCATGCTGATCGCGGAACAAGCGCTCGAGCAAGCTAAAAACCAAAGGAGAAGGCAACCGGATAAATCGCCTGACTTCCCCTCCCTTCAGCTCCATGCCTCCATTCCCATTACCTCTAAAGGCAGATTGGAGCCCACCCTTCCTTCGTGCTACCGTGCTCCGTGGCCCGTGGGCGGCCGGTGGGCGGATCCCGGGCGTGGGCGTGCGTTGGTGCTATTTCGGGTGCCAAGCGCTCGCAACGATTGCAACCGAGCTAGCCAGGGAGCCGGAAAGAATAGAGCAGGGCAGGAGGCCAGGAGGCCAGGAGGCATGAATATCGTCCACCGCCACCACTAATCGGATCAAGGGCACAGACACCCACGGTTGCGACTGATTTTCGTCTTTCCCCAAGCTCAAAGGCGACGTGGGTGGTCAGGCGTGCAGGCGTACGGACTTGAAGGCGTAGGCAGGCGTTTAGGCGGGACGACAACGTGCGTGACCAGAACGCTGCGATGTTGCATCCGATCTGCAGTCTATCGCGGCAATGTCAACGCCCAGGCAGCCCAGGCACACAGACCACTTTTCCAAAGGTGGAGGTGGTCCACTAACCACGTCCCTTCGTCCCGACCGCATTTCCGTTGAACACCTACACACATTCTGTCCAGCTGTCCACGCGCCATCCTCCACCTCGTCGTATTACAACTTGGACTTCTTGCCAACAAAAGGACCGTGTTCATCCGTAGCGTCGCTGCTCTCTCCCTCCTCCCGAGACTCAGCGCGCTTGCGCTTGCTGCCGCTCGGGACCTCACCGCCTCCGCCGCCACAGGACGGGAGTTCAATTTCGTTTGCTAGAAGACACTGCCCCCCCATCTCGTCGTCAGGCTCATCGAGGGATCGCAGCAAAGCGTCGAAGAGCGCGTCGGCATCGGCAAAGTACATGCCGCTACCCGCCCGCGGGCTGTTGATGGACACTGAAGCCGTCGACTCGTTTTCGACAGGCTCCTCGACTTCAGCGGCGATCTCGGTGGAGGCCAGAAGGGCGAGGCTCCTAGGCGATCCGAGAGTCATCTCGGAGTGAGAGGGCTGGTCGGCATTGAACGCACGACGCGCGCCGCTTCTTGCACTCGCCGAGGCTACAGGTGTGGATTCGAACGACCTCCTGGTAGGGGAGCTCGGCTTGCTTCCATGCGTTTTAGAGGGCTGCCGCTCGCTCTGGCGGTTGTGCGAGCGAGATTTTCTGTCGCAGGGAGACTGGTGGCTGCGGGGAGTGTGCGCGCGAGAGTCCATCTCGTAGCGAGACTGGCGGTTGCGAGGGGTATACGGGCGAGAATCACTCTCATAAGGAGACCAGCGGCCGCTGGGGTGAAACTTGTCGTGCTGCCAGCGCGCCGACGACGACGATCCAACTGCCCTGTCAGGTGCGCAGCAAACTTCACCCACCAGTCGAACCGCGCGGACTGCTCGACACGCTCGCGGCCACGTCGGACGAGGTCCCAATACTATGTCTCGAGTCCGGGTTTCCACGGTAGCGCATGGGCACGGGGAGTACGGATGTTCTCCGGGCGGCAGCATAATCGACGAGGTCACTGACTGGGGAGATCATCCTGTTAATCGCGGTGGAGAGCGCCGAGGAAGGGCGCGGTGGTGAGGCAGGGCCTTTGTCGGCGAGGACAACTGAAATCTGGCGTAAGCTGACAGCTCGTTTTATTAGGCGCAGTGGACACCTCCGCAAAGGTGGAGCAACGCCTGTCAACCCACTCCAACCGGAATGCAAGGCCGACGAGTTAGACGACTCTGCTTTCAAGGGGGTCACCTACCTCCAAGTCACGCCATTCGTGTCCAACAAGCACGGGCATTGTCTGCGTTGCCGTCCACGTTGCACTCTCTACGACACGCTGAGCCAATACGGCCGAGCCGCCGCTACCCACGGTGACGGAGATGGTCTTGGGAAGGCTCTTGGGGCGACTTGTTGCCGCATTGATGCGGGCGCGGAGCGGGGGCTGGTGTTTAGCGTCCGGGGAAGGGGGAAGGGGGTAAAGTGGAGCGGGGGCGAGGAGGTGAGGCGGCGCAGGAGCGTGAGGCCGCAGTGACCCAGGACTGGGCGCATGCAGTCGACGCCAAGAAGGCCTCCACTCGGCTCATGCGCTGCGGGGTACGCTCATTCTCCAGGGCTAACTCTGCGAAGCGCTGGATGGAGGAGGGAAAGTACTTACTGCGGGCTTCCCGACGTTCCTTAGGCTCTCCTCGTACGCGCGCTGTGCTTTCTCAGCGCTCGCGAGCTCCCGCCTGTGTTTCTCGCGGAGCGCGTTTCCCGGTACGGCTACTAGGCGACGCAGCGACGCGATGTTGCGCAAGCGGTACGTGGCGGCCTCCTTGGCGCGCTGCGCGTCCATGTCCGTGAGGCATGGTGAGTCGTCCGCGCCGGACACGCGATCGATGAGCTCCACCGCTGCCTTGGACGTGGGAGTTCTGCGACACGGCTCAGGAGCGGTGGCTTTGGCGTTGTTGTGGCGGTTGTCCGACGGGCGAGGCGCGGAACGCGACGCGTTTCGGCCACGGTCCATGCTAATGAGGCAGTTGGGCGATGAAGAGGAGGGAAGACATGGCAGTTAATAGTGGATGTGGAGAGAACGTGTTGCAATAGGGAGGGAAGGTCGCTGCGACTGCCGCTTGCCACTGATCGCTGATCCTCTCATCAGACACACAGGCTGCCAAGCTGCATACGCACATACACATCCAGTCACCTAAGGCCTGTCTTGCGATTTGCGATCAGTACACAAGCCACTTGGTCACGTCTCGACCTGCCTTACTGAATAGCTGACTTCGCCACAAATGATCGCTCGTGCTGAACAAAGTTCAACGTTCGATGCGACACACATACTACAAGATTCATATACACTCCAAGCCTCTCTGGGAATCTGGAATCACGGTATGAACTCTATCTCACAAAGCTGGAACCTCGCGACCACGTCCACCTAGCGTACATGATACGGCCCGCGGCGCGGCTGAGCCTTAAGCGAATGCCGAGGGCGGTAACAGTCGGAACTGCGAAACTTCTTGGTTGTGACCACCTCCTCGTAGTCGTAGCCGTCACCACGAGGGCTGGTCGAGCGCGAGCGCTTGCGAGTGGTGGGGGCTACAATTGGGCGACTTTCGTAGCGGGTCGCGCTGAGCTCCTCACCCGTCCAGCGCGTTCCGCGACTGGCAAGGTCATATGCGGCGCCGGGGCGAGAGGAACTCTTCCGAGATGGAAGGGGAGCGATTGTACGCCGCTCGAGCGGCGGCCTATACGGCACCGGAGAACCAGACTGATAAGGCCTCATATCCACGTCTCGAGGTTCACCAGCGAGCCGACGGCGACCGACGTCGTCGTAATGGCGCGGATTAGGGGGTGGTGCTGCTGGTCAAGAGGATGCAAGACATATATGCTTACCATCGATGGGCGGGGCCGGGCCAACGCTTTCCGATATGTTACCCACGACTGCGACTTGGACCTGGGATCAGTACGTTGCGCCCAGCCGCCGGCAGCAGACCCGCCGAGGTGAAGAGAGAAAATGAAGAGCCACTGGAGGCCAGTCTGGAGGTGGCAGCAGGCGAGCACGCGGCGTGAGACGGGCGCACGCCGAACGGGACTCTCACCCAAAGATCCTCCCCTCCCGCAACAGTGCGCAGTTGAACAGGAGTCGAGGTGCGCCAAGTCAAGGTGCTGCTGTTGTCAACGTTGCGGCAAGGGTACAGAACGATGGCAGCTTTCGCGGCCTTCGCTCGCACCAGCTCGGACTAGCGCCTAGGGCCGTTATTGTGGAGGAGGAAGGTGGTATTGCCAACTCACCCATGAACCTGCTGGGCGTTCACGACGGTGCCATCACCGAACGAGACCGTCACGGTGTTACAGGCAGAGCTGGCATCGATGACGGCGATCTTGGGCAACGTATTGTGCGAGGCTCTGGGTGCCGTCTTGTTCGGGGCCTTGCGTGCAGGCTGTGGCTACAGTCAGGGGAAGCCGGTTGCGGGAAGGAAGGTGAGCGCCTTACAATGTGCGCACAATAACGCTCGTAGCGCGCTTGCGCAGCCTCAGCACGGCGGAGCTCGTCGGCGTGCTTTTCGCGGCGGGGGTTGTTGGGAGTGTTTGCGAGGCGGCGAAGCGCGTCGATGTTTCGGAGCCGGCCGATGGCGCGCGCGATGGTGCCCGACGGGGCTGCGTGAGGCTGGTCCTGGACCTTGAGGAGGGCCTCGAGCTCGGTGGCGTAAGCGTCGCGCAAGGGGGTCTCCGGGTCTGCGAGGTGGCGACGCAGGTGGCCGATGCGCCGGGCGCGGTTGCGGGCTGCCACGGAGTCGGAGTGACGAGGGTCCTTCTGCTTGGGCTTGGACTTGGGCATGGTATCAGGTGAATGGAGCGGAGATGAGATCGAAGGAAAGAGATGAGGAAGGAGGCGAGAGTGCTAAAGGAGACAGATGTTTGCCTGGCATGCCTGGGGCGCGGTGGTTGGCGGCGATCGCTGTTCCCCACGATCATCCGTAGCTGAAACGCGACAATCTTCATTAGCAGCACGCATCGAGGTAATACGTTCACACAACTGCATCCCCGCTCTCTAGTCGTACAGCCACGCCTGCCGCCGCTGCTTCTGCTCGGCCTTCTTGGCGCGGAACCGATCCTGGGCATCAGTCATGTGCCAAAACAACCTTCAGACTATGCCACACTCACCATGTCCTTCTTGGTGATTTTGCGGTCCTTGGCGATCCCCGCCTCCTGCTCAGCCTTGCGCTTGCGCGCCTCCGCCGCCTTGGCCTTCTCCCATCCATCGACGTCAAAATAGTGCTCATTGAACCGCTTTTGGCGCGAGTACTCGTCGAGCGCCGCGAACGCGTAGTGCGAGTCGGTCCCCAGGCGGCCGGTACGTGCTGCCATTGCCGCCGAGATGGCCGAGGACGATCCGTCGCGCTGCTCGGCGGGGAGGAGGTGCGCGAGTGCCGGGTCGATCTCGGGCAGTCCGCCGGCGCGAGGAGGCGCGGGGCCGGCGGGCAGAGGAGGAGGCTCGTTCGGGAGTGGTGGTGCATCGGAAGGCGCCGCGAGCGGGTTCGACCATGTCACCTCGCCGGTGTCCGTGTTCCAGAAGTAGTACGCTGGGGTTAGATTGAGCGACGTTCTAAGCTTACCGTTGTTGGCGGGCGCCCAAACTGCCTGCCATGGATGGGCTTTCTGCTTGCCCTTGCCCTTGTCCTTCCCGGCGGTCTCCTCATCTCCGTCATCCTCGTCGTCCTCGTCCTCGTCGTCATTCTCGTCCTCACTATCTTCGCCCTCGCCGAGCGAGTTGATAGGCTGCGCATCACTCTCCTTGGACAGCCCAGGCTGGTCATTGGGCAAGGGAGGCTGCTCATCTGGCAGGGGCGGCTGCTCGTCTGGAAGCGGTGGCTGCTCGTCCGGGAGAGGTGGAGCGTTGGTGGGAAGAGGGGGCTGCTCGTCTGGCAATGGCGGCTGCTCTGCGGGGAGTGGGGGCTGCTCGTTCGGGAGAGGCGGCTGCTCGTCCGGGAGAGGCGGCTGCTCGTCCGGGAGAGGCGGCTGCTCGTCCGGCAGAGGTGGCTGCTCAGACTTCTTGCTCTTCTTCTTGGGCGCCATAGTTGCGAACAGTATGAAAGTTGGAGTTAGGTGGCAAGAATCGACGAGATCACAACAGAATGTCCAATTTGATTCCGTCAGGGTACGACCTCCACTCTCTCCTCCACCTTTGTTATGATGGTCACTGTACTTCTCTCTGTCTGCGCCAGCATGGACCTAGACCTCATCCCGGCGGGCACCAAGGTGATGTAAGTGGAATTGGCTCAGACTCTGCCTCCTGAATTTTGCCCGTCATCCTCTCCGTCCGTCCCGAAGTCTCGATCTAACTCTAGCGTCCCCGCCACCCTGCCCGGCACCCGCCGCCTCGCAATGATCAAAGACGACGACGCGGCATGGACGTCGCCGTCCTCCCCGACGTCTATCACGCTCGAGTTTCCCACGCCCGTCACGGCGCGCAGGCTGGCCCTGACGTTCCAGGGCGGCTTCGTGGCGACCTCGATCGTCATCTCTGCGGAAGAGGAGCTAGGCAAGGTGTACCCCGAGGACGTGAATCGGCGGCAGGTGTTTGAGTGAGTTTTGGATTGGCGGGCCTGACGCCAGTATTACGCCGACGGAGATGAGGCGGCTACGGCTTGAGATGCCGGGGAGCACGGACAACCAGGGCCGCATTACGGTGTATCGGGTCGAGCTGCTAGAATAGACTGCAAGCTTTGCAGGCAGGCGGGGTCAAGGCCTTGGCGAAGGTGGCTCTGCGTCGCTTATTAGGTGTCTCGCTCAGTTATCTGAGGCTGGAGACGACCGCAGATGTCTCACGATGCGGATATACGGGCCTGTCGCCGAGAATCCACACCTCCTATTCCGGTCGTCATTCTGTTGACACAATACTGACGCTGCCACGAAACTCATGCAGAAGAGATGTTGCATAACTCATTCCAGTCAGGTAACTGCCTAGGGTTAGTCCATCTACGATCTACGACAGCTCTTCCTATGGTCTAGATAGGCCGCGTCGCTTATGTCGACTCATTCTCCCTCACCTCACCACTCTCCTCCCCTATGACCTCTTCTATGAGGCGCGTGCTATGCTGTTCGTGCTCGATGTGTTTACGAACTCTAATTGGTCGCGAGTGAAGATGCTGTGTGTATCGCGGACGGCGGGTGGGCATACAAGCCTTACAGACAACAAGGTCGTACAGTTTTCACGTGCCTTTTACAAGATGATGGTGTAGGTGGTGGAGAGAGGGAAGACGTTGTTTCTCATGCAAAGATTCTTGAAATCATGCGAATGTCGGGGTGACATCGCCGCTAACGCCTAGCGAGGATGCTCGGGAGGCGCATGATCTGGCGAGGATTGTTCAGAAGTCGTCGAGATCGGGCTTGGGAAGCTGAGACCCAGCGGGAGAGTTGTGGAAGGTCGGACCAGCGTAGAAAACTTGGGGAGCCTGTGCCAGCGCCGAGGCAGTGGTAGGAGAGTGCTCCGAGGCTGGCCCAGGGACCACATCCGAGATCTCCGCCTGTTCACTGGTCATGCGAGGGATTTCGGACTGAACAAGCGGAAGTTCAATCTTGCCATCGCGAGCCGTCACAGCCGTTGAACGTCGACCTGCACGCAGAGGCGTTTGAGGGGCTCGGTGGACGTTAAATCCGGTGTGAAATGGGATGGAGTTGTCGAAATTGGAAGGGGAAAATGCCGAACGGGTGGGACTGGGGACGCTACCGGTTGTGCTGACCGTCGATGCCTTAGAGACAACCTGCATGGCGGCTGCTATGCCTGTTACGGGCACATTGTCAAGAGAGGAGCGACGCTGGTGGCCGCCAGCCTTCATCGGAGCCTTGGACGCTCTACGGCCGCCAGCCTTGGGGTTCTTCGACGGTGTCACTTCGTTCTGAAGCGACGGTTGCCACTGTTTGTCAGATGGAGATCTCGGAGATGACTAGGGGAGAACGACGCATTCACTCACGTTAGGAGGTAACTCATATACAGGAGAGGCCCGCTGAGGCGCGTCCCCTACTTGTGCATCCTTAGTACCCTGTTGCGCCTCTGCAAAAAAGGAAGCGGGAAGGGACTGTGACAGCGCCGCCAAGTCCATGGAGTTGGAAGCCTCTGCCTGGACATGCAGGCCCGAGTGGAGATCACTCGAGACGGGCAGATCGGTGCCGATTCCGGTTGACCCGTCCGCAGACGATTTAGGAGCCACGGCCACCTTGCCGACCTCAGTAGCGGACCTGGCTCCCTCGACCACCTTCCTTCTACGCCGAGGATCGGGTGGGGTTGACGCCAGCGCGTCTTGTCCGCGGGCCCCGTCGCGGCGCACAGGTTTCTGGCGCGGCAAATGCTTGGGCACGTCCTTCTTGGCAGCATCCAACGCCGCCTTGGAGAGATGAAGCATGCCAGGTGTATGGGTTGGTGGACTTCTGAGAAGCTCGAGAACGTCATCGTCCGTGCTGCCACCTGCGTCGGTGATGTCTTGGGCATCCGAGGCATTCACGAGGGCAGCGGGTTGTTGGGGAAGTCGCGCCTTTCGACGAGAAGCCCTGCGCGGGGGAGTGGTAGCCCGGGGTGATTCAGATGCAGGGGAAGAAGGCATATGTTGGGTCGCAGGTGTGCGAGGGGGACGTGGGGGGGAAGGGGAAGAGTGCGCTTGCCGAGAAGACTGCTGTTGCACGATGTTGTGGAGATGAGACTGGAGAGGAGGGTGTGAAGGAACGCTGCAGAGCATAAGCGAGGGAGATTAGTGGATATAGCCAAGAATTGCAAGGTGATGTGGGTGTGGAAGCGTGGAAGTTGATCGGAAGACGAGTGGCGGGATGGATTGAACAGATGGCGAGGAGGAGATCGAGCAGATATGTAAGCTGAGCCGGGCAAGGTGATGGCCGATCCTTCCGACTCACAGGCCACCTCAGCTCTCAGCCCCATTAATTTACGTCAGAGCCCTCTTAGATCTTACAATTCAGCCTAAGGCCTCTGAATCCAATCAGACCACTCACACTGTTTGTGAGATCAGGGTATCACAATTCCCGCCTGTTGTTGCAGTGCACGCCGAGATGTTGATGGTAATAATTCAGACAACGGTTATCTGCTCCTGCGATCGCGGCGGGATGGAGGGCGCTGAGAAGTGGTGGAGAGAGGGAGGGACAATTGGTGTCCGGAGTGAATTGGTTTCGACAATAACCGTCGAGATGCTGATCACGTCCACAGTATGTGCGTAGCGTGCGAAGTGCGCCCCGTGGCCAAAGGGCTGGTTCATTTGAATCACACCTATGGGATCGTGGGACAACAGATTCAAAACGAGTTGTCAAGACAGCTAGAGCTGCATCGCGCGCCATCCCCTTGCAGCTCTTACAGATTGCAAGCGAAGGTCCTAGAATTTAGTGGTGCGTAGAAGTTGCTCCGTTTGCGGATCGAAGCGGTCGTGTGGGTGACGATCGTGCGGGTGCTCCGTGCAACCTCCACTTTTGACTTTGGCATCCACACAATCGCACACGAGACAATGTCAACAGCACCGCCAGCCACGAGCTCTGCCCCGACCGCCGCGGTTGCTGTCTCAGAACCCCAAACAGCAGCCGCAGGATCCACAGCCACCACTCCTCGCAAGGTCGACGCTCCCACCATCCTCACAACGTTGCACACCCTTCTACGCGCGCACTGCCAAGCCCACCCCTCTCCAACCCTCCCCTACCTGCACCCCTACGCACCCCTCCCTCCCGCGCCATGGAAGGGAAAGGCGCGTGCGGAGCTGCCCTCTGCTGAGGGGCAGCTCGAGGCGCTACGCGCCATGCGTGATGTGGTCGACGGCGCGCGTGGTGTCTTGGGGCGGCGAGACGAGGTCGATCGCGTCCGTCTGGCGCGAGCTATGCGCGAAGTGTGAGAATCATTGGCGCGCCTCTCTGACTCTAGAATTACGCACGAGTCATCGCTCCTTCCCCTTGGAACGACGCTTGCCTCCCTCCCGCCATGCGAGCCACGACTCGACGCTATTGTTCCCCTTCCTCCAGCCGAGTTACTATCCGCCCTCGGCAAGCGCCTGGGCCTGCAGGTGTTCGCCGAGGACAGCCAGTTTGGTCTGCTGCGCACATCGTTGACTCTTGCTGGATCAAGATTCGTCGTTGATGTTGACCTCGAGACGGATGCGGCCGAGGGCGACCAGACTGAGCCGCCTACCGCGGCGGGCACGCCTGTCGCCTCGACGGCTTTTGGGCTGTCGCTGACGCCGCTCACGCAGACGTTAGCCGCGACACCTACACCAGCCAAGGTGCCTCCAGCAGATGAGCGCGGCAAGGTGCGCTTGGCCAAGCTCACAGCGTCGCATGTCACGCCCTCAGGTGAAGCGGGTAAAACCGACTCTGTCGCGCAGGTTCTCCGCGTCCTGCTCGAGGAGCACCTGGCGTGCTACAATTCGCGTGGAGCACGAGGGAAGGAAGCCAGCTACGCAGCGTGTGCGGCGCTTGAGAGCGCGCTCGCCGAGCTCAAGGCCCTCGACGAGTTGGCAGAGGCAGCCAAGGGCAATGACGCCGACCTCTTCCTCGACCTCGAAACCCTAGCAGCTGGTGTCGCGAGCGCAGCCCAGGACGGCGCCGAGACGCGCGTCTACACCGAACCCAAGGCCGGCATCTACCCTTCCTTCCGCCTCCTGCCTGGCGCGCCAGGACGCGCCAACCCCTCGTTTCGGTTCCGTCCGATGGGACGCGGCGAGAATGTGCCGCCTCCGCCTCCAGAAGTCGGAATAGCTGTCGACGCCGAGCCAATGTGCCGTGGCGCATGGCTGCTGGAGTTTGTCGATGACAATCCGTTCTCTTCGGAGGGCGGGCGCGGCCTTGTCGTCCGTCGCACTTGGCTGCTCTCTGAGCAGCCGCAGGAGGGCCACGACGATGCAGCATCCGTATCCCTCGCGAACGGAATCAAGGCGGAGGGCCTCCTGCACCAGGCGGCGCTCGAGGAGCCGCGCAACGCGTCTCCCGCCCTCCCGCTCTTTCCATACACGACACTCTTCGAGCACAAGACTGAGGGCGTGGGCCAGTGCTGGTCGCTAGCAGAGCCTGGTCCGGACGGCTACATCGTAGGCCGCGTCGGCCTGCCCTCATCTTGGGCAGCTTTTGGGCGCCTCGCGACGGCGCTGCGCGCCCAGCTCGTCCTCAATGCGCTCTTCACGAGCGCCTTCGACCCCGCGCATGCCGCCAGCGGCACAGACGGCGACGACGACTTGGACCTCGATGTCGACCTCGACGCCCCGCCGTCTGCGCTTCCGCTCACGGCGACGCTACACGCGCACAGCATGCGGGCCGCCTTCCCCTTCCCCTCCTCCGCCGCCGAGCCGCCGACTGTCACGCTCGAGCTGCGGCCCGCGCCCGCACACCCATACGTCGCGGTGAGCTGGGACGCTGAGCCGGCGCTCGGGCCTGAAGAGAGTGCCAAGATGAACTCGGCTGCGGCGGTGGCTGCCCCCGGCGGCGCGGGCGACGTGTGCGCGGACGCTGTGCAGATCCTCGTGCGTGTTCTCGCCGCGCTGTAATGCATAATGTGTCACTCTCTACTTGGTCTCATAATTCAATTGCATGTCTCACTCAATTGATTCTGAGAGCGTGAACATCCACAATTCTCAATAGCGAAAGCACTCACGACTCTCAATAGCGAAAACACTAGCCTACTCATTCACTCACTGTCGTTCAATCCTGATGCACATAAAAGGCAGCTCAGTCATCCGCCTGGACGCCATCAGCGATCATCCCCCTTGTTGGCACCAGGATACTGCGCCGCTCGAACTCGGCATCGTCGGCGGTCTCATCCTGTGCTCTTCATCAACGCACGTCCCGTTCCCATCGCCCCTGCGGCAACCCTGCCACCTTTCCGTCTCGGACCTGCCATCAACGTCATGGGCCTCGATCTCCCGACGATCATCTCGCGCGTGTGCGCCGGCGACAGAAACGGCGTCAACAAAGACGGTGAGACGGGTGGCCACTCGCGCTAACGCGCAGATCCATGCCGCCCCATCATGTCCTACTGGGGCCGGGTAATGTGCTTCTTCTGCGACAAGGACTGCCGGGAGGAAGTTGAGAGCATTATAGCGATGATGGTGAAGGGGCGCTGAGGAGAGAAAGAGGGAGAATTGTCAGAAGCCATGATGTAGAGCCGCAATGTAAGGAGGTAGCAGTCGCATAGTACAGAGCTATACAACAGATGCTTAGTCGAAGAGACCGAAGCCCATGTCGTCGTCCGACTCGTCCTCGGGCTCGGCGGCCTTCTCCTCGGCGGCAGCGGCCGGGGCGTCGCCACCGGTGGCGCCGGCGGCGGGGGCAGCGGCGGCGAAGGCCTCGGGGTTGGCGAGGTACTCCTTGACCTGTTGGTGTCAGCGATGGTTCTCGCTGCAGGAAGATCAAGTTCAGAGTGTGAATAATAAGTCTGCCTTGCGACCCGCGATGAAGCCAGGCCCTTGCTAAGCAATCTCTAGTGGAATAATTTACGACATCATGTAAGGGGGATGGGAAGCGGAAACTCACCTTCGCGGCCATCTCGAAGTCGATGTCGGTGGCAATGGCAATGGCAAGGAGGTTCTTGTAGCCGTTGACAACCGAGTGCATGACCGAGGCAATGGTGGGGATGCCGGTGGCGAGCGAGATCGCGGCAATGGTCTTGACACCCGAGGTGAAGAGGTCGAGGAGGTACGACTCCTCAATGTCAAGGATGTCGGGGGTGAAGACGGCACCGTTGTCGTAGATCTGAGTGACCGACATACCGTAGGTGAACGGCGAGATGTTGAGCATGTTCAGGAGGGTAGCCTCCGAAGTGCCGACCTTGCTGCCGGTCTGGACGACCTGAACGTCCGAGACAATCTCAATGGTACCACGGGCAATCTTGGTCGGGATACCGAGGGCCTGGAAGAACGAGGTCTTGCCGGGCTCCATACCGGTGTTGCCGGCGGGGACGTAGACGTCAACGGGGGCAATGGCACCGGCACGGGCGGGGGCGGCGACACGGTTCGAGATGATGAGCTCGCGGATCTCCTTGAGGTCACCGTCGGTGAAGACGAAGCCGACGTTGCCCTTGACGAAGGGGAGGACCTTCTCGTACTGGGGGAACTCGGCGAGGACGGTGCGGAGCGCACGGCGAACCATGGTGTTCTTGCCCATGAGGACCACACCCTTGCCGCGGAGCGACTGACGGATCATGTGGCACTGCTGCGACGAGACGTTGTCGATGTTGACGATGAAGAGCGAGGCTGCGGGTCAGCGAGCTGCGTCACGCGCGACATCTCCAGATGTGTTGCCAACTCACGGTACTTCTCCATAAGCTCGCGGAGCTTGGTGAACCAGACCTCCTTCTCAGCACGAGTGGCGCCCATTGTGACTGTTTTTCTTGGTGGTAGGGGTGGTGACGAGGTGTCGTAGAGTGTCTCCCAAGTGGAACTCCTTGATGAGCCAGAAGGGTGGAAGTTTAAAGACGAGTGGATGAAGAGAACACAAGAGTTGCAGAATGCCGCGAAAACCACCCACCGCCAGCGCTGCCCCACTGCAGCCCTCCGCCCAGCACGGTGCGAGCCGGACTTCACCAATTTTGGGAGGCGATTTTTCGTCTCCCCTCACCCAGCGGCGTTTTGATACAAACTCCGAGCTACTCCGGAGTGGCACTTGTACTTCCGCTAGTCACGTTGCTCTGATTTCGGTGCAACAGAGATCAAGAGAACCGAGAGGTACAACCCGCACCGATCAAGATCGCAAGCCACCGCGCTTCTCCGGCCCATCGAGCAATCGACCGCGTCCATACCAGGACGCAGACACGCGCACTCCGACGCAGCCGACGACCGAGGCAGCCCGCATGGCCGGGCAGTCATGCTCGTCCCCCTCGTCCTGCGCAACATTGTCCTCCCCTACCTACGATCGGGGAGCCGCGCGGGCGTAGCTGCTTCGCAAGCGCAGCGCCGGCGGGTCGCGAGCACGGCAGCGGCCGCTGCGGCGCATGCTCAGGCGCGCACCGATCTCGAGCGCGACGATGTGCGCTGGGAGCCGTTCCGCATCGGCCCGCGGGCAGAGCAGGTGCTCTCTGTACATCGGCGGCCGCCAAACAAGCCGCCATTGCCAAGTGCGTCTGAGGCTAAGGCGGCCTTGTCTGGGCCACCGTCAGAACCACCACGAGAACCAGAAGCGAAACCTAATCCAGAATCAGATCGACCGGGGAGACCTAGGAAGGAGGAGAAGAGGGGGAGAGCCAAAGTCGGCGGAGGTGCGTGCGAGCGCCCTCATATCTGACAGCAGACTCGCAGCCCACTTCCAAAACCCCACCTGCACCCTCATCTAAGCCTTCCCATGAGCCTGAGAGGAAACGCAGTCCGCAGCCCCCTCCCAGGTCGGACGAGGTTGACCTGACGCGCGTGCGCCTCAAATATCGTGCGCTGTCGATCCCCGTGCCGCTGCGCAAATTGCTCGACGCCAAGCTGTACCGCGCAGCCGTCTTCAGCCTGCTGGAGGCGCCCGAGTGGATGGCCGACGAAGAGCTGGTGCTGGCGGTGGTGGACCGACTGGAGGACAAGGGCGCGCTGCAGCTGGCGCACCGGCTGCGGCGAACGCTGGAGATGGGCGCCGTCGGCAGCAACGGCCGCGTGCGTCTGTGGAGCGATCCCGCGCCGAAGAACCGTCCTCGTGCACCGCCCGACAACCGCGTCCCACTAGTCCCGCGACGCGCCTACCCCGAGCCGACGGAGCAGGGGCGCCGAACACACCACTGGAACCTTCTCTTGACGCAGTGGCTCACGGTGCGGCACCCCATCCCCTACGCGTCTCCGTTCCCGCGCCAGAAGCCGAACGGGCACACGGCCGCGCCAGCGCGCCTCCGCCGCCTCCGCGACGTACTGCACACGATCGACAAGTTGCGCGCGAGCCGCGGATTCGTGCCGGACCGCGTCACAGCCAACATCGTCCTCAAGGCGTACCTCTCCTGCCTTGCGCGCGGGACAATCGGCGAGGGACGCGATGCGCACCCGCTTCCCTTCCGTCCTGGGCTGCGCGCCGAGGACCTGCGCGATGTGTTTCGTTTGATTGCCGAGAGCATCGAGGATGGACTGAACAAAGGCCTTGTTGTTCGTGAGGACGTGGGCGAGGATGGCGAAGACAGCAAGCGAGCGATGAGCAAGCGAGCTACGAGCACGCGCAAGGGGCCGAACGTGCGGCTCGCAGGCCTCGAAATCCTCGACAAGTTCGACCCGCACGTCTCATACGAGGCGCATGTGCAGCCGTTCGCGCGGATGATGGGGCGGGCGATGGCGCGAGTCGGGGACCATCGCGGTCGCGTCGCCATCGAGAAGTGGGCCGAGGTCATGCGCGAGCGCATCCACAAGCTTCAAGGGCGCGCGGGGGTCATTGGCGGGGGGGCAGACAAAGCGGGCGGCGAGAAGGACAAGGGCGACGGGGGAGCATAGCAGCATCTCATTTAGCATTGGCATTGTTTGCATGCATTGTTAGACTTCATTTTCGCAGAGCGGAGGGTGCGAACGAGGGCCTCTACAGGCTTGGAGACGAGACGACGGTCCTTCGATGCCCGTAAGATACGCATACCTAACATTGCTGTACCTCGCGCTGCCGATGTACATCCCCGGACTACATCCATTCGTGCTTACTGGCTCATTTGGTCCTCTCATCTCGACCCGCCTTGGTCGAAGGGTTTTGCTCCTTACTTACAAGTGGGTAGAGCCGCGTGCGACAGTAGAAGCAGCGCATAAAGCCGCGCTCAGCATCCCACATCGGCCAGCAGGCCGCTGACATCAGCAGTACCGAGGTGACTCACTGCCCGCATTCTCGCGGTAGGCGTTACCAGTGCAGCTGCGAGTGTAGCGGACGCTCATGGTGATGCAGCAACACAGAGAGAGCCGGGATATAAGTATGCTCTGGCTTGGGACTAGACTCTCGCACACACCGGCCGCCCAGACACCCAGGAGGAGACACAGATTCATCCTTCTTCTAAGCGCACAGCTTTTCCCACGCACCCACCCCCAGCCCCTCGAGTGGCCTAGAGGTGGCGGAAACAGTAACAGCACACGATACCAAGTCGGCCGTGGTACGTCGCGACACACGGGCCTGGCGTGAGTTCCGTGAATTCCGCAGCTCGTCTTACGGTCGCGGTTGAGGCCATGCCCCGTGCCGTGGCAGGGCGGCCACGGCGACGGATAGTCAGTGGATATCTGGCGCTGCGGGGGAGTGTACGTCGCACTCGCACCGTACATCGGCGACACGAAGAGGCCGTTGGCAGACGGGCTATGGTTAGGCACGGGGGACGAAGGGGCCGAGGAAGACGCCGAAGTCGAGGTAAGCGAACTCAGCGAGGGGGAAGCCCAGAAGTAGTTCTGCGCGAGCGGCGCCGCGTAGCCCGGACTCTGCGGGGTGAGGGCCGGGTCGTAGGCGCTGGAAATCTCGTGCGCGTTGGGAAGGGTGAGTGGCGTGCTGGGAAGCGAGCACGGTGTGCTGGAAGGCGGGAACGGTGTACTGAGAGGCGGGAACGGTGTGCTGGGAGGCGGGAACGGCGAGCTGGGAAGCGGGAACGGCGTGCTGGGAAGCGTGAATGGCGTGCTGGGAAGCGAGTACGGCGTGGGCGGGTTGCTCGGAGAGAGCGAGAGGTGCGCGTCGAACGCCGAAACAGGCGGGTCACATTCCATCTTGCTCTCGGGGCTGCTAGGCTGGTGAGTTGCAGGGCTCATGACTTCGTCGACCATGAGACAGCTGAAATCGAGAGCCGGATCGAGGCTGATGTCCTCGGAGACGGGATCGAGGCTGATGTTGGCGAGCGGATCGAGGCTGATGTCCTCATAGACCTCGTCAAGGCTGACATAGAACCCGTCGAGGATGCTGTCATGGATATCGTCGAGGATGCTGTCATGGATATTGTCGAGGGTGCTGTC